GCCCTTGGAGAGGCGCTCAACCCAAGGCTCCCAAGTTTCTGGCACGTCTGCTGCGCTGTTTGCCTCGCCAAATAGCTTGTTTCCCTGGAGCTGCTGCATCATTCTCAGCAACGGGCCGATCCGACCAAGCTATAAGCGCCCCCCATTGGCATTTTCTGACTGAGTTTCAACTATTGGTGCTTTGTTTGATCTCACAGCCTGGCCTTGTGGCATCATGCCGCGCCCTGCTCTCATCTAAGCGCACCATCTATGTGCCTAGATCCCTTCCCTCCTTCAAGCATTTGATCAGTTCTGCAGGGCGCAACGACTTCGTTCCCATATACTGTCGGTTCCCTGGTCTATTGGAAAGTTACACGGACAAATAGTGCCTGCGTGGCTGCCAAAACACTCCCATTGGAGAGAACCTGATGGCCTACAGCCTGAGGCCTTGCTTGCCTCTCCATCTCCCTTCTCTCCGTTCTCGGATCGGCTGATCAGAGACGGCAAAGCCTAACTTGCTCGGATAGATCGTCTCGCCATTGGTCATTACCACCGATGCGTGGCCATTGGTGTGCTAAAAACAATCGCTTCGCGGACAAGCTGGCCCCTTTTCCCAAAGTTTGTAGTGGCCACGGCTTCCGAGCCAAGAATTTGCGGTCTTTGGTCCTCACACAACATCGTCATCATCCTTCCTCTCCATGAGCCTCTCAAAGTGTGCCAGTATATGGATTGCCTGATGATAGCCAACTGCTTGATCTGCAATATGGGAGGCATGATATTCGCGGTGCTCAGACTCTCGTGTCTGCAACATGACCTCGACAGCGATGGCTATCCAAGCTGTGGTACCTGGTTCAGTGACAAGACAAGTACATCTACCTCGTACTCGAAGACAAGGCGCAAGCCAAGGCCCAAAGCCACGCCAAATGTGAAAGAGGAGACACTCTCCGTTCATCTGCCGACCCCTAGGACGACTGGGCCAGGCCGACTACGTGGCACAATGCAAGTAAACGGGATGCTGGGCTAAATATACGATCTCGATAGTCCTCCACAATAACAAGGAACCGCCGTGTGCCAGGCAGTTGATGGCTGTCGCAGGTTTACCACTACTGGGAGCAGCTGTGTACCTTGAGCCATGGGCCATATCGTGGGGGCTTTGGTGTATCTTGAGCTTGGCTTGTGCCATTGCTCTGACTGGTTGGAGGCTGATCCGACTTCTCTCCGTCAATGCAATTGCAATCGCATGCACTCACCCGTTTCTTGGCGTCGACGCCTCCAGCCAAGATCTCCTTCTCAACAAGAGGTCCACTCAAGAGCGCATTGTAGGCGGAGACATGGGTGTCTGGATGCTTGCATGTCTAGTTCCCTGGAAGGGGGGAGGGGTGTGCGCGAACAACTCAGCAGGCAACATATTCCAGGTGAACTGGGGCCGGGAAAACAAACTTGACAACCTTGACGCAATGGAGGCCAGCTGGAGAGCGCGCTTCGGACCTTCTGCTCAAGATCAACCGCCTGTTCTCAAGCCATGGAAGCGAGTTGCTTGGGCTTCCGGGATTGTGTAGCACGCATCAAATCTCCTACATGACCTGATCGCAAATGAGGTCGATGCCCAGGTCATGCTCACTGTAGTAGGAACGGGTCGCTTCCCCGGTTCCGCGACGAAATCCAGAGTCTCTGTTTGGCTGGGGTCGCGAGGTGCTTGAAGCTCTTCGGGCATGGCTCTCCGACTCAGGCGGCTTCTTGCTTCGTCCTGTAACTGAGGAACCCCTTAGCTTCACGCAGCCAGTGAGCTCTTTCAAGGACATTCATTCCCACAAGAGCCAGTCATATGCTTCCTTACGGCCCACAGCTTGTACATACACGACTTGCCTCGTCCAAGCCAAGTCGGCATTCTGATATAGACGCCTTGACAGAGCCGAGGGGAAAGAATGTGAGGAGAGAGGTCTTGTTTTCTCGAGCTCTCCACACCATTATCAGTTGAGCCCTTACACCATGTCTTAGCAGCCACACGATAGACGCCTACTTTAAGCTACCCAGCCTGATCCAGTCTCCAAACTCGGACTCTCTATTTGACCCCTTCCCAGCTGCGTTTATAAAACCTTGTAAACGCTCATCCTGACTCGTCTCCCCTTCCTCTTTCTTTTCATCTTGTGGCAATTGTCAACTACCTCACAACGGCTGACCTTCACATCGTCTCTCGTCTTGGATTCACTTTCGTCGAATCACCTGGCGACCCCCCCATCTCGACCACGTCGGGGCACTGTCACCCCCAAAGTTGCTGTCCATCATCCACACCCGACCAGTTCCCACGCCGTTGCCGCCATTCATACAACTTCTTGGGCGAATAGTGTACCTCTATTCTTCAAGAAGCAGAGATAGACAACGAATTTGCCTCGACCATTGAGGACCCCAGGTAATCAAAGCTAATACCCGGTGAGTCTTCTCCCTTCACCCTCGTTTTCGTTCTTCTGCAATGGCTGCATGACAATCACAGCACCGTCCAACTGAATGGGCTCACAACGCTCGTGAAGCTGTAACTACACCTAATGTGTCGGGCTTCTTCTACTTATACACGGCTACTACGGCGAACTCACGGGCAGAAGTCTGATTCCATTGGCTCAAGAGGCTAATCACCGTAGCAGTTCCCCTCCCGAGTCGTGCTTTCGACAAGCCCTTTCTCCTGCTTGTCTTTTGCTATCATCTGGTTGCTAGCTGGTGAGTGCTCCTCATTGTTCACGATCCGCCGATCTGCCTTGCAGAATACAGCATGTCCCTGAATTTCGTGGAGCTATGTTGCTGATCATCTCTGAAGCCATATCGAGAATCATATAAACCGAAGAATCGAACTTCTGAGGCTCGCCGACAACATACACGAAGGATTGAGACTGAAGCCTTCCGATACGGATACGATTCCATTTGGTTCTGTTCTAGCGGCAATAGTCTCGAGGAGCTCAGGCTGCCCGGCTGTCGCTATTTCAATCGCGCCTCGATCACGACGGCTTCCACATTCCTTCAGCCTTCTTAGCCGAATTTCGGACCTGGTTCGCGGTGATCCATTTCCGCCGGGAATATCAACGTATGCATTCTCAGCAGCAGAAGGTATCCCCAGTCTCTCGCTCTCGATTTATCCCCCCCTCCCCCCCTCTCCCCTTCTCACTCTCCCTTTTACTTTCCTTGCACAAAGCCCTTCGTGCCCCAAGCAGCAAATCAGAGTGAGGAAGTGGCAAAGCCGAGCTTCAAATGCTGGCGATTTGCCATTTCCAAGAGAAATGGATGTTCTATCAGCACCGTACACGAGCCGATCTGGCAGCTTATTTCATGACGAGGTACGTTCAACTGGGCATGCAGTTCTTTTGTCATAGACTCGCACTCGCTCCCCTGTCAGAGTCGCTGCTATTTCACACACACACATGTGCGGCGCCGCATTTTGCGCACCCTTGTCAAGCTATTCAAGGATGTAAAGAGGAGGGGTGTGCAAAGGGATCCTCGACATCGCTATCAGTTGTCGTAAGATCTTTGCCATGGGCGAATTCAGCACCTTACCGTATGCACAAGACACAAGTCGGATGCAGACCCCCCCTCCCTCCCACGACTGGTTTTTTGTTTCTGTGTAACCAGCAGGACCCTCCATCCACGTCCCCCCCCCCCCCCCCCCCAGCACTGCCTGACATTCTGCTTCCGATGTTTTTACTGTCATCGTACTGCTTCCGAGTACTGCACGGAAACCGAGAAGTATCTCAAAGTACCGATAGCGTACCCGTACCTCATGCTCCAAACGCGGTGCCATCAACGCACCCCCCCCCCCCCCATGATCTAATGTCCTCGTTTCAACGCCAAGAGCAACAACATAGGTACTAATGTATTGTCTCTATCGCATCTAGGCCTCTACTCAAGAGGGTCTTATTGTGTTTTCGAGGACGCTTTGCTTGTGGCTGATGGAAATGCGGCATCGTATCAGAAGCAAACTTCGAAGCCTGGCCCGGAGCTTTCCCCCTCTTACCCGCTCGCATCATGCTTCGAAAACAAAAACGTCTATATATATGCATACATCTAGATGTCTGATCAGGACTTGAATACTAATGTGTCTTCCTACTCTAGGACTACGACTCTTCGCCACCAGCTTGCGCGGAGCTGGACTATCTCGATATACACTCCCAGCCAGGCGACATGAGGTGAGTCTTGCCTACCACACAACCAAAACTTTTCCATCACGCTTGTTGGTCCACCCATATTCCCCCGGCTTGAGGACTGCTGCCCATCCGGAAAATTCTGTCCTTACTTAATTTACCTGCGATGGAGCCCGCAGGCCTCTTCTCTGGCACTTGAGGTTGCACCTTGAACTTGTGCTCACACAGGTCCTTTGCCGCTGGCCGCAATATGGAGTCGTGCATTGGGCCTGTGCCACCATCCATGCTGGCAGCAGGTATAACCAGACCTTCCGGCTTGGTTGTACTACTCGACATGCTGGTCCATCAAATTGGCCTCTTCTTTTTCATTACTTGTTGTTTTGCCCTTTCTGCCCATGTGCCCTTTGTCAATAACCTTTGATCATTTCACCATATGCTCAGAGGAGAAACCCCCTTCCTCCTTCTCTTCGCCCTCTTCTATTCCAAATATTGTCGTCAAGCATTGTGTCCCTAACGGCCAACGTCTAGGTACACGCAAGAAGCCAATACGTCGGCTCTGGCAATAGAGCCTTCGCAACCCCCAGCACTTCTCAGTCTCTACCCTACGGCTCTCGCCGCAACCACACAGTACCCTCAAGACAACGGTGCCTTCTACCAGCCGGTATCTCAAGTATTCCAGGGATTAGATGTCAGGTCTCGCCTGAACTCCAAGTAAGTGATTCCAGGGACCCATAGTGCGTGACATTGGTAGCGGCAGCGTTGTTGCGTGCAAAAGGATTGCTGTCGGGGATAAATCGTATTATTATACGAAGTATACATGACCAATTTTTTAACAGTTGATGCAGTTACAACAGCACCGCGCCCTCAACTGGTATGGCGCAGGCTCATCAGCAGCACCGCAACACTGTATTGCCGCATCTGGCAGCTCAAGTAAGCACCAGAGAGCAATACTCTACCACCACTCCCTCATTTCGAAGGGCTTCGGAGCATCCTGTCAGGTCTCCGTCATTTCCGGGCGTGCATGTGCGCCGCGTGCCACTGTCGCCAGACCATAGCCCACTCAACTCCTATGTCGCTCCGGCCGGGAGGATGGAAGCTGGCCAGTTCCAAAACAGACCCTCCGCAACTGCAGTGCCTCCCCTCATGTCTGTCCAGACTTCCGGCTCTCTCCAGTATGAAACTGGGACGCCCATCAAGATTGATATCACCGGCACAGTCGACAAGGGGTTCTTCCTAGCCGAGGGCGAGTGGACTTGCTACCGCCGCAACTACATGACCTGCGCGTGCTCATACTCGCTCCAACCACACTACCCGGGCACTATCGTGCATTTTATTCCCCAAGGGTCTTCCCAACCCTATCAAGTCTACGGGCTCTACATGTCAATATCTGCCGTCGTGGCAGACAATGACCAGCAGACCATCGAGCTTGTCCAGCACACCCCCAAGAGGGACAAGGGTCCCACCTCCAAACCTGAGAAGGTTCTGCTGCTGCCCAAGAACTCGGTGCCGTCGCACCATGTTGGCATGTACAACGACAATACGAGCGCATCCGGTGCCAGGGCAGTGTACCAAGATGGCTACGGCGGCCAAGGAGGCGGCCAACCCCCGACTGAGCATACGTTTGAGCGCATCCAGTTCAAGCAGGCTACTCAGAACAATGGCAAACGGAGGGCTGCGCAGCAGTACTATCACCTCATGGTTGAGCTGTGGGCTGACCTGGGCTCGTCCAGCGCCGACAAGTTCGTCAAGATTGCGTACAGAAAGTCGGAGAAGATGATTGTCCGTGGCCGCTCCCCTGGCCATTATCAGAGCGAAAAGCGACGCAGCCACAGTGGTGGTCCAGGAGGATCCTCGGGGACTCTTGGAAGCTACGGGGCCCTGGGAATCTCGGATTTTTCTCACTCGGGTCTGCTTGGGGGGAGCAGCACGTACAACGGTTCCTACGATCCGAGAGGCTCGGTGTACGGGACACCCAGGAGCCATGACGTTCCTGCCGAAAGCAACATGGCTTCCGAGGATGATAAGTCGCTTGGCCACAACAAGGGCTACTTATACTACCCTGGATCCATGTACGACGGCTCACAGTCTCGGCCCCTCGATATGTTTGCCTCGCGCAATGATCATGAGACCCCGCCGGCGCAATCGTCAACCGACACGAAGGTGAAGAGCGAGTATGATATAACGCCTCGCGTCTTCCAGCCGCCGCTGGGAGAGAGTCGTCGTCCACCGGCACCGTTTGAAGCTAGAACTACCTCGGGAGGTTACTACCCTACCATCCTGTCCTCTCCCAGCACAAGCTTGACATTGTGATCTTGGCGATAGGCGAAGCGCCTGGACTTGCTCTGCACGGATCAGGGGCAAATATGGCCCAAGAAGTGATGGGAAACCCAAGGGAGAAAAACAGACAGAACGCATCTCCTCGGCAAAAAAAACTTACGGAAAGAAATTGCTTGCAAAAGGATGGTTTAGAAATCAGGCAATAAAAAGCGGCACTTGATTTGGGAACGATTTCGGGAACAATACGGGAGTTCATACGGAACTATACGTGACTGGACAGGCCGCAGGGCTCATGTCGATAGCTGCATGGCTGCGGCAATCCAGGACACATAAATGAATGCTACGGCCTGTGGAAAAGAAGAATTGCATGTTCATTTTCTTTTGTTGTCAACCCACCCCCCCCCCCCCCCCCCCCCCCCCCTCCCCCTTTCCATTTTTGTTCTTTTATTTCCCTTTTTTCCCTTGGAAAATAGAGTCATGCTCTCTAGCATCTCGCGGTGATCATTGGGCTGAGAAAACGGCAACGCTTGGGACAAGCAGGACTAGGAACGACAATGTTCGAGGATTCGAGGTTTCACGACGCACCCCCCAAATCTGTATTTTCATTTGTTTTTGTCTTCCCTCTTTCTTTTGCTATCATCTACTACTATGGTTGTTTTCCCATGTAATTCTTGGCTGCTTTGATTAATCTGCTTATACCTGCTTTTGGCCCTCCTTTCGTTTGTCTTCGTTTTCTGTGAACGGCCGTTGCTTGTCTTCTTATTTCGAGAGGACCCAAAGAGTACCAGAGCTACAAGACTGTCGGCTAAGGCACTCTTCGTTTTCTCCTGCTTTGTCTTCTCTACTTGACTATACTTCTCGTTTGGACTCGTCTGCTTTACTGTCTCCCTTGAACGTCGAATGTTGCTGCTTGCTCGGCGTTATACCGTCCTACACATACTGCTGCTTCCTGCACTAGGGAGAGTTCCGCCGACATTGCGGCTTGCTGTGAGATCCTGCAGACTTTGGTTACACCGGGTACCAGGGTCTGATGGAAATCAGAGGAGGGGGCCATGCATACTGGCAGAAGCAGGGCTTCGCATTGGCCAAGGAACGCTCCATATCTGTGTGCCACACACGGCCGAACTGCGCTTCCCTTACGCTCTCGCATGGGATTTTATTTCCAGACAGGTTAATGATATTTTCTTGGACATGCAATATGAATTCGATCATGATCCCGATGTGTCTTTTGGATGACGGCTGCTCAGGAGGCTTGGGAGGAGGAATCATTGTGCCACCCCATCTTGAAACGATCTTGCTACAGCCGGGTCTCTCACTCTCACTGAAATGGAGGTTCCATCTATCGGTGAGATTCTGGTGCCTTTCCTTTTCATACACAGGAGAATGACAGTGCTCGCAGCAGTTACAACGAGCTCGACTATGGGGCCACGAGAGAAGCACAGGAAAAGGGGTGGGCCATGTATAATGACATACATCATGCTAACGCAGCATAAACATGCAGACGCAGTCCACAACTGGCCAAGCGCGAGGCTTCCTCGTGGCTGTTCCGTGATTCTCGCCAAAGCTACACGCTATTGATGCAGAGATGCAAGCATGGCGTCTGCCGCGGTCCCATCAGCCGAAGCCGCAAGCGAGCGACAAATGCCCTTGACCGGTCAGACAGGACCGGTCAGACAGCAAGAAAGAGCCGCGGGGCGGGGGCTTGACCCCCTTCTTTTGACTTGCGGCGCATGCATGGTGACGATGCCGACGCAGAAGCGACATGTTGTCGGCCGCCCATGATGTGTACTTTTCTGAAACAACGAGACGAGACGTCTTTTACACGCTTAGTCGCTTTTGATATATTCTTCTGCAGGCGGGAATAAAAGACACTGGGGGGGTTCTCCCCGAGCCGTGGCATTCTTTACACACATTGTCAGGTTGATATTCGATGCTACGGTACCCATGGCCGAGACCTGGCGATGCGCTATTCGTTCCGGGTCAACGAAATCTGAGAACGATTTGTCCACAAAGACTCACGGCGAGAGCGAGGCTGCGGGAGGGTCCCTTTGCAAACGTATCTGCATCCTACTGGCGAGGAAGAATGGCGTCAACAAGATTACCACTGGACAAGGAAGATGCCACCTACTCTGCTGCAGTTTGCTTCTTTGCTTGCTGCCAGCACTATAAACGTGGCGTCCGTGGCTCCAGGCGCCTTGCGTGTTTCTCCCCCCCTTCTCTCCTATTCCCTCGGAGACTTTACTACCAGACAGATTGGTAACTCGGAAACATACTGTATCTGATAGGATGCAGGGATCGCAAGATGCGTAGGATTGGGCCAGATCACGGCGTGTCTTTGGCAGGCTCTGATACTACTTGGGACGATGAGTACCATCTTCCTGCGAAGCCACGCGGTGGATAGAATATGCAGCTGAAGGAGGGAGAGAGAGCCTGTGCAGCGAGGCGAGCATTAGACACCCATCTCGCTTGCAATACCGTACCCGGTCAGAGAAGTTGTCGCCTCAACGGAGACACTCAGTGGTGCTGCGTCCTCCCTCCATATCGAATATCTCTCTTGATCTATCTGCCTGTCTGTTTTGTTTGTTTTTAAGCGCTGGACAACTCACTCGCCTTGCCTCATGTAGTTAGTTGTACGCGCGCAGTCGAGGAGAGGGCCCTTGCAATCAATCGAGCCATCTCCGGCGCTCCCTCTCGTTCTCTTCTCTTCTTTTCTCCTTTCTTTGCGCCTCAAAACTCATGCGTGAGTTGTTTGCTGCGGCGCGTATACACCGGTCAGCGGCCCATGATACTTTGGCGAGACACTGCTTAAACGCCCGAAGCTACTACAGGTACGAGGTGGAATTTGGCCATGATCTCGCCGTCCGCAACATGATCATTATCCGCTTCTGACGCAAAGGCGCTTTTCAAGACTGCAAGTTGGCCATTGCGCATATCGGATGATTGAGCGTTTTTGATTCCCCTCTGACGCAGGAGAAGACGTCATGTTAGGAACGGTCCCATCGGCCATGCAGTCCAAGTTTCCAGCGATTACGGCGAAAGAGATCCCTCGACGGCTCCTTTCTTTCTGTTTCACGGACGAGACGCACAGGAAAAGGAGGTTGAGCTGCGATCACAAGCTTGGTGGAAGCAGAGTTGCCGCCAAGCGCGCGGTGTGAGGCCGCAGCAACAGGCCGTGGACTCGGACAAAACATGAGTGACACGACCTTGAGCTGATGCTGCACAACATGATCTCGCCCCCCCCCCCCCCTGGATGCATATTCCGGTCAGTCTCCTTGTGAGATTTGGGAAGAATCCCGTCAAAGGACTAGGACAGGACTCTGGCGATAAGGGGGAATGGAGCGCATACGATGCCACGCGATGGGGCTGCTGAGAGAAAAGAGAGAACAAAAATGAGGGTGTTTTTTTTTTTCTTCACTCGCGATTGAGGAGTGCCTTTCAGTTCACGCTGTGCTTCAGCTCGGCGGTTGTGCGCTGCAATGTTGTGGTCGTGGCAATAAGACGGTCACATCGACCTCATTCAAAGAATCATCCCCTTCCCACCTCCCAAGAGTACCGATACGGCAGGTTGCAGCTTTCCGGCGCGATCGGTGTTACCAGAAGAGGTTCGACCGATGCTGGAGTCCATATACTTGGCCTCAAGGAGAAAGAAACTCTCCGGTCAATGTGGTTCGTGTCTATGTGAATACAAAAGGGGGCGTGCAATGCACTGATGATGGGCTTTTCGAGGGCTTCCTGGCCGTGAAGTAGGCCGTGAAGTGCAAGGTACCATAGGCCTCAGCGTCTTGAATATCTATGTAGCTTTTGTACCCTCCGTGTTGCTGCGTGTATATGCCAAACCCCCCCCCCCCCCCCCCCCCCCCCCCTTTCAGCCCATTTCCTCCCTGCCTACGGGGAGCTTCAGGCCGAGCTCGATTTGGTGAGAACCCCCACGCCGGTGGCGTCACCTTGGAGCTGTTGATACATGAAGGCGTATGTTTAGGACACACCCCCTCCCCGGCTGGGAGAAAACAAATGAGGAGATAGGAACAAGTGTACATGAGGCAGAAAGAGGCTGATCTAGAATCCTGCAAGAAGTGGCCCGCTCAGCAACAACCATGATGACAGCCACGCAGCAGCAGCAGCAGCATGGTTGCCAAAAGCCCCCATTACGAGAAATGTATATACATGAAATTCACACACTCACGTACATTTACATACAGATATATACACTTACATACATACATACATACATATCCATCCATGCTTGCATGCTCAACCTGGCTGACTCCATTCGCGCATCATGTCCACTTTGCGCACGGAGTGACATTTCAGGGGTCCACGGCCAAACCGGGGTCCCGCGGAAGACCAATCCGGGGGAGTTGAGGCCGGGATCCGAGATGAAAAATAGGAGAGAGAGAGAGAGACGAGAGCGTGAATGTGGGCGTGGAGCGATTGCAACGTCAGCAGTGAGGACAAGCAAGTACAGGAATGAGGGATTGAAACATGGAATAGGTAGTAGTTGTAGTGATGTATTCGTCCGTACAGAATACAATCAATGTATAGCGGCGGCTAGGTCGTTGAATGGCGGCTGAAGAAGGGTCATTTTCGGGCTCGATTCTATGTCATGAGGACCGTGCCCTGCACACCCGACCCCCCGAGCGCCTCAAGGTCCAGAATTACGCCGTGTTCACGGTGTCGAACGATGTAATAGATACTCGGTAGGGGGTAAGCAAGGCCACCTAAAAATCAATCAGACGTCCGTCTGTTCCCATGTTTCATGGGCCCTGAGAGCCGCCCACAGCCCAGCCCCTTTAAGTGCCGGTAAAGATCTTTGTCTGCGCTGACGCCAACAACTCAAGGAATCCCTCATCTCATCTCATGTTCCTGTTTTCTTTTATCCTAAGCCGCTAAACAAGGTTTTGTGATTCTTGATTGATCAGCCCTACGAGTACAGTAAGCTCTCTGCTGTTGTTACGTCTGCCCGCGAATTCAAGTTTCACAGCAGTTGATCTACGGAGATTTCAGAGCTGATGGGGGGAGGGCATCTATGGTGTGGTAAGGATCACAGGCAAGCAAAAACTGATGGACAGAAACACAAGAGCAGCCGAACAACAGGGAACGAGCTGTCATATCAGTAAAACATACTGCGCTTTGCCTTTGCGGCGGTGCGTTGACTCCTCATTAGTAGTTATGTCCACCATCGCCTATGCGTCCTGCAAGAAAACTCGCTTCACTCCCCTCCCTCTTCTCCTACATTACACGCTTTTCTGTTCCCAGTACATGGAATCTCCTCTTCGGTACTCGGTCCGCTTGACGTTTCTCATCCGAAAAAAGATACACACACCTGTAGTATCATATAGCATGACTCGCTTGGTGCAACCCTACCGTTGGGTAACCCGAATCCACGTGTTGCGACCCTGCATGCACAACCGTGCATGTTCCGCTGGGTGAAGGATGGGCGTGAAGGCAGAGGAGACAAGGTCGGAAAGGGGTCTCTGTCTCTCAGCAAGTATCATTCTTGTAGCTGCCCGGTGATGGTGTGGTAGCTGTACAGAGACCGGTCTTGACAAGGGGGGCTGTTTTCGCTTGATGGCTGTGCTGGGGTTTTTTGTGGTTCCTTTTGTTTTTTTCTCCTCCTCTGCTTTCAAAGCGAATCTTGTACGCCGTGAGAGGTGTGGTTGCTCCTAAGAGATGGCGCCATTCGAAATGTCTGGCTCGTCCATCCACATACTACTACTACAAACAAGCAAAAGGAAGGAAGAGGACGATAACGGAGAGGAAGCCGAGGAGAAACAACGCACGCGTCGAGACATGACCGGCATACGATTCCGGCCCAACGCGAAGGTGACACCAAATCTAAGTGATACCGCCCATGGGCCCCGACAGAGAACAACACGGCTTCCGAAAGAAAGAAAAAAAAAACCTGTGTCCCAGCTAATAAGCTCTCGTATCTGGGGTGGCACAAACTGCAAGCCTACACCGGTGATCGACGGTGCATCTTTGAATGCAGGCAGGCAAGAAGAAGGGAGGTTTTTTTTCTTTTCTTGCAAGTTGCCTTCTCTGCTGTGTTGTCACACAGGCTAGGGATCAAAGGTGGCCACCCCCGGGGAGAGGAAGAGAGAGGGAAAGGATTTCGGTTTCGCAAAAAAGTGTCCGAAAAGGACGCGACTGGGAAAGTTTGCGGACTGTTCGGTGAGGCAGGTCAGGTATTTTGCCCGTTGGAAACATAAATAGAAGAGAAAATGAGGCCGCGTCTAGAGGCCAGTGGAGATGGATGCGAGATAGCCCAGGTTTAGATGATTCGGGAGCATTCTCTGCAGCCTGCTGCTGCTGCTGCCCAGCCATGAAGCCATGAAGGCGTGCTCAGCTGGCTTGGTGTCCTCCTTGCGTCATTTTCAATTTGCCTTTTCAGTTCGTATCTGACCGAAGGGGCCGGTGGGCAGTAAAAGGATGTAGGAATGATGGAGGGGGGTGTTGAATGAGGCGGAACAACGACAACCGGCGACAGAGGTGGAAAGGGAGAGATGGACGCAAGATGTCAATGAGCCAAGAAGTGGTGAGGATCGAAGGCTCCGTCCCGTAATCGGTCGAGACCCCGTCTCAGGCTCAAGCCCTCCATATGGCATCAGACATGGTAGCCACCAAGGCCATTTCGCGAACATCGTGAACACGTATGACATCCGCTCCCCCCTGAACCGCCGCCGCCACCGTTGCCGCCGTGCCCCAAGCCCTCTGCGAGGCCTCTTCCACGCCCGTAATCTTGCCAATGAAGCTCTTGCGACTCGTCCCAACGAGCCACGGCAGGCCCTGCAAGCCAGGCCAAGCCCGGAGCTCCTCCAGTCGCCGCAGCAGCTCCAAGTTTTGAGCGCCCGTCTTGGCGAATCCGATGCCTGGATCGAGGATGATGCGCCATCTTCGGATGCCTGCTGCTTCAGCTGCGGCCACCCGCGCGAGAAGCTCGGCGGCAACGGTCGGCACCAGGCCGTCTGGATACGAGGTGAGCTTCGTCATGGTCTGCGGGTTGCCGCGCATGTGCATCAGGCAAATCGTCTTGCCCAGCCTTCCGACGGTCGGTAGCATGTCGGCGTCTAGCAGTCCGGCGGAGACGTCGTTGACAATGTCGGCTCCCACGGCAATGGCCTGTTCGGCGACTGAGGCGCGATAGGTGTCGACGCTGATGGCAACATGGCGAGTTTCTGGCAGAGACCGTATGAGCTCGATGGCGGGCACCACTCGAGCAACTTCTTCTTCTGCCGAGACCTCGGGGCGGCCAGGGGCCGTCGACTGTCCGCCCACATCGATGATGGAGGCTCCGTTGCGGACCAGGTCTTTGACGGTGTTTGACAGGCTTTCCATGCTGTGACGTCCACCGTCGGAGAATGAATCAGGCGTCATGTTTAGAATTCCCATGACATTGGTCTTTCTGTTGTGTACGAGAGGCGTAAGTGGTGGTAGTGTGGATGATATCGGAGTAATGGATGCTAGAGGTTCGCCAGGAGTAAGGTCATTGAGATAGTCTTGAACGAGCTTCCACGGTTGCGATGCATAAAGAGGTTTTGACGGGATCAATCTAACATATTAAAAGTCAGTGATTTGCAATAGATCTTCAGGAAAATCTTGAGCCTCACTCTGCTAGGGGCCTCAGAACAAACTCGCGCTCGGGTATGCCGATGTGAGGCACGTTGAGTCTCTCGTTCTCAACCTTTTCATCCCCATAGATCAAGATATCCAGGTCAATGTTCCGCGGGCCTTTGTCAATGAGTTTCTTTCGGCCCATATCCCGCTCAATGGCTTGTAGCTCATCCAGCAGCTTTAGGGGTTCCAGTTCAGTCTCAACCTATGTATGTATGAGCCACATCACACGTTGTAAGCAAGTCGTCGTTTAGTGGCATGAGAAGTCACAGATTGCCCACCTCGCAAGCACCATTGAGGAAGCGGTCCTGGTCCGTCACATACATGGGCTCGGTTTCCCAGAGACTGCTTGTCCGCTTAACGCGGATGCCCCGCCTGTTCATCTCATTGCACGCCTTTTCGATCTCGGATATGCGGTCTCCGAGGTTGCTCCCGAGAGCGATGTAGGCGGTCTTCGTTTGGCTTGCGGCCGGGCGGCAACCACATCCTGAGTGAGACCGAGAAGGTGTGGTTCCGCATGCGTGTAACGATGAGCTCTCGTGCGAGGCCCGAGATCGCGGTCGATGCAGGATGGTGGTGAAGAGGGACTGAGTGGACGGGAAGCATCGTGACGATGAGTGGAAGTTGCGCGCCCCAGAGCTGCGCAGGCCCTGTTTTATGTGGCCATGATGCAAAGAGAACCTCATCTCTTCAATATGCAGCCGATCAGATCATACAAGAGGCTCAATGGAAGTTGTTGGGGGGAATCTTCCGAAGCTGAAGCTTACGATATCGATCCTCTTGAGGTCGAGGTTTTTCCGATTATCAGATCAATCTACGACTACCCTGCAAAGTGGGTCACACTATCTTCATGCATCCTACTAGTACTGTATTTCTGCGCTTCTAGAAAGAGGCACAGAAAGACGCCAGGCAAGCATCTGGATGAAGGGTTGCCTCGGCTGGCCATTTAGTAGATGCCGACTATCGAATCAACCATCTCCGCAAATCTGGGGGTAAATTGCAGATGAAATTTCTCCGGTCTCCCGCAGTCAATTCGGCTTTCACGGCGGCTGCTTGTTGCTGATCACATCATGCTGAGCCGCGACATGAGGCTTGTCAGCACTGAGACGTGCGTAAGTATGTGATGTGAAGCTGCGGTCATAATAATAGTCGATATTTCACATGTGCTCACTCGCAATGACACCACCCATCTTACCAAATCTTGGGCCTCGACGAGAACGAATCAACACATGTATGATGACCTGCCAGCAGCATCTTCACCTCATCCTCATTCTCATCCTCGAGACTCTCCAGATTCACGCTGACTAAGCCCGACACCTCGGCATCTTTCCCCAGAACTCCACAGCCGACCATCGCGGCGCTAAGCCCTCTCCGGCCGTAGCGGCTCACGCAAGCCTCGGCTCGTCAGGGTCAACTGACGGCCATGTTTGGAAAATGCATCTGCCTCCGACGCTCCCCTCTCGGCTCATCAGATGCTAAATTCTCATTATTAACCTGCGTCGTCTGCTGCCCTTTCCTCCTCTCTCCTCCCTTTTCTCCATACCACTCCTCTCCTCTTCTTCTTCTTCTTCTCCTCCTTGTCCTATCGCTGCAGCCCGTCTCCTCCTTTGATACCCGAATCCTGTTGCTGCAGAATCACCACCGTCACAATGGCTTCCCCTCGTAAGTTTTCCCTGTCCGTGATTGTCGCGTCCAAAAATCTTGTGTTACGCGACCTCCGAAGCCTGGATCAAACTCGGAGAGATGGCTAACAATGCACAACAGAGCAGATCCGAACGCCCATCACCGATCTTTTCAAGATCAACCACCCCATCCTGCTGGCCGGCATGAACGTCGCCGCCGGCCCCAAGCTGGCCGCGGCCGTCACCAACGCCGGCGGCATGGGCGTCATTGGCGGTGTCGGCTACACCCCCGAGATGCTCAAGGAGCAGATTGCCGAGCTCAAGAGCTACCTCAACGACAAGAACGCCCCCTTTGGCGTCGACCTGCTTATCCCCCAGGTCGGTGGCAGCGCCCGTAAGACCAAGTAAGCCGAGCCCCTCCGCAGAAAGAAGAAGAGTAGTAAATCACATGCTCCTCGCGATGACACACACGCTACCCGAGGCGAACCCGAGAATAATCACAGGCAATATTGAACAAGAAAAGCTGACGTTTTGGGCCTTTTTTCCTTTCCCAGCTACGACTACACCAAGGGCAAGCTCAACGAGCTCACCGACATCATCATCGAGTCCGGCGCCAAGCTGTTCGTCTCCGCCGTCGGCGTGCCGCCCAAGGCCATTGTCGAGAAGCTGCACAAGGCCGGCATCCTGTACATGAACATGATTGGCCACGTCAAGCACGTCCAGAAGTGCATCGACGTCGGCGTCGACATCATCTGCGCCCAGGGCGGCGAGGGCGGCGGCCACACGGGCGACATCCCCACGACGGTCCTCATCCCCGCCGTCGTCGAGATCTGCAGCAAGCACAAGTCGCCCCTGACCGGCGGGCCCGTCCAGGTCATTGCCGCCGGCGGCATCCACAACGGCCAGCTGCTGGCTGCCGCGCTCATGATGGGCGCCAGCGCCGTCTGGGTCGGCACCCGCTTCATCCTGACGGACGAGGCCGGCGCCCCCAAGTCGCACAAGGAGGCCGTCCGCACCGCCGGCCACGATGACAACATCCGCACCATCATCTTCACCGGCCGCCCCATGCGCGTCCGCAACAACGCCTACATCAACGACTGGGAGACCAACCGCCAGCAGGAGATGAAGGAGCTCGCCGCAAAGGGCGTCATCCCCTACGAGGCCGACCTGGACAAGGTCCTCAACGGCGGCGAGAAGCCCAAGATTGAGGGCATCCAGACGAGCGCCAACGACGACGATGACGATGATCCCCTCGAGCAGTTCCGCCCCTTCTTGATGGGCAAGGCCGCTGCCGTCGTCAACGAGCAGAAGCCCGCCAAGGCGGTGGTGGACGAGTTTGTCTCTGATGCCGTTGCCTGGTTGAGGAAGGGCAACAGCATGCTTGTTGGTCCTTCGTCTAAGCTGTAAGAATTTAGTATTATGAGTGCGTCTTTTTCTATTGTTTGGCTTCTTTTTTGGATCATTGAAGCCCGGTTGTTTTGTGTAAGATTTCCATGTCCGTCATGTCATGTAGACTATAGCATATAAATGTTGATATACATGCAACCTATTGAGTACCACGCATCGATCAAGCAGAGTGTCGTGCCTAACGGTGTTACTTGCAATAACCAGGAAAAGGGTTGAAGAATATATCTCATTTATTGCCAACAGAAAAGAATAAGAACGAGGAAAAGGGCAGAGGCAAGTCTCCCGTCTATCCATGCCAGTCACTTTTCACATTACAATTTGCGCCATTCTCATATAAGAATTCCCCTTCCAATCATCTCAGAGTACTCCGTTACCACCCGTGTGAATCCCTCCCAGAAGCATTCCGCCTCCCGTCACCTCTTCCGTCATGCCACTGACCGACAGTGTTACCTTTTGCCATCCAAAACCGCAAGCTGTCGACCCAATGTCCCAAAAGCCGCTACCCGCCAAGACAACACCTGCTGAGCAGTTCTTCTAGTTGTCGAGATACGCCCGGATGGCGCTCTGCAGCTTGCTAGCACCCTCACCAATCACATTGGTCAGGTTTTCCAAATCATCAGCAGCCGTGATTCCAAACTTGCGGACAAAGTCCTTGGCAGCCGACTCGAGGTCGCCATAGTCCTCGACCTCCTCTTCCTCCTCCCGTCCAAAGTAGGCGTTTGAGGAAATGGCCGTGGCTCCCTCGAAGCCCTGGAGTCGCGTCTTGGCTTCGGCCTGAGCATTGGGGTCGTAGGCGCCCTTGCCAAAGTACTCGTCGGAGGAGATGGCCTTTTGAGAGCCAAACTTGCTGCGGGCAAACGATTCAGAGTCGTCTACAGACAATTGTTAGCTTCATGAAACCAAAATCCTGTCAAGGCGCGTCAAAGCACTACTCACCAGCGGCAGTCGCTTTCACGGGTCCCACGGAGCCAAAGCCACCGGCATTCTTCTTGGCCGAAGCAGCAGAAGAAGCAGCGGCCTTGGCACCACCAATCTGGCCGAACCCCAGCCGTCCAATGCCCATTCCCAGCCGCTCCATCTCGGCATTCGACTTTTGCCGTGTGTGAGAGCTGGGTGCCGGGCTGATGGGGGTTGGGGAAATGATGGCGGCGGCAGACGAACTGGCGCTGGCCTTTGCCGCCGGCTCTTCCTCAGCTTCGGGATCATAACCGAGCTTGGCGATCCGCTCAGCCTCCTCCTTGGCCTTCTTCTCTGCCTCGTCAAAGTCGATGAAGTCGCCGGTGACCTTCTTGACGCCCAGCTTCTGCACCTTCTTCGCACCGAGAATGTTGGTCTTCTTGGCACCGCCCGTCGTAGTCGTTTTGCGCAGGGCAGCAGATGTGGTAATTCTGCTGGCCGCAGGCTTCGTCTCGGTGGAGTCGGTCTTGGATAGAGGTGACGCCGCACGGGGCACGTCCTTGTTGCCGGCGTTGAGGAACGGAGAGGGTGTGCGGCCGACGACGGGGGGTGTCGCATTCCGTGATACGGGAGGCGTCGGCTTCTTGATTGTGGGCTTGTCCCAGGATGAGAAGAAATCGTCGTCTGGCTCTCCGGCGGGAGTGAAGCTACCATCTCCCTCGACAGCTTCAATCACGACTTCATCGGGGTATCTAGCATCCGAGGTTAGAGAGGTTGCCATCGGAATGGTTCGGGATCTGCATACTCGAGGGCATCGCGGGCGGCGCGTCGCTTCAGCTCCTCCTTGTACTTGGTGGCTGCGTTGGACTGGTATTTGGTCTTGGGATCCTTGCTGTTCAGGGCCGCGGTGCCTCCGTTCTGCTGGAAGAACTTGGTTGCGGATTCGTTACCGCCCACCTTCATTACTCGGAGTTGATCCCATTGCCACTCTAGATATGGATGTGTTAGACCTGGATCGAGATTCTAGCGCAGAGTGTCATCTTGCTGGGCACATACGATCGAGGTTCGTCGACCGCACAAAGGAAATGTGAACACCGAGGTTACGGTGGTTGGAGGAGCAGTCGAGGCACAGGTAGATGCCAAAGGGAACGGACGTCCAGGTCGGGTTCTTCTGTCCGCAGTCGAAGCAGATCTAGAAAGCCAATGGGCGCGCGTCAGTTTCAGGGATCCAGAGGAGATCATCGCGATCGTGGTTGCGCACCTTGTTCGCTGGCTTCGTCTTCAGCTTCTCAAAGATCTTGAGCGACTGCTGCTTGGACGCGAGGGCGCTCATCGTGGCGGGCGGTGCTGGCGGCTTGACGCGATTCCAACGACACCTTCCGACTTCCCTGGGGATCGCTGTCTCGTGTCTGCCCGGTTATGCAGTGACCGTGTCAAGCGAGGAATGAGAGATCGCGGCACAATCCGAGGTAATGTTGGGATAATTATTAAGGAGACGCTCCTCCAGGCATTGGCGATGCGGTAAAGTGGCATAACGGATCCGCTAGGCCTGTTGTGGCCTGGCGCCGCTCCCCACCTCGAATTCTGCCGCGGGCGGTGTCGCGCAAGAATGCCGAAATATTGCTGGCACGGGAAGCTTCGGTCTGCCTTGTTGAAGATTAACTATTTGTTCGAGGGGTTGAGGAACTGCTTTTGCGATTTCTCTGTTCTCTGCCCGATCTGTTCCATCCTGACGAGCTTCTCGGGAAGATGGAAGCCGTTGAGCCGCCATGATGAAACCAACAACTTCCGTCCCCGCGATCCGAACCCTCACGAAATCCGCACTCGCACGAACCGCCCGGCCTGTCTTTGCGCGCAGCTTTGCGGCTCCGACCGGCCTGGGAACCACGGCGACGCCAAAGGCGAAACGGAGGAGCGTGACGCCGTTCAACGATACCGGCTTTGTGCCATGGAGCGAGCTGTCCGGCGCTGAAAAGGCGGCGAGGGCGACGCAGCAGTCTTACAACTTTGGCATGGTGATTGTCGGCCTCGTCTGTACGGTACGTCTGAAGGTGGTGGATTGGATCAGTATGTGGCTGCAGGGCTGATTGTTTGATGAATAGGGAGGCGTTGCGTACTTTTTGTGGACTGACGTCTTCTCTCCCGAGAGCAAGACGAATCAGTTCAACAGAGCTGTCAACATGATCAAGAAGGACTACAGATGCCTCGAGCTTCTTGGTGATGCCAACAAGATACAGGCCCATGGAGACGAGACGTTTAACAAGTGGAGGAGGGCACGACCCATCACGTAGGCGATTTCGAGTATACCCTAACCGGCACGACGTTCCACTTACCCGGCTTCCACAGGTCTACTGAAACGATGGACGCTCAGGGCAACCAGCATCTCAAGATGCACTTCTACGTAAGTCTTTCCGAGCCGTGGCCTTGGCATATACATACTTATATTTCTCAGGTTGAGGGTCCATTGGCGAACGGAGTGGTGCAATGCCACATGGTCAAGCATCCCGGTCAGAGCGATTACGAGTACAAATACCTGTTTGTGGACGTAAAGGGCCACGAGAGGATTTACCTGGAGAATGCAGACACGGCCGCCGCACGGTCAGGGAAGAAGCCTGTGACCTTTTTCGGCGTGAAATGGGGATGATGGGTGTTCTGGGCTGTACTTGGTAGCCTCTTATGCGACGTTTTCGCGAATTGGTGGATGAAGTGGTGGAAGACGGTCGAACATATCGTTACGCCGGTAAAAGATGATTGATGCATACAATCGGAAGATGAAGCAGCGTTTTCCCGTCGTATTGAGCAACTGACTTATGCTGTCTGAAGAAAAAAAAGGGGAGCAAACAGAACTTGGTGGCAACTGGGCAGCTGACACAGCTGCTGCCGTCCTTACAGATAGCTCACGCATTAACGATGAGTTGGTGAAAGTCAACTTACACAGAATCGTACTTCAACACTACAAGCTGTATTGGCTCTATTTGTATCTTTTGATGGTAGTCAAAGCATATAGACCAAATACGAAGCCGACCGCGGATGTAAAGCAATGTGGCGGACCACAAAGTTCACAGGAACAAGGGCAAGAATCGTGTGATCATGGACACTCTGTATATCAAGTCATGTCAAAGACGAATTTGGTCAATACGCTCATGATGATACGCTCGGCATCGTGCCCACTTGGAGTGTTGCTCAACCCCATCTCACCAAATCAACCCAAGACTATGACTTACAAGGCATCGTAGCATCGACCAAACCCCACCAAAAGGATCAGTGACGAATCACGCAGAACCAGCAAAGGATCGCGTGCGATGGCGCTGCGCCAGCCGAGCCGTGAAATAAGCTGCCAAAAGTGTGACAAGCCATCACGGCGTTGAACCCGTACCACAGGTATTTATAATCGAGCTCCTTCGCGCATCTGCTTAAAGGCCACTGCTGTCTTACACCCTCAAAACTCATCTTGGTCGGATAACGCCTGTCTTCAACCTTTTGTATAGTCTGTTCATATCTTTCATTTGCCTTGATTATCTTGTCTTTAGCGATCTTGATGAGCTCCTCAACGCCCCAGGCGGGGTTAACAAATGCCGCCTCCGTCTCCGCCTCAGACGGCGTCATCTCCTGGACTACTTCTAATGGCAAAGACGAAGCAAAATACCAAAACATAGTCTTTGTCCTCGATCTCTCAAAATCTCGCAGCCCCAAACCGGGCTACATAATAGCGCTCCTGGTGGAAGACGCCCAGAATACAAAGAATCCCTTCCGGCTGCTCCTCCTGTCAGCGGATGCCGTCCCCAATGACCTCCGGCCGTACCACCTCAGAGGCCTGCCTGACCACCTACGACCTGTAAAGGGGAAACAAGACGTTGACATCGTCGTGTCGACAAAATCAGGTGTTGGTTTGTCGCTGAAATTCTGGGAGGATGTGCTGCGGCCTCTTTGGGATGTGATTGAGGAACACTCTCCTGAAGAACCAAGCCGAGAATCACCAAACATCCTCATCACTCAAAATGCCGACAGTGTCCGGAATTTTGCGCGAAGAATCGGCGGCTCTGATGGCAGCAATCAATTCAGGACAATTGTCCTCTTGAGCGGAGACGGCGGCATCGTAGATCTCATCAACAGCGTCCCCCACGACGCCTCGTCCTCCTCGTCTGAGCAGCGACAACTACTCCTAGCTCTTCTCCCCCTGGGCACAGGCAACGCCCTCTTCCACTCCCTCCACAAGCCCCTCTGGGCATCCGAGGGCGGCAGCAAGACGGAAGATGCGTTGCCCCTGGTGCTGGGTCTCAGAACGCTCTTCAACGGCGTGTCCGCAAACCTGCCTCTCTTCCGCGCATCCTTCTCCCCCGGATCCCGCATCGTAAAGTTCACCCCTACGACCACAGAGGAATCCCTAGCAAACGACGACAACGCCAAGGACGACAATGACGCCAGCAAAGCCCTGCACCTCACCAAACAGGAAACCCAAGTCTCGCATCTCTTCGGCGCAGTGGTCGCAAGCTACGGCTTCCACTCCAGCATCGTCTACGAGAGCGACACCCCCGAGTACCGCGTCCACGGCGACAAGCGCTTCGGCATGGTCGCCCAAGAGCTCCTCCGCGAATCCCACCCTTACAGCGCACAGGTCTCAGTTCGCTACCCCTCTGCTGCGAAATGGGAGAGGTTCGACGGCGTCGAGCACGCGTATGTCCTCGTGACGCCGCTCTCCAACTTGGAGCGCACGTTTACGATTTCGCCCGCGAGCAAGCCGTTGGATGGCAAGCTCCGGCTGGTGCACTTTGGCCCCGTGGGAGGGGAGAGGACGCTGGAGTTGATGATGAAGGCGTATGATGGGGGGAAGCATGTTGGTGCCAAGTGGGATGATGGGCACGAGCTGCGGTACGAGGAGGTGGATGAGTTGAGGGTCACAGTCTTTGAAGACGACGAGAGGTGGCGCAAGGTTTGTATAGATGGGACGATTGTGGACATTCCAAAGGGGGGGGAGTTGGCTGTTCGAAAGGAGGAGGAGAGCGGATTCAAGATTCTAGTTGATCAACGGGTGCTGCCGAGCAAGTTGGAGTAATACGTTCGGAGATTGATAGAGATTTTGGAATACAGCAGGTTCAGTTAGCCGTTGGAATAGATGAGGGTATATGGTTTGATATGCAGTTCCCCCCCTTTTCACCATGTCTTCACAGACCTTTTATAGACCTTCTAACAAGTTCTTGACCCTCTTCTCGACAATGCGTGAGAATCCTTCCACGCCATCCTTGAGCTCAGTCAATGCTCCCCCTTTCAGCCGATAGACGATTCTTCTCCGCTTCGCTTCCTCCTCCTCGTCGTCATCTTCGTCGTCGTCATCGCCGTCATCCTCTACTTGTCCTTCAATGGCCCCTCGCATGAACCACCTGTCGTGACTCACAAGCACCACGGCGCCCTCCCATTCGTTCAGTGCCTCCCGTAGAGCCGTCACCGTCTCATAGTCGAGATGCGTGGTGACTTCATCGAGGATCAGACACTGCGGATGTTTCCAGAACAGCCTCGCCAGCTGGCACCGCACCAGTTGACCACCAGAAAGCTTGGAAATGGGAACGTCCGATGCGAGCCGGCCAGGCAGTCCCAGGGTCCCCAATAAACCACGTATCTCACCTTCATTCAGTGCCCCCTCCACCTCCTTTGTAAACAGGGCCAGTGAAGTAATGCCCTGCTCGGAACGGCCAATGTTCTTGAGCTCTTCTACTGCATGCTGCGAGTAGTATCCCATCCTTAGACGAGGATGCGTCGTCAGAGTACCAGATGTCGGCGCGGACTCTCCGACGAGCAGCTTGATGAGCGTCGATTTGCCCGCCCCGTTCAAACCCAGAATGCCGATCCGGTCGCCCATCCCAACAGTAAGCGTAACATCCTGCAGAATCAGGGGCGCCTTGGGAGAGTACCGATACGAAGCCTTCTCCAGTGAAATGAGCGACCCTGGAAACCTCAGCTCAGGCGGTTCTGGCAGTGAAATCACAACGGGTCTCTGCTCGGGCGGAATATCAATTCCCTCGCGACTCGTCAGGAAAAAGCCCACGAGATCCCGATTCAGCTTGAAGCGGGTGCCCTTGGCGCTGACCTGCATGCCCCAGCGGTCGTCGAGCTTCTTTTGCCGGGACTTGGCTTGTCGGATCTTATTCTGGTCGTCATTTGCCTTGCCGGCTTTGAGGTTCTGAGCTATAGTCTTTTCGATGTGAGCTCTTTGTTTGTCTTGGGCTTCTTTCATCTTGGTGAGCCATTGACGACGTTCGGATTGGGAGCGTTCGTAGGTCTGGATGTCGCCGTGGAAGTACGTGAGCTGCTTGTCCTTGAGAATGATGAGATCAGTGCAGAGGGAGATAAAGTCGCGGTCGTGAGAGACGAGGATCAGTGTAGGGGGCTTCTCTTTGTCGGCTAACGAGAGGAGATATCGCTGCAGCCAGACGATTCCCAGTAAATCTAGAAAGTTGGTCGGTTCGTCGAGGATCATGATATCAGCCTCTTGAAGCAGAGCCGAGGCCAGTGCAGTCCGCATGTGCCAGCCACCGGAGAGGCTGGACAGAGGCTTCTCCCAGTATGCCTCTGTAAAACCAAGACCTGTGAGAATGTTCCGAGCTTGTATTTCGATCTGAGCGAGCCGTGACGGTTCGATCTGGCTTTGCAGATCTGCGAGCATGTCGGCTGCCTCCTGGGTCTCTGCTTGGAGGGCTTCGGCGGAGACTTCATCGTCTGGTTGATCTAGTCTGTATACAAATTGCCATCAGAATCTCGAGATGGGTGAGCGACTATTATTCTTGTCAAACTTACAGGGCTTGCGAATCTGCAACAATCTTTTCAAAGGCCACCAGAGCTTTCCTGGCCTGAAGTCCCCGGGCACCGCTTCGAAGTCTGGCCTCTTTGTCGACGAGAAAGAGGCGTTGCTGAAGCTTTCCGTGCTTCAGGTTTCTCAGAGCTCGAACAGGGGCGTAGGGATCCGAAGCGTTGACAGCTTCTGAGAGAACTAGGATCTGTCAGCAAGACCCTTTCAGCAGAGGCGAGTTGAAGCGATTTACCTTTGATTTCCTGCTCAACCACGCTCCGTGCCGTGGCACGCTCAATGACCTCCTGCAGTACACTGCCTTTGCCACTGCTCTCCTCTGTCGTCCTATCGTCCTCGGACTCGGTAAGCTTCGTCTGCTGCAGCAGCGCAATCCTAGAGTCTTCTGGGATTCCTGGGATGAGCTTCTGCGCGATAGCCTTGAGCAGCGCTACATTCAAAGTCGGATTCACACCCAGTCAGTCTCGCCGCAATCCAATCGGAAAAGGGAAAAAAATCAAAAAAAAAGTGTAACAATGCTCTTCTCGACAGTCATGTGCAGGGGTCGCGGCTCCTTACTCGACTTTCCCGTGCCATTCCGCCCAACAAGGGCATACCGCTGACCCTCCTTCAGCCGCAGTTTGGCATTCGAAAGAATCTCCAAGCCATCTGATTTCGCTTTGCCTTTTGATTTGCTAGATGACTTTTCGGATTTGGACGCCTTCTCGCCAGAAGTGACGACGATGTTGAGGCCATCAATGTCGAGCTATGTTCCTCAACTCTTTGTTTCAGCCATTGTGGAAATAGAGGATCGTAGGAATAATTGAGGGTTGGACTTGACGAACTTCGCGGTAGTTGGAGCTATCAATGTTGAAACGAGTCTGCTTTGCCGTGCAGAGAATCGTGGCCACGGACTCGGCTGCCATTGAAGTCATTCTGGCGATGAGAGTTGGAACGATTCGTGATGGGGACAAGGCGCTGGGCGAATGTGATGTGAAAAGAGACCGATTGGGTGGTGATGATAATGATGCCACTAAGCCAATACGGTTCGAGTTATATCTGCAAGAGCTTGAACCCAAAGGGGGCATCAACTGGCCCTTTATGCCAGACAGTCTTAGCCTTGCAAAGGTGGAAGAAGAATCCCAATCTCGAGATGATGTAACCGAAAAGCCTCCCACGGCAAGTTCCCAGATCCAGAATGCCCCTCATTCCAGGTACACTTGACTCTCTCTCCAGCAGCCAGGCACTGGCTCTCAAAGTGAGGCCCCATCTGGCCAGCTCAGATCCAAGGCGCCACTGCAAGTCATTGAACCAACCAAACCGAATTGCACTGTCAATTCAGAGCAATGGTTGTGTCGGCCAGTGACTCACACTAGCCATGCAAGAACGTTCTAGTGCCGCTGTTCCGAAGCCACAGAGCGGGAGAGGCTGCGACAGCCTTTGGTCGAACGTTCTTATATGGATGACTCTGCAATGACTCCTCGCCGCTCAAGATGCAAGACCTGCAGCATGATAAACTCGCCTTTCCTCTCAATGAAGAATGCCCAAAGCCATGCAGCACCTACCTGCAGAGGTACAGTGAGATATGTACCCGAACCCACCTCTCCCTCCCCCTGATACGGAGAGCTTGCCACGCCACCACCCACCACCACACACCTTCCCTCCCGACTCTGCACCCAGTACCACAGCAAGTTCGAAGCAAGCCTTCCTTCCCATCGACGCTGCCGGCGGGCTTGTGCTCGTAGGTCGAAGTGACCTTCCAGCAAATTCAAAAGACACCTTGAAGCAAGCCTCTCGACTAGCCCTCCATGTACCTTCTACCCCCCCCTCCCCCTCTGGCCCCAAGCACACAACCGCCTCCCATCTGCACATCTCCCCCTCGCACCTCTCTCTCCCCACCTGTCCTCATAGCACAGCACAGTGCATCCTCCCCACGCAGGCGAACAAGTCCCATACTGTGCCTCCACGCCCTGCATCTTCCCTAATCAGCAAGTGACAACCAATCAATACGCAAGTAAAACACCCAAGACAAGCAAAACCAGAAAAAGAAGAATGCGGAGGTGGCTGTGTGAGCTGCATCTCACATCTCCAAAAATCTGCACAGCTTCCCCTGCGTTCGGCGTGGCGGTTGGTGTTTTCGTGTTCCCACCCTGGTCGCTGGCTCGCCCCCTATTTTTTTCTTCCCCACGATCTTCGCGCGCGCCCGGATCTGCTGCAGCCACATCTGCATCTGTGCGTGCGCGCTCGTGGGAATACGAAGGGACATGGATCGTCTTCAGTATGATATCATATCGAGTTCTCTATTTCGACGACAGATCTCGGCGACATGTGAGGCACAGAGATGACGACACATTGGGTGCTCTATTAGGTAGGTGACTAGTCAGTCAGAACTGGTGCTTCACAACAAAACCACGAGCGAAACAGACAATAAAGGGGACTGCATAGATGGAATACAAAGGAAATACTCTCCTTGGGAGAAAAAAACTACTACTACCAGACCCAAGTAAATAAAGAGCAGAGTATATGAGCAATAGGGGTATGGGCATTTCAAGCAACTCTCACCAGCGCAGTCACACATATTTCGAAAGCCTTGTTTCCTCTGTTCACCAGACTATATTAACCCTCCTGAACACAATACCACAAAAAAATGTCGCAACTCCAGAAAAGTGTAAATGGAGATTGCAACAACTATCGAAGGGGAATCATCGCACTTTTGAAAACAAGATTAGAAAAACCACAAGATGCATTATGACAAGAAAATAAAAAAGGAGATGAACCCGAGGAAGATGCCCCCTGAAAAAAAGACAAACCACAAAATTCTCCCCTTTCTCCAGAACGCGGAAATAGAAAAAAGACAGCCCACCCCGTATGTTTGACGCTATTCGTAAGACTCGTAACCTCGTGGCTGCGCTGAGCTCAGCAAGGGGACTTTTGACGGTCCCTTTGGCTACCCGACGTATTGATACCACGTCTCTACTCTTGTCACGAAACATTTACAGAAGAGCAATGACACCAGCGGCGAGCAGCAGCAGGGCGCTGGCACTGGTGGTGGCAGCACCGCTGATGGTGGAAGGCTGGGGAGGCTGAGGAGCGCCGGTGCCGACGGAGGCAACAGGGGGGATGGGCGTGTTGCTCTGGTGAGGCTTGCTGGGGACGGCAGCAGTGATGGTGCTGTTGTGGCCGGCCCAGGCGCTGGTGAAGCCGGCGCTGGTGGCGGGAGCAGCCGTCGTCTCCTCGACCTCGGTGGTGGTAGCAGCCTCCGTGGTGGTGGGAGCAGCGGTCGTCGTAGGAGCAGCCGTGGTGGTGGGAGCCTCCGTGGTGCTGGTCGTGGTGGCGGCAGCAGTCGTGGTGACGGCAGTCGTGCTGGTGCTGGTCGGGGCGCTCGAGGTGCTGGTCGAGGTGGGAGTGGCGCTCTCGAGGCCACCGACTACACTATAAGCAGCGGCGCAAGCAGCGAGGTCCATGTTCTCCGGGCAGCACCAGGTCTTGAGGGCGTGGTCGTGGGTGCAGTAGTAGCCGGCGTCGCAGGAGTCTAACAGAGCAAGCACTGGTCAGTCATCGTACATGGCACAACATCGCGCGTCCCGGGGCTTCACATACTGCCAGAGCCGTCAGCGCAGCAGTTCTGGTTCGCGCCAGGGTTGTAGCAGTGCGTCTCCTTGCCGCTGGAAGGGCACTCGGCATAGCCGCTACCGCAGGCCTCGGAGCAGGTGCTGCCGTCGTTGCACTGGGACAGCTCGGGCTGGTAGCCGTTGGTGTTGCGGCGCGCGAGGCTCTGGCCCAGGACGGGCATCATGGCCAGGCGGTAGGGCTTGGGCTCGGCGGCGACATGGGCGGCGCAGGCCAGGAGGGCAACAGAGGCGGTGGTCTTGAAGAGCATCTTGACGGATTTTGTTTTGTCGCGTTGTGCGTCTGTGTGTTGATTATTATCGCGAGAGTGCGTGCGAGGTGCGGAAAAGGAGGGCAAGAGCTGCGCAAAGGCAAGGCGATCTCGATAAAGAGCGGAACAAGTATTGAAGAATACTCTTGGGAATTACGATGGTTCAAGGAGCGTTGAGGGAAGAAGCTGCAAGAGACGACGCGAAGGACGGGGACGGGAAGAGAAGAGAAGAAAAAGCTTTTCGAGATGCGGAGGGAAGCGAGAGACAAACAAGGGCAGCAGGGGGGGATCCCTGGGCGGCGCAAACAGGCCAATTGCCGCCAAGCTGCTGGCCAGGGGACCGCGGTCAGGTCGCATCTGTTAGGCACGGGGAGCGGTCTGTGCTGCCTGGGCCTAGCGGGCTCGACATGGAGCCCCCCCGGCGACTCCTTTTCTGCTTGTCTGGCTCTCTAATCGCTCATTTCCCAGGGGGAGAAGCCAAGCAAAGGAATAGGTAAGGTAGGCTTAGGAACAAGCACAAAAGGCGACGCTGCAGACACGGGCAAAGACGCAGACGAAACGAGACGAAACGAGGCAAGGCTACCTGAGGCATTGTATTGTGATTTCGTCTACTATTTTCATCCTCGGTTACTGCGATTCTCGACCTGCTCGACCTGCATACTAAGGAGTTGATACCTTGTGCTCTCCGCCACGGAAGACCGCAGAAAAAGAGGGCATCACCAACTCTCGACTCGTCCGCACTTACTCGCGCCTCAATCCGCCCGTCGCCGCTCAGCTCCTCCAGCCCCGTCACCAACACCCTTGTAGTACATAAATCAACAGACCCAAGGCTAAAAAGGTCCAGCAGAACCCCTGCCCACCCATGCCCGAATCTGCAAGGTCCCAGGCACAAGAGTCAAGCCACCCCAAGCCGCCTCAACCCGCTCCAGACTCAGCAAGCGCCAGCGCAAATGGACGCAACGGATTGGTCTGCTTGGCCCTTGGCTGCTAATTTCCCGCCCTGGCCTTGTGAGACTCCACCTCTGGATGGGCTCAAGACGGGCTGACTGACTCTCTCACTCACTCACTCACTCTCTCTCTCTCTCTCTCTCACCCTCTGTCTCTGTCTTGCTCGACTCTCAAGCTCCTCTTTGTGGGCTTCTCTCTCTGGAGCAAGCGGATGCAGTAGTACTGGAAAGGGGGCGCTCTCTGGCGCGTGCGTTGCTCGACTTGTCGGTGACGAAAGGCCTCTTTGCTTCTTCGAGTGCTTCTCGCAGCCGTCGAGATCGCGGTGATGAGACACCCTCGAGGGTTGCTTAAGCGACATCGGTCATTTTGCGGAGAACTGCCGAGTCGGGGCATTCGCCTTTCTCTTTGCTCATTCTGCTTGTCCAAGCATCACCTCGCACAATCCAGGGCAAACGACATTGGATCCCGGTGTCTCATTTATCCGGAGCCCATCGTCCGCGCTGCTTGCCCGTTTCCATCGTCCATTGTCATGGCGCCCGGCTCGTGGTTTCACCAGCGTCAACGGGGGAGCCGCCCGTGAACCTAAACGCCTCATCCATGTCATGCACGACGAGCAGAGGAAAAATAAGGTTGTTTGCTCCCACGAGGTATGTAATAGTATTACTCGTAGTAGCGATTGTGAGGAAAAGAATCATCTCTCGTGGCCGCTGCCGAAAGACTCGTCATACGTCTTGCAGGGCTGTCGTCCGGTGAAGATTCCAGATCAGCGCCACATCCGACATTACATTGCCGCATCTCGCTCTCATCACACCAAACTCATGCTTGCTTCCCATCCGCTTCACGTGTTGTCTCACTATGCCCAATACATACATTACCCCAGTCAGTCAATCTCTGACAAAGCACGCGTGCCCAGACCAGGGAGAGAGAAAAGAAGAAGCTCGTTTGAGAAGTCTGAAGGGAATACATATGGTACAAACTATGAAGGGAGCCTATATTCGCATGTCACATGCGATATAGATGAGCCTTTAATACCCTATACTTAGCCTTGAGGCACAAGAAGCAGCGTTACATGACAGACGGCGCATTCCTCATCTCACGGACACGTGGTCATCCATCGGGTTGCTATCCCAAAGCACGGAGGAACCAACGTGGTGTTTGGAATGTGATATGGGAGGACACGCCTTGAAGCACCAACTGCTACGTCACTTAATCCTCTGCTTGTACTTGTAAGCTTCTTTGCTACAGCACTCGCAGCACAGGGCTGACGGTTTGCGCCATCAAAGTCTCAGTTATCGATCTCGGCCATTGTAAGAGATCGGCCAAAGCATCCATGATACCGAGCTGATACATATTTCAATCCTTCTTTTTCCAGCCTCTCACCGTCAACTCGAGTCACGCCTGTCGCATGCCTCACAATCCTACATCATCATTACGGCATCTGCTCAGAAACAGCGATTGAGATGCTAGTCCGCAGATGCTGATCCTGTTGAGCCATACTAATACAGCCTCAACCGAATCCCTTCTACTGCGCTGTTTGCACAAAAGTAGCAGTATCAAGACCTCCTCATCTAGAGATGTCTTCGAATCATGCAAGTTTTGATTGCTTTGAGGGGGCACAACCATACCTGGTGTTCACCAAAGCTTTAAGCAGTTACTACATTTCCAGCAAGAGGCCTAGGCAGGGCACTATCAGACATGTCCCGTCTTTGACCCCTAACAAGAGGACAGCTGCCTTCAGAAGCTTGTGGCAAACAATGGACAAGTTCAATAATTTTAGACACAGATAACAATATCAACGGAACCTACATTTGCTTCGTTAGCATCCCTCTCTACAGGCCTGAAAACACAAAGCCAATCTATCCAATGCCAGTCATCTCGCCGCTGTTACTGCCGTTATATCAACTCCGAAATGTTTGCAATATGACACACGATCTTGCCTCAAATTCCGTCGTGAGAGGCGTCTGGGCTTCGACGGATCCTCTTTCTCGAATGTCGATTCAGATCCTCTCCAATAAAAATGTCGCCACGCCCTATACGGTTGAGAATACTACCAAGTTCGGCCTCTACGCTGTGGAGACGACGCTGGTTGAGGCGGACGAGATCGCTGGTCGACCGGACGTCCTCCTCGAGATAGCTTACTCGTTCCGCCAAGGAATCGATCAGGCGTGTAAAGTCGGCATTTTGGCTTTGTATTTGCCCCGTCAGAAAGTCGAGTCGCCTCGAAAGGTCGGAACGCAGTCCCTCATTCAAGGCTTGGAGGTGCAACGCCCGAGTTTCTGCAAGCGCTCGCATGGAGTCGACCTGACCCGTCAGCGATCGGAGACGGGTATCGGACCTGGCTAGCACAACGTCAAACCGAGCTCGTTGAGCGTCGACTTCATCGGTCAATGTCCGGTGCCGTTGTGACTGAATGTCCGTACGGCTCTCTATCAAGGATCGCAGACGAGCATCCGTGGAAGCGCGGGACGATTCCATTTGCTCAGCCACGGTGTCAATGCGCCGACTCAGTTCCTCGAACCGGTCGAGGCCTGTTTGGTGTTGGTCGGCGTGGAAACGAGGCGAATTGGCTTGGCTATCGAGGCGAGGACGCTGTCTCGGGCCTGGTTCTGGGTTACCGTTTGTAATGCCATACGGAGAAGGAAGGATGACAATGAAGGTCGATAGCACTTACGCGATGCAGTGGGATGCGAAGCAGGACGTTTCCGCGACGAGGCATAGTCGGGCGGGTTAGCATCTGGAAACTGGGTTGGTGTAGTAGGGAAACCGCCTTTCACATTGTAAAGTGTCGAGATCATGAGGCAGGACAGAATTGAATGCATGCCGTTGGCATCCTCGAAGGCTTTGCACATGTCCTCCAGCACGGTCAAGTTCGTCTTGGTGGTGGAAGCCGTAGCGGCCGTCGCCAGATAAAGTGGGAGATCCAATGTTGGGAGGTTGGCCAAGTTCGAGAAGAACTTCCAAGTTGATGGTCTCGTTGGAATCGGGGTACACGCCGTCCAGTTTCTTGGTTGGGGAGACGAAGGTCGGGGGTGACTTGAAGTCGAAATGCAGGACATGAGTGTGGCCTCCTTGGACAGGGTCGGAAATCGGGTGCAGCGAAAGATGCTGAACCTTGTCCGAGAAGATTAAGATAAAGATGGCTTTCTCGAGATTGTTAATGGTCGAAGAGGACCTTGTCCGTAATCTAAACGCACCGCTTCTGCTTGTTGGGTGCCATTGAACGTCGAGGAGGACTCTCTTGGGACAGCCAGGCAAGTTGAATTGGACCTTCGCCGCGCGAATGTCAGGATCAGCCCTATTGAGCTGGACTTGATGTGGACTGGGCTGAGAGTCGCTGGAGATAGGTGATATGGTATGTGGCGGTCCTCGTCTATCACGCTGCTCACGTTGGTGAGCTGAGGGTGGCTGACTGGCTCCATGGCTGTCGGTTTGACATGATGCACTGGGTAATGGCAAAGAGGAGAGCTTTGAATCAGATATCCTCGAGCGGCCTTGCTCAAAGCTTGAAGGATAATGTTCTCATCACTTGGCTTCATAATTTGTCACTGTTTCTCCGTAGAACAACGACCTTACTCTTGAGATCAGTGTGTTGAGAACAGTGGATCGGATGGAGTTCAACGCACGCGTCACCTGTAGGCCAACATCCCAAAACAGGCTCAATGTATTCCACAATGAAAATGAAACAACGCAATAAGCAGTGTGTCAACTAGCAGATGCTTCAAGTGCCCCGAAGTAGAAGTTTAGCATCACTCGTGCGCAGTCATGGGCCATTCAGTCTTGGCATCACAACAAGAAGAAGACCTTGTGAATGTGCTGCTTGTGATGTGCGTGAAGAAGCCGTTCTCTCATCAAGATCTCACTTGTACCATCGCCATCCGCATCAAATTTTCATCTGCAAGTCAGTCAACAAGCCAAGATTCTAGGTATCAAGCCACTTTATTGCATTAATGATACAATCCTAATCTTACACCTTTCTCCTTCGCCCATGGCTCTGAGACGTCCCATATTATTACATTTGCTCCCACAACATAACAAGCCTCCAAGCGTTAACAGCCGGGGCTCTGTGATAAGAAAACCTTCCAAAGACAGATTAACAGAACAGAACTCGGATCCTTTGAGCTTCGGGCGGCCTGTATAGACACCACCCCAGTCCCCTGCCAAGGCCCGTCAAGCCTTCTCACAGACGGCTTCGGACTTGCAGGCGACTCTCATCCCTTTGCCCCGCGAGGATCGGCGTCAGTGGTATCCTACTCGCCCTCTTCGCCTCCCAGCTTGGCGATCCATTTGTTCATGTGCGAGTACTTCTCTTCAAACGTGCGCTGCAGCCTCTCGCCGGCCGCCCACATCGGATCGCCCTTCTTCCAGTACGTAAAGCAGTTTTCAAAAATCTGCCGCACGTCGCCAAGGAACTGTTCCTCGGTCGCGTACTCCTTCTGATCCATCTTCATCTTCACTGTGCTGAGGTCCATTGGTCTCTTGACCTTTTCAAAGTAGTCCGGCACGCCGTCTTCCGCGGGGTCGACTGGCGATCGAAAAGGGCCAACGAGCCGCGTCCAGAAGCCTATGTTGAGTCAGTTGACTGATGTACAGGGGATAAAGGCAAAGAGCATCGGGGAGCTTACCGGGCCCAGAGAGCATCCTGTTCAGCAGATCGGCACAAAAGTCTAGCTTCTGCTGAGTTGAAAAGGTCCTACCCTCCAACATGGCTGCGCTCGAGCGTCGCTTCTGTGGTTTGAATGGCGGGGAAGAGCCAGGCTTGCGGTGCGACTTGCGGGCCGAGCTCGGTTCGCTTGCAAAGCCAATGGATCGTCTATTCTTCTTTGCGCCCAGGGCTTCTTCGTCAGGCTGCTCGTCTAGGTAATGGACATTCTTCCTTGGCCCTGCCGAAAGAGAGTCAGGAGTCGACCTGATAGCACTTGAAGGGAGCCCAGGGGCGGCGGCCCCAGTGACAGTTCCAGGTGCAGTAGGAGCCGGAGCTGGGAGTATAGTCGTCTCAAAAGAGCTCATCGTCACCACGAGTTCGCTGAGCACCTCCTGCGGTAGAGACTTGGCAAACTCCGCCCGTGCGTCTGAAGACCTCATGTACTCAGCAGCCCAAGACAGCAAGAGGACTCTAATAGACGATCCCTCGGGCGTGTCTCGCCAGACCTGGATGAGAAGCGGCGTCGCTGGGATCCGGCCCGTGGTTCGTCGGCACTCCACCATGGCCTCTAGTGTATGCTCGCATAGCCCCTTGATGCCGAGTTTGTGACCCAGGTTCCAGAGACCAACCAGGCATTCGTAGGAAGTGACGCTGGAGTTTTCGCCATTGATCTTGCCGGTGTAAAGGAAGCTTTGTACGAGGCCAAATACTTCGGTCGTGCTATCTGGGAGTTTCACAATATGCTCCAGAGCCTTTTCTGTGACATTTTCCTCGAAATACTTGCGGTAGAATTCGGAGCGGTCACAGAGGAAGTCCTTCTGGAGGCCAAAGGGCTCCTCATCGGGCCCTACTAGGACGATGACGAAGATGGGATGCGGTTGACTTGACAGATTGTGTTAGCACCTTGAAGATGGTGTTGGGTTTGTCGTGTATCAACCTACGCCCATGAGAATGGTTTCCTCTCTTTCTTCTCCGATGCGGTTCCGTTTGCGGCGCCGTTTGTCGCGGCATTGGGAGTGCCTTCTGGGGCGGCGACGTCTTGAGAGGGGGCTTCAGAAGTCATTGTGAATTATTGCCTGGATGAAGGTCTGTCAGCACTTGACCGTGTCTCAAAGGAGTGATCAGATTGGATGGCATGATGTGCAATTGGCCAGGAGTGGCTGGTACATGGAGATGCAAACGGGCGAATCATCTCTCATGAATGACGGGATTGATCATGCCATTGACGATGCTGCCATGTCAAAGCGATGAGAGTATCCCAAATATATGAGTTTCCTCAGGCTTTTAAGTGCGACAGGGTCTGTAGCCAGAGAACAGATGAAAGACCAGGATAATGTGACGATTGGCAAACTCACCCGTCAAAAGCAATCTCGTAAGAGGTTCTTTCTTTCTTATCGATTCCGGACCTCTGAATTGCGCGGCAATTGATGCAGAAGAACTCAAACGACACGCAGATTCAATCTTGCATGTCGGAAGAAGAAGAATTGATTCAGTGGAGGTGCAATTTGTCGTTCAAAGTTTGACAGTCGTGAGTCTTGGCTTTTTCCGGCGGACTGAGGAAATTGGCAGGTTCAGACGACGAGGCGACTTTCCCGAGCTGAAGCATCAGCTTTGTGGCGCGTTTGTGGCTTGATGTTGTGTGTTCTGGCTTATGTAAGAGCTGTATTAGGAGGGAGCAACTACTTACCCTGTATATCTGTATCTCGTTTTCATGGAGGTCCAAAACGTCATCTTACTCCGAGGCTGAAATTGCTGTCTATCCAGTATTTTCAAAGAATTATCTGATCAAGAGTGAGTCCTGGGGTAGATTTAAATTGACTTGTAAAAATCGGGGCTGATGTTTTGTACAATTTGCCGTCAAACGTTGCGCCAGTCTTGATGGTGATAAGTCGCCGTCCCTCACAACACTCCAGTTCAAACCCTGCTGTGCCCCCAACTCATGTTTATATCCCATCCCACAACAATGTCATGCTCACAGAGCAAAAAAATGCACTCAACTCTCTGTTATTTGCTGATTCACAATTGGGTTTTGTCAGTATGTATGACACTCGTTCAACTGATCATGTCATGTCACCCCTGAACTTGAAGATCATAGGAACTTTACGATATCATGATCACTTTCAAGCTTGATGGGCAAGTGAGTGATACAACAGATATCTCATCAAGCTCTCTTGAACAGACTCATGTTGCCCTTCCAGAACACACAGCCTAACAAACCCATCATGTAGAAAGAAGCCCAAAGAATCATGATTCATACCCACCCATGAAAGCCAAAGTGAAACTCAAGAGAACCAAAACATCCTACATTCAGAACATAGAACCGACTCGGTACTCAGAAACAGCTCCCAAGCTCTCATAAGCTCCACCATTCCGCGCCATCTGCCAGTCCGACTGCCACTCCACCTAACCGCCAAACCCCTGGCCTGCCTACAGCTGCCACCACCCGCCAGCCAGCCCCAAACCACGGCACAAGATATATATACCAAAAGTCCAGAACTGTTCACCGGAAGGCGGACAGCTGGCCGGTAAGTATAGCGGTATATCGTAATCTTCGATCCGAGGCTGGTGGCCGGTGAAGGACGTTGATTCGACAACCGCTGCTGTCCGTCTTTTTGCTCTTGTTGGCATGGTATTTCCCCCTTCTATTCCACCACCTTCCTTTACTATTGCATAGTACCTTTACTATTGCATAGTACCTTTACTATTGCATAGTACCTTTACTATTGCATAGTAAAGGTTCATTTTATCTACTTTCGATGGAAACGATCCATGATTTGCGAATCACCATTCCAACCTTGCAGACTCTAGTGTGATGGCAATCTGTCATATAATCAGTGCTGATATCTAAGCTCATAATGGAAGCACCTGATTCTCGCCTTATGAGAATTCTCGCCGCGGCCTGATTCGTTCTGCTCGGTCATCATGAGAAGGCCGTGGCAAGCAGAATCTTCTCCATGATTCAACATATGACAGATGTATGTATGCCTGGCTTAACCGGCTCATCTGCGCCGTCATCTCGCTTACCATGTTCAGCTTGGGCATGCGTGTTGCTGTTGCCTAGGAACTTCATGCTCCTCATATCCTACGGCGGGAATAGGGGCGACGTGGGCGTCCCGGCCGTCTTGCGTAAGATGTAATCCGAGTCGGGCATTGAATTGCTCGAGCATGTGAAGCATTTTAAGTAATAATCTTCAGGCATTGACCCCTACAAAATTAAAGAAACATGCTTAATGTTTACTTCATGTGCTACTTGGATGGAAAAAGGTCAAGTTCATCACTGTATCCATCTTATCCATCTTTACAGGTAAAGATGCCTATGACTGTCGTCAAAAGAACGGCCTCTGATCCAACAAACAGGCGACTAATCTCCAAGTAAAAAGCCCCAAGCTTGAGAGCCATTGTCAAGAGCAAGCGACTGTGGCTAGCACAAGATGTTAATTCAGCAAGATACACACCGAGTGAAAGAATAATAGGCTAAATTCATGTTGTAGAGAGTAGCTCTCACGTTTCAGATAGGACAGGACCTCCAGCCCATCAAGGCCATATTGTCAGCAGCGAGAAATGTGCTTGGCAAACTGGTAGGCACAAAGCTACTGGCATGACAAATAACCGCTTGCTATGGTATCTCATCTTCTGCCGACGATCATCGTCGTCAGGTGACGAAGTATCATGACGATGAATATACCTAACTAACGGGCATACACAATTGATTGAGATGGGATCCAGGTCTGTCCCGAGCGTGTACTCGAACAATATAGCTCTGAGAGCAAGCCCGTGACAGAATACCCCAGAGACTATGAGCTCCCTACACCTACTACCTAGTACTCCTCACAAGATAATGTTGAGGAACATGTTGGGATAGTTCTCCAATTACTGTGCACCTCGGAGTCAAAGCTCCCATACCTCGCGTTATTGCTCGGACACGGAGGCTGGGTGTCTACTTGTAGATAATCCATGTACCCGGGTAATAACAATGTCATCTAGTCAATCGAGTGCGATCCTCACGGATAGCCCAGTTATCCTGTCAAGCTCACTAGAGCAGTAGTACCAAGAAATAGCCATGAACAAGGTCGAATAAAGGCTATAGCAGTCCCGTACTATAGGAGTTTCTCGCCGAAGAGACTAAATCAGGAAGCACTCCTCGTTTCCTGAAACCACGCGACCAACGCCCCATGAATCAATATATCCAAGCGGCCCATCTTCCTCCTCTAGTATTCATCCATATAGTCAAGCCTTGGAGCAATGCCGGCAGTTACTTGGGCCAAACCAGACCGACCCGGGAGCAGATAACACCACAGGTGTGCACAGACATACTACCACATGGAGCACGGAACAGGCATACTCTATCCTAATCTATCGGGATCGAGAGTCGTCCTCCCGTCATCGGAAAAATAGCAATCTCTTTGGTGAATATCGCCTGACTGGCACCTCCCGCTCGCCGTTGATAGCACGCATTATCCGGCCCAAGATGCCTATTCTCCCATACGAAGGGACACAAAAAGCCCAACAACTGATTACTGCGGCTAAAGCAGAGCCAAAGTCATCACAATTTAGCCGGCACATGGTTCTCCATGAGCCTCACCCAACGGAATCACGTCTCACCGGTCAAGAGCACGACCCATGATTCCGAAAGGCGACGTCCAGCGTCGCCATCGTCTATCGGTGCCAATAGACGTTGGCTTGCCCACACCACAAATGCAACGACCATGTAACCAACCCCAGACTCTCTTGGTCTTGAAGTTGGTGCCATTGCGCCTATCGCAAACCTGTGGCTAATAGCGGACCAATGGCGATCTCCGTGGGACTATCCGTGCTTGAGTTCACCCTCTCCCCCTTTGGCCCAGGCCAATGCTGCAACCCCACGGATGCGGAAGATGCGCATCCGAATGCAGGCTCCCGTCGTAGACTGCATGATTATGGGGAATGTACAAGCATGTACAGAATGTACAAGCATACAAGATCCCTGGCTTTGGCTGAGAATATGTTGCAGCTTGGCTTTGACCTGTGTCGTTTGTACAGTCTCCGTACGTCGTACCACTCAATGGTGCTATCAAAGGTCCATTCTCGGACCATCGGAACCACTGCGGCCAGCTGAACGATGGCTATTGGCGGACGATGTGAGCAGTCAATGCAGGCGGTGCTCTATATCAATCGCCGCAATGTATCGCGGATCGAGACGTCGAACAATGGGGCCTCATCAATCCAATCGGGGCGTTCCGACAGTGGCGTATTTCACCCATGTTTTCGGATGTAGGTTGGGTGCTGTCAGTCTTGTTTGGGCAACGACAAAAGGGCCAATTGAAACGCTGCAAGGATCAAGTATGCCCGCGAACGTCCGAGAGGGAAGAAGCGTTCCGAAGAATGACGATGCTACGTAACTTGCCTGTTGACGTCCAGCACTCACGGCACTCGCTAGACAAGCTTCACATGCCTGAACCTCTGCACCGTAAGACGTGCAACGCCAGCCTCATCAGCCATAATACCAGTCTGCTGCTTGTCTCCCCGTGCTTAGTCGCCAGAGGTCTGTTATCTCCGCAGCACACTTGTGAGTGCTAGCCGTCGATCTGGCATGGGGGACCACGTTGACGGTTGTGTGGACGGGATGCGCCGTGTTATTAGAGACAAGCATGGGGAAATTCGGCGCAACTTTGCAGTCCCTATCTCACTCAGCACTTGGTAACTCTGATAACGGGCGAGCAACGGGGAATGCCCTTCCGCACTTCCCTCATTGGTGTTCGGGAGACAGCTTGGTGATTTGGATGTGCTAATCAGCTGCGTCATATATTGGGCCAAGTCGTCAACAATGGACTTGATCGTGCCATGAATCAGTCTGTACTCGTAAGCTTTTCGATTGCCAGGGCAATGATTAAATCATCAAGACCTAATGCAATGCCACAAACAGGCCAGCAGGTTTCAGGCGTAATCGTATTATTGTCGGCCGCTGCTGTGTGTACGAGTACTACTAGTAGTACTCCGTATCGTCTGGACCTTTGCCCCCATGCTCATGCTCCAGTGCTCGTAGGGGTTGTATCGGCCAGATTGCGCACGGTGGTCGTGAGCGCTTTTTGTCCCTCTCGAACCATCACCCCATGCAGACCCCAGAAGCTCACAGACTCCACAAAGAGGCTTGAACGTCTCAGCTTGGGGTCAGCCAAGACACCACGGCCTTGGAACAGCTCAATGCGCTGCTTAGCGAGGTTTGTGTGTTGGGCGCGAGTAAGGACGCACACAGCAGAGCTCGAGGATTGCGTCCAGAAGCCAGCTAGAACCCGTCTCTCGGATGCCCTTCTGCAGCACTGACTTCATCCTGCTTGCGCCCGCTCTGCGTTGTCTGCATTCGCCACAGTCGATGATGACATGGCCGCGGCCAGTTCGAGCCGAGTCCACACTTGTGCATAAGGCACAAGGAGAAATAAGGCTGCCTGCTGCTCCCTCCCCCTGCTCCGTGAAGCCTAAAGAAAAAAAAATTAAAGTGGGCGCAATAAACGCCAAAGAAAAGAAACGAGGAAAAATGGTTGCTTGGGGCGGGAGAGAGAAAAAAAAATGTTGAAGAGGCGTGTCTCTACAAAAACGTGGAGTCAGATCGGGGGATTTCCAGCCATGTACTCTTTCCCCACAGGTACAAGGCAGCCTCTTTGAGGGCCTACCGGGTGTGGATCGTCAAAATTTCTCAACCGGCGTGTTTTCTGGCGTGGGATGAGAAGAGAAGAGGAGAGAAAGGCGAGATAACGGTGGGGGTGGGAGCGCTTCCGTTTCGCCATGATGCAATTAGGAGAATTTTTCTTTGCCTGTGACTCGGCTTCCAGAAGCATGTGGGCAAATGCATGGACCAGAAGCACCGGAGGCATTCGAGCTGGTGAGGGAGCTCTGGAACTCCGAATTCCGTGTCAGCTTGGGTGGTTGATATTGGCGACCTCGCTCTGCTCTGCCCAGGCTGGCATGGAGCGTTGCCGTACAACTGGCCGTGACAATGCAGGGTTGGAGATGGAGCGAAAAGCCCCAGGATCGAAGAGACGTGCTGTTGTCACTGGGTAGACAATGAAGAGCCTCTCTGCTCTTGGCGATTTCAAGCCAGGAACGCACAAGAGATCCGAGGCATCGTGGCTTGACGGTGTCGGCCGTGACAGCTCGAAAGGGACTGAAGGTGGCGAAACGTCAAAAGAGTCGAGAACAGAGTGTGGCCGAAATAGGACCAGCGGCCATCAAGGTAGGTCAGGCACGGGAACGGGGTTCGTAGGAGCTACGAGCTGTCTCCGAGCCGAAGCTGGGGACGCTTGCAGCACGTGCAGCTGGGCCTTGATCGTCCTGAGCCTGTGATTACTCGTTAGTTGTATATCTTTCTTGATACTCCAAATGCTTGCCAGTGATGCTTCATCGTTGAGTTCCATTGTCCGTTGGCGAGCAGACAGTCTGTAGAGAGAAGAAGAAAAGAAGAGCAAGGTAACATGGGGGGAAGGCATCAAAGTTACCAGGTACCTAGTGCCTGCTAGTGCTCCCGCTGGCCGTCGCAGCTGCCTCAGGCACGCCCAAGACATCCATCGCAACCCGCGTCTACATACTACTATGGTACATACCTACCTACTTACGTAGAATCAACCTGCAATCCAGCTTGATCCCAAATTGACTCCAATTGACCTCGTCCAATGCCTCGCCGCGCCTGCCTAGCCTGCAACCGCTACCTCCCGCGCTCCTCCTACACAGGCCACCAATGGTCCAAGGGCGTCGGCCTGTCCCGTTGCTTCCACTGCGTCCAGGGCTTCCCAGACCTCCCCGTCGAGGAGTCGGACGCGGGCAGATACAACTCCTCCAGCGACGCCAGGCTCTCGTACTACGCGCTCAGGAACCCCATTGCCGAAGGATCCTTTCGACTGGTGGCCAAGGGGAGCTACACGTCCGGTCCTCGCCGGAAACAGGCCTGCGTGGCCAAGTGGTTCAAGGCGGGAGCCGTCTTCTCGGACGACTACTTCAAGTACGACATAGTGGCCGTTGACAAGGCGCTCGAAATTGTAAACCGGTTCAATCAGCTGGGCGTCATCGACAAGGACGTCAAGATCAATGTACCCTGCGTGTGGACGTTCAACGACGACTGCGAGGAGGAGTGGGTAGGCCAGAAGGCGCTCGTCGAGCCCTACATCCAAAACTACCAAAAGTTCAACAGCAACACCGGCTGGAACAACGAGTCCACAGCCTGGGGCAAGGCGATGCAGGCCCTCAGCCACTTCAGCTACCACGCAACCGGTGGCTTCTACGTCCTCTGCGACCTCCAAGGTGGTGTCTACCAACACGAAATCGTCCTCTCCGATCCAGTCATCCTGTCCCGACGCCGAGAGTTTGGTGTCACGGACCTAGGGCCCGACGGGATTGACTCCTTCTTCAGCAACCACGAGTGCAGCGATTTTTGTCATGATTATTGGACTCGGCCTGCAGATCCTGTGCAGGTCTTCCGGCCGGCGCCACGGACATTGATGATGAACCGCCATGTGCCTACAGAACCTTCACGGCCTTTGGACACGTTGTTCTGGGGCGATGAATGAATCCCACCGTCCACCAGACCCCGCAAAACTTGGGGAATGGGTCCGAGGACTTGCTGCAGAAGGGACATTGGGGACACAGCACGCTGGCGGAGCCTTGTCCAGCCCAGATTGATAAGGGAGATGCTCGACAAAACGCAATGGGAGATGATGCTGAGCCTACGCTGCAGCATCTATTCCAAGAGCAGATAATGCCATTGGTACAGCTCGTATTGAGACAGCTGAGATGTGATATCAAACTCGTGAATATACAAACCCAATGGTCCAATGCCTCTAACCGTAAACAGCTTCCCGGCCGGTGCGCCACTCGGTCTGGAGCGCCAGCAAAACTCTTCCCCTTCAACTTAGGCCTGTCTCAAAAAAGTCATGACACGGCCGCCCGGTGGAGAAGCGGCTCCATTTCACACACTCTCTCTCTCTGTGCTCCCAAGCCGGGAATATCTCCTTGCCAGCGTGTGCGCGCACGGCGAAAAGGTCCTTTCGGCGTTTTGCCGGCGCTTAAGCCAACCCCCGGTTTATTCCCAGCTCAGCCCAAGCGCAGGTGAAATCCGTCCGTCAGTCCATCGTCTCGTTGTTACTTCGGTCGCCCTCCCCGGCCTCGTCGACGTCGTCTTCAAAGTAGTACTCCTGGATCCCGTCGTCGGGCTCCTGCTCGTCCTCGCTTAGACCCGCGTCCTTGCCCAGGATCAGGTCCTCGCTGCCTTGCCACTGTGACGGCGGCGGCGGCAATGCGTCCTCGTCCTCGTCTGCCCAGCCGTAGTCCTCGTCGTCTTCGCTGTCCGGCACCTCAAGCTCCGTCTGCCCCAGTTTCCGCTTTGGTCGCCGTGCCACGACCGCCACCTCCATGCCCGGATCGCTGGCATCGTAGTGGACACTCGATATACCGGCCTATCCAAGTCGAGGTTAGCATGGCCAAATGCCGACGCTTGGAAGGGTGTATGCCGGCCAATCGATGTAACCTACAGCTTCGACTTTGAACGCGGATACGTAGTCGACGGCGTCCTGGACGGCTCTACCATCAATTTTTTGGACGCCTGCCAGGAAGACGCTTGACGACTTGTTGCCATGCCACGCCCAGTCCCGAAACAGTACTAGCCTTGTTGATACGCCTTGCTCCCAGAGCGTGGTGTTGATGGACGGGATCAGCGTGGCCCTCTGCTCGCTTCTCATCTTGGTTGCGCATTGCGACAATAAGACGACGGCGCAATCCTTAGTTGCGGCAAGCTTTTGCAGAGTGGTCATGATGAACTGTAGGCCTTGCAGGCGTTTTGAAGACGCAGTAGGACCTAGGAAGCACGCGATGAGAGGACAGTTAGAACAGGGTTGAAGCTCGTTCCAGGTTCACACACACCCTTTGCTTGCTTGGGGTTCCCTTTCCCTTCGAGAGATCTCGGCAAAAAGGAATTGATCAAAGCTGTCGGGGAGCTTATAACGATGAGCGAGGCATTCGGAGGAATAGACGTCGTCGTTGGTCGTGTGATGAAGGCCAGCAGATGCGGCAACGTCATGCAAGAGTAGTGAACCAGCTTGCTTGGGTCTACATCTTGAATCTCCCCCGAGCCCGCCAAGACCCGCGAATCTCGAACGCTTTTCAGCACGCTTGCTAGTCTCTGTGATTGTAGGTTCTGAAAGCAGTCTGCGTTGTGAGGGTTCCGCATTAGTGACCGAAGTAATGGTGGTGAGAAAAGCCTGTGAAGTCGTCAAACCGACCTACCCAGACCACGCCGTTACCATCACTCAGGGCATTGGCGGCCAGTTGAATCCTTCATCTCTCATCAGCATCCAATACGTCATCCCCCCCAGAAACAGCATCCCATCCATCTCTTACCCGAGGGCAGTCTTGCCGCAGCCAGGGGGTCCCCAGATCTCAGTCACCTGGCCTCGCTTGACGCCGCCCTTGACCGCGGCATCCTGTGAATCCGCCGCGTCCCCCAGCAGTGCACGATCAAGAGCGTCAAGTCCCGTTGAGATGTGAGTTGCCGGGCTAGCCTTTAGCTCTTCCCAGGCCTGTGAAGCCGGCACCGTTGGAAGGCGATCTGAGAGAAAGCATCAAGGTCAGCCCTCCTCCTATTTTACCCTGACGAGGCTGCTGATGAAGGGGATTGAAAGCACCCACGCGTTGATTCCGATGTGTCAAAACTGGCAATGTCGTAGCCATGGATGGCATGGTAATCCATGATCCATAGCGTTGCCCCTGCGGGTGGCCGAGGCTACCAAGAAGGCCGTGTGATATGGTTGACGTGTTGAGGCTGCGAGTTGCAGCGCGCGCGGTAAATCGCGAAGGCACGTGACATTGAGTCGCCGGATCGGAGTCTCCGAAACTGACGATTTAAGACACACTTTCCACCTCTATCACCTACAAAGAACTACAGAATTGCCAGTTTCTTAACCCAAACTTTCATTCTACAGGAAACATGATGCTCTCATTGTCATTGCAACCAGCATCACACTCTACACATGTGCAAAGTTTCGTGATAACCTCATTACTACCCCTCGGTCAAGGGGTGCGGAGAAATTGCGGCCTTCGGCGAATCTCAGCTACCAGGGCTTGCCAGCGTCCCAGGGTTTGTACCTACTCGTATGGGGCCCCATGCTGCCGCACGAGCCCTTTCACACTCCTCACGAGGCATAAGAATCGAGGCCCCAATAGCTCAGTCCCTTAGTCATGAACCTCAGACAACGAGCGGATACTGCTATAAGATATTGAAGGGGGGGTTCGCATGGTAAGAGGACGTAAGGCCGAGTATTGCTCCGTATCCCCTTTTGAGCCTCGGTGAGCGAAACACTTGTTACCTAGTCATTCTTCATCAATGTAAAACGTCTTCTACAATGCACTGCACTGTTTCTCGGTATTAGTGTAATAATGCTCATACATGTGATATCTGCACAGGAAGTATCCACAGAGCTCACCCCTTCAAAACGGCGACTCACTGCTCACCAAAACCACCCGATAGCCATCTCCATCCTCAAACGTCTTCCCGCACCGATCCCAATACGGATTGAAACTTTTCACAGCCTCAAAGCCAGCCCTTTCCATCCTCTCCACAGCACCCTCAAAGTCATTTCCCTCCGGCAAATAGAAGACCAGCAAGTTATCTTGCGTAGGCGCACGCCCAACACTATGTCCCTGCTTTGATGTAAACTCGAGGTGGTAGTTTGCACCTTTGTGGCCCAACATGATTCCGTCAAACCCTTCGTGTTGGCTAAACCGGTAGAGCACTTCGAAACCCAAGCCGTCGACGTAGAAGGGGATTAGGGCGTCAATGTTGTCGGACGGCCGGGCGATGCGGAGGGTCGCTGTCTGGAGGGGCATAGTGGCAGTTGTTTTCTTCGAGGCCTGCAATGTAATAGTCTGATGTCTGTGATACTCTATAACACCAATACCAGCTTCGCACTCGTTTTCATAGGGCTTGAGATCTGCTATATATCTACTCTTGTTGGACCTCATAGAACAACTCGACGATACTCGCGATTCTCGCGGCTACCAAACATTCACTGCACATCCAATTACAATCAAGAGCATCCACAATGTTGCTCATTCACCGGCTGGGCACCGAGAAACGGACAGTGACAACACAGGCCGAAGCCGAGGCAAGATACATGAAGTCGTGGACTCCATACACGACGGCTTTCATGAGGGCGCCGTTTGACGTCATCTCAGACGACAACTTTCCGGGATCTAGGAATAGAAACCCTCCTCAGCCACGGGCAACCAAGAAAGATGAACCAAGCAACGAGATACATATGGGGAAAGGCGTCGCTCATCTATACCAATTCAGTTGCCAAATCCCGAGGGTCCTCTCAGTGACAGTATGCAATACTAGCATCAATCCTGAGCCGACAAGATCCGAACAAGCCACACACGTCGGGGGTGCAGGATCGCCTGTCCTCCGGACTCAAGCCACGGGCCGGTGGTTGATATAAGGCCAGTAGCTTATCCAGAATCTGTCCACTCTAGATCTGGGGAAGCGGCCTTAATACCATCAGCTCACGATACCACCTGAGGGAGTATCCAAGGGACTGCGCAATCTCCTTAGTTTGTCGCCATAGTGTAAGCTAGATCGCAAACCGCACCGAGCATCAAACAGAGCAAGCAAACGTGCGTGTACGCAATGATGCACTCAGCCGCCAAGAGATACTGTAAACCCGAGAGCCTCGCCTCACAGCCCCGAACGGGTGTATTGTTTCGAGCACTCCTTCAGCCGGCGTACGCCGTGCCCATGTATGTAAGTACTAGTATTCATTCAGCTGTCGTGCCGGGCGGCCTTGTTCTGCAGGTCCTTGCGCACACAAACGCCGGCAAAGGCACAGCACACGGACATCACGATATGAAACATGCACACACTTCTGACGCCCGCAAAAAGTTGCTCCGCCATGGCTTGTTTGCGTGTGGGGTCTCCAGAGCGCCACACACACAGGGTCCCTTTTTACTCCTTCTTTTCGGCTCAATGGACCTTCTTCCCGCCTTCCATGACTGACGAGTCGTTTTATCTGCGCGGCGACGCCGAAGAACCTCCCGAGCCCGACAGCTGGGCATTGGGCGGGCCTAAAGACTGAGAGCCTTATTGGAACCGCCACGGCCTGCGGCAGCCAGCTGCAAGGGCGGTGCGACGTGACGAGTCGACCACTGTGACGACGCCGAAGCCGAAGCCGTGTGTCCCCCAGTCTGTTGGCAATGGTAATAGGCTGTGGATGCTTCGTTTTCGAAATGCTGCTTGGCGAATCGCTTGCCTTGGGTTTCTCCTGGCGCGGCCTCCCTGCCCTCCCCTGCCTCCCCTCCCCTGGGGCCCCTCGTCATTGTGCTTCGCATAACGATGTTGGTTACTTCTCATAATACGTGGTGCCAGTCGTCGTCGCAGCCTGTACTCGTATGACAACAGACAGTTCGCAGCGAGCCAATGGCCTGCCAAACCAGACCAGACAAACAGCAGCGCCGAAACATGTCCCACGGCAGGATCTGGGAGGACCGAACATTCCAGATCCCCCCTTGGCCCCCCATACCGTAACACCTATCGCAACTCGTCTCGTCTCCTCCCCCGTGGGGTGGATGAAACCCCCTTCTGATTTCCCTCCTTCCCGATTCTCCCCCCTCAAGCCCCTCTGGTCGTATGCGTGCCTGTGTGCGTGTTTCTGTGCGTCTGTGTGTGAAACCCCTCCAATCTTCATCAATCGTACGTGCTGGCCGTTCCTGCATCAACCGGGCTGGGCAGAAAAGGGGGGCCACAACAATCAAGTGAGCGTGATCTTTTCTTCAGCCTGATACAGGGCTGATTGTACATCTAGATGCTGTGAAGCGGCCATCAAGAATCACCCGCCGGGCCAAAGAAGGTTTCCGGGCGTCCTAGAGCTTACCACATCCATACCTTACCCAAGAAGCCACGAGCACCGCTTGAGTAGGAACTGTCAGGACGCAGATGACGAGAACCGAAGTAGTGCTCGCGAGAGACAGCAGAAGGGGCCAAACTATTGGGTAATATAATCACTTGCGAGTGCCGGCACTTTTTCGCCTGACAAACAGAAGATCCATGGTGAAGCAACGATGAATTCCAAAGTTCCTTTTTAGTGCAACACCTCCCCCCCCCCCCCCCCCCCCCCCCCCATAGAGGCGTAACACGTTGCATCGCAAGGAACTGAGAATGGGCAAGCAAAAGCACCATGTCCCAGCCCGAGCTTGAGGTTGATGATGCAATGTCGGCCCCTAGTAATTGGTTTCTGTTTGTCTCCCACCCCCTTCTTCCTGAGCGGCCCCCAACTGCCAAGAGGCTCGGTCTCTCTCGGGCCATGCTGTTACTACCTAGGTAGTCTGCAAATCCTGCTCTCCGTTATCAAGAAACAGAAAAGAGAAAAGCCGGGGACCCCGCACAGAGCTCTGCCTTCTCCACGTCTAGATCCGGGCGCGAGAAATGGAGGAAGAGATATCTGTAGATACGAGCACACTGAACGGAGCAAGTATGCATAGGTAATACTAGCTCGTTGAGGTGTTAATCCATCCGCACCAATGTGAGATCACAATTGATTGATAGATAACAAAGATGGGTTGAAGGCGGTCGGGCCGGGCGCTGACCGTCAGCTTTCACCAGGACTTTAGCCGTCGTCTCTGTACCCCCTCGGGCGTGAGTGATCGTGAACCATTCTGTCCCATTAGCCGCCAGCGTCGTCCTCCTCTTCTTATCGGGGAGCAACCGCAAGTCGCTCACCGGAGACGTGCGGTGATATCTCGCAACAGTACTTGCAATTTCCAGCCAAGCACACTTGCCCACCAATAATGGGTTGATGCCGAGGCGATGGCTCCGGCTATCGCGTGGGGAACGTCGCTTCGTACTTGTATGTCCGGACTGATGCTTGAGCTATTTGCACTTCGCTCATGTAAGTTTCTCTCATGGTTCTCTCATGGTACTTCGTATGAGAGCAGAGTCGAATATGGCAAAAGCCTCCGTGGTCCCGGATACCGAGCTGCGCCCCGCCTCCGCTGAGGAAATTAGGAAGTTGGGGGGCAGAAAGTCACGATAAGCACGTGGGCGATGGCGAGGTCTGCTGCTTTGGCTCGGTCAATCCACATCCACCTCATGCGCCGCTGCTGAGTAGGAAAAGGCAATCGAGGCGATCGAGAGTCGATCAACAGGCGACGACTGCTTCCGTCCCTGCCTTTACCCGAAATCCACGTGAAAGAGCAATGGCCGCAAGCTCCCCGAATCGATTCATTTCACAGTCAGCATCCAGCATCCATTTTGTCGTGATATTTTCCGGGACCCGGCTGACCCCATTCACCGTGTCCATTGCGCAAAGTTGGACCCTGTCTCCTCCGTAATTCAGCCGAATATGCCCGTCCAACACTCCCCAGCTCTGGACATGTGTCCCCCTTCCTCTCGGCGGGGAGATCCATGATAGACCGGTATCTCGGCTCAACGTACGGAGCCGCACTGTTGTGGCCAGATATTATCGAGATACTCGGTGCTAGCGCTGCTTCTCGCCCTCATGTTATGCGCACTCTCTCCAGCTGTAGCTGCTTCGGTTGCAGTTGGGGAGCGCTACCCTCTTGTCCCCATGGTCAGACATAACCTTTTACCTACCTGCTGGTTGGACCCAAATATACGCAGTGTCTTGTTTGTGCCGAGCATTGATCCGGGTGGAAGACATGTGCTTCAAGGCGTCTGACACAAAGGACCCAAATCTGTAGATGGGCCGAATGCCGGGAAGACAATCGTTGGATCAAACATGCCTCACGCCATTTGCATGAAGTCCTCCTCGCACATGCCTAGTATTGCCTTTCATCTCCCAGGCGTGGATTGCCCAGCGGGCACTGCTCTGCGCTGGTGGAGGCTTTGCCAAGGGTGCCGTCAGGACAGTATATACATGCCCTGCGTGTAAACTAGAATCCGAGGAGCAATGGGTATTAGTTCAATATGGTCCCATCAGCGTCGGCACTGCGTAGATTCCAGCCTTCTCGTGTAGTACGATATTACTAGTACGAGTAGTACCAGTAATCACTTACTCGTACCCGCTGCGAAAGAAGCTCCTTGTGATCGACCGCCATGCAGTCCGTATGAAGCGCCGCACTAATCTCCAGAGGTAACGGTATTGACTGATACCCCTTTGGTCAGGTCGTATCCAGTAAGGCTACCGGCCGCAACCATCCATTTTGTCTTGTCGCGTGTTACCCCGTATTGGCGGAATAAATTCTTGTGGGCTTCTCTCTCGCGTTGAAACAGAAGCACAGGCTCTGTAACCTCTGTTTCAGCGCTGCATGCACCAAGCAGGTCGCATTGCTTCAATGCATTGGGCAGCTCGTGCAGGCTGTAGACTTCCGTGCCCGGGGTGTCGGCCGGTCTTCCCCGTTCCGAGAACAGTTACGTGGCGGTTTGTCTCGGTGACAAGGGGAGCAGCGCCTTCAGGAGATCTAAGATCATTGACCCCCGGATTTCCTGAAGCGGCTTAGTGGCGCAAGGGTTGACTGGACATGCCCGAGCCCGAGCAGTTGTACATACATGTTTGAGCACCAGTTTGCGAGGGGCTCACACGAGTAGCTGTTTGGCCGAGCGGCTGATACAGGGCGGTACAACCAACTGATGGGGATCCAGACCATTAGCATCAGAAGCCGGATTCGGGAGTAGAAAGTTGACGAGAGAGAGAGAGAGAGAGGCGCGCTAGAGCCAATGGCGAATCCGTCGACGGGTGCCTAGAACCTCCGTCTGGGGGACCTGACCCCATGGCGGGATCAGTGCTGCTGAAGCCCAGAGCACGCGCCTCATTGATAAGAATCACCCCTTCAATGGGGAGGTGGCGCCTGTGCCAGACTAGCGATCTCTTTGTGCTGCACCAATTGCAGGGGATATGCGGCGCGAGATAACAAGACACACGAACCCCCACATTCTGTCGTAGGGAGGGAGCCAGGGTGTTTCTGGGGTCCCCGGCTGGGGGAGATGGAGGCATCCAAATTGACAGGGTCCTCCCAAGACATTGTCGCGCCGAGGATAAGGAAGACCGAGAGTCATGCCCAGCGACTCGAGCATAGGTAAGGGGTGCCTACTTCGTGCCGTCATTCGTACCTGGACCACGATGGTGCAGTTCTGAAGTTCAAGGGCGCACTTGGAATGATGGACCCCATCCCTGACGAGTGGAATAATGAGCGAGAAAGTGATTGAGAGTCTGGGGGAAGCATCCTCCGGGGGTTCAACCTCCGAGGAGCGCTGTGTATTCGCACCCATGTCTCACGGGCCATCGCCATCGCCCTGCGAGGAAACAAGATGGACCAGCTCGAATAAGGACGCGCTCGGCAATGGCACTGGTACGTCGTCGTAGCATTGCCCACTTCCAAGAGCATCCAGCTAGCGGGGAAGCAACATGGGCCTGGCGATCAAACATGTACAGTGTTGAAATTGATCATCGCTGACCTAGCATCGTCAAGGCAGGTCGCATTCGTCCACTGATACCATTCATACTTCAGGTGAGGCAAGATTGACTTTGAGAGATTGCTGGAGACCAATATGCGAACGCTACAGCAGCCTCACTAAGTCCAACCATTACCAATGGCAATCAGACCACGGCAAGGGAGGAGGCAGGCAGTAGAGCCGAAGGGGGTTGTTAAATAGCCGAGACACGGCTGTGTCGTCCGCGGAGGAATCATTTGTGTTGTCAGAGGCCGTATCCTGATCCTACTGCCAGTTCGTAGGAGGTGACTGCCATCCAGGTTGTGGATTGGGCAACAGTCTGTTGGTTCAAGGGAGACGAGCGGAGAGAATGGAACGTAAAGAGGCTGAATTCTCTATTCTGCACCGGCTAAGCGCGCGGATCGCGAGCCAGCAGACAGACCTTCATACCTAGCCGAGTAATGTCCAAGTAGAGATCAAGTGATTGACAGCTTCCGGGGAGGCGTGACCACATAATACTCCATGGGGTCTGCCACGCCACGATAACAAAGACGGACTTGGTTTCCCCAGACATCAGTGGCCAACAGAGTAGGTACTAGGAGGCGATAGCCTGATCCAGGTCCTGGACATTGTTGGTGGTTGTGACACTTGACAACCCCCCCACTATGGGCAATGAACATGTATTCGTACGTATGCACTCAATATCAGTCGCAGGCAGTGATACGAGGCGTATGAGTTGGTTGTCACTTTGGCCCCCAAAGAGTGGGATACAGCGTCCCGATGACCTTGCGACCGGGGATGGGAGCATGAGACGGGCGCTTTGAAGATAGCGAGACGAAGCCAGCTGACTGAACATGCGAGCAAAGCTGAGCCAAGACTCAGCATAAAGAGGTTGCAGCGGCAAGTTGTCTGCTCACGTGCGATTTTGAGCAATATTCTCGCTCGTCCATCTCTTGCTGATGGCCATTCTTTTCCTCTTCTTTGCCTCTGTTTTTTTTTTTTTTTCCCCTTCTCTTCCTTCTGCCTCCTTTCTTTCTTTTCTGTTTCTCGGGGACTTGATCTTCTGTTGCCATCTTCTTCCTCTTTCTGATCTTGTCAGAATGCTCGCCTGAGTGTAGAATTTCACCCTGGCAATCGCATCATCCACCACTAGCCGGAGGAGTGCACGACACGGAGCATTCTAGTGCTATAAGCATATCTAAACAATGGTTAGCATGCTGTAAGTGTGTGCGTGAAGCAAGCAAGTTTGGCACCAGGGCACCTTGGTCTCGTAGCGGTTAGCGTTCGGCCCCACGACACGGGAAATTGAGTCGTGCCCAGAAGCAAAAGCCAGCGTCCAAGTTGAATCGATAGAGTAATGGCTTCATCGCTGGCAAAGAGTCGCCGGACGATCATCGGTGCGTCAAACGACTTTCGCTTCTAGCACCTAGCCGGCCTCTTGCGTGCGCCGACTCTCGACGAAGCCGGCCACACCAAAATGTATTGCGTGCGTTCCCATGTGTGGGCAGCTCGCGAAGAATAAGCATAGAGTTGAGACCTTCCCCAGGCGCTGCGGCCAAAGGGGAAAAAGTATCCATTTCATAAGAGACATCTTCTCGGGATTTCGACGGCCGCACGCAGCGCCATGCTGCTCAAAACGGTCCTAGGCCGATGTTTCTCCTGTCCTGATTTTGGTTCCGTCTCCAAGTTAGGTACTCCAAGTCGCGCGTGGTACTTGCTCGCTTTGTTTGGTACCTTGCGGCTCGAATGGTCCTCCGTGCCCTCAAAGCCACGCAAATAGCTTTTCCGGGGAACGGCGGCCAATCAGTCGAGCACGACAGGCGCTGCGCCTCATTCTGGCCGATACCGTTCCAGTGGCAGCCGGGGTTGACGTGGGCACGGCTGGTTTAGCTGATGGCGGCGCATTGAGTGCAGACGTGTGTGTAATCTTGAAGGTGAAGGATGCTTGAGCGGACAGTGGATCCAGACTCGGTGAGAAGCGTGGAGGTGACGAGAAGAAAAATTCAGGTAAGGTAGTAGTGAGTAGAAAAGAGGACACGGCGTACTCGTACGTGTAGGAGAGGCGGGTACGATGTAGGTACCTACTGCAAAAAAAAAAAAAAAAAACCTTCTCCTCCTTCCCTCACCGTCCGACCGTGGTTTCCACCGTGGTCGCGGCCGAGGGGGGCGTCCCAATAGCGGCAAAACGCTCTGTTTGGTGCCTTGTAGCAGCGCTTGCATCTGAGAAAGAGCAGGGGAGAAATGGAAGCCATTGGAGCACGCTAGTCGTGTCCAAGTACCCTCCGTCCGCGAGTACTTTGGCCCTCGCTGAGCATCTCCCGTGGGCCGAGCTGGCATCGGCCATCTCACTTGGTGAGCCCTGTCTATCTCACCCACCATCTGCTGGGGTGCAAGGCTGCTAGGCAATACTTGGCACTATCTGCTTGGGGCACGCCCCGCCATCTGCACACCCCACCCCCTCGCGCCCACTCCCACTGGCTCCTTCCCTGTGGCCCTGCCCTTTCGCCCCAGCTGGGGCTCCCACTGCAACTGAGGCCAAGGGCTGGGGGGGCTCTGAAATGCTGGGGCGCGAGGTACAACCGTCTGAGAGCCGACAAGTACCCCGTGCCCCCTTTCTGGCCGTCTCTGAGCCCTGGCGACGTGTCCCGTCCCTCTGCCCCCCTCGTCCTTCCAGCGCCCCATCGCGCCATCGAGCCACTGGACGGTGGCATGCAGCGCTGTTGCACCCCCAAATGTCGCTGCCTAAGCCCTGCGTGACGCCCCTGATTTACCGCCCCGTGTAGCGACCGCAGCATGTGCTTCGCGGTGGTGCGGTCGGGGTACTTGCCCACAAGTACCGCCCTCCCAGGTACAGCACGGTACGCACACCACGTACTCCCGCACTTGCCCTCCCTGGCGCCCATGCTACGAATCGAAGTACCGACCCGGCCGAGCCCGCCCTTATTAAAGCGATTGCCTCCCCCCCGTCCCCTCCTTCTCCCGGAGGAAAAAAAAAAAAAAGTTCGTTCTCCCTCGATGAACGAAGAAAAAACAACCACCAGAACCACACTCACTCACACACCCTCACATCGCATCTCGATCCTGCAACTACCGACGACAAGAGCCTCGCTCATTTGACCAGAGAAGAATCGTTATCACCAGCGCTACCCACCGCCCAGCAGATATCTGTATAGATCAGCAGTCTCTCCTCCCCGCAAACGAGGACCACCGCATACTAGCAGAGCCTGCTCCCGCCAAAAACCCACACTCGCTTCTCTGGGCTCTCTTGTAACCAAAGACCAAGTTGTCGCCTCAACGTCGCGTACTTGCTTTTTGACTGCCGCTCGATCACATGCAACGAGCACAGTCTGCCGTGGATTTTTCCAACCTCCTGAATCCAACGTCGGCAGCAGGACAGGACAGCGGCGCCATGTCTACCGCCGCGGTCACCGTCATCAAGCCCAATGGGCCCATTCCAGGAACACAGTCGACCGAGACTGCCAACGAGCTGCCTCGTCCCTACAAGTGCCCTCTTTGCGACAAGGCTTTCCACCGCCTGGAGCACCAGACCAGGCACATTCGCACCCACACGGGCGAGAAGCCCCATGCCTGCCAGTTCCCTGGCTGCAGCAAGAAGTTCTCCCGCTCCGATGAGCTGACGAGGCACTCGAGGATACACAGCAACCCCAACTCAAGGCGCGGCAACAAGGGCCAGCAGCAGCACCAGCTTCACCACCAGGGCATGCCTCACCCCATGCACGTCGATGGCTTGATGCACCCTCCCGCCGCGCCAAAGGCCATCCGCTCTGCGCCCCCTTCGACCCTCGTCTCTCCCAACGTCTCGCCTCCGCACTCCTACTCGTCCTTTGTCATGCCTCACGGTCCCATTTCTCACTATGGCCGTGGCAACGACATTACGATGCTTGCCAAGGCGGCAAATCAGATTGAGCGCGAGACGCTTTCTGGCGGGCCGTCCAACCACAACTCGAGGCACCACCCTTACTTTGGCCAGGGTGTTCCGGGTTCTCGAGGCCACCCCTCGCTTTCTTCGTACCACATGGCGAGAGCTCACTCCAACGACGAGGATGACCACTACCATGGCAGCTTGAGGCACGCCAAGAGGTCAAGGCCCAACTCGCCCAACTCTACGGCTCCTTCTTCTCCCACCTTTTCGCACGACTCTCTGTCCCCCACCCCGGATCACACTCCCATCGCAACTCCCGCTCACTCCCCCCGTCTCCGTCCCTTTTCGGGCTACGAGCTGCCGAGTCTGAGAAACCTGTCCCTGCAGCACAATACGACTCCGGCGCTGGCCCCCATGGAGCCTCACCTGGACGCTCCGCAGTTCCACCCTCAGCTGCAGGCAAACACCACCCGCAGCCCCGGCATGTCACTTACCGACATCATTAGCCGCCCCGACGGCAGTCAGAGGAAACTGCCTGTCCCTCAGGTCCCCAAGGTGGCGGTTCAGGACCTTCTCTCCGACGGCGTCTTCCCCAACAGCGGCAGAAGTTCCACCACGGGCAGTCTTGCCGGTGGCGACCTCATGGATCGGATGTAGAATGTCCGGTACTCATGGCGCGCATCGAATGACTTACGACTTTGGGCTATAGATGGATAGAAAGAGTTGGCGTTAATGGTTTGGAAATGGCAAGGGAAATGGATACGGAAATGGAAATGGACAGAGTCGTCCCCCGCAGGACTTGACACGGGCTATTTTGGTTTCTCCTTCTTGTTCCTTTTTTCGTGTGCTTTTTTTATTCAATTTTTTTCTTCTTGTACGCTTGGATGGACCCCTACACAATATGGATGGCCCAGGAAATATAGACATCACCACTTTCCCCAACGGACTATTATCTGCTGTTCCGTACAGCTTTGGTCCCATGCTTTGTTGTTTTTGAGCCCTTCTACCTGGTACGACTACAGCGGAGGACTACTTAGATTCAGCGGCTGCCTGTTGTACTTGCAACGCAAAACCAAAAGAGGCCAGCCAAAAGAGACCATGATACAAAGCATGCACTCCCCGCTTAGTTTTGATTTATATGCACACAGACTAATATGCCTGTTTTTTGTCTCCTAAGTTGCGCTGCTCGCTGGTCCGTCACTTGCGTTACACACATCGCTAGAAAAAGCTGGACTCGGCACTTGGCCTCTGCGAGGTTCGGCACCGCAGCGGGATGGGCAGGTTCCCTTTCCTTTTTCCCTCTCTGGGGAATGAACCAAAACATGCCTGGTGTTACAAAATATGGGGAATCCTTATGCAGTCTGGGGGGCGCGGCAGCGCTGTTCAGGGGGTTTCGGATGGGAAAAGGGTAATGGAGGGGGGGGAAGAAGGGGGGATGAGAGGACTGACCACGGGGGCAGGCGGTGCATCCGTGGGACCCGTGGGTTCTTTTGGACGAGGGTCATGACTTCATAGATTATGTGTTTCTCTCTCCTCTGGGGTTTGTCCTGTTCTTTCGGGTTGTGGTATGAATATGAGGATACACTGCGAGATGGCTTGCGGCGCTTACTCGGATATGCCTCTCTCAGAGAGAATAATGTTTTAATGGATAGATAAAAAGTATGAATGGCAGGATTCCTTTTTTGTTTTATTTCTACTTTCTGTGTCCTTTCTGACTTCGCAGTTGTAGGAGGCCTTCGGAGCCCCAAGCCTTCTCCGACGTTTCCCGCCGTTATCTCCTGATGATAATGGTTCGACGTCTGGGGGAGGGGGGCTGATTGCTGTGGTACGGAGGAAGAAGGGGGAGGGGGAACGTCACAAAGAAGGGGTACTTGGGTACACGCAATCGCGCACTTTTGGGCCCAAAAAGCGAAATGAGCGAGATTGCGGGGGATTTTTGCCCTAGGTAAGATGTCTTTATCCGGGGGAGGGGAGAGAGAGAGAGCTTCTAAATGTTAGTAAGTTTCTGTATCTGTGCTCACATATCGTAAGACGCGGTGTTTGATGTGCTAGGGGAGATAATGATGGTGAGATAAAGACAAGATGGAGAGCAGATGGGGTCATAGATAGGTACCTACTTTAGATGCTTTAGTGGTAGAAGCTTGGCTTGGGGGTGAGCGAAGCCCAACCATCTTCTTCATGTACGCACCTCCATTACCTGCTTTTTTTTCTAATTTACCTGCCAATGTAGGTAAGTAGTAAGGGTTAACTGATCTAGCAGTTGCAGATTGCATGTGCGCTGATCCCGATGATGATGTCTGTCTAGACAAGACTTTTTTTTTCTTGTTCGTAGGGCGGCGGCTCCTCAGCGCTAAGATGCGTTTTTACGTATCTCCCCTCTGGGGGTGGCAAAAATGGAGGGGGGAGGGTCAACCTTGGAATCAGGCTAGATTGCCTCTTTTTCTTCTTCCCCGGTGTGTGTGTGTGAGAGAGAGAGTGTGTGAGTTGATCTGGGGGATGGCGTCCGTTTGGCTCGCTTGGATGGAATGCTATGGAAGAGCGAGAGGCAACACTGTATTGTCACTGTACAGTGGTAGGTTGACCCATGGAGCATTGGTGGGATTGGTGAGGTAACACAATCTTGTGTGGTCCCTTTCTTTCGAGATACCTCATGGGGAAAATTCCGTTGATGATGTGCCGGGGGATCTTCACTTTGATACGAGGCTGTTATCCCTGGTGCTGTAACCTTGACTGTGGCTCTATTGCTACGATAGAGGGTAGGCCACATGAAGGGGGGCTTCTTTATTTCCTTTCCCTTGTGATATCTGCACCTGATTGCTTGATGGAAAATGGGCCGATGAATAGAGGCATGACGGCCCTTTATGATACGAGGAAGATGGGGGCATTTTTTTTCGCGTGTGATGCACTCGCTTGATGACATGAGGAGGAGTGGCATCAGCTCCCCGTTACACAAAAATTCTATGAATAGCGATCTGGAAAGACGCTCTGTTGATCCTTTGGGGGTTCCTCGCCAACAAGAAATCTGGGGACCCCGTACGGGCCTGTGTGAGACGGGGCCATGCAGCGTAATAAATTGCGTACTAATACTAACAACAGCAATCACCGAGACGTGAAGGATCGAGTACACGATTGCTTCCATAACCCACAGGTGTCCTTGTCCTGGACACATATAAACTGTATACGCTTGTTCGTCAACATGGTGTTGTCCGTTTCTGCCGCAAGGTTTAACCGCCGCAGTGTCGGGTGTTTCATCCTTTTCTCACGTTTTCTTCACACGAATCTGACACCCATCTCTTGCGCATGTGGACAGTTTCCTGCCCCGGTCTGGAGCCGTTGTCCCCCACATAAAACGACGACGACGCCCGTCATTTGTGGTACAAACTCCTTCCTTGTCCTCGTCTGTTGATTTTTTTTTTTTTTTTTTTTTTTTTCAGGGTATTCGGCATGGCATGACCTGTTCATGCGTGGTATGAGGAGTGCGCAACAGCCTCAGCCTCCCATTGAGTAACCAACCACGGCTGGAATCCGAATCGGTAAGCCCCAAGGAGGCGTTTGTTGAGTAGGTAGATATTGGGGAACTTCCAAGTTTGCCTGCGCCGCATAAGAACCAAGCCAAGGAAGCCAAGGGACAAACAAAAGACCTGATGGACGGGATCGAGATCACGTCAGCGACCCTTGCGAGGCTAGGAATAGGTAGCTACTGTTCCGGACAACTGCTAAACAAGGAGATGAGAAAATACTGATTCATATTTGGTTGCAATTATTAACAGGTTGTGGACATGACGTGTTCCGCTCTGCAGAGCACGCGCGTTGCCCTATGAAGCTGGACTTGATGGCGGGTGATGTGATCAACAGACGACAGCGGTGCTACTTACCTTACGTTTACCCCCCTACCGAGCACGTACTCGTAGTAGTTCTAGATACTGTTGATACTGTCTTGAGATCAACGGGAGTGTCAAACGTCCGTCAAGATGTCCAGTGGTCAACGTAGTGGTGATGTCTCTTGATCCGAGATCGGCCACGTCAGGAATGCTGCCTCGCCTTTCGCTTTGAACAACACTGACGAAGCCATGGTAAATGCACACGACACGCAAGCAAAGCAAGTAATAAAGGGGAAATGCATGCGCATCCTGCACCCTTTTACGTACGGTAAATGAGACCAAAACAACCTAATGCAGTGCCTTCTGCCCATCCTGCCGTGTGATACGCAGAAGTGAAGGAAATGGCGAGCTAGGAGGGGGTGATGTGGCTTGCATGAGGCTTTCGGTGCTGTTACAGACGCCTGCACGCTGAGCCGCAGAAGGATCCTCTCTTTTTTCCTAATTCTTTTCATCGTATTTTTCTTCTCGATTGAATGTTCTGTATATGCATGATGATTTCTTCACCGCTTCGAAAGGTCTGACGAATTAGATGGCCTCTGAGTCACACAAGACACGGACACTCACACACACACACATGAGTTCGCCTAGTGGGAATGTTGTGTGTGTGTGTGTGTGTGTGTGTGTGTGTGTCCTTGTGTGTTGTGAGTGAGTGCGAGTGAGTTGAGCGCACCAATACGCGCGAGGCTTTGTCAAGTGTGCCTGGTTTTACCCGCAGCGCCCCAAAACTTTGCCAACCTACTACTTTGGCCGTTGAGATGGTGTAATGCCCAGAGCATTTAGAGGTCAGTGAGAAGATCAGGAGAGGGGAGATGTGGTGGGGGACGAAGGTTTGGCTCTCCCCCTGAAGTCTCTTTTTCCTTGATGAAGCGCTCGTCGTCTTGTGTTTACTGTCTACATGTAACATGCACTCTATGCCGATGAGAACTACCGATGACCGATTCTTCGGCAAGAGTGCCTTCTTCTTGGCTGGTGTTTGTCCATTTCTCGTCTGAAACATGCATCCACGTGAGGTAACTGAGAGGAACACATCCTGGGGTTATTTTCGCTTCGTGTCTAAGTTTGGCACATGGCGTGTGGGAACAAGACGGCATGTGAACTGAAGATTTTGGGGATCTGCAGGGCCCTTTGACGTGGCCGCGTAATTGGCACTTTGATCCTCTGGATCATTGCTAATGCGATTTACTGATGCTAATGCCAACACTCTCTTCTGCCTCTCTGAATGAATGGAAGATGGAAGTAGCCAACATCCTTCGTGCCTCTCTTGGCAACGAATGGGCTCAACCAACTGCTTTGAACATGCCGTCTGCCAGCCAGTCAGTCAGATTACATCAAATTGCGGATTTTAGCCATCTCAGCGAGTGTGGGGGTGGGGTTTAAGATGGAACGGCACAGCAAAGCAACAACCAGGTTTGTATGTACATAGAAGGGGAGGCGTCAGCAGACTGGGCTGTCGTGATGGAAGCCCGAGATCGCGACAAGACGCTTCCACGGGTGAGTTTCAACAGCTGTCGAGCGAGTGTCTGCGAGTGATTACAGGCTATTTGGACAAGGCGGCACGCGGCATTCATTTCTCTTTTTAATTTTTTCTTAACCAGCCGTCGGGTATCGGATGCATCTTAATCTGCGGTATCTACACCAAAGGTTGCAGCAGACAACCGGATTGGCATGGCCCGCAGGCATAGATAGGAGCATTTCTTCTGCGTCCATGTGCTGAGCCTCCAATAGAGCAAGCGCAAAGATTCGAAACCCCAAGATATCGCATATCCTCTGCATGAGAGTCCATGTGCATCTGACTCCTTTCGATTGTTACTAGCACCGGATCAAAAGATTGGACCCAAAGAGCTGGGGAAAACATGGAAGGCGGGGAAATACAAACCCATCCCATTCTGCCTATCTCGCGTCTATCTTGCCGATAACCAAAGCGAGGCAACGCAGCTTGCTGGCCAACTTGATCCTTGCCATCCATGATTCGACATCTTCCGGGGTCCTCACTCTCGTCCCTCCTCTGGCCGCAAGCTCGCCTCTGCGTCCCTTATCTCGCCCTCTGACGATACCGGCGATACTCGCGGGATAATTTAGGGCACAGCTACATTACCTACCTACGCAGAAAAAGACAGCGACAAGCTGAGAAACCTGCCATCACGCCCCCCTCGGTCTCGCCTTTTCGGCTTCCCAGTCCGAACCACACGTCGGCAAAAAGCGTCACCGAGGGCTCGACTCATGCATGCCCGCGCCAAGTGAAGCCCATTATCAACGACTTTTTACTCGGCTCGGGCGACGGCGGCGAGACGGCACGCTCTATGGCCCCAGCTTTGGTCTCTAGTCGGTGCTAGAGCAGACGCTCGAGTCGATGATGAAATTGCAACCCCCACGAAAACCCTTGACTCTGGACGTGCCAATGCATCGCCGGAGATCCTCTCTTTCGCTGGGATCGCCTGGTGGGGTGATTTAGCGGTAGGTCTGTACTACTACTACTACACGACAATAACTTGTCAGAGCAGAAAAAAATTCCATCGAGGCTCCCCGACCCCGTCAGACAGCTGGCCGGCCAGATGGGCGATGCTCAGGACCCTGGCCGGACAAGTAGCGCCTATCTTGTCAGCTGAACATGGAGCGCAGGTAGCATCACAAAGTCGTCGAACCGGACCGCAGCGTTATTACTTGTACGGGCGAGACAGACAGACCCATTGCCATCGCCGATGCTGCGGGTGGATCGAACCAAGCAGGAAGCGCTTGCGGCGCCAAGTTGGCAATGTGAGACAAGATTGTCTCTGAACCTTTTGCGGACTTTTCGTGATTTGATGAGACGAGTTCCTTTGCCCACACGCTCAAGATACGAAGTGCTTGCTGCAGCTTGGAAGCACCTTGATGACTCCAGGGACGTGGGTTCTCTCGCTACTACTACGGCTATTGAGGCTCATCTCCAGATTTTCCTGCAACCCCACATGCACTCGTTCTCCAGGAACAGCTTCGATACTTTGACAATCGACGCTCAAGTCCTGATCCTACTGGAATGGAGATGGCAACGCAATGCGAACTGTACTGCATAATGGCAAGACGTCCACCCTGTTCTGGTCATCGATGACTTGGAGCGTCGCAACGCCAAGCTGGCCACAAATCCAAGCAAGATAAGCAACTTAGCAAAAAAAAAAATCTTCATCGCCTTCAAGAGCGCAGTCCAGGGCCAAGGAGACGTATCCGGAGTCGCGAGCGGATTTCCAGACAAGGCTTGCCGCACCCGCCAATCAGTCGCCCGACCTGCAAAAGGCGTCAACGCATCAATCCAGACACCCCCATGGCCCCCCTGCCTGTTCTGATACCGTCCTGTTCTGTGTCTGCAGACGGGCGACTCATACCTCTGCGAGCAGGGGTTCGATAGGTTCAACTGCGATGTTGAAGGTATCGTGGCTGGCTGCTTGGTACCAGTTCTACGCAGTTGAGCTTCAAAGTTCCAGCCGTGTTTGGCGGTAGTAAGACTACGGAGGATTGATGCTTGGGTTGGACTGACGTGGGTCAGGAGAGCGAATCCGACAGTGCTGCTCTACGAGCACTGACAGTCCTCTACCTACCATGCAAAGGTCCGTATCCATGTCCCTTTTTGTCGTGCCAGCACATAACCGCCAGCTGTTTGGCCCGGACATGCGCATGTCTGCTCGACTCGGAGACCGCATGCAGCTGCTTGCTGCTCCTCGATGCCGGCTTGTTGCTTGCTGCCTGTGCTCCGTCTACTAGTATCCGCAACTCAATCACTTGGTCGTACTCGGTCGGGCCTGGATGCCGGACGAATGACTCGGGGAGGGTCGCTGCGGCACTGGGGCCTGGTCCCAATGTCATGCAAGGCACCGCAGAGGAAGCCCCGCGACAGACACCGCAATTTCGCCTTTTCTCCTCCATCTCCGTTTATCAAGCACGCATGTTTTGGAGTACTAGTAGTAGTACCACATGTACAGGTGAGTATGGGGCCCCGGGCACCTTCTCCATGTATGTACAATGCGATGGGAGCTTCATCGTACGAGATCCGCTGGCAGCTCGCGGCAACGCAAACTGCTGCTCGGCCTTTTCGCCCCCAACAAATACGGTCCAGCCCAGATGAAACAGCCGCAAGCGAACACGCCCGGCGGCGGGAGCCACCACCATATCAGATCATGGGCTTGCCATCATACAACACATGCAGCAAACGCAAATTGATCCGAATACAACCCCGTCGTCAATGCCGCCCTTTGATTTGCCCGGCCTGCCGGGCTACGTGGTGTGTGTATCGGCACACTGCCAGCACGATCGGATGATAGCGATCCACATATATATGATCATCTCACGCCGCATGCACAATATATTAAGTCCCAGGTCGGTTTCCGTTCCGTTCGGCTGCAGCACGAAAGGGCATGTGTGTACCTTGTCGGCTTCCATGTACCTTTCAAGGAACGAGGGTTTGCAATATGGCCATGATTGGCCCCTGGGCAAATGCTGCCACGCGCCTTGCATATGTACTCCGTGCTGCGTACATATGCACGACCGTGTGCGGGCATGGTCTCTCTCTCTCCCTCTCTGTCTTCCTCTGCCTGCTTGCCCGCTCCACCGCTTCCTTGCTTTGCCTTGCTTTTGCTGTTCCGCCCGGGGGGCTCTCTGCGTCTGTGGAATGGCTCCGTGGAAAACGCTCAAAAAGTGATGGACAGGGGAAGGGGAGATGGCATGCCACATCTCCAATGTGCCGAAATCGAGCCATCGTGGGGCGGCTCCAGGCGATTGACTACTGATGAACGAGCCTCAGCCGTCTTGCAACGCGGGCAAGGGCCATAGGAGCGAAGCAAACACCCAGTAGTTGCTCCGAGAGTCCTCGTACACCCATGACTGCGCAATGGGTAGTAATTCTGCGTACTTTGTAGTTTATAGAACGACCTTATTTGTCTGCCTGCTTCGTTGGAGGCGGACTGCAAGCTGCATCGGACCGGTGGGGTAGTATCTGATGAAGTTCCCCCTCGGTGATAAATCCCGCTCCCCTCGATTCAGTCCGCAGCAAGAAACCTGAATCGCTTCATGCCCCCACAACCCCTCGTCTCCCCCGGCTGTTCAGGGATGAGTACTACTACACGTACTACTAGTAGCAGCTGCAAGAGCACGGAGTCTGAAAGTCTGGAGTAGCATCGAACAACACTTGTTGGCAATGGGCGTGCCCAAAGCCCAAAGCTACAGCATGTAGTAGTAACGACAAATTTCATCCTGCAAGCTCATCAGTATACCGTGATAGCCTGCCTGTCCTTGCAAGTTCAATGTACTAGAAGCTCCAAGCTGCCATCGACCTAAACTCGAAAGATGTCTAGCTCGTAAGCTAGACAATACCACATCACCAGCTCTCGGATAATCTACCGAGCGAGAGAGAGCTCAAGCTATCCACTATCTGAAGCATGTGAAAGAGAAGCAGCACTACCTTGGGTAGCTATCACTTGGCATCTCGGTAACTCAATCTTGACATAAGCAGGGCAATGTTCGGCACAAAAGGTAGTAGTAGTGCCGAGATGCCTTCCGCCCAGCCGATTGAACGAGACGTAGATTCGAGGCTTGGTGGTGTAGATTGAGGCTTGTTTCTCTATGGCTTTCGGTTGAAGATGGCTATTACTTGACAGCGATACGCCGTGCATATAGAAGAGGGCGGGGAGAATAGCTGGAGAAGTGCCATCGGGCCGAGAGGGTTGGGGAGTTCAGGTGTTCGAAGTGAACGGAAACCTGTTTGTTGACCGTATCAGCTCGGAGATCGAGACTTCTGATCACGACGATTCCGGGTTGGCGACGTTGATTACATGCTGCTGTCCAAGTCCGTACGCCTCGGGTATGTGGGCGGCTCTTCTCTTGGTCGTCCTGGTGTTCGTGAGTTGCGGCAGCGATATCCCACATTCACTTGACAAGCAGAGGTGCAGTAGATCCGTAGGCAATTGCGAATGAAGGCCCCCCGGAAATATCGAATCTCGCCAGCACCGTTCTCCATCTTTGTGATATCAATTGGCGGAACATCCACCCTCTGTGTATGTACGGAGTATTCGGTAGATAAGGGAATGAGCCGTAGCCAGCTGAACGTCCAACCCGATTGTTTCCGATCCTAAAGATAGGCCTCTCAGCGGCAACTACCTACTAGTATCCAAGGAAGTCTGGGGCTTGCGCTTGCATAACCTTATGCTGACAACATGAGGCAATAGCTGACACTGCTCTCCAAGGAGAAAACGGAAACAATCATGTGAAGAACCCACCATGCAAATTGTCTTTGGCCCGTCTCCAAAACCCGAATCACGTCAGTTGCGTGCTCTATGAGCATCAGCAGCATGTGAGATAACTCTGGCGCCGCTGATCTATCAATCAGTTGAAGTCGGGGGCCAAACCGATCTCTGCCTTATACGAGACGCTGTTCGGCCATAGGGAACTGTTTCGAGCTGTCTGAAAGCCATTGAACAGACTTCTCGGCTCTTCGTTGTGCCTTGTACCTGTAATTGTAGCGCCTCCAAAAGGCATGCAGCTGGGTAAGCTCACGCCTGAGAACCTGGAAGCAGTCCATCACAGACCTCACTACCCGAAGCAGCGGGGTTTCAGGGATCCCCTGACGACGGCTATCCTCTCCTTTGCTCCCGGGCGATTCCATCGCATACAGATGGGAGGGTGAGTGTAGTGTACTTGCTTCTCCTCGGATGGTTGTACCTTGGAACTACCTTGACAGGTGCAAGCGGAGAGCTTTGCCCGTTGTCGCATCGTCTGTGACCATGCGGTAAGTTAGTAAGAGATGAACAAGGGCTGTAGCAACCTCTCCAAAGCAGCAAAATGACATCGAGACGGGATCGCAAACATTAAAGGGGCTGGCAAGAGGAGCTGCCTACTTAGGCTGAGATATCGCCTTTATTGGAACTTTCGTCTCGTTCTATGCAGTCCTCTTTCGCAAAGTAACGGCCAGAGTTGCCTTCCAGCTCGCGTTCATGTTGCGTATAGGCTTCCCCATCCGGAATGCTCGATCGCGAGCCACACACTCTCGGCTCCTTTCTGCATGAGGAGGGAGAAAAGGGGGAGGGTGGAGGGGGGATGAAGTCGGAGGAGGGGCCAATCTTCGAGATAAGCATACATGTGCATGGCTAATTCTTCAGACAGATGTGCGTTCCAATATCAGGCTCTATATCTCCCTGCTGCTGCTGCAGCCAACCCACCTGCATGGTGACATGCAAAGAAAAAGAAGAATCGACCCCACATAAGGCCTGTGTTTTCGACGCATCTCGTCGTTTGCAGGGTTTCAGTGCATCTCGAAACGAAAGGCGAGACACACAGACCATTGAGATTGCCTGTTTTGATTGGCCTGCGGCGCAGATTGCATGAGATATGGACAGGGAGGGGTTGAGGAGGCGGATGGGTTAGTTGCCCGTGGGGCCCCAGGTTCTGTCGTCCTTGCAGATGGAGGATCAATGGTGTTTGCCGCATTGATGCCCAGCGTGTCGAAAATGAAAACGTGTATAAAGCACCACCCAGGTTAGGGATGCAAGGTCGGGAGTACAAAAAAGGGCATCAGAAGGAAGTGGAACGGCACTTTGTGTAGAAAGGGCCGACAACCGATAGAGAGACGCATATGGTGGTCGTATTGACAATAAGGGGGAGGAGACGATGTGACACGTACTATGGGGAAATTGAATCCGGCATCCTTTCACATGGACAATGAACGCGGGATGGTCGATCCTCAGCACACGTGGAGCTTTCATCCTTCGTCTTTCACGTAATAAGGCTCGGTTCAATCATTGTCGTCACTGTGGAATGTAAACTTGTGTGTATCTTTTTGGTCCCTTCTCGGGAGAGTTCTGGCTATTCGCGGCGCTCAATTATCATGTTGCTTCTTCGTTCACTGGGCCTTGGCTTTTGACAACGGCCCCCAGTCTGGTCGAGGGTTCATTTGATATCGAACAAGTTTCTGCGCATCCCGCAGGCGGCCCAGTCGAGCGAGATCGTCATCGAATACCAGGGTTTTCCGCAACTCGGACTCATTGGGGCTGGAAACCTGCTCGCTCGGTTCATCCGCCTTCTCGTCGCCTTGTTGCCCTCCCTCCGCCGCAACGTCTTCCATTTGGCTATCGGCCTCCTTCGCGGCTCCATCTTCTCGACCAACTAGCCCGGCATCGTATAGAATCTTCCAACCGGGCATCAGCGGTGTGAACTTGGATGCCTTGATAGGCGACTTTTGTCGAATCCATTCCGTGATAATCCACCAAATAGTGGACCAAGGTGCATCTGTCTTCACGCTTCCTGGCCGACAGTGACTTCGTCCGACTTGGTAGCCCAGATGTATCAAAGCGCCACGAAACATGTCATCGCTTGGAGCAGCGCAAGATACCACAGTTGCCAGCTTGGAGGGAATCACGAAGAAGGGGCAGTTGTCAATCTCTGCGTGCTGAGCATCCTTAGGATCGACTGAGGAATCAACCTCTGGCCCCGGGATAATCTCTTCCAAGGCCGTCCGAAGCATGCCCTCCAGCCTGGGAAGAGTTCCGTAGACCTCTGGCGAGGCGTTGGGGATCTGATTGAGAAGCCTCTGGATGAAATCTGCCGAATGGATGCGGCCTCCATACATGGGTCCGTTGACATGCATCTTGTGGCCGCAATGTTGGCAGTGTCTATCCACCGTCGGTCCAGCTGCCATGCCGTGCTTATAGAACGACCCACTGCCCTTCTTGTTGGGGGTCGGCTTGCTTCGCAGGAGATACTGGGTCTCGAATGCCGAACAGCCGTGATCGCAGCTGTACACAATCATGGTTTTCGAACCCAGGAACTTGACGGCTTGCGGTGACCTGGTGACCTTGACAAAGACTTTGGTGTAGAAATCGATGGATAGAGACAGTAAAGGTTCAATGGCCAGACCATATCGGGCGCCAGACGTCGCAATGGCATTCAGGATCAGCCGCAACCCTGCCTCGTGAGAGTGCATGCCTTTGATAGGTGTGCCGCCGTAGAGCGCAAACGTCTTTTCGCAGTAGCTGTGTCCCGCCCAGACTGCACTATCAGTGCATGTGATGCAGAGCAGGCCACCGTCATCCCTGACTGACTGCAGCGCTGCGTCGAAAAACGGTGCTGCGGTGCCGTATGGATCCAGGTCGATAACGTCAAACTTGTGAGACTTGGTCGGATTGCCGTGGCGGTCTCTCTTCGAAAGGTCGTCGGCGATTGCGCGATACATGTGTGCAAGGGCATCCTCGTTCGTCACCGTGATGACATCGTCGAGGCCGTTGTGGTTCACGTTCAGCTTGATAGACTCGGCAGCTGATTTGGAGAGATCGTTTGCGTTTATAGAAGTAACAAAAGGCAATTCATGTCCGTATCGCAGCGCTCGTAGCCCGGATGCCGATAAGGCGTCTAGTATCCTGAAGCTCGACTTGTGGGCTTTCTGTTCTTCTGAGAGTTCAGGGGCAGGCTCTGACACCAGCTTCGCAGTCGCCTCTGGCTCGTCCGAGGGCTTGCCGTCATCTTTCTCATCCCGCTTCCTCTTCTTTCCCTGCTTGTTCGATCTTGCCAGGATCTTCTCCTTTCTCTTCGCCAGGATTTCCTCCCCGTATGTCTTGATGGCAAGGACCGACAGATCTCGGTTGTACTGCTGGATCGGATTGTAGAACACCTGTTGCACTTCTCCCTTGTCCTCTCCAATCTTGGCACCCTGAGGCACCAAGATGGTCGCCTTACCTTCCTTCACCACGCGAAACTGCTTTCCATCCTTCTCCACGGTCTCGAGTTCAACGGTGCCTGCCATTGGCGCAACTGTAGAAGAGTAATTCCTTCCGACGATGGATCGCGTGTTGACAATTGGGGCGATTTTGCCGCAGGAACTGGCCTGTCTCAGCGTTCCTGTGAGGCGCAACAAGTGCTTCAGGGCAAAAGCACCGCGCAACATGCAATATCAAGTTGCCGTTTCGAGATTCAATTGTTTGGTAGAAGGACGACGTCTGAAAAAGCTTCGAGTCGGGAAGCTCCAAACCCACAATTTTTTCGATATTCTGCCGCTTGCTACAAAGGCGGTGAAATCTGATGGCCCCACCATCATCGACCTCCAAGAGCTGCTCCATCTCTATGCATCACATTATCGCCAATGGCATCATCTCCAAGCCGTACTCTTTCATGCCTACGACAATATTCTGTTGAAGGCTGTGCTTGGAACATGTAGTGCTCAGGGATATATAACTCCGTGAACGAGAAAAGCCGGGTCATAGAGAAAGACCTGGTTGCTCCGAGGTCTTCTGGCTTACAAGCAAAGAGAGACGACCTCACAATGTAACTTGGCGCAACTTGATGTGTTATTCCCAGTATGCAGGGCCGCAACAACGACTGCTCCCGTAGGACACAACATGCTATCAGTATGCTCCTTTCCGTGCAGAAGAGACGCTCATTCTCCAAAGCCATCAGCACACACTCGCACAGACGATCCGTCCTTCCAGCCATCCCCAGCTGCTCATCTCTGCTACTTCTCACAAGAGCTTGCATTGATCGTGCCCGGTTGCCCAACGAAAGACTCCCCTGATGTCTTCGCGTATTCTCGGTTGGCCATGTGCTTGAGCATCTCCATGCGCAGGCACTCCTTGCCACGACCTCAATCGCGGGTAAGAGCTTGCGTGATGTTGAAGCAGAACATGTTCTCTGGCTCCTTCTTCCATAGTAGGATAAGAAAAAAATAACCGATGCCACCGATGTCTGTTTCTTCTCTCTCTGAACCACGATATTTCACCTTTCTCTTCATTTTTGCTTCTTGTCTTCACCTCGCGAGCAGACGCTGGTGAACTGCCCGTAGCCTTTTGGTCACCCTTCCATCTCCAGTTTGTTGGTCCGCAGCTCCCAATCACTGCCCCTGTTTCTCCTCGTCTTCATCCTCCATCGCCCATCATGTCCAAGCCAGCAAAGGGCATTCCCAACACCGAAGCTCCCACTCTCCCTCCTTTTTCTGTCGGGAAGAACAACAACAACAACAACGGCAACAACGGCAACAACGGCAACAACAGCAACAACAATTATCCCGTGCCACCTGCAGGTTCTCATGATCATGCTCCCAAGCAAGCTCCGGCTCCCAACGGACCTCCCAATGCCCCTCCGGCACCCAGACCTCCCAAGGCCCAAGAGGATCATCAGCATCACCAGACGCCACGTCACAGGTTTCTTTCACCTCATGAATGGGCAATCGTTGCCCACGGCATAGGCGGCATCCGGGACCGGGAACAGCAGGCACCAATCCACCCAACCAGCTGGCTCTGGCCCCCCAAGGGCATGCCTCGCGGCCTGTACAAGGACACCGTGACTCAGCGGACCAAGTTTTTCTATTGCTACCATGCGTCTAGTGGCATCAGGTGGATTTTGATGTTGTTGCAGCTCTTCATCGGAGCGACGCTGACAGCCCTCGGCTCCATGTCCTTCACCCAAGGCACGCCCATCACCATTCTGGGCGCTGCCAACACCGTCATCGCCGGACTCCTTGCCTTTCTCCAGAACAGCGGACTGCCTGATCGATATCGCTATGACAAGTCCGAGTTCGAGGCCCTGGAGGACCACATCAAAGAGATTCTCGACTCCGGGATTGCCCCTGCGGACCAGGCCGCTGACCAGATTCTTGCCGAGTGTTTCGACCTTTACCAAGACGCCAAGGCGACGGTATCTGCGAACCTGCCAGCCAACTACATGTCTCGAATTGCCCAGCAGGCAGGCCAACGGTCCGGTGCTTTGATGCAAGCTGGTGCCCCGGCCATGTCGAAGCCTGTGACTCTGACAATTGGTGGCGGAGATGGCACTGCCAGCGTGGCCAGTGGAAGATAATGGCAGACGAGTTGTTCATATGCGCCGCGGCCGACTCCAGCAGGCAGTTGCTTTCGATATTTCGACATTCCTCCCAATCCAGATTGTGTTCGACATTTACCACATCCATCTTTCCAAGATGAGTGAAACGGCTCATATCATTTACGGCGCGCTTTTGCGACTCACATCATCGCTACCATTTTGCAGCAAACATGTTGTCGCCCTCATGTAGAGGGAATACTTGGACCAGATCAGGGGTCCCTAATGGAAGTGCACAGACGATGGCCACGGACTTTGTCTCTCTGCGTTGTTGTTTGATCTGGCGCTAAGGGGCTGGGGACTGCTTTGCGTACACGGATGGCGAGCATTTTTGGCATGTTTCTCCGACGGGAATCGTCGTTAGAGGTAATTGATGGTGCGATCTTTTGTGCAGATAGTTTATCGAATAGCATCTGTATCCCCTCTGTGCCGTGTTTGTTCTTGGGGATAAGTGAGTGACCATGTAATGACCTTGCAGTGACCTTGGCTACAGTCGCCTTAGAACAGAACGTTATAGAGTTGATTAAGAATCCCATTTGCATGTATTGATTTGCATCTTACTCGGTGCTGATACTTCTCCAATCCTCCTTGGTGAGTTCGTAGTATATCTCGTTCTTGTCCTTGTCAAACTCGGCCGGACTCACGACCCCCTTGCCCTCGAGTCCAAGTTTCTTATGCAGAAGCTTGACCATTGGATCATTATCTTCCAGCGTGGTGATGGTGACCAGATCAAGCTGAGGACCTCCCTCGCTTGCAGGCGTGAATGCCCAATTGATTGCCATCTTCATAGCCTCAACGCCGTAGCCTTGTCGCTTGTACGCAGGATCCAGCATGACGCCCACGTCTCCAGCGCGGACCTTGCGTCCATCTCGCTCCCAGTCCTTGATTGCCCCAAACCCTCCAATACCAATGACCTTTTCAACGGGCTGGCCGTTTTCGTCCTCCGTCTTGAGCACGAGCATCATGTTTACGCGGCTCGGTCCAGAAACCACATTTCCCTGGTCGTCGAGGACGGTGGGCTGGCTTGCTGCTTCGCGCATGCGACCGATGACTGCGCCCGCAGTTGCGACATCGATGTCTTTGGCGTTGGGGTCGGTCTTGTTTGAGGGTGCGGAGAGGATGTGCGAGAGGGAGGGGGCGTCGGAGGGGAGGATTGTGCGGAGGGTGAGGAGCGGGTTTGTGGGGGAGGGGATGGTTGTGTCGAGGTGGGAGATTTGGCGGGACATTGTTGTTGCTGTTGTTGCTGTTGCTTGTTGTTGCTTGTTGTTGCTATTTGAGTGAGTGGCTGAATGAGTAAAGGTGAGAGAGATGGGATGGTGACTGGGAGTTGTCTTGAATGTAGAGTGGTAATATACCTCGTAGGATCTGGGTTGGTGAGGCTTGTTTTATAGCACGTCGACAGTCTCATATGCTTGAGGGGTTGAAGATCAAGATAACGCCTATAAAACGGAGTGTTGAATCCTTCGGGCATTTCCTCACTTGCTCCTCATGCAGCTAATGGCAATCAATCCACCAGTCCCGGAAATAATACCACCCAGAATCCCTCGAGGCGGTACGTTATTGTCCTGCATGTTGAGTCAGAGAGATGGCACTCTTCAAAAGTTCGCCTCGCTTCGAGCGTCGACTGCCAAAACGGGCAATTACTCGTGGATAAAAAGAACGTCTCAATGAGTCACTAGACGCAACCACCCTGGCTTGGAGCTCTCATTATAGGATATCATGGTATTATATCGCGATGATGGGATTAGGGCTAAAGATGTTGTTTAGTTTATTATAAGAGGTAAAATCCAAGAAAAGCATCGCGGATAGATTACACAGATTTGTAGAATTCCATCATCTGGAGTAAGTAGTAAGTAGAGGCATGCTTCCATCACGCTCAAAGAAAAGCCGTACACCAAATGTCCCATTGCAGGTTAATGCCCTTCGTATAATCTTGACATCGTCAATCTATCAACAAAATCACTCACTCCATCTATCAATCCGCCGACAAAGGCGCTGGGCTAGCTCTCTTAGCCGTGCTCCGTAGTGTGCGTCCACCGCTGCCGTCCGCCTCCGCATCCGCCGTCGGGCTGCTCTCCCTGGACAGCCGTGATGGGATATCGGGCGTCACGGATCGAGAGTCGGTGCCCGGCCTCTTCACCTTGGACATTGACGACGCTGCCTTCCGGCGCTTCTCCGCAGAGGCAGGCTGCTTGCGCGGCGTTTGGCCATCGCTGTCAAAAACCATTGGCGTCTGGCTCCTCGAGGAGCTCACCGACGAGCGGCGCACACTGCTGTTCCTACGCTTGCGATCTGCGCTCGCCAGTCGGTGATGCGGCAGCTTTGGCGGGTCGCGACGAGCGCGAGGCTGCGAATGCTGGCGCCAAGGCAGCCACCACAGCCAGCCGTATTGCTCCTTTGCGACCTTCCTGTCGTGCTCCTTGACTTTCTGCCGGAGAAGCCGCCGGCGCTCATTCTCCCTCTCCCAGTACTCGGTGCGGTAGAGCTCCCAGTTTTCGCGGAATGTAGGCGAGAACGGCTTGGGTAGGAGCAGTAGCTTGACGTAATCCCCGCCAGGCGCCAGATCCTCCTCGTGACCGCCCAGCTCGTCGTCGTCGGGTGGAAGAACAAGCGTCGGGTGGTTATCGCTCGAGAGCTGCAGCTCCTTCTCGACTTGGCGCAACAGTTGCGGCTCGACAAGGCGGTACGACGAACTGGCGGTATGCGAGAAGAGGCCGTACGTGAGGAAGAAACCAATGGTCGAGAGCGCCTCGGCCCACCACGTCTGCCTGATGATGACGAGCTTGCAGTTGAAGCCGCGCAGACCTCGGTTGGAGATGGCGAACCAGCGGCGCGGCCACCGGATGCCGCGATCCCAGATGCCCGTTGCCCAGACGAGAGCGGCGGTGATGATGCCGCCCATGAAGCACACCTTTTGCGCGCCCTCGACGGCCCAGTAGATAGACCCTCCTACGCCGCGGCCGTCCTCGCGCGGCGCAAAGTAGAGCTTGTACCCAAAGAATGCGACCCAGAGCGTCAGGATGGCGAGGAAGAAGGTGTGGTGCCGCTTGCGAGCGCGCAACTCGAGGAACTGGGCGCGCAGCGAGGCTTCGAGGATCAAGAGGTTGAGGTAGATCATGGACGGGGAGCTCGGCGTGTGATGCAGCGGATCGCCAGGCTTGCTCGCCGGCGGAAACGGGCCTGTGCCAGAGCCGGGTTTGGCATCGCTGGCGGCTGTGGCAGCGGAAGCGGCAGTCGGGGCTCCCTTGACGATCGAGTCGAGGTCTTCGGCCATGATTATGCGGGCAGCCGCCGGCTCGGGCTCGGAGAGGGGGGCTGGCGGCTCAGGGGCTCGTCAGAGCGGCTCGGGGTTCGCAGGAGAATCGCCTTGTTCTGGGAGGGAAAGTCATGAAGTAATGGATGAAATGCGAAGATGGAGACCGAAGCTTTGTGTCAGCCTCGCTGGGAGAGTTGCGTGGGTGGTGGGATGATTGGCCGATAGCAAGGTACCTCGTACTCGTACATTGCTCTGTGGGGCTGGGGCACTTTCGATCTCGCCATTGCGGAGCTCTTATTGGTTGGCTCGCATCCTGCAAGCGGGAAGTCATCGCAAGGCTGTCAGTAGCCGACTAATAGCTGGTGAGCAGCTTCCTCGGTTTGCGAGCTTATCAACCCAGTGTCCAGCTGGAGTCCTACAACCACATGAGGGATGCAAGTCTAGGTATGTAAGTTGTCGGGTGCTTATTGCAATGTGCCGACCTGTGCCAAATTGCGCAAGGGGTGGAGGGATTCACCCTACTGCGCGAGATGCTCAGAATCTAGGAGATGATGTGCTTAATTACTGGCTGTATTATTGATTACTATTGAAAAGCATCCATATGCATTACTGCCAACGACACTTTTGCTTGCTATGCTCAAGCTGTCCTTGAGCACATGTTGTTTTATATGAAATTCTTCTATCGCTTGCCCGAGTGCTTCTTCTCCTTGGCAATCTCATAGAAGATACTTCCGTCGTAGAGCTTCCGAATCTCCTCCTTCTTCATACGTCCATCTCCCGGCCACAGGAGGATATATGTCGCAAGCCCTGCAGGAAATAGTCAAAGTCAGCGTCAAGTTTCTCTCACTCCCAAGTGACAAGACTGGTCAAAAAGAATTTAACGTACACTCAAGCGCCGCCGCCGTGTAACCAAACGGATCGGCCACCACCCTCTGCCCCTTGAGCAGGTTCCACACGTCCCGCAGCGTGACAAAGTCCTTGTCATCAGCGTACTTGGAGAACATGTCCTCGAACTTTTGGGGCACGAAACGGCCCTCGCTGTCGTAGGTTCCCGTGTCGCTGCCGTGCTTCGTCTTGTGGATGTTCTTGAGGTAGATGCGGAAGAAGGGGTCGGGGAGGTAGCCGTTGACGGTCGGGTAGGAAAAGGGGATGTGGATGATGAAGGTGGCGAGGAGGCTGAGGAGGAGGTTCCAGCCTAGGCCGCGGAAGCCTTTGAATGTGTCGAGAGGCCAGATGATGCCATCTTTGTCCTATGTTTCGTTAGGATGCTGATACACAACTGGAGGTTTGGGGGGTTCTTACTTGATCAAAGTAGTCGCAGTGCTGCTGAAGAACCTGTTGATGGGTTAGAATGGGAACGGCTCAGGTCACGTAGAGGAAATCTCACAGTCTGGTTCTGGTGCTCCTTTGCCCAATTGCCTGCTTGCGAGCCTTGCGGCTGCTCATACGTCGCAGCTACATTCGCTCTGGGTGTTCCTTTTCACATCTGTTAGCTAAATTTCTTTGACGCGTGTTATCAAATCGAGATCATACCAGCATGCGGCAACCTCACATCGTCTTCTGGCTGAAGGAACGGTTTTCGCTGGACTGTGACTGGGACTTGTCGGATATAGCTGGTGACGCCATCTGAGCGAGAATTGGAATCTTTCTCGGAGTCCGGATCCGGACCAACTCCGTTCACCAGTGCTGCCTTGTAATCCATTGTGACTTTTCGAGTTGAGGTTCGAAACTGGAGAGTGGGATTATCGCCGAAGTTGTTGCTGTAATGTTGCAGGAGAAAAGTAGAAAGTCAATTGACAAATTGTAGGTGATGAGCTTCCTCTTGGTGTGATTTACACTGCTTTTAAGCAAATTCACATGCAACGCAAGATTATGTGTGAAGCGTGGACGAAAGCGGCCTTGAATTGGCATATGACGACATCGTGAGTTCATTCCCGGGGGTGTCGCGGGTAGTCGCCTAGTAGAGCTGGTGAAGCTTGGACAATGGCCAATTGAGGCTGACGATCATCCCGACGTCATGGCGGGAATTTACATGTCTCGCACCCGCTGATTTTGTATGAGATTGTACAACCCCGTGATGGCTGACCTTTGAATGAAATTCAATTGGCATGTGATGATTTAAATAAACCTAAGATTATCCACCTCATGCACAGACATGGAAATGCAATTGATGTGACTGGCTAATTAATATGTGTGTATCTAAGATCCGATCTGCATTTATCAACCACGATGGTCTTCATGACGACCAGTTCAGTAGAACTTCGTCTGGAGCAGGACAGCCTTCTGTATTCAATGGCAGGCAACATAGGTCGAAAGACTCGAACTCGTGGCGATTCTAAGCTGCAGTTACTCACAAGGACTCGCATGATGCCGACTCAAACCGCCTGCTTGATCAGAGCTTCACTAATCTTCCACAGCTTCTCTGCAACCACAGGGTCGAGAGCTTCAGGCAGCACGCCCTCTTGCGTCAATACTCCGTCGGCTAGATAATAGCCGTCCTTGTCTACCAGACAACGTCAGCATCGATTCATCGTCACGGCGATATGTAAACAGTAATCAGTGAAAACGTTAAGAGGGGAAACGTACTGGTGAGGCGATGGTCGAAAGCAGCAATGATCCCAGTCGACGAACCCTCCGCTAAGCTCTTTGCCTTGATGGCGGAGTTGAGGTTACCATTATCATCAATCCAGCCTAATGACACGCTTATCAGCATCCCATAAGCCGTGACTGAGAAGTATAAGAGACATACCAAGCGTCTTGAAGTCCTCCATCGGCACACTCCTCGTCAGCCCCGTGGAAACAATGACACCCGGATCAACGCTGAAAGAGCGCAGTCCAGCCTCTCCAAAGCGCTTCGCCAATCCCACCGAAAAGAGCACATTGCAAGCCTTGGAATTGCTATAGGCCGTCCACTTCTCGTACGCTTTACCCTCATTGTACGACAAATCGTCCAAAAACGCCAAGTTGGCGCGTGACTGCGCTTCGCTCGTGTACATTACGACAGTGCCATGCTCAGAAGCAAGCAGCTTGTCAATCAACATATTGACGAGGAGAAAGTGCCCGAGGTGGTTGACGGCGAATTGCATCTCGACGCCATCTTTCGAGGTCTCATATGAAGGCGTGGCCATGACGCCGGCAGTGCAGATGACGGCGTCCAGGACGGATACAGAGTCGCGGATTTCCTCGGCGGCTTCGCGAGTGGCTTCCAGAGAGGAGAGATCAAGCACAATGGGTTGGACGGTAGTCTGCTGAGGGACATCGAGGGAGGTAATGACCTCTTGAAGCTTGTCCGCCGAGCGGCTGGCGAGGAGGAGTTTGGCTGGCTTTTGGGCGACGATGGCTCGAGCTGTGTCGGAGCCGAGAGAGTTGGGGCTGACGCCGGTAATGAGAACTAGATGCTCAAGGTTAACATCTAGAGGACATCTCGGAGATGAATGGATCAGAGTGACTCAACTTGTCTTTCCGGTGATGGCGTCCTTGAGGGCTGTGGCAGCCTCATCAGAGGTGGTGTGGAATCCAAATTGAGCCATGGTGAATATTTCTAATGATCTATATAAATGGATACTCTTGCTGTGGTTTGATCTTAGAAACTACTAGAGGATAGATTCTGCTTTTATATCTGAAATCTTGGTCAGTCACTATGCGGTCCCTCATGGGTGCTGACGCTACCACCACCACCAGCGTAAGCAACACCGCAATCCATGATCAACAATGCCTTCCGCCCAATAAGTCCGCATAATGAGACCAAGGCCGAGAAACTTACAGTATATCAACCATCAAGCTCAAATTGATATGATTTCACCTCTCTGAGCCGCCCACCACCGCGAGCTATGCCACAGCTCACCCTCCTTTCCTCCAACAAGCCACTTCCACTTTCTAAGGAACCACTCTTTGGCTTCCCAGCTGTGGCTGTCCCACGGCGTGCCATGATCCATCCCATTCTGGCTCGCGGAGCCCCAGCACACGAGCCCATCATGCAGCATCAGATCAAGACATAGGTCGTCTTCATCTAGTAGAGGCGGATCCGCTGCCAGAGCTGCCAATGCCCGTCGCCGGAACGTTGGGAAGGGCAGTGAGTCGATATAGGGATGATGGGGTACTTTATACTGCGAAGAAATTGGGCGTAGGTTCGGCGGAACATCATGAGTTGGAAGAATTGTTGAAGTGTCCGTGCTGCCGCCTTCTGTGGTGCTGCTTGTGCAGAAAGGAGATACACTACGCTCATCTAGAAACAGCCCGAAGTCAAAGCCCAGCGAGCTGAAGTTGGTGAATAAAGCGGAAAAGTAGGAGAATCTGGCAATGCGGAGGGAGTTGCGGTAGGGTGAATAGGAGGACACCATCGGAGACGTGACGAATTGCAGCTCTGACAGCCGCCGCTCGGTGGTTTTGTGCTCGCTGCTTCCAAAGCCTTGACCAGTTTGGTTGGTCGAGCTTGTGTCAGCCAGTAATAGTGATGACGAGATCATGTCTATGAAGCTGAAGTCGCCTTCCTTGGCCAGCTGGGAGAGACGCCGCCTTGTTGATTGGGGAAGAAGCTGGAACCACTTGCGGATAAGCTGCGGTCTGCGGGAAAGGGGTCTGCTGCTGGGGCGGTAGATCTGTATTTCTTTGTTGGTATGCGAAGTAGGGGCTAAGTACATGGACGCCGGTGTATTTGAAGAGCGTAGAGAAAGGGACGAGGACGCCGTGAAAGTACTCGTATGTGACTCTTTGGCCGGAGTTGATGTCGACGCCTCTGTCTCGGCAGTATGAAGCAAGGAAGAGAAGCTCTCCTGTGAGGTGCTTTCTGCCACCATTGGCTGACTCTCATTGATCATGATATCAGGCAAGCCCATCATTTCCATCGCAAATGGAGTTGAAGGCAGATGCTCGAGCCATGCATTGCCGCCATCGTAGTTCCATGCATCCCCGTACGACTGTGATGAGGGATCGGCAGTAGACGGATTCAGAGACGGCGGGCCGTCTTCATGGATTCTCGGGAGATCCGGAATTGCACTTGCTACAGGCGTCACTGTATTCTGGCCAGAAGCGAACTCAGAGCCAATTCCATGACCAAGGGAGGCAACTTTGGCCTCCAGCTCTCTCAGCCGCTCTCTCTTGCGCTGACGATATGCTCTCTGAGCCCTGCAATTCTGTAATCGCCGCTCAGCAGTGATTGGCTTGTTGAGACGCCGTCGCAATCTCGGCCCTGAGCTCTTTTGTGAAGATGGCTTTGAAGCATTGGTCGCATCGCCAGCTGGCTGTGGAACTGAGTTGCTCCCGCTTGTCATGGCTGAGGCCTCTCCAGCAGCAACGCGTACTCGGTATGGCCCTGGACGAGATGTTCAATCTCAGGTGATGATCGAAAATTGATTACGTAGCACAAATTCGTTCACTAACGATGAAAGATGAGGTCAGGTAGGTAGGATAGCTGTAAAAGAGGGTATAGTCAACAAGTCGTGTTCGATAGAAGCGTGATGGAGGTGATGTTGAGCTATAACTGATCAAATGGTGCTTACGAGAAAGGCCCTCGAGGTGCTTACGGTTCGGGGATTGCTAGCCCCTGATGTATCTGACAAGTGTCCCGGCAGTTGGAAATGGCAGTAAATACGCCCTGGATCTACCTGTGGGGTACCGGCCATGCTCGCGGAGTTAAGCAACTTGGAAATGAAGGCATACTAGGTACCTCTATCTGGTGCGAGACGTCATTCCGCGATCCCTCAGAGATTCTCACAACATGTCACAAACGGAGACTGATGAAAAGATCAATGTGGAATGACATACTCAAATTTACCACGCTGTCTAGTACCTTTACCCATAGTTCCTCTGCTCCGCCAAATACCATAGACGCCGTCGCTGATCCTCCATATTATCGACATGATTTCCAACGCTTTCCATCACCTCCAAATCTTCACTTCTCGCTAACATGCTAAATGATGGAGATCGCCTTCAGACGCTCAGTCGCGAATATTGCACATGAAGTCATCCTCCCCAATTCGCACAGAAATTTGCGGCTCTATCGTTGCCCTGAAGGAGGCACAAGCCAAACTACGTGAACAGGTCAGCAAAGCATGTCAAAACACTGGGGATAATCGAGCTCCTGTTACTTACGCGAAAGTAGATAGACATCAAGAAAAACAGGCGCTCTCCAATTTAGGCGCTCGTTTCAGCCTGGAGCTTGGACTTCTTCTGGGTCGTGACCCTCTCAATCCTCTTGATACCCCGAGAGTCTTCAATGACCCGGACGTAGGGGCGCTCGGCTCCCATGTTCTTGTCGACCTTGATGTCCTGGCCACGCTTGAAGAGGCGCACTTCAGAGAGGGGGCAGTTGCTCGGAACCAGCGGGGCCGAGTTGAGCTCGTCGGCAAGCTGCAAGACGGTGCAGAATCTAGCGACAATGTGCTTCGAGGTAGGGTTGAGTGACCAGATCTTGCGACACACCGTCAGAGGCAGCCGAGCAAGACCAAGGAGCTCAAAGACGATGTTGGGCTGCTGAGAGGCGACGGGGTCGTAGAGCTCACCCAGCTGCTCCACGCCCTCAACGGCAGAAGTTCGTCGGGCCGCCATAAAGAGACGGCAGAATTTGTCTTCGGAAAGACAAAACTTGTTAAACAGCATGAAGCAGTCGGCGTGGTAGATTGACTTTCCCCAGGGATTGCGGGTGCAGTCTTTGCAGTCTTTTGGTTTGCACAAGACGGCGCTGTCGGTCTTTTTAAGGAGCTTGTCCTTCTGAAAGGGGGGTACCTTGTATATTTTCCCCTCGAACGCGTTGAAAGACTCGTGGCGAGCTATAATAAGCTGTCAGCCGGTACGCCATAGATATACAATGTTGTAAGAAAGGGTTCTTCAGTTTCTTGCTTGTGACGAGGATTTGCTTCCTCTTCACTGGCCTGTTGCAGGCACCGCAGACCGGGCAATGTGAATGTGAGGACGGCTGTTGTAAGGCATTTTGATAAGTGAGCCAAGCTGATGTTTGTTTTTCGAGTCGATATTGGCACTGTTGATTGCAGTTGTGGATATGAGTTGGGTCGAGAGCAAAGGATCAGTTCGAAATGTTGATTTTGATTTGAATTTGAAGAATATTACGGATGAAGAGTCCCGGCAAGAGTGTGTTTATATGCGTTGGGGACTCAAGACATTTTATTACATCCTCTCAGCCACAAATATCCAACCTGGGTTGGCTTGAATCTTGTAGGTTTGAAGACTAGTATGAGCTAGGTCTCTGAAAGGATTAGACCCTGACGAGAGTAAGAGGCAGTACCGAAAGTATGTTCAACGCCACTCCCTGATGCTTCAAAGTCGGATTGGTCTTTGCCTATGCCTCACTGCCAGTGAGCCTGCCGGCTTGCCTCATGGCGTTGAGCTCAAGTTTAACTGGCTGAAAGATTGGAACTGGTGGTTGACGTTGACTGTCTTGAGTCTATGGTTTACTTCCGGCAAGAGATCCCAAGGCATCACGATGCCTCGCCTCAGACGTTTGTGCTTCTCTGTTATCTTCCTCGATTACCTCATGGCGTCTTCTCGTGGCTGTTTTCATGGCATTGGCACTGGATACCCGAGCATGTTCAGGATGGCTGGAGGCTATCTTGCTGGGTATACCAAATGTGTCCAAGATGTAGCCACCGCCGGCGTTGCTGTGTCACAACTTAGCCGGAGAAGGCGACAAGAATAAACTCAGATTAAGCTTAGATCCTCGGACAATGTTTCCGTGGGCTTGTTGAGGTTCACTGTCTGGGTGTTCTTCCGTGCGATTGTGTGGAGATAAGACAACTACTAGGTAGGTACTAGGCTACAAGTGTCGCTTATACCTTAGCCACTGCGTCAACAGAGTTGTGGACTGCCCAATGGAGCGTCACTGTCCCGTTGATCTCCCTGATGCAATCTCTGGGCCAAGGATTTCCCTGGAGCATTCAAGTTGGTGTTATCGAAATGTCCTAACAGAACCGCCTTTGAACTGCCAGCGATTCTGTTAGTGACATGATAGTCACTCTGGCGGTCGATCTCCCTTGGGCTGGCGGAGATTTGGCTCAGAAGTGGTGGAGATTGAGATGCGTCAGCGATCGGGAAAGGGACAGGGTCCAATCTCTTGGCTCTCGATAAGCGTAATCATCGCTATCCCTTTGTGCCTTGCGGAGTTTGTTGCGGTGGGATTGTCAGACTGGAGACGAAGATTATTTGTAGAATTTCTCGGTATTGCTTCACTGTGGTTCTCTTTGGCTTGCAGTAGATACCACATGTAAAAGTAGCCTCTGCCTGGGCCGAACTTAACCTGTCTCTCAGCTTCCTCTCTTGTCCATCGTCTTGATCCATATTTAGCAAAGCGGCACCCGGCGGCGGCGAGCTGACAGGAGCCAATCAGCGACGAGGATGCGAGGGCGTTGAAGATGCAGCGGCACGGAGTCCGGGGCAAATGGTTGATTGGTGACTCCGAACAGTGCCGTTGATGGTGACGACATCTGTATTAGGTAGTCTAGAGAAATTGATAAGGTACTATGTAGTAGCATTCCGGAGAGATGGCAAGGTTGGTAAATGTGTTTACGAGATTCACGGTTGAACATGGTGATGAATGCCATCAATCTGCTCCCACCAAGTCTACCTGTAGGTACATGCCAGCAAACATCATGTAGCCCTGCCCACTGGGGCACGACGCTCTCCAGGGCCCCTCTGCAGGTCACCCGCCCGCTGAGCTCAACAAAAATGCCCCTATATCGAGTCGCCCCTTGGCAGGCACACTAAAAGACTGGGTATCGACATGTATAGTCCATGACCACTCGATCTCGACTCGAAGCTGCTTCCAGTCTGTTTTCCTTCCTCCTTACACATCGCTCACCACCACGAATCCCGTCTTCCTCCCCATCTCACATACAGTCGTCATTGTCATCGTCAGCGTCATCCGTCTGCATTGGACGCACCGCACCTTGCATTCGCTACCGCTCGCATTGCGCCACCTCTGCACTACCTACCTATTATCCCGTCCAATCCTCTCGGAATCCGGATCGCCCAAACCCCGAGCCACTCCCAGGCCTTGCGTCTAAACTCCGTCCGACCCTCCGCCGCCCAAACCCGGCCGCCTCACCAACGAGTTGCGTGGCCGCACCACAAAGGGATTCGAGCGCTGCCTTTGTCATACGGAATCTGTTTGGTGCCTGGTGCCTCGTGCATTAGGTGTCTTCTGTCTTCCCGATAAAAGCCTGCGCACTGCCCAGACGCCCGCCCGCTCCCAGGCAATGCTCAAGACGCAGACCGTCTCAGCGATACTGCACCGATCGCGCCTCAGCTTCCCCATCACCACTTCGTCCTCGCCTCTGCCCGCCACCACATCCAGCATGTCCACCACCGAAAATGCCATCCGCGCTCACCCGCCGCGCGAGGCGCCCGAGGAGCTGCGCCAGCAGCGGCCTCAGCAGCCTTCGGGCGCATACTTTCCGCTGGGATACAAGGAGGCTGCCTACCAATGGGTATGTGGTCTCTCAGTTAACAAATTAGGTCTTACTCTTGCTAACAGTCTTTGTTAGTGGTGCGGTGTCACGCCGTCCATGGCCGAGCGCAGCGTCCTCAAGCACATTCCCTTTCTGAAAGAGGCCACCGCCAGCATGGGCAGCCTTTCCAATACCGACGTGGGCGACCCCTACGGCAACAGAATCTGGCGGCGGTCCATGGTCCAGCTCTCCGGCAAGAACCGCGCGCTCAACGAATTCTCCATCGAGCGAGTCGGCGAGGAAACCGAAGAGACGTTGGTCATGCTTCACGGCTACGGCGCCGGCCTCGGCTTCTTCTACAAGAACTTTGAGCCCATATCCCGCATTCCTGGCCTGAAGCTGTATGCCCTCGACATGCTGGGCATGGGCAATTCCTCCAGGCCATCGTTCAAGATACATGCAAAGGACAGGGAGGGCAAGGTGATTGAGGCAGAGAACTGGTTCATCGACGCCCTCGAGGAGTGGCGCAAGGCGCGCAAGATTGAGCGCTTCACCCTGCTGGGCCACTCTCTGGGCGGCTACCTGGCCGTCTCGTACGCCCTCAAGTATCCGGGCCACCTGAAGAAGCTTATCCTTGCGTCGCCCGTCGGCATCCCAGAGGACCCCTACGCCGTCAACTCCGCCTTGCCCGAGCCTAGCGAGTCCACGATGCAGAATGAGTTCACTGTCGACCAGCAAACCACAACGTCCACCAAGAACGGAGCTGCCGTGCCGCCTAGACGTCCCTACCCTAGCTGGCTTGTCTGGCTCTGGGACGCCAACGTGTCGCCCTTTAGCATTGTCCGGATGGCTGGTCCCCTCGGCCCTCGATTCGTTTCGGGTTGGACTTCGCGACGGTTCAACCACCTCCCGGCCGAGGAAGCCCAGACCCTGCACGACTACTCCTTTTCCATCTTCAAGCAGAAGGGCAGTGGCGAGTATGCCTTGGCCTATATCCTAGCGCCGGGTGCCTTTGCCCGTCGACCGGTGATCAACCGCATCCAGGATGTCGGTCGCCAGCCCATCAAAGGCCCGAATGGCGAGGTTGTCGGCAAGGAGACGGGCATTCCCATCGTCTTCATGTACGGCGAGAACGACTGGATGGACGTTGCCGGTGGACTTGCTGCCGAGGAGAAGCTGAAGCAGGTCAAGGCCAACATCATGCGCACCGGCACAGAGGAGGACAAGGCTAACGAAAACGGGAGCTGCAAGGTTGTCATCATCCCCAAGGCGGGCCACCACCTGTATCTTGACAATGCCGAGTTTTTCAACAACATTATGAGGAAGGAGATGGAGGATGTCAAGGAGATGGAGAAGCGCAAGCGAGCGGAGTCGTCCTAGATTTTCTTTTTGGTTTATCATCTGTTCTGCTTGTTTGGGATATACATGTTTGCATAGAGCGAGGAGCTATCACAGGATATACGGCGTTGAAGCGATGGGGGTGGACATGGACAAGATGGTGGTTACTGACAGGTGTTTTTTGACATTTGAAGGGCATGATGTTGGCATATATTACTCCGTTGATTATATGAGACGTTGATAGAGCGGCTTAATAGATGTTTGATAGCCATTACAATCACATCACAAGCACTCAGTCCGCGATATAATAAAATACGTTGTGAAGACTTGCAATATAGCATCAGATTACGGTGGCCTTCCATTCGTTCCATGATATCTACTAAGCCACTGTAACCTCAACCTTGTTCTTGTCTATCCCACACACTCATTAGCTTTTTCCATCCCGAAACACCATCACAGCAAGATATATAGTTTTATATAGACTCACAAAAAGCAACATGGTCCTTCAAATCGAGCGCCCCCTCAAGCGGCTCCTTATAATACCACGCCGCATTCTCCAACTTTTGGCCTACAAAATCTCATCAGTTCCGCCTCACTCACCCAACCACTTCTCCCATGGAAAAATCACTCCTCTCAGGATCCCATAATTCTATAAAAGAAGATGGAAAAGATCAACGTACCGTCAACTTCAAGCGTATAATAGCTAGCATCCCCCTTCCAAGGACACCAAGTACTCAAGCTCGATCCCCTCAAAACATCCTTGTTCACGCTCTCCGGCGGGAAATACACGTTGCCCTCCGTCTCCCGCCAGGACGTCGCCTCCGCAATGACGGTGCCGTTGATGCGTGCTGTTGCGTGCCCCGTGCGCGAGGTGATGGATTTGCCCACCATTTTGAATAGGAGGTTCTTGAGGGACGCAATTGTGGCGGTTTGTCTTCTTCCTTTTGTTCCTTGAGTTTTGAAGAAGGAAGTTGATTGTGCTGTGATGGAGAGATGTTGGGAACGAGGCTGGATGTTCGTATGTATATAGGAAGTTGACTTATATACCTTAGGTATGAGAACCAACGAACATGTGGCTGAGGAGGCATGATTTCTAATAGACTCCAACTATTCCAACATCCCGTCAGCTGCGGGGTCAAGCATCTCTCCCCTTTCGTCATCCAAGCCACCCAGATCTGGAGAGATTCCAAATCAGACCAATCCAGATGCAAGACCCCTTATTCTTGCTGAATTGTTTCCTTTATACCCTAGGTAGTATACGCAATCAGCTATATGTCATGAGGCATACTTACTAGGTTGGTACTTGTGCGACCTTATAAGAATGGAACATGTGTGACTAACAATTCTCATCAATTATCTACCATTACACAAAGCGTCTGCTTGCTATGCATTATCCAAGGTAGGGCACAGAGTCCTTCCAAGTAATATCAATCCATCTATGACCAATGTAATCGCTTCTGTGCAAGGAACGCGGTAGGTCTCGTATCAAGTCTCGTCAACGCCACGCAAAAATGATTCCCTTGTCTCTTTCTCTGTCCCGTCTTCTTGCTTCGTATTCTCTTCTTCTTCTTGTGTATATGAAAAAAACAACAAGACAAAAAACGCCAAGCCGCCATCAATTCCGTTCCATCACAGGTTAATCAGGTCTATCTCTGAGAAATCCGGCGGGTATCTGCCGTACACCACGCGCACCTTGCTGTCCAGCGCAGTGCCCTCGTTGCTGATCCAGATGTGCTCACTATAGCTGCGGGTTCGGCGCACTTCGTCGTCGCTGATGCCCAAATCATCTCGGGGAATCCAGACAACGGGCCGGCGCGCTCGCAAGGCAGAGTGCAAAAAGGCATGGCGAACCAGGACATCCCTCTCCTCAGGGGTAAGGTCCTCGATTTCGTCGTGGATTCCTCCGTACAGAGCTTCTCCTATGGCGCGCTGCGCTTCGAGATCCTTGCTTCGCTGCTTTCGTCGGTACTCGGCGGCTCGAGAGTCGTTATCCATCAAGGCCAGCTTTCGCAGCTGGTTGCCCCCATCTTTGGCCCAAGATCCAACCTGCTTTCCGCCTCCCTTGGCCCAGGATCCCACCTTCTTCACAGGGTTCGCGATGCGCGCAACACCCCCCTTGGACTTTTCAGGCTGGATGTTGCTCAACTCAATGTCGTCCCTGCTCTCCATCGATGTGGAAGGCTTTTCAGCTGCGTGCCTGTCCCTTCCAGCCTCTCCAGGACCCTCGTTGTCCTCGTTGTCAGAGTCAGCGGTAAGTCCAAAGCGGCGATCTTGAGCCCGTTGGAACGCTTCGTCTCGTAACACAGCCTCGTCTTCAAAGGTGATGGGCAGATATCGGAAAAGAGGCGAAAAGGACTTGTTAAGGAGAATCTGGTAGAGAATGGTCAGGATCAAGGAGACAATCATGACAATGCCGTGTGGCGTGCAGGTGTGAGTGCCTGAGTCGTCGACCACAATAAAAAACAATCCGGCCAAACACAGCTCCATGACATATATGCCCGTAAACGTCTGGTTGAGCGCTCGAGGATACAAGACGCCGCCGGTGTCGACCTCGAACCGAGTAACGTAGAGCATGGAGTACCGCTGGGCGACCCAGAGAAGCCCAAAGGTGATGACGGCAAAGATGGAAATCAGCGGCGCAACAACGCTATAGATGATGGCAATGCAGGCAAAGTTGGTGTAGACGGGGAAAAAGGTGCCCCAGTTCACGTCGCTCAGGTTCGTGTTGCGAGCCCACTTGCTACGCGCAGTGTTGTCAAAGATGCGAGCCAAGATGAACCATACAAAGAGGGCTCCAATCTGGAGCAGAGTACCGGAACTGGTGGACATGGCCTGGAGAATCATGTAGGAGAAGAAGTAGTTGGCGGCTTTCGGGAGGTTTGTCGCCAGGAGATCCAGCACAGCCTTGACCGAGTCGAGCTCAGTAATGTTGTCCACCAGCTTGTCGATGGATGCGGCAAAGAACGAGGCAATGGACACAATGAGGAAGACTTGGACGAAGAGGAAGGCAAAGTAAAAGACCTGCACGAACTCTGACTTTTGCGCTCCCGTCTTGGCACCCTTAATTTCGCCCAGGATACTGAGAATCCTCGGCACAAGGAAGAGGAGCAGAGCGAGCACAGCAGCGGGCAAAACACCTGCAACAGCCTTGGCCGCATTCTCCAGAGCCTTGCTATCCCTCAGGAAGCCGAGCCAAGACGTCTGCTGGATAAGCTGGTCTAGCTGACCCAAGGCTGCCGTCCAAGCAACAGGAATAGCCCACAGGAAGATCATGGCCAGCACCATCAGAGTAACCGCACCGGTGCGAACCCACTCCTGCCACCACGAGAGAGCCATGTTGCCCCAGATGACGTCCCGAGGCGAGATCTCGTTGACACGTGGCGCCATCTGTCTGGGAACGTGGTGGATGATGCTTTGGCACGCCATGTGCGCTGCCACCTGGTGGTTGAACTGGATAAAAGCAGAGTTCATAAGGGGGAACCGTTCGGGGTGCTTCTGGTCTTCCTCGATTTCCATATTCAGTCGAGCCAGCTCCTTTCTGCACCAGTAAATGGTATCAACCTTTTGGCTAATCAAGGGCAGACCAGGCAGCCATGAGATTCCCCAGGGAGACAGTCGGTGAGTGGGCCGGTCTTTCTTCTTAAGATACTTTGCCCACTCGGCCTCGGTCTCTTCCTCTTCCACCTTGTAGTCCTCGTTGAAGTAGACAGCCGGATAGTCGCCCGTCTCTGTCGCCTTCTCGCCGGTGAAGGGCAGAAGCCCCTTGATGTTTTGCCACAGCGTCCTCTCCTCGGTGCCCTGCTTACCCACGTAATCGTCGCCCTCGTTCTGTTGAGGTACTGGAGAAGCGTAGCCGCCGGCGGGTGTCTTCCAAAACTGCCAAAACTTGGGCTCCTCCATGTTATACATGTCGTTGATGTTGTCGAGCTTCCGGACAGTGTTTCCCTCTACCGTGACTGGGCCGTTGCCGCGGATGGCTTTGGTGGATCCGGCCGAGGCCGAAGACGGTCCCCGCGAATGTGTCTGCGCGCGATGGGCCGCAAATGAAGGGTAACCGTGGGGTTGAGAGCCTCCGTCTTCTCCAGGGACAGCAGACTTGCGTGCCAGACTCATGAAGCCATTGTTGGTGCCAAACTCGTCCATCTGGTCGCCAGCCTTGTTGAAGGCTCCCTTGATGTTCTTCAGTACCGCCACGCTACTATCATCGGACATGTGGGACTTCCGGTCATCGTCGTCAGAGTCTGAGGAGCTGGAAGAGGACGAGTCGGATTCCTCGCGGACGTTGGTGAGCTTGCGTAGCTTCCGCTTGTGCTTGTCCTCGATCCGCGACTCTCGAACGCTCTCGTCAACTGTATGAGGGACGTGGTGCTGCTTGCCGTCGTTGGTCCCTTCGCCGCTGTTGGCCATTCGCTTGGCCTCAGCATCCTCTTCGGCCTGTCGAGTGGCTTTTTCCTTCTTTGACAGTCCTTTGCGTTGCTTCTTTTCCTCGGCATTTCGCCTCTTCAGCTGAACTTTCTTGGCCGCCCGAATGAGTTCAGTCTCGGCGGCTTCGAGCTGTGCGTGGATCTCAGTTCGGAGGTTGACCTTGTCCAGGAGACTCGTCAGATCACGGTTGATCCAGATATTCCGAATGCCGCCAGGAAAGACGTCGAACAAGCCGGACAGCGCGTCCTCGCTCAGCCACTTGGAGGGAATGGAGTTGACCAGCACCGTGGTGGCGGAGGCCCTGAGCCGGTGCTCTGCGCTGGTCAGATAGTCTTGGCGAACCTTGATGTAGGCGCGCATCTCGAAGAAGAAGACACTGCAGACCCAAATGATGACGAGGAGCGCCATCAGCAGGTGCGCACCGTAGCGACTCGTCTCCGTCGCCTTGACATTTCCCCAGGCCAGGGTGTCCAGACCTGTGGGCACAAAGGCGGGATCGGTGCTGTCAGTGCTGCTGTTGCTGTTGCTGCTCGAATCTGAGTCGGTGCTGTTGCGGAAATCGATATTTTTACCGCGACCACCGACGTAGTTGAGAGGGACCAATATGGGCACCACGATGGCGCAGATGGGGATGAAGATGATGAGGAGCGTCTTCAGGTAGCGGAGGAAGAAGTAAGCATCCAGCCCGCACTTGTTGATGACCTCTCGGTCATTGTACTTAATCAGGGCCCTAATCAGCAGAAAGAAGTTGTTTGGAGGGGATTCGGTTCGCTCGCGCTCGGGAACAAGATACGTCTTTGGCTTGCTACAAGTCAAGTTTGTCGTCAGTATGGATGACACTGAGGCAGCGCGACAGTGGCTCGAGACCTGGGAGATATATGGCCTATAGGTACTTACAAGACTCTTGCTAGCTTGTTTCTCAAAAGAATGAATAATAGGAGCTGGACGAAGAAAATGATCACGGAGACCAGGATGGCCGTCAGGAAGGACACAATGCCGATACCTTCGCTCTTTTGGCCGTCGCCTGCCGTCTGCGTATCTCTTCGCGCCAGAGACGCGGTCGCCAAGATGACCCTTTGAGCCCATGGCTGATCGCCACCTGATGGGATTGTCTCCATAGCTGGAGTCAGGAAAGAAGGATGCTCGCCGTGAGCGGAGCGGAAAGGAGTTGATCGCCCAACTCGAGGTTAAGATTAGGACGTAGTCAATGCTGGAAATGGAGGGACAGCAATAGCATCTGCATGAAGACGATCGATCTGGGGAAGTCGAGCTTTGTAGGGCGTTGGTGCGACTGGTTGCGCCCCTCGGGGGGCTTCGAAGGGAATGCGCTCGAGGAGGGTTGAAGGGGAGACAAAAGAAGACGGCCGTGCTTCGCGATCAAAGGGGAGGATGACGAGGGGAAAAGGAGAAGGCGAGGCCGGCCAGGTGTGACAGTGGCAGTGTTTGTTGTCTGTTGTTCAGTGAAGCGGTGGAGGCAAGCAGCAAGCCGTCTGGTGGAGAAGATTTTTCCCACACCTGCTTTGATAGTAGCACGAAGCTTGGACGGGTTTGCCAAGTACATACATACGGACACAGCAGCACACGAAGGAGGACAAGGAATTCGTGAGAACGGATCAATTGCACTATTTTACCGACGGCGAGGTTACACGATAAGGTCATGGTGCAATCCCCTGCCCTGTCAGATCCTTGTTTCTGGGCCTTTCGTCCTGGACGTCATCCGCGGCCGTGATTGGCGGCTGGTGGTTGCGAAGCGCGCATGTCCAGGACGGCCCACGAGAGACATTGTCGCCATCGAAGAGATTGAGAGAGAGCACGGAGAGAGAAAAAAAACAAGGATGTTCTTTTGAGCGCCGGTGACATCAGAGGCGCTCAAAGCGCCCCTCCAGGCCCTGTCGCTAAACAGCGGGTGCGGCATGGATCAGCGCGGGTACAGGCGCCAAATGCAAGCCTCAGTGAGCACCTTGATTCGCACAGAACGTCCGCAGACGTCTCTCAGCGGGATCGGAGGATGCTTGGGGGGGTTTCATTGGGGCAGATGCGCTGTTGGCTTCCCACTGCCTCAGCTGCAGCGCCCCACCCGCCCTCCAGTGGCTCAGGGCCTCTCACTGGCTGCCGTCGGCTTGGGACTGCGCATGTACATACTTTGGGTCTGCTCTGCTGCTATCGGCGGCAACAAATTACGCGTAATGTTGTGTGAGGAATGAGCATGCGGTGCTTCATACAGACGCAGGTTCACTGAATCAACATGGATACATGTGCGTAGTATGTAGGGCCATCAGCAAAAGGGGGCCAGCGAGCAAACAGCGGTATGGGCCTCATCAGCGTGAATGAAAGTGGATTCGCTCTTCTCCGTCCTGCGCTTGGCGTTGTGGCGTAACGTGGAGCAGGTACTCCGGGGTAGTGCAGAAGGAAGACTGCAGGTGGACGAGAATCGAAGACCTCGGGAGAGCATCTCCAGCCTTCACTGACGTAAAGGCATAGCGCAGGCAGGACTGCGCTAAGAGTCCGCAAACAGGACAATGTCTCTCTTCATATAAGGTGACCATATACTTACAGTAGGTAGGAGACACTTGAGACACACGTTAAGCAGGGCGAGATGGGGGGGAATCGGCCTTGTGAGGTGGCGACATTAGCAAATCGGCCGAAGTTGCAGTCAACGGGCCGTCAGTCAGCAGCAGTGTTCCCCTGGATTGGGCCTGAATACCAGAAATCCTGGAGTCGATCCTCAAAAGGACATTCACATGCACCCATGCAATACGACGCACAACGTCGCACTTGGGAGGCCACCAATGTCATGACCAACAGGCAATCGAGATGTGTTGGGCGCACTACGCTGGCACTGACTATTACCTCAACGTCTGATGCAGCACAGCTCAAGTTGTTTCCCACCACTTTCCCTCTCTATTGAACTGATGCTATGTTTAGTAGGTACCTTTATACGCTTCCATCACTTCAAGGCTTCGGTACATGCCGAATACGGTTCCCCGCTGCTTACAGTCAGTCACAGAGGGAGAACACACTTCAATAATCAACTCCGAGTCTGGGAGGTAGGTATCTTGGGAATACTGACAGTCATTCTTCCAATCCTCTTCTACCGTTCGAACAGCTTTGTTTCCAGAATTTTCCGTATCCTCTCTTTCGAATGAATCAGGAAGGGTTTGTGATATTGCATTGCCTGACGTCCCTTCGTCTCACCTGTCTACTCGTTGACGTAATCGCGCCAGTTGTTGGCTCTGGGAGGGCGCTGGGCATTCGGAATTCCCTGTGCCTCTTGCTTCCTGTTCGGGAGCAATATCGCAACATTTGAAGATTGTCCTCTCTCATCATAAACATCCTTTCCATTTCTTTCTAGATGTGGTATTTTTGATGGGCCCGACATCACGAAGGCCAGTTGTTCCTAAATGCTTGATCACCTTGCCTCTCTGGCGAGAGTGCATATCCCTCTCCATTTGAATGGGACTTTTGAGAAGACTGCTTGAAAGGAGAGCAAATTATTCTCCTTGCGCTTGAGCTCCTTGACAGGCTTTAGCAAGGTGTAGCCGTAAATCTGTCGAAAGCTCTCTCGTCAATGTAGGAACCCAGTCCATTACAGGCAGATCTCGAGGTTCACTTATTCATCACCATCTTCTGTTGAATGCCAACGGCCCCAACCGGGTCCGATGTAGTTGGAGCACAAGTTCAGTCATACTGTGCTAAGGGGGCGGGTATGATGCTGTCTGTACACTGGTCATGTGTGGCTTCGGCATGCACAGAGGAAGTTAGGTAGGTATGTTTATGAAGGGTTCCATGGTTGATGGCAACCAGTGGCCTGTTTAGCTATTGATGCCACACAATTTGCAGACTTACTGACGCTCAATCATTTCCTGCACATCTATGAGCGAGCCACTCAGTGAGATCTAGGGGGTTAAGTGTATTGAACATAGGTACATGTAGAATCCTGTCTCATAGCGTCACTCCTCGCCCAACTGCACCATTGGCTACGAATGTCTTCACCCTAGGTATACATAGACCTCTTGCTTTACTCCCACGGCGACACCCGGTACCATCAATTGTGCAAACATCGTTGGTCACTAAACTTGAAGATTCCAACTCATTGTTGCCGCATCGTCATACCAACCGCTTCTTGATGAAGATAGTATTCACATTCATTGTGTTGTGTACGCAAAGAACGACTTTGGTATCCCGTGACTCCCCATTAAAGGCTCTTCCTGATACTCGAAATACCGCATCCCAGACGTAGAACAAATGAAAGCCAAGAGAACCAAGTAGGTAAGTACCTTAGCGAGATGAATGCGTCAAATAAAGCATATTCCCCTTTGCACCAGAACGCCCATGACCCTAACTGCCGACCTCATGTTCCGTAACGAATGCTCCTTTCGATATCGGACTCAGATAGGATCACCCGTGTGATGGGCATGCCTATCCCTGTATTGCGAGAAGCATAGGTTTTGCATAGGTCCGATAATTGTCGTGAAGCCAAGAGAAACGAGAGCATCTTGCTGAATAATTGTTTGTCGACCATTAACAAAGTAAGCAGTCCAGACAGCAACAGCATGCTGTACCGAGAGCCAGGCCACCGAGGAGACCGCTCGTCGTTCCACCGGGACGCCTGTCCCCATAATACCCCTGAGGAGGATACTGGCCGTATTGGCCTTGAGCATATTGACCCTGCGCGTATTGGCCTTGAGGCCACTGGTTGTAGCCGCCGGGATACTGGCCTTGGTAGTAGCCTTGCTGTTGGTTATAGTATCCCATCTGTGGTCCCGGCTGGTAATAGGCTTGCTGTTGGCCCTGCGGACTCTGGAAGCCTTGTTGATAGTTGCTGGGCTGGCCCTGTTGTTGGTAGCCCGCATAACCTCCGTACGCGGCCTCGGGAACTTGAGGAGGCTCTCCGTAGGCTGGGGGATTCTCCCCTCTGTTGTTATTTTTTGGTGCCATGATTCTACCGTCTGGACGCTGTTGCGAATGGCCAGAGACAACGAGAGAAAGCCGGTCAAAAGGAACGAAGTGGACACGACAGTTTAAGAGGTATTTTCAGCGAAGGTAAAGGAGAGGCAGTGAGGGGAATGGGAAAAGGAAACCGAGCAGCGCATGACCAACGCCAGAGGACATTGGGGCGAAGTTTAAGCTCTCGTCATGGCCACCTTCCAAGCACTTACGCACGCAGACGACAGAACGCCACAGTCGATTACGACAAGCCTTCGGGTGTTCGGCGTAGACGGAGGGTCACCTTTCGGAGAGCGGCGCATCTATTAAAGCTTGCCTACCTAAGACGAGGAATTCAAGCATACCTAGGCCCACGTTAGTAGTGATAGCTCTCCCTGCACCGCCATCAAGCCACAAGCTCCTCAGGCCTCTCTATTCAGGTACGTGTACAGAGGATTTCGAAGGCGTTTGGTTTGAAGGCGCTGCATTTTAGGGTACGAGTAATCGTATATGGATGAATTTGAGAGCCAAAAGAGGCGCCTGGAGCGATAAGATAGTGTCACGTGATTGGAGCCACCGCCACATGTGGCTGCTCCACCAGAAATTGCAAACCGCACCAAAGTTGAGAAATTCGCTGGATTGCTTCGAGTGGAAAACCCCACGCTCGCCATCGCCCCTTGTACAATCGCTCTCGCGACGCAGCGCACGTCGATAATCACTGCAGGGCAGATCCGGGACTTTTTTGAATCGAGCGATCAAGTGCTACCAGCAACCATGGCTACCACTGCGCCGCCCAAGGCCAAGTGAGCTGACCCATCACCACACTCCCAAGACTTCACCTCGTCGCCTGCATAGCTCGCTAACCCCACCATTGCAAATTTCAAAAGGCACGATTGGGCCGACGACGACGACATCGAGGAGACCTCCTCCGAGCTGCCGCCTCCCCAGACCATCTCTAACAAGGATGGCACCAAGACGATCATCACATACCGATACAACGACCAGGGCCAGAAGGTCAAGACGACTCGCCGGGTCCGCTACATCACCCAAACCGAGACAGTCAACCCCCGCGTCGCCGCCCGGAAAACGTGGCCCAAGTTCGGCCTGAGCGCAAAGGACCCCCCGGGCCCTGCCCCCGACACCACCTCCGTCGGCGAGAACATCATCTTCCGCCCCAGCGTCTCGTGGCGCAAGGATGCCAAGGAGGAGGGCGCCGACGCCAACGCTCAGGCCATGAAGGACAAGCTCAAGGACAAGAAGGTCAAGTGCCGTATCTGCAACGGCGAGCACTTTACAGCCAGATGTCCTTACAAGGACACCATGGCCCCTGTTGGAGAGACGACCGCCGCCGAGGCGCCCGCTGGTCTGGCAGACGATCTCGGTGCCGCTGCTGGCGCTGCCGGGGCTGGCAAGAAGGGTTCCTACGTGCCGCCTGCTCTGCGTGGCGACCGCGGAGCCGGAGAGCGCATGGGTGGATCAAAGTACGGCGAGAGGGACGACTTTGCGACACTGCGTGTTACCAACGTATGTTCACCCTTTGAATATTCTGGTCAGGGACGGAGTTGGCTTGCTAACGGTTTTTGCTTCTCAAACAGGTCTCAGAGATGGCGGAAGAACAAGAGCTGCGCGATATGTTCGAGCGTTTCGGTCGTGTCACCAGAGTCTTCCTCGCCAAGGACCGGGAAACCGGCATGGCCAAGGGCTTCGCCTTCATCAGCTTCGCAGACCACAGCGATGCCGTCACGGCATGCCAGAAGATGGACGGATTTGGTTTCAAGCATCTCATTCTCAGGGTGGAGTTTGCCAAGAAGGCTCAGTAAAGGAACAAAAGTCCTTGGTTTATCTTGTTGCGGGATGGTTAGGGAGATTTGGTAATGCATATGCTATGACTATTTGTCGAACAGCTGAACTTGTCACCTTTGTTGCCTTGTGATCGCCCTATGAATGTTTTTTTTTTTTTTTTCTTTAAACTTATGCCTCTGCTGAATGGTTCATCTTCGACGTAGAGTTGCTGTGGAGATGTTTGTAAACAGTCTCGAGTTGGTCGGCGTTTGGAAGAAGGTTTCTGGGATGAGTCTCTTGTCTGTGGCTGGCGTGTATGTGCAATGGAACGCTCATACGAGGTTGTGACCCGAAAGGATCAAGATAGAGAATTACAACTCTGGGCAATCTCAACAGAAGATAAGGCTCGTTGATAAGTTCAGTAACTACAAGCTTGAGCTTCTTTTGGTCGAGCGCAGGTAAGAATTCCGAAAGAGACCGAGCTCATCATCTAGCATACCTGTCCAATTGCCTCCATGTACACACAGCTAAATCTCGCTTGGTGTGGTACGAAGCCCTCTCAAGCAATCTGTAGTGGAGCATCCATCTGTTGGGTCAATGTGGGGGATACCAAACCAATCATCGTGAACATTGCGAGCCAGGGTCACGACTTTCACATGTCTGAACTTTTGACCCTGATGATGTTTAGCAGCATTCGTCATTTTTGCTGGAGAAGTGGGCTCATGGTTCTGGTTTGGCCCGACACTTGGCAGCGCGTGGGCATCACGTTATTGCGTTCAATGGCTTCGATGCTAACGGGAGACTACCTTATGTATGAGGAATATTTGAGAATGCGCACGCCTTCATATGCCTACCTTACTTACGACACATCAATTCCAGTCAATCAACCCCCTTTGATAGTATCGAATACATTGATGAAATGTCGCAGCATCCAGTTGCTTCCCCTCCCCCAGGTTCCCGGTTACTGTGCCTGCTTTAGCCGATGGATAATAGCCCAGCGTTTGCGTCAGGGGGTCTTCGGGGGGCTCTACCAACCGTTCCAGTGGGTTTTCCCCCCCCCCACTACTGACAGAGACTGGACGGCCATTCTAGTGATGTTTAGGTGCTGTGTCTCTCCACACTGGCATGTTGCGCCGGTAGCTGCGGCGCCCCTTCCCAGAGCTGGGCAGAAGTCACAAGACCCCCAGAGAAGCAGAAGGAACCAGCTCAAAGCTTTCTCACCTCATCTTTCTTTTGCTTCTCCTCCATCAGTCTGACAGCAAACATCGCAGCGAACAACGGCCTTCAACAACGCCGCTCAAGTCGTTCCCACAGAGACAGAGCGTCAACCGCTCGTCGTACCAACAGCACCAACCGCTCTCATCCAGGCGACAACTGCGGATCCCGTGAGATTCTGCTGTCACTGCTGCTGCTACCTTAGCCAGGACATCCCTCTTCCGCGGCTCGAGATTAGCCCCGAGATCAGCTCGCTTCTAGACCTGCGCATTGGTGGCTCCGCCCTGCAATCAACGAAACCCGAACAGAGCCCTGCCTGCAGCTGCTTCTCAACAAACGGTTCTCCCGCTCGTGATTGGGTCTTTCCGAGTTGACGCAGAGAAAGGGCCGGCCCAGCTAAATAGCCGCAGGCTCGCAACTTGCGCTCTTCTGTTTCTTCACACTCATTGAACCCTCCTACTGTCACTGTCCTACAACTTCCTGCCAACCCCGGCTTGACTCGGACGATCCTCAACTCCGTCCAGCATGAGTTCAGCCGCCGACGTCTCGGCCGGAGACGCTGAGCTGCGGCACCGCCATGCTCACGAGCAATCACCAGACGCAAGGGGCAACACCAACCCCAGTTCTGCGGTGCCAATTGAATCGCCTACGGCTACCCAGGATGCCCAAGATGGAGGCATTGATAAGCCAAAGAAGACCTTTGGCCGTACACCGGATGGCACAGGTGAGTGATGCCCTCGAGATCCGCATTCCCCGTTTGGGCTCACATAAGCCCGGCATGAAGCTGACCACAGTGCCTCTGGGAAACAGTATTCGTTGTGCCGACTACGCACGACATGGTTTCGCAGCTCCTTGACCCGCGACAGCCAAAGAACCTTTCGGACGCTGTTGTGCTAGCTATCCTAGCATTGCACATTTTAGCAGCATATGTCTTGCCGGCTGGGTACAAGCGACCTGTGTTCGCGGCCCTCTTCCTCTTTTGGAGAGCGTCTTACAATGTTGGCATTGGATACCTGCTGCACGTACAGTCTCACCACCGGCGCCTCATTACCTGGGCCAAGCGATGGAAACTTTTCGAGAACCCGAGCACTGGGAACAATCCTCGCCCATGGTTGTACAAGCTGCTCAAGCGGGAGCTCGAGGCCAAGATTCCCCAGGACTATGAGTTCGAGAAAGCACCCATCGAGTACAACACATGGCTGGTTTTCCGGAGGGTCGTCGACCTAATCCTGATGTGTGATTTCGTTTCATACTGTCTGTTCGCCATCGTCTGTGGCCACACGCCAAAAGGCGAGAGTTTGCTCATTGGATGCTCGCGCTGGCTTCTCGGCATTGCGCTGGTCGGATTCAACCTCTGGGTCAAGTTGGATGCTCATCGTGTTGTCAAGGATTTCGCGTGGTATTGGGGCGACTTCTTCTACCTCATCGACCAGGATCTCACTTTCGACGGTGTCTTCGAGATGGCTCCCCATCCCATGTACTCGATCGGTTATGCTGGCTATTACGGTATATCAATGATGGCGGCAAGCTACGAGGTGCTCTTCATCTCCATCCTTGCCCACCTTGCCCAATTTGCGTTCCTTGTGACGGTGGAGAACCCTCACATTGACAAGATTTACAACCCTCCGGCTCCGAGAGAAAAATCTAGGCCCCGAAGCCCAGTCGATTCCACTGTGGCCTTTGATTTGTCTGCCGAGGCTCCTTACTCCGGATCAACAGCCATATCACAGAAGGATCTGCCAGAGCCTGTACACAACCTTGTCGGTCTCAGCAACATTGATCTCTTCCGAGTGCCCGACTGCGTGGTCGTCATTCTCCCAATCTACGTTGCGGCCCTGGTTTTCGCCACACCTGCAACATCCACGTGGAAGGCAATCTTTGTCGCCCATGCCCTTGCGTGGCGGATATGGTACCACGCTGGCCTCGGCTTCTTGCTGGATCAACAGTCCAAGTCAAAGATGTGGACTCGCCATTTCCTTAAATACGGCGAGAGTGCTGGCGAGGCATGGCGCCAGTGGAAAGGCATGTACCACATCAGCATGGTCATGTGCAACACATCCTTCATCGCAGCTTGCTGGAAGATGTACAATGTGCCTGAAGACTGGGGCTACGGCTTTGCTCTCTTCAAGCACGTGCTGGGCGCTGGGCTGATTGCTTTGCAGCTATGGACGGCTTTCAGTGTCTATGAGTCTCTTGGCGAATTTGGCTGGTTCTGCGGCGACTTCTTCTTTGATCACGAAGCCAAGCTGACCTACACTTCCATCTATCGATTCCTCAACAACCCTGAAAGAGTTTTTGGAACCGCTGGCATTTGGGGTGCTGCTCTCATCACTTGGAGCCGAGCCATCTTCATCATTGCCCTGGTCACGCAGATTCTCAATGTCATGGTGATTGCATTTGTCGAGCGACCCCACATGCAGAAGATCTACGGAAGAAGCATTCGCCAGGAGGCCGGCCTTACCAAGTTCATTAAGCGATCATTGCCACCGCCAGTCAAGGTATGGCAGGAAAGCGTCGACAAAGTCCTGGATGACACGACGCACTTTGTCGAGGAATTTCTGGACAGCGCCCGCCCCAAGTTCAGTTCTGGCGTCAAGACCATTGTTCGAGATACCACGGCTCTTTTCAACGTAGCGCCCGCCCGCCTCACGATTACGAGAATCGCCCCCGACCTCGCAGGACTGGATCCTAAGCACTACTCGCTCACCATTGAGGGAACGCAGTCTCTGCAGTCGGCTCTCGACGAGAGGGCCACCGGCAAAGAGAGCTTTTCGGGCCGCTTCCCCAAGTCTATTAAGACCAAGACTTTTGAATACGGCGCACCGCTCCGAGTCAAGTGGCGAGCCCCCGCAAACCACAGCAAGGAAGACTGGATTGGCCTGTACATGGTCACGGACAATCGCTCTCGAGAAACGACGGAAGTCTCCTCTCTCGGTAGATGGACGCCCACATGCACTGGCGCCTACGATGCCTCGACAGCGGAGACTAGCATTACTGTTCCGGAACATCCAGTGCCCAAGGCCGATCCTTCAGACCCTGACATGGTGGAGGGCGAGGTTGTTTTCCAGGGAGACAAGCTGTGGTGGACGCAAGGTGTCTTTGAGTTCAGATATCACCATGATGGACGCCACACTGTCATGAGCATCTCGGAGCCGTTTGAGATTCGCATCAGCAAGTTTACCGAAGATGACGTTGATGCTGATGTCCGTACCAAGGCCGTGCTTGCCAAGGCTGTCGAATCGGCTCTGCTACCCATTGTCCAAAACTGCTTGGACCGCGACGATGACATTGCGCCAAGCACTGTGGATGAATCCTTCGGCAGCCACGTGGAGCGAGATGGCAAGTACGCTAAGAGAATTGTCTATGCCATCCGGGAGATGTTTGGTGTGGAGTTTGCACCAGCTGTTGTTCTTGCGGACCGCAGCGTGAGGAAGCTAGCGTGGAGAATCTGCAACGCCAAGGAGGTTCTGGTAAGTCACTCTGCTCGCCTTGTCAGGGATCGATTGCCGCTAGGAACCAACTAACATAATTCGTGTTCTCTAGGCACCGTACAGCATGTCCCACTCGAAGGGTACCGCGACGCCAGCAAACGAAGAAATGTCGAAATGATGATGGATTTCTTGCATGTTCATGTCCTTAATGACAGGATATAAAGATAGAGGTGGCGCAAGATGGTCAAAAAGTTATGATACCAAGGAAGGCGTCCAGGATATGTGTCTGGGTGAGAGATAGATGTCAATATAATCTGTTTGATACCCCATGACTAGGATGCATGTTCATCATGTGCTGATGGGAGCTGAGCCAGCAATGAAGACTAAAGATTGGTGGGAGTTTTCTGGCAACAAGTTAGTATCGAAGGGCATGCCAGCTGTTACCGCTCCCCCACAGAACGGTGCCTTGCATGAGGACGGCTACTCGGAAGGCTTTGGCCGAGGCGATGGTTGACAATGAGTTCGGTGGGGGTCAGTGGCCTGGCCTCAAGATGTCTTTCCAACTGGGACGAGATCTGTGTAACGACGGCTTATGGATGCAAGTGACCTTACAAGCTCATACAGATGCCACTTGGGGAACAATGAGATGAACGGATTTGAGCTGAGACGTCGGACGGGAATGATGGAGAGTCTCTTGCCGTGAATCATGCGGCCTTGATGCTCGATTTGTAAATCTGTAGTTAGTCTGCCTCGATCGCTTTATGTGATAAACGAGATCTGGACGGGAGCGCTGGGGGGAAGGAAGGGGGGAATGAGGCGGGCGGTATTAGTGCTGAGGACAAGGCCCGAATGCGGGATTGCGGGATGCGGGACCGGCGGCGGCGGTGACGGGCCAGATTGGTGGCATGTGCCATTGTCTTTGCTCTATATCTCGTTGGGATATGTTGGGAGATGTCGATACAAGATGATATTGTGGTTGTTGAAAGATATGGGAGATCTGTGTCTACGGCTCCTGTCGATTGTTGCCCGTGAGTGTGACACTTACCTAGCAGGCCTACCTTACCACATCTAGATATCACCGTATATACCTAGGTAGTCAAAGCATCAAAATCCTAGACAGTTGTATCTCAGTCCAATAGGATATGATCCTTGCTGTTTGAGGTAGCCACAGAAGCCGAGCTGACAGTCGACTTTTGTCCAGCTGTCAACATCGAACTGAAAGTCCGTTCTCTGCGACGGACTGACGTTTGTAGCCCTGTTCCAGCCAAAACTTCCAAGTTCTTGTAAGACGGTTCAGACTGCTACGTAGCACGACGTCTCAACGCCAAAAGCACCTCTGGAATCTGTAGCCAGCCCATTGTTAGTTTGGCATCTTGTTCGGGAAGGAAAAAGCCAAAGGGTCGCTTCAGACCCCCAAATACCTTGCCCCCACCTTGTCAGCAGCTTCAAGGGTTCAACTGAAATCAAGCCGGACAAAACACAAGCTGATTGTTTCCTCCTTCCCAAGTAGGCAGGCGATGTCACTGTAGCAATGCCTTCGTGTCGGTTTACCTAATGTTAGCACTCGTCATCGCAAAGCTTGCTTGCTTCCTTTTCGAAACTGGCCTTGCGGATGTTCCGATGATACTACCTACATACCTGCGCTGCAGTCGCCCGTCGCATGCAGGGAGCTTGTTCATACTGCCAGGGACAAGATCTGCGGTGAAAGGTCTCACGGTTATTGGGGTAAAAGCCGCCCAGCAATTGGTGGATTGATGTGCGGTATCCTCATCGCCCTGTTTTGGTCGTTGGAGAAGCTCGGATGCCGATCTCTCAATAAATACCTTGGATATTGCCTGAAACGTGTCTGACTTACTTTATGTCTTCCCCCTTCTTCTCCTGCGAGCGCAATTGACGGCCTCTTTTCTCCCCAACACCAACTGATTCATTGCCCTCGTCGTGCCATCACAGCGTCGTCTTTGCACAATGCCTAGCCGCCGCAACCTCCAGAAGAGCCTCGTCTCAACCCTCCTCTGCGCCGGCAATCTCGCATCTGCCAGCCTTGTCTACGTCTCTTCATACTCTCAGACGGTGACGACACTCAACTACACCCATGGCCAAAACACAGGTATCCAGAAGTTGAACCCTGTGGCCGTGTCTCAGGGCTGCTCTGACAACCCTTCATGGCTCACTCTCGACGCCCCCGACTCAATTCTGTACTGCATCAATGAGGGATTGAACACGCCCAATGGCTCGCTCACTGCCTTCAAGACGAGTGCCAGTGGTTCTCTGCAGCAGCTGGGTCAGAGCAGCACGCCCAATGGCCCTGTGAGCGGCGTTGTGTTCGGCAACAACCGCCATGGTTTGGCCGTGGCTCACTAGTAAGTGCATCAGTGCCATGGCCTCGGTAAAATTGGGTGATTGAATGAAGAAGTCTGACCATGTCTTCTTGAACTGTAGTGGCGGCTCCGCTTTCACCACCTGGGACGTCTCCAATCCCAACAGCCTCAAGCTCCTCCAGACCAAGACCTTCAAGCTGACTGGTCCTCCCTCTCGCCCCGACCGTCAAGATGCGCCTCACCCTCACGAGGCCGTTCTTGATCCCACGGGCAAGTTCCTGCTCGTCCCTGACTTGGGCATGGACCTCATCCACCTCTACTCCTTCGACCCAAACACTTTGGCTCTCAAGGATATCACGCCGCTCAGCGTCAAGCCCGGTTCGGGCCCTCGACACATTACATTTGTGGTCAAGGGTAGCAAAACCTTTGCCTATCTCGTCACTGAGCTGGGCAACACCATTATCGGATACGACGTGACGTATCCTAACGGCCAGATCAAGTTGACTGAGATCTTCAACATTCCCAGCCACGGCGCGGGCCCGGCTGAGCCCAGCAGCTACGCCGCTTCTGAGGTTGTCGTTTCTGTAAGTTGAATGGCGTCCACGTGAAATACTCACGTCTTTCCAAGGCTGGAAGCTGACATCTGGATGCCAGCCCGACACAAACTACCTCATTGTCTCCTCGCGTGCCGAAAACAGCACCTCCATCCCCGATTTTGACGACCCTTCCCGCATCATCCCATCGGACCCTCTGATCAACTTCAAGATCAACCCTACAACTGGCCAGCTCCAGCTTCTGCAGGTTGTCCCGGCCGGTGGCCAATTTCCACGCCAATTTTCCATCAACAAGGAGGGCAACCTGCTCGCTGTCGGTCTGCAAAATGATGGTCGGGTCGTCTTTGTTGATCGTTGCCCTGAGACTGGCCTTCTTGGTGGCTTTGTTGCATACGCGGATATCGAGGGCCAGATCACCGCGGCCATCTTTGATCAGAAATAGAAAAGGTCAATGCCGAGTCTGGGCTTCGTCAGTGACTTGGAAGCCTGTGATTATACTTTTGTATAATTCTGTATATATGACGAATATTCCAACCATCAATGGTGTGCTAGTATTCTCAAGGAGGGATTATCCTACTTCTCAGAGCTTTTTACCAAGTATTGCTCTGGAACAACGTCTCACACCCAAATCGCATGTATATGTTGCCTCAAGAGATCCGATTGCATCGATCTGGCGCTTAAATCCAATATCTCGCTAAGAGATATCTAAGCTGGTATCAGTCACGATGCCGGTAATATCCTGTGGTATCTGAATGATGCAAGTGGTTACACTGCAACGTCCTTTTGGGAATGCGCAAGCGCATCTGCATCAGCCGTGAAATGACGTTTGCCTGTAGGCGTCCGAAGCACTACTGCATCTGCGTAGACGGACAGGCACAAGTGCATGCACGGCGGGTATAGTACTGTAAGTGCGCATCAGTAGGTATAAGGTATATGGACGAGATGGGTGGTACGTCTGTAGATTCCTTCTTTGTGAGTGACTATGGCGACAAAAGAGTGTGAGACGGTCTGACCCACCAAATGTCGTCGTTGCAAACGTGATTCTTGAGGCCAATGGTGAATTGGTTCGTTGCGTTTCGTGACGGTTCAGACGAGTCGGAACCGTCATCGGCTTTAGGGTCGTTGAGAAGGGTGCCTGGTGGCGTTTTGGATTTTGCCATATCTGGAAATGTATGGTTCGAGGTGTACCTTGGCAATGCTACCTCCAATGCCACCTCTGTCACATTGCAGCTTTTGGCCGTTTGTGAATGGACGCTCAAACTGGTCAAGCCATTGAGCGGACAGTAGCTCGCAGAGTAGACCAAGTCCCAGAAGTTATCCCTATGTTCTTCTCATTGGAGACCTTGATTCTGAGGATTCAACTTCGCCATCATCGCCATGCCGTAGGCTCGGCCACGGGTGCAATATCAGGCCGCGCAAGTACATCTTTCACAGGCGCCGGTGGAGGCCACGGGCCGGACGAGCGACGCCGCAAGGGGCCCGAGCCGCAGACTAGCCTAAAGACCGATGATTCGACGACCCAATCCCCACGTGAGGGCCGGAGTGTGTCTCATGAGGAGCTGCAGGGAGGAGTCAGAGGCAGCCTGAGGGCAGAGACTTGGTGGGAGGGCAGACATACTGACAGGGGCGCAGAGTCAGGTCATGCAGCCGCTCTCGCGCCTCGACGGACAGGGAGGAGGTTGCCGGCACAGCCTAGAGAGTCACGAGCCGCCTGGCGGGGAACTGATTCGAGGAGAGGCGGACGAGCATATGCAGTCGCAATGCAGTCGACATGCAGACAAGAAGTCCCTTGTAAAGATACAGAGTAGGTAGGTAGGAGAGAGACAGCAGCACAGTGTGTTCATGCTCATGCACGTCGCTTGTGGTGCCGCACTTCTCACTCGCTTCCGCCAGTCTGTTAGCGCTTCATGCAAGGTGAAGTGTGCGCTTTCATCGCGTGCAGCTCGAGATGATGGTGATGATGGAGGGAGAGAGGACACGAAGCCAGGCACCAGTGGTAGGAGGTTTATCCAGGCACTAGATTAGAAGTTTCTCTCATCCTGCGCTTGCGCCTTCCGACTTATTGATCACCGAGAGCAATTCCCTAGTAGACTCTCGACGGGCAACTACGCACGCAATCGAGCGGCAGGCAGCACCTTCCCAGCATCGCCTTTCCCCTCCAACCCCACACGTGATGTTTGTTTCGAGGTAGCGTTACAACTGTGATTCGATGCCAACCATTTGACCATCTTCATCCTCTCTCGATCTCTCCAGGAACAGCTTCTTCCATATTATCCCGCCTATTTACTCTCATTCCGTCCTGTCTGATCCGTGCTGCACAGCGTTGTCCCTCTCAGTCGAGACATCGACCTCAAATTCCAGCCTTTCCCCCAAGGGCCCCAACTTGTCACTTCATCCCACCTCCGTCCTAGGATCTTCTCCCCTCTTTTGCGCAGCAAGCGCTGGCTTTAGCTCTGCTGCACCTCTGCTTTGGCTTGTGTTCCGCAAACGCAGATTTCGTGTCTCTGTTTGTAGCCAGACAGAGATTTGCGCCTCAACCCCTTGATTGATCTCAAGCTTCAGCGCCGGCTTATCGACTCCTCTTGCTAAGGCGAATCCTCCCAACAAGCGTCCCTCGCCCTGCAGCAGCTGTGAGGGCGACAAAAGGCCGGTGAAACGCACACCCAAACTCGTAGCAGCCCAACCTGCGGCTCCTACTACGACGCAAGGCAGCATTCCCCTTGCCGCGGCTTTTTCTTCCTTCTGCCTTCCCTTCTACACCCCCTCTTCCATTCAAACATTCTTGTTTGCTTGGTGTCCGACCTCTCTAGGACTGGCATCTCCATTACCCCATCCGTCTCTCTCTTCACTCTCTCTCTTCCCCTCTCTTGTGCCTCTTTGGCGTCTTGTCGACAGCGTCAACGCATAAGTGGGCATGCACGTTGCGACCCCTCAACGCCAAATAGAGTATTGTGGGATGCAATAGTTGCTGCAGCGTGGACGTTCCTGACTGGCCCACGAGGTTGCGATTGCTCCTGCATAACTCAGCTGCACCATCTGTCTTCTCTCTCCTTCTTCTACCCCCTCTCGTATTCCGTTTCTCGAAACGAGACTCGAAAGGCGAAAAGGACTGATCCCGTACGGATTGGGCACCCTTTCTTCGTGCTCTTCACGAACGTGTACTTGCGTGCCTGGGCTTACGCCCGATTCTCTCCGCCATTCTGTGCGCACGGTAACCGAAACAACCATCAACGCTCCTGGTCGCTGCGATAAGCAGAGAAGATACAAGTTCCTGGCTGAAGACACTGAAGCGACACCCAGGTCTTATTTGCATGCCAAACATCACGGCAGCCAAGCTACCTTATCGTGACTGATTGTCAACTTGTACCCAAGAAGACGACATGAGGCTGGATTCAAGTCGAGATCCCGGTGCTGCCACTGTCCGATCTGGACGACGAAAGCTTAGACCGGGAGAACCGACCGACTGGAACCAGAGAGCCGATGATGCAGCTCCGCAGCCTCATCCTCGTGGTACAGTCCAGATACAGCGGCGAATAGACGCGGCGACAGCACCTGCTCCTCCGCAGCTGACGATGCGCAGACGGGAGCACAACAACCACAAGGCTATGGATACCACTGCATCCGCTCCCGTGCCTGCGACGTCTGCCGCTGCGGTGGCCGCCGCTGTTGCAAGCGGTGGCCGCTCTAAGCGTCCACCGTGGCAACCAGGGCTGACCAGGGCGGCCTCGGATGCCTACCGCCGCCCGAGCGGCACGTTGATGGACTCGTACGACGGAGAGGATGAGTCCGCCAACGAGCAACAGGATCCGCGCCGTATGAGGAGGAACTCTTCGCCTCCAAATTACCCTCGTCGCAGACTCATGCCGGGGGCGTATTCGGAACCCTCGACACACAGATCAGCAAGCGTTTCGTCGTATGGCGGTGACGAAGAGGAAGATGACCACGGTTTCGAAGTCGAGGAGGTCGGCTCGTCCCGTCATAGTAGACAGCGGCTTTCTAGCCAGGACGAGTACTTCGATTCATCGAGCGATAGAAACCGCCGCTATCGAAAGCGATTCACGCGACGGTATTATTCAGACAACGACAATGACTCTGATGGTCCGCTTTCAGGGAGCGAAGCGCCGTCTACTTCACATACGCGAGAGTCTTCCAGGGTCCGCTCGAGGAGCGAGTCGCGCCACAAGGCTCAACGTTATCAGTTGACGCACGTTATTGAGGGCTCGCGGCCACCTGTGGCGTCCAGAAAAAGGTCGGTCCTATCCCCACGCCCAGCATTCTTGGAGCTTGGACTGACAATCGTAGCTCCAATAACAAATTGACTAGGCGGGCAACATCGGCAGGGCGAGCAACATCAAAGGGACGAGACGGAGGTGGCTATAGGTCTGCAGAATCGGCCTATGAGGACCGAGACCCTCGAAGGTCGTTTACCATGCGATCAGCTCGCAGCCTCAATGGCTCGACTTCTGGGCCTGCCCGTATCTTGGGCAATATTTTTGGCAATGCCGCTTCCAGGCCTTCATCCCCAGACAAGTTCTTCAAGGTTGAGAAAGAGGTCAAGAGGGAAAAGAAAAAGGGGTAAGATCTTGCCAGACAATCATCAAAATGCAGACGACTTATTGAAGACTAACTACGAACAGGATCGAATGCGTCATGTGTCGGGAGGATACTCCGTCTTCACAGGGAGCGGACCTGAAGTGCGGCCATCGAATGTGCAATGCTTGCATGAAGCGCAGTTTTGAAATGTCTATCCATGACCCGCAGCACATGCCCCCGCGCTGCTGCACAAACACTCACATCCCGCTCAAGCATGTTGATAAGCTGTTTGACAATGCTTTCAAGATGACGTGGAACCGCAAGTTTGCCGAATACTCGACTAGCAACCGAGTGTACTGCCCATCAAAGCGGTGCGGTGAATGGATCAAACCCACAAGCTTCTATCGAGGTGAAGATGGTAGGAGAATCGCCCGCTGCAGTCGCTGCAAGACTAAGGTCTGCCCAAGATGCAGTTCAAAATGGCACAGCTCCACCGAGTGTCCTCGTGACGAAGGGACGAACAAGTTCCTCGATCAAGCAAAGGAAGAGGGCTGGAAGAGATGTTATAAGTGCAAGTCTATGGTGGAGCTCAAGGAAGGATGCAATCATATGACCTGGTAAGTTGGCCTGTCTCCTCACTGATCACCACATACACTCCCCCTTCCTACTAACACTGCGCTTTCCAGCCGATGCGGGGCCGAATTCTGTATGATTTGCGGTACCAAGTGGAAGGGATGTAGCTGCCCATGGTTCAACTATGAGAATGGAAACAATCCGTGGGAGAATAACCCAATACGGGACCTGAATATCCCCACGGAAGACCTGAGGAACATTCTTCGCAAAAGCAGGCCGAACTCAATGGAGGAGCTGCGATCCTACGCAAGGCCGACTTCCTCGATGCCCGCAGCAGCACGGCCAAGGGCCCAGGAGTATGACGAGGAAACGATCCTTCGCCAGCTTCAAGAAAAGAGGGATGCGGCTTTCTCAAGAAGACTACAAGTCTCTGATGATTACGATCATGATCACGAAGATGCATCCGATCCAGACCACGACCACGACCATGATGACGATCACGACCACCACGAACGTGACCGCGACCGCGACCGTGATCGTGATCGTAAACAAGACCGAGACCGTGACCGTGACCGTGACCGAGACCGTGACCGTGACCGAAACCGAAAGCGGGAGCGAGATCGTGAACGCGAGCGTGAACGAGAAAACCCCTTTGCGCCAATCTCACCAGACATTGAAGAAGACGAAATGGACTACGGCCTTGCCGGCGGCAAACATCACCCGATGGACGACTATAGACGGACAAGTATGCCAACTCTACCTACTGCAGGCCTCGCCGCACAGCAGCAGCCTTACAGTAGCTACGTTTCCGAAGTCAGTCGTGCCAGGGGACCGCAGCGTAGCGGATCAATGGAGCAACGTCTGGCCGATAGGCTATCAGAGAACCGCTCAGGCCGCCGGTCGAGAGGCCCTTCTCCTCCCCCCGCGCCGGCCATGCGGCCCCATGTGCTGCATACGAGAGACGCCACTCTTGGGCACACCACAGACATGGGAATCGGGATGGCATTGGGCGCCATGGGCAGGGGCTCGATGCCGCCACCGCCAGTCTATGGTCCCGGGCCGCCGATGCCCTCACCCGGATTGATGAGACCCAATCCTTTCGGAGGAGATGCGTACTACGAAAATGCGTACACGACAGCGCCAAGGTCGGTCCATGAGCCGTATTACTACGGAGGCATGGAACCTGCCGAGACTGAACGTCCATCTCCCCGGCGCAGATCGCGACGCAGTGGTGAAGAGCGCGAGAGGCCCAAGTCGTCGACCTTGGCGGGATTGACTGGATATGGGCGAGGGGCGCACCGTGTATCCGAATGGAGGAACTTTGTTGAACCAGGAGTCCCTGACGAGTGAGTGGAGTGCGTGTGTCTGGTTAGGTACTAGGTATGGCGTTTGCCAATGTTCCAAGAATGTATGAATGACAATTTAGTTGCTAAATCGCTGGGCCATTGCCCGTGAACAATGAAGAGTGTACAGGCTGTCATTATTGATCCAATGCTTGTCTCCCCACCACTACTTCTTGCCGATGGCCTGTCAGAGACAAGAACTGTAAGGTAGAGTCAGTACCTTTCCGTTTGCCTCCTCGTGTAAATGTTTCAGGCGATCCGCCTCATGCTTTTTACTGACGATGACGAAGGGGTGGGACACACACCAAGGCAATGTGGGGAAATGGAAGAGCACAGCGGAGACCTTCAACTAGGTAGGTATGTACCTGTCCTGGAATCAAGGTAGATCTGGATTAGAAGCAACAGCGCTCATCCAGTGACCTTGTTGGAAAGCTTTGGTTTGATATACGAAACCGCATGAGGTGGAAGTCACTACAGAAAACCGCGCCTTCAGTCGCGTTCCTACCTACTTACTTAAGCTACCTGCCTTATGTTAGGTTAGTAGGTAGGTATCTTGCCCATTTCACATGTCAAAATTGAACCCAGAAAGGTCAGGTCGCGTGACGCCACACACCGCCCAAAAGGGGACTCAACAGTTGGAGAACCAAGCGAGAGACGGTGCCAGTGCATGGCTTGCTCCGGTTGCCTCTAGGGCGTGAGTGGCTAGAAGGAAACAAAGGAGGAGAGGCGTTTTCTAGCAACCCTTAGATACAGAGAGATTCGATACGATTAGGTAGGTATTGTTGCGTATGCGTACTACATGAAATGTTGAATGGATGTCAGACTGTGTATTACGATGACGGCAGAAGCGTATTGCAGATGCCTTGTCATAGGTAGAGAGCTCCACGGCGCCGTCTTACAGGAAACGTAGCGTCATGATTCGGAGCCTTGCAAGATGACAGAATGGGGGCTTCCCGACAGATCCGTGGGGATGGATTCGATGTTGATCAGCGTCTGGTACATACAAGGAAAAAGAACGGGACTAGATGAATTTGCGTGGCCTCTGAAGTTCGCATTGCGAACAGCAGCGGATTTGTTGGCTCTAGAATACCTAAGTTTATTCAGGGAGTGGCGGGTTTAGGTATTGCGCACCTTGTTTAACCCCCCCGGAAGTACATGTGGTCCCCTGCCGCAACAGGCCAATTTCTCTTCAGCAAACCTTCAATGCAAAGTACCGACTCGAGTTACGCCACCAGTCCAAGTCCAGTCTTGCTGCTACAACCTTGGAAACTAAACCAAACCAAACCCACCACCGTCCTACAAACCAATTCCCATTTCTCTTCTTCCTTTCTTCCTAGAAACCCCCTTCTTCAACCCTCTCGACCCCATGCTCGTCTTTTTAAAATTAACCTTGAAATGAGCGTGCGGCCCGTCTCTGCCTGCCTATGCCTGTGCATGAACATATCGGTTCGCATCGGGTGTCGGGCTAGAGGATAACGCAGACGTCGAATGCGTCCTTGATTCGAAGATCTACCTACCTACAGTTCTCCGGTCCCTGTCGTTGGGGCTGCTACTAGAGCCTGCCCTCTCCTTTTCTTCACATCCATATCTTCTCCAACCCTTTCGCTGGACATTTGGGTGGTCATTCGAAAACGTCTCCTATCCTCAAATCTATCATCGCTGCACTGACAATCGAGACCCCACGAACGAACGGACGAATCGAGCCGAACGAACGCAACACACCTTAAGGTGCTGACCGAGAGCACCCGCAACAGATTCGGCGGGGCTACAGAGGCGGCGGCATAGCGAAGGAACGGCAGAGCAAACGACAAGATGCTCCTCCTCCACCAGACGGGCAGCGTCAAGATTGGCGAGGTTGTGCGCTACACAGTGACGTACACGCCCTCGCAGGACCGCATCCTGCCGTCGCCGGAGCAGCTGTTTGTGCGCATCCGCAACACGTCCAACATTGCCCTGCGAGCGGCGTTTGTCCACGGGCCCTATACGCTGAGCGTGGCGGCGTATCCCGCAAAGTTCAATCCCAACGAGAAGTTCCCCAGCCCGCGCCGCTATGGCGTGCCCGAGTTCGAGCCCATGCTCAAGGCCGGCGGGACGTGGGAGTGCGAGCTGATTGTGCCCGACGACATTCGGCAGTCTGCGGGCACGAGCAGCCAAGGGACCTTTGGCAAGGGGCCGGAGCACGATTCTGAAAACGTCAGCTGGATCATCGAGATCTCGTCGCAGGTCATCTTCTCGACATCCGCGGCCGTGGGGTACGAGCTCCTGGTGGCGAGAGATCAGAAGTCGCTGAGCCTGGGCTCATCGTTGCCCGTTGTTGGTGGCCAGGCCCAGGTGCCGCAGCCGGGGAAGCTGGTCGACCATCAGCAGAGCATCGGGTCCAAAGACGGGCACCATCCGGGCCAGCCTCGCGGGGTCTTTTCGCGGGCGATGCACGTCAAAGTGGAGGACACGGGGACGCTGTGGAACACGCCCCGGCTGCCAGCATGGGACGATGCTGGCGACAAAAGAGTTGACGAGGCCTCCGGCGCCGACAAGCCCGTCGAGAGCATGGTCAAGACGGGCGAGCCCGAGAGCGAGGAGAGGCCAGCTAACCTACGGAAGCAGAAGAAGATCCACCTCGTCATCCTAACACATGGCCTGCATAGTAATTTGGGCGCCGACATGTTATTCATGAAAGAGAGCATCGATGCCGCTGCGAAGCAGGCAAAGATTGATGCAAAGGCAAGACGGGCAAAACAGCGTGCAGAAGCCGAAGCCAACAATGAAGATGGCAGCAAGACGGGAGACGGCTCGTCTTCATCAGCCAGGAGCGAAGATGATGACGAAGAGGACGATGAGGAGGTTATTGTGCGAGGATACTCCGGGAACGCCACCAAAACGGAAAAGGGGATCAAGTATCTGGGCAAGAGGCTGGCGAGATACGTGCTCTCCATGACATATCCGGATCAGCCCTTTCTGCCGATAGGAGGAAAAGGCGCGTTTGAAGGGTTTACTCACGGGCTCGGCGATCAGGGCGCGCACGAGCTGGTGCAGGCCCATAAGAATAGCACCATCATGAAGGCGGCCGACTCGGGGGCGGCCCACGACCACCCCAAGATCCGGAGGCCTTACAAGGTCACGAGCATCAGCTTCGTCGCACATTCGTTGGGCGGACTGGTCCAGACCTACGCCATTGCCTACATACAAAAACACTCGCCCAAATTCTTTGATCTCATACGGCCCATCAACTTCATCGCTCTGGCCACGCCCTTTCTAGGCCTGAGCAACGAGAACCCGCTCTACGTCAAGTTTGCGCTCGATTTTGGCCTCGTTGGAAGGACCGGGCAGGATCTGGGTCTCACATGGAGAGCTCCGACGCTTGCACGCAGTGGCTGGGGTGCCATTGTAAGCAATCTTGGCGAGTCTGCTCACAAGAAAGTCTATGGAGAATCGCAGCCCGAGTCCAAGCCCCTGTTGCGCATCTTGCCTACGGGGCCGGCGCACATTGCACTCAAAAAGTTCCGGAACCGAACGGTCTACTCCAACGTGGTCAATGATGGCATCGTTCCGCTCCGCACGAGCTGCTTGCTATTCCTGGACTGGCAAGGACTGGGACGTGTCAACAAGGCGAGGAGAGATGCTGGTCTGGTTGAGACAGTGGTGGGCTTTGGATGGGCGGAGCTCACGGGGGCCAACATGGTATCGTCTCGGTCAAAACTGCAGATTCCCCCGGACGACCTCGAGACAGACTCGGGAACGACCACTCCTAATGGCGAGGGCAGCAACAGCAACAGCCACCAAGTACCACAGCCTTCCAATGATGCCATCGCTGAAGATGACCGTGCTAGTCTCCGCTCAGCCTCAGCGGTATACACGGAAGAGCCGCCACTGGAAAGCCCGGGCGAGAACAATCTGCTTCACACTCCCCTCACCGGATTCTTTAACCTCTTTAGGAGCAACGATCCCCCGAAAGAGCATGCCGTGACAGAAAAGCAGAAGCGAATACTGCGTAGGAGTCAGACCCTCAAAAACAGCGGGGACGCCTCCAGCACGCCTGGTAGCTCCAACTCGTCGGATACGGGCACGCGCTCGGGCAAGGCTACGGCGGGACTTGAGCTCGAGAACGATCCGGACGGTCTGAGGGCACCACCCAAGACGACATTCTTCGAGTCTGCGGGTGACCTTCTGAATCCCAAGATTCCGGATGTCGAGTGGCTAATTGACCCGTCGAAGCGGGCACGAACAATTTTTCATGATCGAGTGTATCATCCATCAGACATCCCCCCACCACCCCTGAAGAAGCGGACCTCCACACTGAGTAAGATGAGAATCAAGTCTTCATCCTCGTCATTACCTTCGCCAAACGGTAGCACTGTTTCGACGCCGCATGCAGAAATCAACCATGAGGATTCGATGGCCGCCTCGGTGAAGGATTACGACGACACTGCCAACACGGGCCCTGAGAAGCAGCCCAATGAGATTGTTGACGGCTCGGCCATGCGTGTCGAGGAGAAGATTTCGCGCGGATACCACAAGGATTTATCGTGGCGAAAGGTGCTTGTCAAGCTGGAGCCGGATGCCCACAACAACATCTTCGTCCGGCGCATGTTCCCCAACGCTTACGGCTGGCCAGTCATCAAGCACTTGGTTGATGCTCACTTCAGTGACTCGGCTGTTTCCCGGCTGCGCACCGAGGACGAGCACATGGGCGAGCGGGCTTTGGACATGAACCAACCACCCGGGGCAGATGGCCGAGAGACCAAGTCTGTGTCCACGCAGCAAGCCCGCGGTCTTATGCCGGAGCCGACGAATGCGAGTGAGGCGCGGGAGGCACTCGACGAGGTGCCTGATTTGCCAAAGGCGCAAGAGACCGATCGGTCTTCGACACATACTCATAGCCATCAGGGAGATAGGGGCGATTCGATGTCGTGGAGCGAACGCGACTGGGCGAGCAGTGAGAACGAGGATGACCTTGATTATGTCAACGATGTAGCTGGCGACAAGAAGCTCGAGAAGGCAAAGGAGAGTGGGGGGAGATTGAGTCCTTCGTCGTGGAACTGGACGGAGAAGATTGTGGGCAAGGGAGCCATGAAGTCGAGAAGCAAGAGTCCGACGACACCGACGACGCCTACGACGCCGACAGCAATGGGACCAGGAGGGACTGCTTGAATGTGGGTGACGGGTCTGTTTGCTTTCAAGGAGTTTCATCGTACGAGTGTGTGAGCGTTGCGGGTTACAAGCGAAATGTTACCTTCCTCTGAGATTTGATACACATGGCATACATCTGGAGTATACTATGGGTTGTGCGGGTATAGTAGACGGTAGAGATTCCATAGGTAGGCAGCACTAAAAGAAGAGATGCCCCTGAACATCTATTCCACTACAGTGGTTATGAGGAGTGAACAAAAAGAGAGTCAGTCTATCGTTCAGTGTCTTCTGAAGTCTTGTCGTGTGGTAAATGTTAGGGTCAACATGGTGACACGATGGACAAAAAAAGAACAGTATGGACGAACGGGGAATCGAACCCCGGACCTTTCCCATGCGAGTAGTGGCAACTGATTGGTTGCACTATGCTAAGGGAAAATTATACCACTAAACCATCCGCCCATTTACTGATGCAGGAAATTGCGCAAGCTGGATACATGAAGATTCTGGCAGGTGGAACGGGCGAGGCATGATTGCGAGTTGAGATAGGGTAGGCGGTTCTGGAGGATTGCGTTGAAGGGTGGAAGAAGTGGACGAACAGTAAGGGGCGTATGTGTGTAGGCGCTAATGTATCCAATCTGAAATCCTGTTTTGAAGTCATTGTGAGAAGAAGAAGGGATCGGCAGGTTCATATTGTGTTGTGGTGAGTTACTTCTCTCTTGTCCTTGAACTTGTCGAGTTTACCTTGGCTGGTGGCAGTCTCAGGAACATACATGACAAGATGCCAGCAGATTCCGTCTGCCATTGAGCCCCATCAGCTTCCACGACCCCCAGAGCGACCTTCCTTATCGATGACAGAATCAATCAACCTTGACCAGAAATTCTACCCTCCAACCAGCCAATGCATTCTTTCTAACTTATCCCATGATAGCCCATGTGCGTCACTGTTTGGCCTCTGCTGTCTGTTTCCCTCCCGGGACTTTAAGCTCCCCGAATCGAGCCTAGCTTCTTGTACCTAGTTTTTTTCCCTGTACCAGATTCTCTCATCATAGCGACTTACAGAAGACCATCTCAACATTTCTGCTCTTCTGTTCTTGTCCAGTTGCTTCGCCTTTATCCAGTCCCTTCAATAATCTCGTCTCTAGGCTGATTCCCTGTCTTTGTATCTTGTGCAATCATTTCCCCCATCCTCTTGAACGAGTCAATGGGCTTGATGGTCCCTTGCGGCGCAGTGATTTGACCCGCTTGTGACGTCTTCAGCTACCTACCTACTAGCAGCAAGATCCAAGTTCCAGCTGCCTCCCAATCTTCAGAGGCGACTCTTTGATACCACTTCTTCTTCTTCTTCCTCCTCCTCCTCGACCACCATCCTCCACTATACTACAGCCCTCTCTCACCCAAGAATCCCACTTCCCTTCCGAACCAAACAATGAGGCTCTACCTCCTCCCCGTCTCCACGCGGCGCACCCTCCTCTACGCCCACCGCGTCAACACCGGCGGCACCGCCCACGACGGCTCCCTCATCGACCGCGGCGCCGCCTTCGCCGCGCGCAAGTGGGCGCAATGGGAGAAGATGGAGCGCGGCTGGCAGCGCAAGGTCGTCGACTACGGCAACCAGGCCTTCCGGCGCATCCCCTTTGAGGAATGGGGGCTCAAGTCCGTCCCGCCGCTGTCGGCCCGCCGCCGCGAGGACGAGCTGCGCGGCCGCGACCCCGTCCAGCTCGTCTTCCCGCCCGCCGCCATCCCCGAGCACAAGGCCGAGGGCGTGGTCAGGCGGCTGGCGACGGAGAGGCAGGCGCTGCATCGGCAGAGGCTGCTGTGGTGCTTCGTGGGGATGCCCATCACGGCGCCGCTGGGGCTGGTTCCTCTGTAAGTCATGAACACCATGAGAGCGAGAGCAGCTAGAAGAATATGAGAGAGAAAGAGAGAGAGACGAGAGACCAAGAGCTAACAAAGAGCGCGCAAAAAAAAAAAAACATAGAGTCCCAAACATACCCTTCTTCTATCTCGTCTACCGCGCCTGGTCCCACTGGCGCGCCATCAACGGCGGCAAACACATCCAGTGGCTCCTCCAGAACAAGCTCCTCCAGCTCGCCCCCTCCAAGGAGCTCGACCAGCTCTACACCCGCGACGGCCAAGACCCGGACTTTGAGCCCTCGGGCAAGGAGCAGATGCTCATTACCCAGAAGCAGATCCGCGATTTCTCCGCGACACTCGACCTGCCCGCCGTAGAAATTGAGCTCGAGAGGGCGATATGGCAGGTTGAGAGGGCGTTGGGGAAGGACGAGGAGCAACAGGCGCAACAGGCCGACAAGACGACGGCTGTAGAGGAGGAGCAGGAGAAGAAGGACAAGGATAAGCAGTCATAAACTGAAGAAGAGGGGGAGTTTGACGGAGAAGGAAAAAAAAAACATTATAATGCTGATGAGTCAATGATATCAACACAAAAATGGGCGGGCTTTTATGATGAAATGGATTGGTTTCACGTCTACATACCGAAAGGAGCAGAGGAGGCTGCGCATATACACGGGTTCGGAATAGACAGGCAGCGGGAGAGGTTGGCTATACAAAACCGCGTAACGACATGTTCTCGTCTCGAGTCTTACATACTGGGGCACATATACGCGCGAGCGAGATACGCCATCAAATTATACACCCTACTTTACATCTCTGCAACTTACTTATATCGTACTGGAGAGTTGCGGTCGCGTTGCCTGTCCCAAGGCAACCTTGGAAGTCTGCCAATGGATTGACCAACCTGGACTTGTCGACTGGATTACCAACAAATATGCCCTTCTCCGCCGACAAGTCAAACTGTACTCCAGTCATTTACGCATCATAAAGTGATAAGCGCACTACAAAGTAAGAAGAAGAAAAGCGAGCGATTAGTACTAGTTGTATTGAAGCCCTCTCCAACGCCTGTTTAGATTAGGTTGTAGCCAAACGTGTCTCAATAATCCACACTCTTGTTCTTTGCAAAATACCCATAATCTTTCCAAATCAATAACAATGCATCATGCTTAGCCAGAAGCAGCGAGGTCAGAGATGAAAGTGGCCTCTGTGAAGAGCGGGCCGTCCTCGGTGATCTCCTCGTCGCCGACCTTGAGCTTCAAGGTAGCCTTGGGGGCGTACTGCGGAAGAGAATTAGCTTTGCCAATAGCTAGCTAGATTGATAAGGAATACACACCTGGTAAATGTACGGCTTGGTTCCGGCGGCCGCTGCCACAATCGTCTTGACGAATCCGGGCACCTCGGCCATGACGTCAACCCGGTCGACACGCTCGCCCAGGGCGACGTCGATGACGGCCGTCACAGGCTTGCCGTCCTTGCTGGTAGCAGACCAGTCGAACTGCACCTGGGTGGGCTCGGGCCAGTCGCTGGTGGTGTCCTTCTTGGTGGCCTTGTGCGTGACCTTGTTGCCCTCGGTGCTGACGCCAATAAGCTCTCCGTCCTTGACGAGGGCGCCGACGTTGACCGTGGTGTTGCCGTAGGAAGGAGGAGTGGTAAACTCCATCATGATGGCGGTGTGGTTGGGGCCCTGGAAGTTGGCAAAGTTCCACCGCGCGGCAGCGTGGTGCGGCTTCATGCCCTGCAGAGCGTAGATGTAGATGGCCCGGCCCTTGAAGTCCACGGGCCCGTCCTTGGTGGTGATGGTGCCCTCAGCCGCACAGCGGGGCCAGAATGCGTGGCGCATCGAGCCCCAAGGGTTCTTGAGATCTGTGCCATACAGCGAGGTGCCCGTCTTGCCGGCCTGGAAGCCGGGCGCCGTCTTGGTGATCTTGAGGTTGACAAGCGCTCGCTCGTCGTTCATGCTCTTGATCGTGTATGAGTTGCCGTCCTCGGACAGCTCGACGGCGCAGTCATCGGCGTAGAAGGATGTCTTGTCCTCGCTGAAGGCGACGTTGCTGAGGGGGTTCGAGCACCACAGGTGCGGCTTCGCCGGATCGCGGGAGAAGATCTTGGTGTTGAACTGGCAGGTTACCTTGAGGCCGCTGGAACCCAAAGAAGAGAGTCAGCAGCTAGAACGAGCATCGGAAGTCGTGTAATTGTGCTGCAGATGAAGATCACATACGCAACGTTGCTATAGATGACCTGGCAAAAGGCAATGGTGCCATCCTCGGCGAAGAAGTAAAAAACCTGGTTCTCAACACATGTCGAGTCCATCGCCAGCCACTTGTGGTCGGCTCTGGTCAGCTCGGTGTAAGGGGTGCCCGTCTCCTTGGCCTCTTGGGCCACAGACTTGATAGCAGTCGGGCCATAGATGGGCTCTTGGGTGCCGGCGACGTTGGCCAGCCTAAAGCATCACGGCTTTCTGTTAGCAATGCCGTCGTTCGATTTTTTGGGCAAACCCTTGGAGGGGCGGACAAGGGGGAGGAATGGCGGGGCTTGTATGTTGTGGATGAGATGGTTGGGTTCTTACTGCTGCTTTGCCCAGTTGAACATCTTGGCGGAAACGAGTATCAGACGGCAATCGGATTTGGAAGATAACGGGCGGCGTCGTTGAAGGCCGAGAGAGAAGAGACGTTGGAGGTTGAGATGGAAGATGAAGAAGTGATCCCGCGTTGCCGAACGGTTGCGAGGTACATGCCGTGCTAAGGTGCTAAATTCGAGCTCCAGGTCAGGTCACCCAACTGAAAGTGGCCACAACCTTCAAGGTTCCAACCTAGTTAGGTACCTGTAGAGGCCGGCACTGCGATGGTGCGGTGCAGTTGGGCGTTTACAGGGCGCACACCGCTGAAGCTGGAGGGGAAGCAGTGCTGGAGCACACTGACGATGAGGTACCAATGACGCTGAAGAAGGCCTGTGGCTTGGGCGCTAAGCAGAAATTACCGGGTGGGTCGATGGCAAAGGGGTTGTGGCTTGATGGCCACTTGTGAGGTAACTGGAAGTACTTCGTACACCCTCACTTCGACTCGAATTTGGACTTTTGAAAGAGAAGCCATGAAAAGACGAATAGGAGGCCTGTTGCTGTACAAGAGAGACATGATACGCTGGTTCATTTCAGCCAATGAACACGAGAAGGCCAGATCGGAGCCTTAGTTCTGCCTAATCGCAGCTGCCGGGCGTTGTCATTGGCACATGAACCCGCAGACGTCCAACTGGCATCTGGGCAGCGCTACAATGAATTCTGTAATTTTCTAAATGTTGATATGCGATGGAAGGACATGCGATGGAAGGACGTGATTGCATCGGGTTCCAATTCCGTCGGCAGTTGCAGCCCAGCAAGCGAACAACATGCACGCCGTCTTGGCTAGATTGCTGCCAGCTAATGACGAACCACGTCTACTAACCCAAGGCCATAGGTAAGTAGGTAGGTAGCATCTCCATAGTATCAAGATCCAGTGTTGTGCTACGATCACTGCTAGTACTGGCAGTGGGCAGACATGCGTTATCAAACGCAGCTCTTATCGCCTAGCCGGCACAGGCTCACCTCATCAATGTCATTATGAAGCTTCGTTAGACAACAAAACTCCTCCTCCATCAAATGCCAATCTTCCCGTCTCGGGCCTCGTAAGACTTCGGCTGCCCCGCGACCCTCAAGACGAGAGCTTCACCAAAGAGCAACAGCAAACCCCTCACTCTCGCTTGCCGCCGTTGGAGGGGCACTGGCAAATATGGAGCTGATCAAGTGCCAATGACATGCATCCACGACTGTCATCTGCATGCAGCGACACTCATCAGACGTACCTACATCGAGTTTGGCGATGCGACAGGCTCGCCGGCGCCGTGTCTGCCTCTCAATCAGGCCGACCCCTCTCCTGGCTCCCCTCTCTGCGACGTGCGTGCTCTATCGTGGCACGGCTAGATATCTGGCAGAAGGGCGAGAGCATCGGCCGAATCACGATCCCAGATGGACGCGGTCGTGGTCGATGCTGTCGATGCTGTCGATGCTGTCGCCGTTGTCGTTGTCGTTGTCAACACCGCTTTCGTTGTCAGTACCGTGGTCCATGTCAACATTGTTGTCGTGCTTGCTGTCAGGGTCGTGGACGAGCTCGTGGTCATTCACCCTGGACTTGCTGTCATCTTGTCATCTACGGAGTACAACAAGTCAACCTTGTTGTGGGACACAGATCAAGATTGGGATACAACCCTCAGGCTGACGAGGACTCATAAGGCTGCTGGTGAGTCTTGCTTAGATTAAGTCTGCGGTTCTTCATGCCCGTCCCGGCCAATCAGCGCCTGCCGCGGCTGCAGCCAGGCATCACCTCAGCGTGAATTCGGGCTCCAGCCAGCACAGCTCAGTCACTGTACAGCGCACACGCCACGCCTGACAGCTAAAAGAGGCCTCAGCCTGGCGGGCTCAGCGCGCGCTATAAGTACAGGTACTAGCACGGCTCTCGTCGCATCGGGCGAGGTTAAAGGTACCTTCTGGCGTAGTACTTGCTCCCTCTGGCAGTCGGGTTCCAGTTGGTCCTACCAAGCCCCTCCCTCGAGCGCGTGCCTTCCCAGGATTTTTACCAGTCGTATCCGGACTTCCTGCTGCGTGTATGTACTCTGTACTCCGTACCTCCCACTTGCACTTCCCAAGGGGGAACAATAATTACATCGCGATACGCCTCCAGGCCCTTTTCGCTTTTCCCTCTTTTTTCGCCTTTCCCTCTTCTCATTTCCCCCACGCTTCCCGTGCCGCGGTCTAGCCTCAATCTGCCGCAACTCCGCCACGCCCAGCGCCTTATCCTTACATCATCATAGCGCGAGACGAAATCTGCGATCCCGCGATCTTGTGGCTGGTGCTCGATCTCTCCTGAAAAAAACAGCAACCACCCTTGGGCAACCAAAGGGATCAAGTTCAATCCCGGCCTCGATCAACGCTCTTCACGCTGGCGACCGTTCAAACTCGCCCACTGCCTCGTTGGCCCTCATCTGCGCTCCCGCAAGCCCTGCCGAATCCCTAGCTAAGATGGAAGAAGCTCAAGTGCTGCCGCCACCACCGAACGAGCCCATCTCTCGACCGAGCTCGACGTCTACTTCTGCATCTGCCAATGTGCAGCAGCTGCCCGGCATTGCCTCCCTTGCAGCAAGCAACGCGACGGCTGAAGCTCCACAGCAAAGGTATTGCACCTGCATCCGATCTTGAGAGCATGCGTCCAGACGATGCCCTCTGTTGTTGTGACACGTTGGTGGCTGGATTGGCATCTCGAGCTCCGGATCACAAGCACATTGGGACTGACTGTTCGCGTCCACTACCTAGGCCACCTCCAATGCCTCAGCCACAGCAAATGTATCATGGCGTCTCTCCTGCAGCCACCAGTGGCGGCACAAACGGCAATATGGTGAGTCCATGTTCGGTTTTCTATCGTCCTTTGTTCCACCCCCTTCCTCTGTTTTCGGTCGACCAAGTTGTCGCTGCTCTTGTTGCGCCTCCAACACCAGAACTGCCGATGCGGCGGCGGGCCAATGAGAGCCGGCATATTCCAACTTTTACATCTTATCTCATATCATAATCGCACATCACGTGCCTTATCGCCAGAATCTTCCCCTCTAAGCCTAAAACGGGCATGCCCCACCAGCTGGTGCTCAGGTCTATCTTGGCCTTATCGGTCGACCGGGGCCAAGTTTTTTTTCCTCTGTTCCGTCATCCTTATCGATCATGATAATATTTATCGGCCATTCTCCCTAATCGATTTCCTATCGCATTCCCCAAATCATCCAGTACTAGCACCGGCATCATGATGGCAACTAATGCTTCTGCGCAGCCCGTCTGCCAAAACTGCGGAACATCGACAACGCCGCTATGGCGTCGCGACGAGTTCGGATCTGTCCTGTGCAATGCGTGCGGACTTTTCCTCAAGCTTCATGGACGACCACGACCGATTTCGCTAAAGACGGACGTGATCAAGAGCCGAAACCGCGTCAAGACGATGCGGCCGGATCTTGCTCCCAAGAGAAAGGTGAGTAACGCGTTTGACGCATTTCCTGCTCATGAGCTTCTGTGCCTGACCGGTAGCGCCTACCACAGCAGCAACAGCACGGATTCCCCCTCGCGACAGACCCCAATAGCGCCGAGAACACTGCGGCACAGGCGGTTCGCAGAGCGCAGAAGATGAATGGCGAGGGCCCCGAGTCGCCCATTTCGCGGACTGGGACTCCCTCCATGTACAATCATTCAATGCCCTCTTTCATGGTCGATGACCCGTCCCAGGCAGGCGTTGCCGGCTTCAATGGAGAGGGACGCGCTGGGTCACCCATGAATGGGGACCGCGGGCTCGAGTCTCCCCAGACGCAGGAGCAGCTCATCGCCAACAATTCAAGCCTCAAGACGAGGGTTAGAGAACTTGAGTTTATCAACGAGCTCTTCCGGGGCCGACTCAGCCAACTCGAACAGCAGGAGGCGGCTGCGTCTGCGGCGCTCAGGGGCCAGGAAGTTGCTGGTGTTGAGCACACCCAGCTGCGAGCTCAGCTGGACGCAAGTAAGGAGGTTGAGAACCAACTTCGAGCTCAGCTGGAAGACAGCCACCGAAGAGAAAACAACCTCAAGCGACGGCTCGACGAACTGGAGCTTGAGCTGCGGGCCGTTAAGGATGCCCTGACAGAAGCAGACTCGCGCCCCTACAAGAAACCTCGCACTATCGACTCTGAGGAGGCCGTCAAGGCAGAAGCGGCTGATGCCTTGGCTGCAGTCGCAGTTGCCGTCGCCCCGGAGCTCATGATGGATGCTCACATGGCAGAGGTGGCTGCCGAAGAAAACGTCGCCGAACCCATCGAGGCACCGTCTGGCCTATCTATGGATGGTGCTGTAGAGGCATCTGCGGAACCAGTTGAAGGAGCACATCTCGAAGCCTCCGCCGAAATCGCGACGGAAGAGGCAGCCCAGTCCGCTGTCGAGCCAACTGCAGAGCAGGTCTTGGAGACGACTGAAGATGCGCCCACCGACGTGGCCGCTGAGACCACTGTTGAGCCCCCTGCCGAACCAGAGGCTGAATCGGCCCCAGAGGCTCATGAAGCCGCCGCAGCGGACGCAGACGAGGCTGCACCCGAACTGGAGGGTGCTGCGGCTCCCGCCGAAGTCGTTGCGTAAATGCTTTCTGATTTTCTCTTAACGCATGCTTGCCGACTCGATCATTTCTTTTCTCCTCTTTGCCCCAGGCCGTGGCAACGATGGATGTGCACTGAATGTTGACGAATCTTGCTCATTTTAATACCCTTGTACGAAACTCGATCTGGTGCCAGCTGCATCAGATATACTCACTCTTTCGCGGTGCCGGAACGACGAAAGCAAAAAGTTTTGGCGTTTGACGGTATTCTTTTCTTTGTTGTCGCCTTGTGCGACCTATACTCCCAATTTTCCTACAATACTTTTAATAGATGACCCGGAATGGTTTTCAAGTGGGCGAACACGGTCGGTGAGGCGGGTGTGAGAGTTGGTGAATAGTGATATACCCTCGTTTGGTTTCTGAAGCTGCACGACGATGCAGATTGCAGTACGAAGGTTTTCTATGAATGACGGAAAGGGAGAAACAAGGAGCCTTGCGGCGTCTGGAAAAGAACAAAAAAAGGGGGCCGAGGCTGGTGTCGAAAACAAACAAAAAAAGTTGACTTTTATTTTAATGCCAACAAATACATGATCTATCTTGTAAGAGCCAATTTTGCGCTGCGATGCTTTGCCAGCCCGTGTCTCGATTATGTCGTGTTGTGTCGAGCCTTGTCGTCTTTGCTGTACCTGTATCGTGAGGTTTCTCAAGGCGATGCGCCACATGTACCGCCACCTTGATAGCTGCTCCCAACCTGACGATGCACCGGCCTTCCAGTGTCAGCTGTAGAGCGCGATTCACTATTTTGACAGTAGGTACTCTACTTGCAGGAATAACTACCTACCTACCTTACTTTACCCTCGAGGAGAAACTCAACCTTCGAAGCACTGAGCCCGTGATTCAACGGCCATTGACACAGCAAGTCACGTGCCCCGCAGCATTTTGGGCGGCAGTACCGTGCCTCCTTCCCCAGGATCAATTCACCTTGATGACTTTGGAAGTCGCGACCAACAAGCGAATCTAGAGTTTCATGAAGCGCGCGGGACGAGCTTCTTGTCAACTCTTTCTTTCCTCTTCCAACAACCAACTTTCGTGAAGGATTTTTGTTTTTTCTCCTCCTCCTTCTCTTCTTCCTTTTCTATCTCTTCTATCTCTTCTTTGCGTCTATATACCCAGCACGAGCGCTCGCACATTCATACTGTCGGCCTTTATTGTTAGGAAGGCCGTCGACTTGTTGATCTATCATTCCATTTGTTGGTTTCATTGGTTCGAGAACAAAGTGAGAACGACGAGATGCCGCCAAGCACGACGACGCGGGGTGGTCCGGCCTCAAGCCAGAGAGGAAGGCCGACCCTTAGCGGCAAGACTCCTATGAGCACTGCGCGACACAACCGTCACCGGTATGTTCTTTCTTAGCTAAGTTCCTTTTTTGTCTTCTTTTTTCTGTTTGTTTTCTGTCGATCGGCAATCTTATTTGGAGGAAAGGGCTGAGTGCCTTGACGGGGAAAACGAACGGGAAAAGTTGACTTGCTGACGCGTGGTGTTGATTGAATCTAGAAAAATACTGAGGGACACCATTCAGGGTATCAGTACGTGCTCTCCTTCCCTTATCTCCCACTCTTCTTTCGTTCTCTTAGCTTTTCTTGATGAACGTATCGAGAGAATGATGCTGGTCAATAACGACTCCGCATGAAATTCCTGGCTAACGTGTGAATATAGCGAAACCGGCGATCCGGTGAGTCGAGGCCTCCTTCCTGCATGAACAAGACCAGATGCTCGCTTTCCCCCACAGAGGGGACAACACCAAAAGGGGAATTGCAAACCCTCAAGAAAATCTAAACACGATGAATTTTCATAGGAGAGCTCTGCTGAACGTTGCTTCTCTTGATTTGTTTCCAGTCGCCTGGCACGTCGGGGTGGTGTCAAGCGTATCTCAGCCACCATATACGATGAGATGCGCAAGGTGCTCAAGATTTTCCTGGAAGATGTGAGAACACCTCGGATTGCAAGAGTCCTCTTTCACTTCTGTTCCTGACAGATTCATCTTCTTCATAGGTGCTGCGGGACGCATGTACGTATGTTGAGTATCGCAACGCCAAAACTGTCACAGTGGAAGATGTACGTGTTTCCCCCTATTCTTCTTTTGCATCGCTTCCTCCTCGATGTCTTTATCTCTTTTGGCACTGACTCCTTTGTATGCAGGTCTTGCACAGCCTCCGACGCAGAGGAAGAACCCTGTACGGCTTCGACCAGGACACCTGGTCAGAGCAAAAACCTCAGCGTCGTCAAGACGGCAGGAAGAGGCCCTTCAGGGCGGACAGGATCTACTAGATCTCACCGATCCGGTGATGGCCAACGCCCCTTTCCGCTTCATTATGTTCGCGCTTTGCGTTTCTTTTGTCTTCATCATTCGTCTGCTATATCACTCTATCCACCCCCTTGATTCCCGGTTCTTCCAAGGGTTGTTTAGCGTGCTCGGGGGTATTCTGATTGTATTCGAGTTGATATGAATGATGTGAATATAGCATGAAGTTTGCGTCACGACGTAAGGAGTCAGCATGATTGAAGCCAGAATTCACCTTTTCAATGTTACGATATCAACAAAATCTCCTAGGAGTAGTAAGCGTTGATGTATCTGTAAACAAACAAAGAAATAACAACGAGGAAGACTAAAACAAGTTCCTATAGGGGTATCTCAAATGAAGGAATCTCGCAGCAACAGAAAAATTCAAAAACATGCTAAATCCAGTCCCTTGAACCTTCAGCTCCATTCTCCTCCGGGAACTGGCTGATGTTCCATTACCTCTTCTTCCTCTTGCTCGCCTCCCATTCCTCGAGTGCCTTCTCCAATACCTTGGCCGCTCTCACCTCGTCCCGACGAAATACCCCGTTGAACATGGCTGGCAGTATCATGGTGCTGTTGGCATGCTCCTGCGCGAACCCGACCTCAGCGTCCTTGCCGCAGCGGTCCTTGACAATGCGGATGGCGCCGTCGAGAAGATCCCGGCCGATGCCTTTACCACGGTACCGGAGGCGCGTTGTCCACGCCCGGATGACGCCCTTGCCGCCCCGGAAGCTCATGCTCCTGCTCCTGTTCTTGCGTCTGCCGCTGCCCGATGACAGAGACGAGAATCGAGGCTCCAGCCTGAGCACCAAGACACCAATCAGGGCTCCGCCGTATCGTGCACCGATGATGAAGTCTCCCTCGACACTGCCGGGCCCCTCGAGCCATGACCATCGCAGATTCTCAGCGAGGCTCACATAGCCGTCTGTGAAGTAGCGTATTGCCGTGAGATACGTCATGGTTACACCGCAGGAGAGCAGGAGGGCCATGCTGGGGTCGGCGGTCGCTGGCTCGTAGGCCCAGCGATAGATGGCCGCCCATGTAAGGAACAGGAGGGTGATGCACAGGGGGTGGAAGACCATGGAGTGAGCGGCCCGCTGTTTCATCTGCGCTATCGAATCGGCAATGAGATTCAGACCGGCGACCTTGTCGTCGTAAGTGAGCAACGGCTCCAAGGATAGAGGCGGAACATCGTCAATGGGGTCGAGAGGAGTCGAAGCATAGGCGTTGGAGGAGGATCGCGGGTCTGAGAAGGAAGTTGAAGCGCTAAGAGGCGAAGGAGACGGCGGGATGGGGAATTGGTGGTGCGAGTAAGGCTCGAGGTACGGAGTTGGCGCGTGGGAGGAGACAGGTGTCGATGGCGAAGTTGCGCTGAGGGCGAGATTGGCCCGTAGAAATGTGAAGAAGGCTGTCAATGTCAGTGAGAAGGCCGTGGAGGAGATTGGAAAACTTGGAAATGGCGGTTCAAGAAAGGAGGTTGATGGTTGTCGAAAGCACTAGGGAGGTCATAGCTTGGAGCTTGTAGCTCCGAGCTCGATTATACAGGCAGCTGGTCCAACAATGGCGGGGATGGGAGAAAATTTTTGGAGGAGCACAATTGAAAATTGTCTTTGCGCTTGTTGCTGAGGCATCGATGCATCTTGATCTTGGCTGACGATGATGCAATGGAAAAGGAAGCAGAAGGGAGTAAAGACAAATAGAAAAAAAAAAGGAAAAGGAACAATAGGCGGAGTTTGGAAAATGGCAAAAGACTTACCAGCGCTGGTTCTCAAGCCTTGAACGACGTTGACTCTGTCCACCACAGAAACTGATCCGTAGTTGGCGAGATCCAGCTCGCGAATGCCCGCGAGCCGCTGAGCTTCCTCCATGGTGTCATGCAGCAGCGTTTCCACCTCCCTAATCCAGGATAAACAGCTGCCTCTAAATCGGTTGGGTGATGAAGTGAAGGTGGTCGGATGGCGCCTTCGGAGAAAAGAAACTGTAAATGATACTAACCGCGGCAAAGGGTCCTTTAGAAGCGCGGCAGCGTTCTGACCTAGCCGCAGTTTGACGACCTATAGATGCAAAGAGAGGGAACAGAAGCTTGGTATAAGCAAGGGAGTAATATAGTATTGAAGGAAGAGTGATTGGGAAGGGGAAATTGTAGAAATTATGGGGATTGAGTGAAGATCGGGGCTCCAAGCCTTCAAGGGTCCTGGAGAAGTGCGGGAGAGGTATGGGTGAAATATCCTCAGAGCAGATTGTCTTGTGTAATGGAATCAACGCTGAGATTTTGGAGCAACGGAGCAGACGGTGCACAAAAGATGTGACGGGCGTCTATGCTGGATATCGCATGTAATATGTATGTGGCTCAAGGAGGTGATACAAGGAGATCAACAAGGTTAAGAAATGCAGCCTGGTCGTTTCAGAAATCCCAAACGCCGACAAGAGCGTCAGACGAGCGACGGGAAGCGAGGAGAGAGAGAGAACAAAGACGGGCAGTAGAAAAATCAAAGAGTAGGAGCAGCACGAGCCGGAAGGGGGTCTGGTGGGATAGATAAAAGGGACAGCCCTTCTTCTCTGTCTAATCTGCAAGATCTGCATCAAACCACTTCTCCGTACATGCACTAGAAAGCAACGGGACGGCTGTCAAAATCCATCAACCTAGCTGGTCCTGGTTCCCTACCTTGTGAGTGATTAGCAAAAAGTAATCCCAACGAACCAACACATGGCGTTTTTCGCTCATGTAAGAGACGGGCAAAACCTTGTACATGCACTGGCGCAGACGACCGGGCGAGTCAAGGCGAGGCGAGACACGACAAGGCCCCTGGCTTCTCTTCTCTTTGGGTCCATGCAATCATTGTCTTTTGCTTGCTCTTGCTCCGCTTGCAAACCGTAATGCACCGACTCGCTAGCACAAATCACACAACCGGCGTCGAGCCCCAACAGCAACTACTAGATCTTCAACGACGTAGTGAAGGGAGTCGACGCGAAGCGGCTTATCCCGTTGAACTGTCCGCGTTGTGATAGTGCATGTATAAAGCGGGCGGTGGCTGGCCCGGTGATGCTTCGGGGCTCTGTCTATAGCATCTGTCTTGCCATCTCCACTCGCGGTGTTGCTCGTTATTGGCAAACAAGGGAGAGCTGAGGGCTGTTTTGTCCATGACCTGCTAGCTGTAAGTGTCATTTGTTCACTTGACCAGGCAGTAGTACTACTACTTGGAAGTGGGAGCAGATAACAGGCGGAAAAGAGGGCGTAATAGCGCCAGTGTGTGTGTGTGTGTGTGTGTGTGTGTGTGTGTGAGCGTTTGTGTGTGGAGATGGTGGGAGACGAGCATGAGTGGAGGTTTCGCTACTGTCCTGTAGGTATTTTCGTTGTGGACGATCAAACAGCGGCAAATGCACGCTGCAGGAGCGACGGGAGGAGCACCTGCTTCGTTCTGGTGCAAGTACTCGTAGCAACAGCGCCCAACGCTTCTTCGCTCCTTCTTCGTTGTTCAACCACCAAGCCCCTCTAAAGGTTTGAGGCAAGTACCCACCTACTGGGTATCAAATCCAAATCTCATGAGCCTCTTTTCAAAGTCTTTTCTCTCCTTTCCCGTCATCTTCATCACTCTTTGTCAGACCTCGGAACCCCGTCGATTTTTTACCATCTCGTGTGCCCTTCGACCCCATCAGACTAACACAACCCTTGCTGGGCCCCCGAAGCTCAGACAAACCTGGGGTTTGCGAAACCGCCGCGCTCCTCCACCTCGAACCCAACCAGGCTAGCAATTCCCAAGCGCCACACAACTTTTCTGCTCCTCGACAACGGTCTGGGCCTCCCCCGGTTGGCCAAAGACGAGCTGGAGGGCACGCGATAAGGCGGGCAAGGGAGCAAGTCATCCAATAGCTTGGACGAGGCGTCAACCAACTGCAGCGCCACCGTTTGAAGACGCTGCTCTCGATTGGCTTCTTGTTCTCGAGCACCGCAGGAGTGAAGCAGAAGGCGCAAGTCTTTTCGACGACCGCCAAGCGAAATACGGCTGTCGGGGTTCAAATTGCGCAAAAACGGCTGATGATTGAGCGATGGATGGAGATAAAGCAAACCACCGGATGGACTCCATCTCCCCGTGCGCGCATGAGCTCACTTGTCACAGCATCACGCTCATAGGTGCATGCAACAGTGACCGTGGCCGACTATCTTTTCCCCTCTTCCCGTTACCTTTTATCAACCCGAAGGCGTCAAGGATCAAAATATGAAGGTTGATGCTTTGCTCAGAGTCCATATCCTGTTACAGTAAAGGAGCCAAAGGAGCCGACATGCAAGCCCCAAGGATCATATCGGCCCTAGAACTCGGCCTTTCCTCTCCCCCTCCCGTGTTTTAGTTGCCTCATCCCGCGGACTCTATCGGCCATGGGCACCATCCCTCCTCGATACAACCACAACATCACAAAGATAACCAGACTGAGCGAATCAGCAGACGAACCGGGCACTCCCCAAGGATAACTCTATCAGTTGATGTATCACAAACACCACATGCCCTGTTCCGAAAACGTGGGTTTCCGTGGCTAATCATCACTAATACTACGACTGCGTTTCTGTCACCGATACGGCGTACGGATAAAGATGGTCCCAGTGGCTCTGAGCTGCCATGTGATTCAAAGAGAGTCAACCAGCTGCAGGCATCGTCAACTATCGATCAGTCAGTCAATCAAGCTTTCGGTTACACGGCCACTTAAGCTACCAAGCTAGCATCGACCCTCTTCTGCTTGACAGCGGTTCTCGTAAACGGGTCCTCTCCCCAGGGAGAACAAGGGTGACTGATCCACTGCTGACGTACAGGGCATACGCGTCCGAACACTTGTCGGTGGTTTGTTTGCGTATTTGAACAGCTGAAGCCGCTCCGTTTGCTCGCCGAGACGGTCTGAACGGAGTGCCGTGATGACGTTTGAGTGCAATGTTTGGGGCAGAACCTCCGCGAGGGCCGACAGCGGGTGGGAGGTTACAAAGAAGCACATGGCCCGAGCGAATGCTATACGTACATGATCATTGTCAGGATGTCAGTCAACACCCCTCTCTTGACGGACGAAGGAGTCGCTTTGATTTCGTTGGCGAGGAACGATACGAGCCCTGTCCACTCGTCAGATCTTTATCATGCCGGCAGTATCAATCGGCGTCTGACTGGTGGGGGCATCTCCAGCTTTTCACAGTACGCGTAGTATCCGTTGAACAAGGTCTGACACTTCCCCGCTCCCCGAATTCGATACTCATCTCATCAAGTATGTATACTATATAGATACATGCTGCTGGATGTTGATGGTACCTTTGTGACTGTCAAAACCGTATATCACGACAGCTTGATTTGATGAAGAGGATACAAAGAGGGACCCAACTCGGAAGAGCAATGGCCCCCTATCGCTTCCAAGACAGGTCAAATCAGGCACTATGATCAGTTGCTACAATGTCGTCCCCGTCTCGGCTGCAGATCTCAAGACATTTCGCTACTCTTTCTTCCCTCACTCAAAGTGACCCGTGTGTCGAGAGATATGTTCTTGGATTTCTTAACATTCTCATGGCGTCTAGGTGGACTGATGCCAACCTAACGGACTATCCGATGGTTCTGCACCTCTTACATTAGCCCAACACCATGAAAGCGAGGAAGTGTCTCTGGAATTTCTTCCTCTAACTGATACAGAAGGCGACCCCAATCTGTAGATTTTATATCGATGGACTCACTGCCCTCGCTAGTTCTCGCTATCCCGTTGATTGACACAGGCCAACTAACAACCAAGTAATCGCCAATCATCAACGCCCTGCCACCAACAAACGATATGACTATTACCTAAAGACAACGAAATCTTAGCGGTCAACTTTGCTGAGAAGATGCGGAGGATGCTTTCATTCCAGACCTTTTGCACCGAATGCCCAACAGCGGGCTTTAATGCATGTCAGCAGCTGATTTGCCGTTGAAGGGCGCGCCAGACCGGCGGCATGATGACTGATCCAGTTAGTTAGTATAAGATCGAAAATCCGGTCTTGGCTGATAATAGCGGCCCAACTACATCTATCCAACGTGCTTTACAGATCTCAATTAATGTCAAGGAATAAGAAGGAATAGCAAAACGCACTATCTGGTTCAAACACTCGAGATAGTCGAGCACACAAACTGATAAGCACCTCAGCCATGAAAGTAACGGCGGTAAGCAGTCTGCCGGCCATGGCTCGGACGAGATATCAATGTCTTATTATCACGATTAGCTAACGATTCTATGCCTTCTTGTCACCCCAGATCTGGGTCTATCCTATCAAGGCCCTCCGCGGCATCTCACTCCACAACGCCCATCTAGGGCCTCAGGGAATCAAGTATGACCGGCGGTTCATGCTCTGGAGGGTCGGCGAGGACGGCGGGCTGTCCAAGATACAGCTCGATCGATATCCCCAGTGCAGTCGCTTCGTCCAGGAGATTGTAGGCGACGAAATCCATGTGCGATATCAGCCTCCGAGCGACCCCTTGGTGCCACCAAGTCCGGAGCAGAGCGTCGTGTTGCGCGTGCCATTGGATCCAGACGTTTCACGGCTCGAAAGACAAGTCCTCAACCTTCACCAGGGAATGGTCAATGGCTACCGTATGGGATCAGCTTACGACGAGTGGTTCACAGCTTGCTTTGGCTTTCGGGTTGTCCTGGTCTATATTGGTGATGAGCGCCGCCCAGTATTGGGCACCTTTTCGCCCAGAGCTCAGCCCGTTGCAGTTCCCACCCAACAGGGCTGGCTCTCATATCTCTTTAGCTACATATGGGGAGCGCAGAAGCCGCAGTCCGAGCCCGAGCCAGACTGGTTGACCTTTTCCGACATGGCAGCCTACCTCGTTGCGAGCGAAAAGTCGCTCAGCAACGTCAACGCACGGCTCAGCAGCGGGCCCGTCGACATTGTCCGGTTCCGCCCCAACATCGTCGTCGACGGCGAAGGCGAGGGCGAATTCGACGAGGATTTCTGGGCGGAGCTGTCCATCCGCAGTCGGCCTGCGCTCGCCATGACCAAGATGTGTAACCGGTGCACCTCTCTCAACGTCGACTACGAGACGGGGCGCTTCGGGGAGGGCGAGAAGGGCATGGTGCTGAAGAAGCTCATGTCTGATCGGAGGGTGGACAAGGGGTCCAAGTGGACGCCCGTGTTTGGAAAGTACGGGTTCTTGGTGGATGGGCTGGATGGGCTTGATGTCGCGGTTGGGGATGAGGTTGCTGTGACGAAGAGGACGAGTGAGAGGCCGGTGTCGGATTGGCAGTATAAGGATGAGAGCATTGCTCGCTTCTATCGCTATACATAGAGCAGATCGGAGTTTGTTTATTACCCCCATTGTTCTGGTGAGCAAGGGGCTTCCTTGCCTGTAAAACAAACTGCTACGTCTCTCACTGGCATTCAGAGATGGAACTTTTGGCCACATTGACTTGAATGGGAGCAAAGCAACCTTCAAATGTTTCTCCATCGAGTCATGCGTCTATTTGCTATTCTGCTCTGTTCTTAGGGTCACATTCTTCATCGACACGGGAAAGACCCCCGTTGTGCCACCTGTGCACAGAAAACGATCATCTCGCACCCGGCAATCTCTGTATGACGAAGCCGCAGTTCCTCTTTCCGCTTGGTACCACATTGTCGTCCGATGACGCAAATAGACCATAAGAGAGAGAGAGAGAGAGAGAGAGAGAGAGAACACGAGACAGTCAACATGGCGGAGAAAGATGAACCAAACTGCACCCTCCTCAAAAGCACATACAACGCCTCACATCGGCCCTTTGTAGCCCCAGGTAGAGTAAAACAACAGAAGAATAGCAAAGTAATTGACAATCGCTTCCCCTTGGTAGCTTCAATATACTCCCCTTCCTTCTTGCTCTTCGTATAGCCTGCGTTCCCTCATTCAATCCGGTCTACCTTCTCTTGAAGGTACTTTCCCTGAAAAGAGGGCCTATGGGTAATGAACGTCGAGTTCTTGTCTGAACATGACGTTGAGGAGGCAAGATATTCGCTTTCAAGCGCATTCTGCCCCCATGATTTGAGGTGATCAGACTAATTCAAGGTCATCCTGTCCTCAAGTTCTTCCAATTTACACTCTGAGGGATTCAATTACTCCTTGACTTGTAGTCTCCCAACCCATTCAATGTTAAAGAGTCCCGATGAGACTCCATGAAGTGTTGATCAACAGTGTACGGTGAGGCCCTCGTACCAATTCTCCATAATGCAGAGGACCTTTGGCGTACAGTAAAGGCGATTGATGGGCTCAAGAACATAGTGACATACGTTGTCTCAATATACTATGCTGAGCATAAAGGCATTTTCTAATCAGGAGCGTCGCATATGAGGCCGTAGGTATGGTAGCTACCAGTCGTGAACTTGCACGCTCCCAGAGTCGTCGGACACTCAAGAATCATCGACGAAGATGGTTGATATATAAAGTCATTAGACGCCAGGTCTGTCTAGTCTCTATAGTGTCATGCTCACATGCTCAGGTTCAAGCCCCTTTGTCTTACGACAACCAATCTATACACAATTTCACTCATGTGAACCAGCCCCTTCCATCCAGTAGGTAATTCCCAGTAGCGCCAGGATGTGGTGAAGAGAACTGTATCGTCTAACTGGTGGAAAAGCAAAACCAAGAACAGGCCTAGAAGCAAACCGAAGCCTCGACCACAACGGAGACAGCATAACTCCATTCACTAACGAGAAGCATTCGATGACAAAGAAGAAACAAAAGAACGGGGTCCGAAAATGAATGTGGGAAACAAGCCCCCAGGTTGCAGCCGGCAAGGGAGGCAAATTGCAGGCTGTCGTGACACAGCACACTCTTAGTGGAACCGAACCGGCTCCGAATCATGAGCAAATGGCCAAGCAGCCGCCTTCAGTGCCTTGCGCTTGCGCTTGCCCCTTCCATTTGAATAGGAGTGTTGACAAATGAAAATGGCCAACAAGTGCCCAAGGGGCTGTAAGCTGAGATATGGAGGGCTGCCCGGCTGCGGCCACAGCTCTTCGCCGAATCGCACCTCGATGCCTCCGAGAAGTATTCCATAAGCCTTAGCCGGAGTGTCCACATAAAAGGGAAACACCCTGCAGGGGCCCTTGTCCTGGCCATGATGCACGACGCCGAAAAGGGTGTGCTGGAAGAATCGCCCACGTGGGACCTGCAGCCAGCTGCAAAATCAGAACGCAAGACAGACGAGAGTGAAAAGAACGATTTGGAAAAGTTGAGGTCGACCAAGGGACAGGTGCCACCGCATCTGCGAGCGAGTTGCATGCCCGTGGCTGTGATTTAGTTTGCCCAAAACGAGAACGACAACGGGCGCCGAGGAGCAAACTGTTGGTAGGCGAGATGTGCATTTGTAGTGGTAGAAGAAAGAGGAGCAAACGGTACAAAAAGAGGTCATTATTCGTAGAAGCGTATCAGTCAGGTGCTCGTTATAACGCAACTGGTTCGCCGAGGGTGAATGTATCATCAAAGTAGGTGCAGTAGGCCGCATTCAGTGTTTTCCCGTTCCATCTTGATGGGAGTGCGCAATGAATACGCGCGGTCGTCGAGAGAGAAGAAGAGGGATATCCCCCAAAGAGCCTGCCATGGAGGGGAATCGATCCGCCCATATGCAATACTATCCATTGCAGAGCTCACCAGCTTAGGCCGCCTGGGTACAAGGGCGGCATAGATGAAGCTTGCAGTAGGTGCATTCATAGATGGCCCAGTGAGGTCCCGAGCGACAGTGCTGGCAAATCCACTGAACGAGCGTATTGTCAGACTTGATCATGACAAAGGAGTGAGCGCAAGAGACGGCCATTGTCATGGGAGCTTGTTGTTGAGTCGTGATCGTAGGGAATATGGGTTGAGCCGGGAGGATGTGGTTGACGATTTGTCAAGAATGGAAGTGCCTGAAAGAAGGTGACACTTTGGATGCTTCTGACAAAGGGAAATAAGAACCCAAATAGTAGGAAGCCAAGTGACTTGGCCTGAGATGACTGATGAGAGAGACGGGAAATATAAAGACTTGGTATGGTGGTTGTCAGACCGTGGCTGCTTACAGAGACGAAGGCGTCTCTTTAAGGTTTCCAACGATGAAGGAGAGCTCTAGAAACAAATGTCTGTTGGGTATGGAGCAAATATCTTGAGGGAGATATCAAGACTGCGTCTTTAAGAAAGAGGACTGGTTTCGAGTATTGGGTGTTGTGGAGATCGACTTGAAGGTTGCGAGCCACAAGCTTATATGTTCTTCGGAGTCGTCAGTCGGCGTCCGTGACGAGGTGTAGTAATCGTGAACTCTAACCGTGAGTGTTTGCATAAAGATGCCAGTAGCTAGAAAGCAGAAGCTGGTGGATATTCAGGGATTGGAAGCTGGGATGGCACGGAACGGAGAGCACCCATATGCCGGTAGACAATGGATTGACCACTTGAGACGAGGCGAAGCGTAGGGCATGGGGCCAAGTAGCAAGGGAGGGGTCTGTCTTCGATTGTCGATAAGCCCCCGGAAAGACGGGTGTGGGTTGTCAGTCCGGAGGCAAGATGACGAGCAGGATGACGATGAGAAGCCTCCCTGTGTGGCGGTTGCGACCAAGTGACTGACAGACTGTGTCCAGGATTTCAAAAATAGCACCAAACCAGACAACGTTTGTTTGAACTTCCCAGGGTCGGGAAGAAGACGGCTATGCGGGAGCGGATGCCGATTGATGCAACGCCGGAGGCAGTTCCGGCGGTAGAGAAGTGCCGAGATTGTTTCTAGAAGGCGACGATGCGGAAGTGCGTTTGATGGCGTGGTTGGCTTTAGACGAAGAGAAGCTCAACTGGAGCCTCCAGCAGCCTGACAGAGCTCGGCCAAGGATACTATGTCGTTCTGGGTTCTCAATCGTAACTTCCGGTCAACTGCTAAGGTTGACGGCCAAGGTGCAAACGGCAAAGTATGGGAATTGGGCACGTGGAGGGAAGAAGGTTTGATGACAAGGACGAGGATGTTGAAGAGATGGAACAAGGGAGAAATGGCAGACAAAGTAAAGAAAAGAGAAGACAAAGAGCGAGGACGAAAAGGAACCTGGAAGGGGGGCGTGCCTGAAGACGGAGCAAGGGATGAAGTCGGGGTGAATAGAGAAGGAAGGCGCATCCCCGGTTGAGCTCTACCTTACTCAATGGAAGGTACCTTGAGGATGCAGCATCATGCACATGCACAACCTCAAAGTTACAGTTAATATAAAATATACGATGTACATGCAGCCCGCAGGGCGAGGTACCTGAGAAGCAGCAGAGGTACTGTACTTGGCGCAAGTACTGCGGTGTACTCTGCGTCCAGTGCGCACCTCGAGGCACCTTGCCCAAAGACGCGCGAGACAAGGAAGGTGCTCTGCAGCCCAACATCTCGATCCTGAGGCAGGAAAAGCGAATGCCTTTTTTTAATTCCATCACTTGATCGATGACCTCAGCTTCTAACATGCTGCATCGCTCTCACTGCATTACTCTCTACGGCTGTCATGCCAACTCTCTGTTGTGTTGAATAACTGCTCTGCTATTTTCTCTGGACCGCGCAACTACAACCATCGTGGCATGCCCTACTCTTCGGACCTGCAGCTCGACGGCCCGGCGGAATGGAAGGGTGATCAGCTTCTCGCGCATATCCCTCTTGACTCTGGGTCACTGGTCCTGGAGCAGTTGACGACTCGAAGGAGATGCGTCTAAAGCACACAAAGCTCATGCGCGGACACAACTCTCCGTTTCAACCGGAACGATCGCTAACTTATGCTGGTCACGCTCCCAACTCCCTGGCCTGCGGGCGATTGACCGGGCTACCGGGGCAGGCGAGTAGACGACAGAGCCGCAGACGCCAGGGCATTAGTCTCCTGGACGTTACCAAAACGGTCCATTGACAGACCCCGTTTGTCAATTGAGAGCTAGGCGGCAGAAGGGGGGGAAAAAGATCAAGCCCTTCGTCATCACTACTTTAACTCGGCGTGTATACAGCAGAAGGCACACCCCCCCAGATGCCCCCTCTCCGAGCTGATCCGCAAGCGCCGCTCAAGTCTCCCGTGAGGATGGCTTGGATGGGTGTCTGGAAGAATCTGACTGCCCAGGGACGCGGGAGAGCGGGCAACTCACCCCTGGACTGCTGGCACTACCTAGTAGGCTGATGAGTGTACCAAAGGCACCGCGGGCTACTGGAATGAGAGCCACCACAAGTAGTAGCAAGAAGCTAAGCTGCGCCCACTCGTGATGTTGGGGAGACAAGCTCTGACTCTCAACAGGAATCCAAAAGTGCGCTTTTGCTGGCCAGTTGCACAAAGCACGACACCGTGTGATGCTGAGTTGGCAATTGGTGAATGTGGGCAAGTGGCTCGGCCTGAAGCTGTATGGCAGCCACGTCTCGAGACGAGATTCATTCATGCTTGCAATAGGCTGCCCGAATGTGCGCTCGATAAGACGCACGTACCAGGGAAACGTGCGGCTTATACCTACAACAGCAGGACACACCTTGCTACCTGGGCAGGCAAGCATCTCATCGTGGCGCTGCTGGATACCCTGGCAATCAGACATGATACTTACTCTACCTTAGACCAGTACGCGGATCCTCGTGCTTGTAGAATTCGAGGTGCTACAAGCACGGACGCACGACTCATCTCGAATACGCCGCCGCATGTAGCCCTACCAGCTACCTAGCCCCGCGATGAGACGGATCCCAATGAGAAAAGTTCCCAAACCATTCCCCGTGTTGACGGCTCCGACACACTTGTCCAAGATGGGGTCAAGATGCGCCGAAAGCGAGAGTGAAGGTGAGACGGGTTGGTGACAACCTGCCTGCTTGTATGACCGCTTGCTTGTTCCGGGGGAGCAGTGACCTCACATCTGCCGACCACGATGCCTTGTGGCTCCCTCTTGTCTCTTCCCTCGCAGCCAGGATGCAGCACCGGCCCGGCGTGGACCGTTGACAGCGCCTCATGTCGGATGCTGTTTATTTAGGGCTCCTCGGGTGGGGGCTTGCAGGCATGCCTTCGTGTACCTCGGCGCCGTTTGAAGCTGGCACAGCGCCGAAGCCTGAATTGGATGGAGAATGACGGCCGACCCTTGGAACAGGTCCGGAAACACGGAGGAGGATGAAGCAAGCCAATTTGTTGACTGAATCAGTCTCGTTGGATCATTCGCGGCGCCTTTGAAGGCGGTGTGTTTTGCGAATGCCCATGAGGTAATTATGCTTTGCCAGAAGGAGATGAAATGGAGACAAGGTGTGGCAGCAAGGTGCTCAGCAACAACAGTAAGTCTTACTATTACAAGTCCAAGTCGCCGGGATGTGTCGAGGCTGATGATCTGCTGCTGCTATTTAGGACAAGGCTACTCATACGATGCCAGCTGCTTTCATGCATGTACAAGCGCGTACTCCGTGCCTTGCCTTCTCGGTGCATGCAGGTAGCAGTTGGGTACGAAGGCGCCCTCTTCCAAGGTAACATCTCGCATGCTCTTCCTGACTAGGTACTACTGCTAAGGTATGTATGCAGCAGCAGCATGGATGGAAACAGGTAGGACTACTCCATATCGAGCAAGGCAGTACATACTTACAGATCCACCAGCTGTAGGTGCGAAGCGGAGGAGGATTGATGCGAAGTGAATACTATGATTGTTTTCTCTTCTCTCCTCGTCCCAGGTCCGCCGGTTCAATAATACGAAGTACTCCAGGCCATTATCGGTTGGCTTGAGCTGGCTGGCCCTGGTCGAAGTACCGCCCCAGGCACATCGGCTAGGCTCCTGGCAAAGTGCTCAAGAGAGTAATTCGACAACCCAATTGACCAATAGGAATCTCACAGACTATGGCCGCATGCCAGGTACTTCGAATCGTACCCCAGCGTCTCAACCATGACAGAGCGGTACAGAGCACCAGGCTAGAGCATGGGACGATCCCGCCTCGATTGCCACCAACGGGCTTCTGCAGCAATGCAGAAGCTGCTGGATCCGCGCTCACCGACCTGCAGTGTGAGCACAAGAGCAAGACGTGATACGCTGGCGCTGTTGTTTTCTCATCCAGCTGGGGATACTAAGGTAGGCCGTCGTCCAGAGCTTGCGCGCGTCTTGCAGAAGCGCCACCCGCATCTGCTCTCCCTGTCTAGGCCAGGCCTTGGAGCCGGCACCAACAAGCGAGCCAGCTCAAGCATGCAAGGTGCGTACACGCCAACATGCAGAGGATGCCGCTTTTGGTGCCGTCCGCAGCAGGTCGTGCACCGACACACCCAATGGCATTACAATTTGCTTCCTTATAAGTACTTGCCTACATGTAAGCTATCACCTCTTTCGCATCTTTTCTGCATGCCGGGAGAGGATCGATTGGGCTACCTGACTAATAGGCATTGGTCCAGTCTCGGCCCAGGTCTGCGCAAGTGTTGGTTATCCCGAGCCAGACCTTGCTTCCCGCGCGGGTTTCTGAATGCCCAACACGGCAACCGCCTGCTTCGTGCGCAGGACAGCGGTCTTGTGTCTCAGGGTGGTGGTGTCTCAGACTGCTGCCTTTGCCCCCTTCAACACGTACGGGCATCACTCTTGGCAGGCTTTTTACCTTTTAGCACAACCCATGGCATGTCGTAAGTTGCCTGACGTTTCCTCACCATGCTCGCCACTTTACCACGCTTGCCCTTTTACGAGACATGGGCGCATGATTGCGTGTGAGAAGAGCCGTTTGAGGGACCAGGCCACTTGCAATGCTTGTCCAGCAACGAGGACGAGACTGCTACGATTATGGCTGTCCGGAATTTCGCGTCAGGTCCCGCGGCCGGTCAGACATCGGGGGAATCGATGGACCAGGACAGGTGTCTACTACTACTAGTAGTAGTATCGAGCTCTGGTCATGGTGGGGAGTGTGGTTCAGAACTGCGGACAGGCCTCGATGTGGACTCTGTGGACTCTTGTGTACTTGAAGCATTACTGGCTCGAGTAAGGTGAGGCAAGGCAGGGCGAGCTCTTCACAAAGCGGATGCCCACTCCCTACCTAGGCAGTGCCCAGCTGAGTGAAGCGTGTCTCGTCAGATGGATGACACCCGAGGCCTCACAGGTCTACCACCTGGCCTGTACTCAAATTAACCTCAGCTCAACAGGGGTAGAACCCGTGCCTTAGCGAGCAGGCCGTGAGAGTGCCAGCGGATGAAGCGCCGTGCGTGCATGCAATTACTTGCATGCGCTGGTCTTCGGGCTAAAGGTTACTGTTCCTGGGACGCCCAACACTGGCATCTTCGTATCGCACAGGTGCCGTCTCGTTGCGAAGAGCATTCGAGGTCATGAGAGGGTGCTTCGATTGCGTTCGTACCTCCTCTTCCTCATTTGAACAGCAGGGGGGCTGTTTCCCTACCTAGGTACCTACGTATGTATTCTGAACTTCGTACGAGTACGTCAGCGGACTGCTGCTAGGCTCCTTCCATAGCTCCTCCTCTCGTTGCTTCCCTCGGAAACTGCTGCTTTTGGTTCGCCGCCAAAGTTCCCCAAAGGCAGGGCTTTGGAAAAAGGAAAGAGCAAGAGCCGACAAAGGTTGGGGAAGGAGGAAACAAGGAATACAGGGAAGAGATCGGAGTATGTGACAAGTGACGAGTACAATTGGAGGGGAAGGAGAAAAACCAGATTCTGCACATGAAAGAATACGTGGTTACGTGCGAGGCGCTGCATCTTCTTGCAGGTGCATCCACCAACTGCCAATGGCATGCTTCTCCTCTCGACTTGTCACTGCCACCACCACCTGTCTTTTCTCGCCTTCTGCTTCTCCTCCTTCTTGCTCCTCTCCCTCCTTATCATCTTGGTCTCATTCTGATACGTGCGCCTCCAGCCGCCATTCGCCATCTCGCCATCTCGTCAAATATCATCTTTGGCCCTTTTCCACCCCGGCGAGACGGCCAATCATTTCCGCACCCATCTTTTCTCATCTGGCCTCTTCCTAGAACCCCGCATAGCTTGGGTCGTGGACAAACACTCCGGAACCCCTGTCGATGCAGCCGCTCTACCCAGTCATTGTCAGGGCGTGCAAGAATTGCCAGGCATGGCTGATGTGCAGCACTGCGGTTGTACAAAGCAATATGTACTCGCACGTACATACATGCTTGGACATGTCCGCAAGGGTACGCAGAACCGTCCTGCCCGTCTGTCAGTCTGTCTCCTCTCCGACGCCCCAGCACGAGGGTGCAGCAGCCAACAGAGAGAGGCCCTGCCCTGGTTCACGCCCTAAGCCACATGAACTCATCTCGAAGTGTACAACAGGATCGTGCTGATACATGTACATACGATACAGGCACACACATGTGGCACCTGCTTGCTGCCCACCCAAGCCGATCTACGATTTGTACGCCACCTTTGCCCTAGGTACCCGTGGCCTAAGGCTAGCGAAATCCTTGACAGCGCTTTGTCACGTCGACCACGTCAATCACAGATGAAATACATGCATACATAGACATCGATGCTCAGCCCTGCAAATTTCCTCTACAGTTACACGACGGGCACTTATTCTGCGCTGGAATTTCGACTCTGACGCATTAGGCAATGCGAAACCAGTTGTGCGATGAGATCTGCGACAATCCGAGTCAGCATCTCTTTGGTGCTTCATACAAGCACGCAATGTCGTCGCGCTGCAGAGGCCAGCACCTGGCTCTGGAGTTTGACTCTCTCCAAACCCCTTCGTCCACACGACACGAAGTCTCAATCACTCGAAACCGGACCTATTGTTGGCCTTGCATGCAGGATGCTTGAGCTATTGCCGCGGCTGAGATATGACTGCTCTCTTGATTTCTCTTCCTTGGGAAGTCCTGCAATCCTCTATATGAAGCGCCCGGTTGGCTTGTTCTTTGGGTGCCGCATCCGAGGAAACCATTGCGGCCACGCAGCCCAGCTAATCTATGTCCCGAGCACCACGCCATGCTGAGAGAGCGACATGTCGTTTTCGCCTTCGAAACACTCCCAAACATGACTGATCCGTCAGAGGCAAGGTAGCAAGCGGGCCAGCCAACTGCAAAGCGTTCACACCATCACCACCGTGGGCCTCGTATGGGCGGCATGACCGGAACACATCCCGGCAGCACAAGTGTTGCATCGCCGAGACCCATCACTCGAATCAATTGAAACGAGTGGTTGCTCTGGCATCAGAAATCTGTTCATTGGCACCAACTCAAGCTGCAGGGCGACGTTGATCAACATCTCATTCGCCTCTTTGACCGCTGACCTGCCATGTCTCGCCGCAGACGTACAGCCATCCATCAATCGTACATACTTGTATGGACATTCGCAAATGAATGCTGCACGATACTTGTACGTGATTGAGACACGTAGCCCACTGCTTTTAGTTCTGCCAGATACAGCAACCCTAGCCGAGATGGAGGGAGAAGCAATCGGCATGTAGCAGCGACAGAATGCAACGGCAGAGAACAACGGCAGCTCGACCACACTGGTACGGGCTCTCTTCCGACTGCTACGCTCTCGCCACATCTGTTTGGTCCTGTCCGCAGCTTACGAAGCCATTTTTGGTACGGAGCATACCACCCGGCATTGCACTGGTCAGTACGTCTCTACCTGCGGGCATGGCCATCGGACTCATAGTCGCACAAAAACGTCGAGTCTTGAGCCAGATTCTTCTTGCGATGCCGCTGGACCAATCATTGGATGTCGAGCTGTACAGTTTGCCCCGAATTGTTGCTCGGCACGTACTGGCGCCCTCTGCGGAGGAAGTGGTACTATACCTGGGAATGGTGATGAGTCGTTGAAGGTAGGTACCTAGTTGTCTTCTACCCGGTAATCTAGCCATCAAAACACGGGCACCCGAATCCGGTTGGCTCGCATTCTCTCACATCCTGGTCTCTTATATGAGCACGCTTTCCGTCGAAACCAGCCCGGCTATCGGCTGACAGGGCATGGGTCTGCCTTGGCTGCTGTTTGAGTACTTGCAGTACCAAGCACAGAGCGCTGCGTGCTCTATTGCCGGACGAGGTCACACTGGATGACATGGCAAGACAAGTCCTTCGGTCTGGCTGTCCATGCTATTGCTGCTTTTCTGTTCTCATTCTTACCCGCACTGCCCGCCCATCATGTGAGCATTGCTGTGGGACATGGGCCATCTGCTTATAGTTTTGGACACTCCATACTCCCGGCTGGAGCTCATGATCGAGTCATTCAAACATGTTACAGAACCACCATACATGAAGGCATTCCCTGCTTCTGATGAGAGGATGCACATCTGAGACTCGAACATCAGCCAGCAGCAATATTCCCTGTCGATTTGCCCCACAACGTTGGTTCGACTTGATGAGGATGGCCGCTGCCGTAATGAGGCTTTCATCCGACGCCGGCGCATAGTCCAGCTTTAGCAGCAAGTTGGAAGCCCGAGACGTTGGCCGATGGGATGCCTTGAGTCCTGACAAATACTCATTACGGATGTCATAGCATGGTTGACGGCCGTGGAAGTCTGCGCGAGGCGTGCCCTGTTACCTGCTATACACATTGCGACTCTGGAGCGGCGGGTTCTGCACCAATTCTCGACCATATTGAGCTCGTACTCGACCAGGTATTCTGCGATCAGCACGCGCGGCCAGTATCCGCAACGTATCAAGCTGCTTCAAATTTTGATACGGACCTGTCTTGGGCATCTTGATATCGTTTGGACGGCTTCAAGAAGCCCCGTTCTTCGACAGGTCGCAGTACGAATTACTATTGGCTGTATACATTACGTACTGACGATCATGGCGCAGAATGGCGTTCTAGAAGCCGGGCCGTGGACACGGAACCCGGCTGACTCAAGACTTGTTGCTCGCCGACTTCCGTTGTTCCTTGTGCCAAGTGGCCGGCGTTCATCCTGAACAAAGCAGCAGCTACCTTACCTGTTACCTATGTATTTCGACTCGCAGGCCGATTGCCAATACGACACTGTCCAGCATCCAAATAAGGCCGACGGGAATGTAGTGCTTACTAGTACTCATGGTGTACGGGAACAGCAAGAGTCACGCCTCCTTGAACATACGAGTGCACACAAGTACAGCTTGAAGTTACAGCCCATACAGTTGATGCATTTCTCCCGCTGACACGTACATGCCAGTGACAATGCGAGAAGTGCCGAAGCCCACGTGCGCCGGCCATGGCAACACCCACTTTGAGGCTCCTCGAGGACGGGATGTGATGCTGCTGCTAGTAGCAGAGTTGATAATTCCACTGCCTCTCCGGAAAACCCGCAGCCTACTGGCCTTTTTCATGCCACACCCCCCCAAGCGGCAGCTCCGGATTCCTGTACGGCATCACGGACAACCAACTCCTGGCTTGGCCGTGATGCTAGCACCGCTGCGCCGGCACGCTAGACAAGCCCCTGAACCAGCGCTAATGCAGCTTCTCCCGTGCCCCAAGTTCCTGGGTCTGCTCCTTGCTTGACGAAAGGGTGTGTGGCTTCCTGTCATCTCTGAGCGTGAGACAGTGTTCATCCTCTAGGGTGCTCTACCGAGCGCGCCTTCGAGGCCGCTGCACGGCTGGAAGCCTCCCGGCTAACCGTGATCGGTCTAAAACACACGGCTTTCCCGCATGAGAGGGTGGGCAGATGAACAGGCCAATTTCAGCGTTTCGAAGCCGAGGCTCGGGGCTGGGCATCTCTGACGACATTTGACAAGGATGCTTCGTTTCTTGTTGGCTTTAACGCATTACTGCTGACTACTACTGCCAAGGGCGTAGTAGCGGCTATAATTGGCATACTGTTGTAAGGATACGTTGTACGAAGTGCTGCTGCGGCTGTCACGATTTTGACGCATTGTCCGCATCGGTTGTATCGAGGAGCTACCTACATCCTCATGATGAGCTTTGAGAGAGAATTGCTTACTGTGCCGGATGAACGATAGACAGATTGTCTGATACTGCCATTTTACGATCTTAGATGTGTTTGCTGACACGATCAAGCCAAGAAGCGTTATGAGGTCATACGGCATCGTCCGTTACTGATACCCCTGAAACTTGTCCGACAGGGTGTCAGAAAGAGAGCGGGCGTTTTTTTTTCAAAGTGAGGGAAAGACAGGAAAGTTGAGTCTAAGAAGCATTTCGATCTACGGACAAAGAGGCCTCCACCCTTCCAACCTAACGCGCCCATTTCTACCATCCCAGTCAAGGAAAAAGAGACAACACAAGTGACAAGAGACAAGAGGCAACAAGGCCGCCGATTCTATCATGCTGCTTATGCCCGTTATGCACCGCCCGGCACATCATCCCACCTCGACGCATGGCATGGCGTTCCTCCCACATCGATCCCGATTGACGTGGGCGAGCGCGCGTCATCTCCATGGACTATCGATCCATCGTCCATATACTACTACCAAAGTCCGACCCCTGGGCCGCTGGGTCACCACTCGTGCGTTTCTGACATGTCATAATGGAGGCTGAATCAGAACACAGTACACGGCACATGACGACGACGAACCGTTGCCGCATCAACCTATTGAGGGCGGCTGTGCCAGCAAGCAAAGGTCAACCGGCACGCATCGCCTGATTCAACATGCTTCAAAACCAACAGCAATCGTCGTAAAGAAATAGGTTCCGACGTGAAGAAGGCCCCGATGGCCATGACCATGACGTGTTGTGTCATGTAAGGATACCCTGGGCAATGATGGGAGACGCCCGCTCACCCTTGGCGGGAACGAGTGAAAGTGAAGAAAAAAGGAAGAAGAATCAAGGTTATTCGAAAGCCAGGGCATCGCTGTCACTCAGCATGGTCAGTGTGTCCAGCCGCCTTGTAGGGCTACGGCTACTGCACGAGAGTCCTTCACGCACATCAAGCCGGATCGATAGTTGTATCCTTGGGATCGGCGATAGAAGCAGCTGCATCGGCGGCAAGCGCATTGCTGATGGTGCTTTCGCCAATGCCAGCACCAGCGGGTGCCATGTTCTTAGCGATGACTGACTTCATCTCTAGGCCCCCCTCCTGGTCGCTCCCCTGTTTGTCGTGCTCTTCGAAGGTAAAGGCGTCCGACAGGTTGATGGCCAGGAAGGTCTTTGGCAACTTGACCCTGTGCGCACAAACATGTTAGCCATCACAGTGCCTAAACGACATGCTTTCGCGAATACAGAACAAAACAACACAGGGTGCGAAAGGGAGGCTGAAAGGGGACAACGTACTGGTTGAACTTGGCACGCAGCGTCTTGATCACTTGCAACCAATCCAAATGTGGCGTGAGACTGCGTCGTGGCGCGCATCCGATGCAATGCCTGCTATCGAGCTGGACGTGCAAGGGGTCAAAAACATGGCAACCAGGACTAATGGTGATGCGAATGCTGTAGGCAAATGCGGGCTCGTCGCCCTCCTCCGGCGGCGGGTTCACTTCCGACTCGTACAGCTCGAAGCAAATCTGTGAGAGATAGTCCAGCTCAGGGATAGTGCTGCGACTAATTTTAGTCTCGATGCCGCCCTCAATGATGCAGTTTAGAAGAGTGTAGATGTGCGACTCCTTGGTGAAGTAGAAGAAGGACTTTGCGTCATTGGAGGCCTGCATCTCCTCCAGATCCTGCACAATCTCCTTGAGGAGCGGCAGGGACGTCAGGAGACCGATTTCCAGTTTTTCGCTATCCGAGATGCCGTACTCTTGCGGGCAGATGAAGTCGAAGAGAACCTTGGCCAGCCGGTAGAGCTCCTGAAGCGGCTCGTTCCGTGGATCCGTCTTCTCTCCCACGCCACTGTTGCTCTTGTATAGCCTAAAGTACTGCTCGGGGGGCGCCTCGTCATTCATGTGGCGGAGGCCGTTGAGGAAGGACCGTCGCCGGAAGAGCTTCCGAACAGTTGCTGAGCGGTTGGAACCCTCATTCTTGTCAGAATTGTCAGAAGAGGCCCCTGCGGCCTTGTCGTCCACTGCCGCGGTCGCTCCCCCCTTGACATCCTCGCCGTCCTTGGCCTTGCCATCTTTGACGCCGTATTCTTCCTCAAGCATGCTCCTCGGCGGGGTGAAGACCCATTCCAGGAATTGCCGGTTGTGAAGAGCATCGAACTTCATCGTGTCGTAGAGCTCAGAGATCTTGCTAGGGTCCACCTTCTCTGCGTCACAAAACTCGGCAAAAAGCTTCTCCCACCTCTCGCGGAAGAGCTCCGCATCTTCCCCGCAGCACCATCTGGGCTGGATGTTGTTGACGGCATTAGCCTGCGATAGCGCTGACGAAAGCGACGAACTCGATCCCTCCCCGTTGAGCTTCTCGGAGCTCGGGTTCGAGATGGCGTTGAGAGCCGTGGCGGCGTTGCTGCTGTGCAGCTTGCCGTAGTTGTACTGTAGTACCCGGCGGTGGAAGTTCATCAGCTGCACGACCCTGTTTTGCACCTCTGACGGCTCGGGCATATTCTCGGGCCACGCGAATTGCGCCGGGCGTTCGTTGCCCTCGCGTAGTAGGCCCTTGAGCTTCTTCTTCACCTTGTCCGTCTCGTCCTTGGCGGCGTTTGAATCATCCAAGAGGTCCTTGCGGATGGTGATGAAGTCCTCCGGCAGCTCCTTTTGGCCCAAAAAGGAACATGCCCAGATCTGTGCACTGGCGGTGACCCGCCTCTCAGAGCTGCTGTAGACATGGACCTCGTCGAGAATGTCCCTGTTCAGCAGCATCAAATCGTTGCGCATGTTCTCGCCCAGCTCCTGCGACTGATACCGCGCCGAATGGGTCGGCTCGCCACCCCATTTGACGATGAGCTGGAGCTTGTCGAGCACAAGGCTCTCTTCAGCAGCGGTAAACTTCGACATGGTGACTTCTGAAATAGAATCATGTCGCTTCGGGGATCGCCCCTCACGTTTGCCTGTGTCGTTTCCGGGGGCTATCGGCGTGTCTTCGCCAGTCTGTTCACCTGGTTGAGAGGTTTCCTCAGCTTCTTCCGGCGCGGGATCCTGCTTCTTCTTGCGGAACATGGGCTTGATCTGTACTTTGGTACCGGCCCAGCTTCCCTTCTTCACAAGTACATTCCGGAGAGCTCTGAGCTTTTCTCGGTCCTCGACGCCTTGTAGGTAGGCAACATCCACTGCCTGTATCACGCTCGCTAGGGCAGGCTCCCCAATAAGGAGCACCTCTTCCTGATGACCTTTGAGCAGGTCGATGAATGGTTCGGTATGGAAGGTAAACTTGTACTTTTGCTTCGGAGTTCTGTCAGCATGCCTGATGACCGAAACCATGCCCTTCAACTTCCACGAGTGTTTGGGGGGAGGAGGAGGGGGAGGCGTGGGTTCGGCCTCTGCTTCCTCCTGGGGCGCTAAGGCGGTAGGAGACTGTGACGAATCCTTGCTAGACCTGGGTGTGGACGAGAAGACGCTGGGCGACACGACATCTGTAGGCGGCAGCAGCGGCTGCGGTAGTAAGGGGCTCCCTGATGTGCTTTGGCCAACCGACGTCCGGTTGCTCTCGATTGTAGGCGATGCCGTACCGCTAGGGGCGCCTGGCCCAGACTCAACTTGGCCGGCATGCTCAGCTTGCGTCGAGCGGTTGTTTTGCTTGGCCACAGGAATGGGCACGCTGGCAGTGGCGCCCGTGGTGTCTGCAGCCCCTCCTTGCTCGCGTTCGGTCATCGACTGTCCTGCCTTGGCAATGGGGTCGACCTCCGAAGAAGGGGCGGGAGAAGGAGCTTGGGGCGGTGATGTTATGCTACCACCACGGCGAAGTCTTTCCTTGATGAAGACTTCCTTCAGAATCTTGGCGCAATGCTCGTAATAGTCCTCGTTGTCCTTGACGAAGCTCCAGCCGTTGACATCGATGACATAGCTCTTCCCCGAAGCCCTGAGCAAGTCAAACCCACAGACTCGTTGTCCGAAGGCGGTCGAGATCTTGCGGGCAATTTCTCGTTCCTCAGCACCGAGGCTCGTCACGTAGCGCAGCTCCTTGCCGTGCGTGTTCCGCCTAACGATACCATCGACAACGGGCGACTTGCGGGTTTCGGCGTGGCAATACGAAGGCCCGACAGTGTAGGCCTTGACATCTTCGGCATTGTCCACCTCCATGAAGCTCTCATATATGTAGCTGCTCTCGGGCTCGGTAATGGCCCGGGGGATATTGAGGTCCGGGACGTACTCGGAGCTCTTGTTTCCAACTTTTCGGAACAGTTTGCGTGCACCTCCTCCGGAACTCTTTGGGAAGTAAATGATGATGTTGTGGTCCTCGCCGCTGATTGGTTTTTCGACAAAAGGCTTCTTGAGTAGTGCTCCATCGACGCTGAGAACATCGCCGTCTTCTAAGAGCTCGACCTTTTTGGGCGGCGGATTCTTTTCGGGATCGGTCGGTTCCAGCGTCACTCCGGAAACCTCCTTGATGTATTTCGTCATCTCCGGAGTAAGGACCTTTGGCCCGCCGTCCCGTGTCACTTCAAGGCGCTTGGGCGTGCGAACTTGAATCTTGTCAAGTAGACGCAGGCATGCACGCCTGTCCCAGAGGATCTTTTGCATTGGCACATCGTTGACGCAGAAGGGTTTTCTCGTTTTGATATAAGCAATAGCCTTGTCCAAGGGAAATCCATCAGAGTAGAACGATATCAGATAGTCACTAGATGAGAAGATGTTAGCAAATGTCGCATGTTCTACGGTCTGCATATCTTGTGCCATCTAGTTGATCGTCAAGGAGGCCATGTCACTATGCTCTACGTATACCGAGGACAGCTCAACTTACCACATAGGCCAGTTTTCAACCTCTGTCCGCAAAAAGTTCAAAGTCAGCGCCACCATCCATCTCGAAATACTCTCGAACGAGTTGTTCTTCTCTCCTTCTCATGCCGGGGTGAAAGAGCCTAAAGTTGACATACCTTCGTCAAGAATGGTCTTGTCACCGAACACCACGACATCAAACTCGCGGTTCGCAATCAGACGATTCAAGATGTTTCGACTCGGCTTGCTTCGGGCTTTGATGTCGAGAGCGCAGATACCAATGACGCCCAGAGGCGCGGGTTTGGCTAGAATGAAGCTGTCAGATACCGCATGACGATCGAATACGGAGAATCTGCCGTACCTTCTTCCTTCTCCCGATGGTGAGGTCCTCGTTCGCTACTCGGACTCTGGCTGCTGTACGCAGTGCTTCCGCTGAAACGTCGTTTAGCTCTACTCCGAGAGCGATCGGGCTGGCTGCTTCGCATGGGAGCTGTTGTTTCGGACCGTTGGTTTCGCCGGACGAGATCGTGATGCGGCGACTGCGTCTCTCTTGCCGCAAGGCTATGGTTGTTAGAAGACCCGTGTCCCGACTGATTACCAGAAGAAGTGGTCACGGTGACGCCGGATAATGCAGTGTCCGACTGGGCCGAGGATGGCCCTTTCCCAGAGGACATCAGGCTTGGTACCGATCGCGGAGGGGGATTCTGATCAGACACCGGGTTGGACTGCGGCGGGCTGATGACACCACGAGCCGAAGCCAGCGAGTACAGCGATGTCCCCGACAGGCGTTTGGATCGAATCGAATGGGAGTCTGAGAACGATGACCTCGAGGGCAGGGCTGCTTCGGGGGCTGCCGTGTGGCTTGCGGGAGCATCTGAAATGGGACGCATTCGTGGGGTGTCGCCGTCGACGAAGACCGGATTCTGCTGCGACTCTCCCAGATAGAGCTCCTCGGTCAAGACTTCGGATGCGGTTGATTGTCGTCGGCCGCTGTTCCAGGTCGGTCGAGCGCCTTTGAAAGGGTTGGAGGAGTGAGGGCTGCTGGAGAAGCTAGATCGCTCGGCGTGGACCTCGGAGGTGCCCGGCTCGGCATAGCGGCTCTTGCTGCTGACGGAGCCCGTGAAGGACGAGACGGAGACGCTGCGGGATTGCCTGGACGGCAGGGTGGAGGGCGACGAATTGGCGGCGCTGGCGTCGTACGAGGCGGGCGATGGCGGTGGCAGCGGCGCTTCTTCGTTGGCCGTGGCAGCACCTCCAGAGCTGGGCATCGTGGAGTCCATGGTCTGCCAGAAATGATGGGTATAGTAGGTAGGATACCCAAGAAACCCTCTACCGGGCTGGAGGCTGGCAATGCAGTTCAGGCAAGACTCTGGCCGTGATGGTTCATTAATAGGTAACGAACGGTCTGGAGCCAGGTGAGGAGCAGAGGAGCCTGGAACGAGGAAAGAATGGAGTCTCTCGCCGAACAGACTCCAGGAAGGAGGAACCCACTCTGTGTGGTCAAGAAATGGCCGGTCGTAGCTGCTACTTCTACTAGTACAAGATTATCGTGCAGTGGCAGCTGCAGGCGGTGACATCATACGAATGCGGTTGCGGAGGAAACACATGGAATGCTGGAATGGCTTCAGATGAAGAGACGGACAAGACGAGCCGAATAAATCAGAGACAAAAGGTCTATGACATCGCACCAGAGCTTCTAGAGTATAAGTATACGACAATGGCTGTCAGCAGCGATGGTATGTATGTGTGTCCGTGTCGAGCCTGATCGTTGGTCTCGTAACTGGCTCACGGTAAGTAGTCACTATGGAGACTGATTTGTGTGGCGGCTAGCTTGAACAATTTTTTCTTGAGCTTGCTTCTCTGGGCTTCTGGGCGACCCCTGGTGATGATTGCTGAGAAATGATTGGGCGAACCCAAGATGCGCCGTTGGCTAACGCGGGGCAATCCGGGAGCTGGCAGCGTGCAAAGACAAGGATATGCTTGACACCAAGAAGAAAAGAGAAAAGGATCAGGCTGCAATGGAGGGGCAGGAGCTTGAATCGGCAAGTGGAAGCTGCCCATGCATACCTACCTATTCAATTGATGGCTGCAAGAAGACAGGACTGGGTGAAAGCAGCCAGATATTCTGACCTGGGCGGGCTTCAAGGTGCTTCAAGCCCACTTGGCGGTGAAGTCGTCGACGACCTATGTATCGTGGCAAGAGGGAGTTCTTTGTCTGTAGGCCAACATATCCACTTGTCGCAGATGGCATCGCATCTTGACAGCAGATGCCGTCTGGCTTGTACAACCGCACGTAAGGTAGTGCTTGATGCAACATCGGAATGGTCATAGGGCTGGAGACTACGCCTCAAAGGGTCATGCCAAAGTGAAATACTACGACACACCCTAACAATGCCCAGAGTGCGCAAAGCAGGGTGTCAAGTGCTTGCAGACTCGAGGTTCAGGCCCTAATGCAATTCAGGCTGAAAAGTATTCAGCTTGCTAAAAAGTATAACATCTAAAAAACACACTAAGTAAGGGGCAACACTTATACCTTCCTTCCAGCCCTATAAAGCCATGTTATAACACTAGGCCGTAATAATACTAAATTTTCTTACCGCTCTTAAATATTAATCCAGTGGAATTTAACATTATTAAAGAGCCTGTGTTTAAATATACCTTCTATGCCACTTAATTATTACTATAAAATAAGTTATAATAACCTAACTGCTAATATAAGATGTCTTAACCTACTATAAGGCTATTATAGGCTAGTAAAATTAAATAGTTAAATAACTAGATATTATCCTTCCTTTTATTAATTTATAAGGCTACTAGTAATAGCCTTATAAAATTAACTAAAGTGATATACCTGCAGTAAAGCCTTAAGATAATAATTAAGCTGCTAAAGGAGCAGTATTTTAGCTAGAATTAAACTATTAAAACGCTTAAAAATAAGTATAATTATTTAAAGAAGTTCTAAAGGGTATTTTATAAAGCAGAATAGCTATTAAGGATAATATATAACTTAAAGATAAGGATGCTAAGCATAAGCCTTTAAAATTAATAACTAATAATCTTATAATACTCCTACTTTAGCTAGAAAGTGGTTTAAAACAGCCTTCTTATTAGTAATAGCATTAGTATTAATATCTAGTAGGAGATCTTTATTAAAGACTAGCTAGCTAAATAAAATATTTAAAAAGCAGGTAATGCTAAAGGGTTTGCTTTAGCTAGGTAAAATAGTAATTTAAAAGGTACCTAAGTTAGCTAGCATTTTATAAAAAAAGTTAAGGATATGCTTAAAGCACTAGAGGATAATCTTAAAGCATTTATAAAGCCACTAGTAAAGGCACTAATTGCCTTTAATTAAGATAATAATAATAATAAGGTTATTTTAGCTATATAGCTAGATATATTACAGCTAGTATTAATGCTGCAGCTAGTATTAATACTATAGCTAATGCCTAGATTATTAGCTTTATTAGTGCTGCTATAGCAGCAGCTTTTTTTATTAATACTATAGCTAGTATTACTAGCGCCTAGGCAGTTATTATTAATGCTTAAAGCGCTAATAAATATTAAGAAAAGGAAGAAGGGAAGGTTACTATATTAAGAAGGGCTTTTATTATTAAAAGCTATTTAAAAGCTTATAGCTGCCTTAGCTAATTTATATAACCTAAAGCCTTTAAAATAGACTTATATTTATATATATAAATAACTGCTTATTAGCGCTAAAGCATTTAAAATTATTATAAAAGATTGCCTTAACTTTATTAGTAATAAAGGCATAGACTTTTTAATTAAATTAGTCTATTAAATATATAAAGATTTAATAAACTTATTAATATAGAATTTATTACTATTTAATAATATAAAAAGGGCATAGCTAGTTACTAACTTAGAATAGGATTCTAGGGCTTTTTTAAATAGTTATAAATAGCTTTAAAATAATAAAAAAGCCTAGCTAAAGGGCTATTATTATTTAAGCTGCTGCCTAGCCTAGCTTTATAAAGATTTACTTTATTAAGCCTGTGTTTAGCCTTATTTATTTATTAAGCTTTAACTTCCTTATTATTATTACTATTATTAAAAGTAGCATTTTTATCCTTATTTTTATTCTTATCTTTATTATTATTATTATTATTATTATTAATAAAGACCTTTATACTGCTGCTATTACTGCTGCTTTTATTAAGACCCTTAATATTATAAACTTCCCTCTTAAAGTTAAGATTATTATTTTTATAACCCTTATTAATATATTCTTAGTAACTATCTTAATATTATTAAGCTATATGCTCCCTTAACCTCTTAGCTTATAACCTTTTATTAATAAAATTAGCCTTATCTTAGGCTTTAGCTAGCGCTAGTTATTCTTTTTTTAATAAGGCATCTTAATATTCCTATTAACACTTACTTAAAGTTATTCCTCTTAAGACTATAAAATTATAAAGCCTTATAATAGTATATATAAAAAGGACCTAGTTTATAAAGTTATATTTTAAGGCGCTAGTATATATAATCTTTTATTTCCTTTTACAGCAGTTAAAGATATACTTAATTATAGTCCTTAAAAATACATACTGTAAGTTAAATAGCTTATAGCTATTATATAGCCGCTAGCTAGCATCTCTCTAGTTATTAAGATAATAATATAATTTAATATAAGGTAGAATAATACTATTTTACACCTTAAAGCTAGTATTAGTAAGATAGTATTTTAGCTGCAGCACTCTTAGGCTTTAAGTTAAAGCCTAAGGTAAAAGAGATATATTATTAATAAATCCCTTGCCTTTTACTAGTATATAGTAAAATAGGCTATTAAAGGTAATAATAATAAGTATATTTTATAATATATTATTTTTCTATAACTAGAATCTCTGCTAATTTATTTTAAGGATAAAAGCAGGAATATATATACTATTAATAGCCCTAATTACGCCCTTAAAGCCCTTAGCCTTAAAGTTAAAAATAACCTTTAAAAAGATATATATTAGCGCTAGCTATATTATAAATACTATATATAATTACTATATAAGATTAAGCATATCCTTAATAATTTAAAATACTATTAACTAGTATATTTTAAAGTAATATATAGTATTCCTTTAGGTCTTATTAAATACATATATTTAAAGAAATACTATAACTTTCTGCTTAAGTAACTGCTTTTAGCTTACTAATATATTAGTATTATAACTTAGCTAACTGCAGAGGGCTTAAAATACAGCTTTATTTATATAAAATAGTTTTTTAAATCTCTTTTTTAATCCCTAAAGCATCTCCTTATATACCCTCTGTAAAGCTGTAGCTATAGGCTAATAAGGATTATTACTATCTTTATTAGCCTTATTATTAGCTTTACTATTATTATCTAGCTTAGCTTTTACTGCTCTTAAGTATATTAATAAGCCCTATTACTATAGCTGCCCTTCTTTATTAAGGATACTAATAAGAGCTAATAAAGCAGCAGCGTTTTAAATATTATAGTAATATTGCCTCCTTTATTAATAAGCTAGGATAATATTAGCTGCTACCTTATAGGTTACTATACTAATAATTAGCTTTATAAAAGCAATTATAATATAAGCATAAACTTAAAGGTAGCAGCTAAAAAATAATATGCCTATTACTAGCTAAAAAGTATTTAGCTGCTACCTCCTGCTATTAATAGAATTTACTAAATATTCTTAGTATCTTTCCTTTTTATAGGCATTTATATAGCCCTGGCTAGTGTAATACCTTATAATTAAGGGTTAAGGCGTTTAGGCTTTTATGCGCGATTTTATGCTGATAATCCCTTCCTAGCTAGGCAAGGTTAACCTAGGATTTCACTTTTCAGCAAGCTGAATACTTTTCAGCCTGAATTGCATCAGGGCCTTAACGTGCGGTGTCGAATGGACCACTTTGACGCTGGCGATAGCTGTGCACGCCAGATAATAGGTGAAAGGGTAGGTTAATGAGAGTAAGGTCACCAATTCCGGATGAAGTCCTAGTCATCTCAGATCAGTAGAGCAGAGTGCCAAGGCGAAGAACCTACCTACCTACTAGTAGGTAGGACTCATCGCTTGGTAGGTACATAGATAAATAGTGTGCTACCTACTCTATTTCCATAGGTATTGAAGATGCTCGTGAGAGATGCAATTGAAGGCTCATGTGGCGGTGATATGTGGCGGTGTTACCGGTCTCCGTCAACAAGGTGCGGCGTCGCTAGCTGGGCATTAGGTAAGCGGCAGAAACCGGCAGTATTCCATCACCGCCAAAAATTTCCAGATCCACGGACTGGTTCGTCGAGTACTTGCTCTTGCCGACGGATCGCGAAAACGCTGCACGACACTCCAGCGCAAAGATGCCGCATTCCGATCCCGAAGGGCCGCTGGCAAAGCGCCAGAAAGTCTCAACCTTGGCCAATGCCGCCCAGCCGAGCAATTCCTCGCGAATTTTTGCTCCGTTCCGAGTATGTTGATCCTCTTCGCTATATCAATTCAAAGGCAGCTTTTAGCCTCCAATACCACAATGTCTAACACCCTGATCATGTAGACTGTCGGCCTTGTCGCTCCGTCGAGTATACCTTTTACGTCTTTTCCGCTAGGAAAGACTACCTTCCAGATCACAACATCGGTCGGCCGATCTCTGCAAACCTATGATCTGCTCCGCGGTCTCAACCTAGTCTTCGTCACCCGGCCTCAAACGCCCGCCGATATCACCGCCACGTTCGCCTATGGAAAGAAGGTCTTTGCAGCATGGGGAGGGTCTCAGGATGGCGAGACTCAGGGCCTCTGGGTATTCCAGAGAGGAAGAAAGGTCGATGAGGTTGCCCTCCCAAGCGACCTGAAGGAGCCGATCCAGCAGATCATGATATTCGGCACCTGGTTCATTGCTTGCGCAAAGACGAGAATTGAGGTCTACAAAACAGCAACGCTCGAGCATTACACGACTATTCACACCATGGCCGCCGCCAAGGGTGGCCATGAAATCACCGGCGGCGTCGTCACCATGCCGACATATCTCAACAAGATCTTTGTTGGTCGCAAAGATGGCTGGGTTGAGATCTGGAACGTCAGCACTGCCAAACTCATCTACACCATTCTACCTCCTTCCCCAGATTCTGGCGCTGTGACTTGCCTTGAGCCAACTCCGGCGCTCTCCCTGCTGGCAATCGCATATTCGAGCGGCACCCTCGTTATTACCAATGTTCTTACCGATAAGCGCGCTCTTCAAGTCGAGGCCGGAAACCCTGACGCCCCGGTTACCTCGATCTCGTTCCGAACAGATGGTTTGGGAGCTGGACACGACGGTAGAAAAGACGGTGTCATGGCCACAGCCACTCCGTCATCCGGCGACATCACCTTTTGGGACCTCAACCGTGGAGGTCGTGTCATGGGAGTCTTACGCAGTGCCCACAATCCACCCTCAGGCGAAGGCGATGCTGTCCGTGGCGGTATCAGCAAGGTAGAGTTCCTGTCAGGGCAGGCAGTGATTGTATCCAGTGGCCGAGACAACTCACTCAAGTCCTGGATCTTTGATGAGACACCTTTCTCCCCCATCCCGAAGATCCTGCACTCGCGCAGTGGACATTCTGGACCAGTCAACTGCCTGCAATTCTTGCCTTCCGACTTTGACGGTGCGGAAGCTGGAAACAAGTGGATCATCAGCGGTGGTAAGGACCGAAGCCTGTGGGGATGGAGCATGCGTCGCGATGGACAGAGCACCGAGCTCAGCCAGGGTAACATACGCAAGAAGGCGAAGAAGATTGGTATCCTGGCTGCCAATGCTCTGGCCCATGGCCCAACAACTACGCTAGAAGACCTCAAAGCCCCCGAAATCACGTGTATTGCTGCCTCGCTCAACCGCGACGGTGGCATGGGCGCTCTGCCTGGCAAGCAGGAGATTTGGCAGAAGAGCCGGGATCCCAAGAAGAAGTTGGACGCCGAGATTAGCGGAATGACGGGCTGGGAAAGCGTAGTCACCGCTCACAAGGGCGATGCCTTCGCCCGTACCTGGTTCTGGGGCCGAAAGAGGGCAGGTCGCTGGGCATTTCCGACTGGCGATGGCACCGACGTCACAACCGTGGCCATTAGCCCTTGCGGGACGTTTGCGCTGGTTGGCTCAGGGGCTGGCGGCATCGACATGTACAATCTCCAGTCAGGTGTACACCGCCAACGGTTTCCCTCCAAGTTGACGCCGGCACAAGCTCGTCAGCTCAAGATGCAGCAGCTCCGTCAGGCGGATGATGTTGTTCAGCTGCAGAGCGAAGGCAACCGAAAGTATCCCGCCGGCGTGGGCAAGCATACCAAGGCTGTTACCGGCCTGGTGGTCGACGCCATGAACAAGACGGTGGTGTCCTGTTCGCTGGACGGAAAGATTAAGTTTTGGGATTTCTTGACGGGAACCCTTCTGGAGCAGCTGGACTGGGCGCCAATGACACTCCCGACCGGTTGCCGATACCATCCCGCCAACAATCTCCTGGCCTTTTCTTGCGATGACTTGTCCATTCGCGTTGTTGACCTGGAGACGAAGAAGACTATTCGAGAGTTCTGGGGCCCTAAAGATGTCATCAACGACTTTTGCTTCTCCAACGACGGCCGATGGATCATTGCCGCCTCTGGCGATTCGGTCATCAGAGTTTGGGATCTGCCCACCAGCCATCTCATCGACGCTATCCGACTGGAGAAGCCGTGCAAAGCTATCGCCATGTCGTACACGGGCGAGTATCTCGCTGCTGCTCTCGAGGACAGCCCTGGCGTTACAATCTGGACGAACAAGACGCTGTACAAGCATGTCCCGACTCGCCAGATATCCGAAGCGGAGATCAGCTTGGTGGCTGCCCCCACAACAGCTGGTGAGGGCAACCAGGGCTTGCTGGAGGCTGCGTTCGAGGATGACAAGGCAGAAGAAGAGGACTCGGGTATCGTTGCGCCTACCGTCGATCAGATCAGCGCCGATCTCATGACTCTGAGTTTGGTGCCCAAGAGTAGGTGGCAGACACTGCTTCATCTGGATCTGATCAAGGAGCGCAACAAGCCGACAGAGGCGCCAAAGCTTCCCGAAAAAGCGCCCTTCTTCTTGCCCTCGACCTCGGGCACTCAAGTGCCCGGGCTCAAGGACGGCTCAGAGGAAGCAGAGAACAGCAGCAAGTCTCGCATCTCGAAGTTTGACAAGGCTCGCTTCGAGGAGACATTTACGTCGAAGCTGCGTGCTGGCGCGGCGAATGGCAACTGTAAGCTTTCTCATCATCTCCTCCCAACGTTTACCATTCTTGAACAATCACTGACATTCTCGTGGCATTAGACGACGACTTCATCGAGCACCTCAAGTCTCTGTCTCCCTCAAGCGCCGATCTCGAACTTCGTTCCCTTTCTCTGGGCGAAGACGACGACTCCAACGAGCTACTCCACTTTATCCGAGCCCTGACAACACGGCTACGAGCGCGCAAGGACTACGAGCTCACCCAGGCGTGGATGACCGTGTTCCTGCGGCTGCACTTTGATATGGTGATGGAGAGCAAGACGCTGCTGAAGGCTCTTGAGGAGTGGAAGACGGATCAGGAGAAGGAATGCAACAGGCTGGATGATTTGGTTGGATATTGCAGTGGCGTGGTGAGCTTTTTGAGAAGCCCGAGGACGTAATAGCTGTATTCCGTGGTTTATATAGACGAGCGGATGAAAATGAAGCATTGTAATATTTATAACTGAGTAGGCGGGCATCACAAGTGATCGTAGAATGAACCTTTAGTCGACTGAGACGACTGCTACCTAAGTAGTAGCTATCTTTTCCTCCTAACGTGGCGACGGCCACTCGTCTGCCAGAAAGGCACCACGTCAGATCACCTCACGTCACAACAACACTTCGATGAGGGGATCAACGCAGCAAGTCTTGTTCTTCTTCATGGCCCCCGCAAGCAGGAAAGCAGCACAATGAAAAAACGACGACAACAAGAGTGAAGCAACATCAAAAATTGTGCCTCCCATGGCCCCGAAGGACAATGGAGTGAGGAGCTGACTCCGCGGGTGTGCAATGCAGGCCCTCCTCACTGCATCCCCAGGTTCTTGATCTTGGGGATGCGAAACAAGGTAAGTATGAAGAAAAGGAAAAAAGAAGAAGAAAAGAGATAGAAAGAAGATGGGGAGGGAGCGAGAGAATATATACCCCATGGGTGATGGTCTGTGCGCGCGGGCGGGCGGTGAGGTTGGGCAGGTTGCTGTGTGTCGTGACTGCTGCCTGGAGGGCTGAGTGAATTGAGGGTGAGCTTGAAAGGTGAGGTGAGGGTGAGGGTGACTTGTGGTTGTGTGTACCGTTTTGGTTGGTGGTGAGGTGGAGGGGGGATTTGAGGTTGGCTGTTGACAAAGTAAGGTACATGGATTCAATGGCGTCGTGGAGAGATGTACATAAGGTAGCCTCAAGTGTTAGAGAAAGCAACCAACGGAGATGTAGGGAAAAGATGGAGATGTTGGCTTCCGCTGTTGGCAGCATGAGGCAAGCCATTGCCTTTCTGTTCGACAGATATCCAATGGGGGTCTTTTAATCTGGGCAATTAAGACGGGCAGGCATCGGCATGGGACAAAAGACTGCATACTAAAGCAATATCTATTATCTCCATGCTAAACGGATAGCCTAGAATGATTCAAGTGCTTTTCACGAGGATATTTCTGGAGAAGCTGGAGTCTTTGATGAGGTATATCAACAACGTTTTCGCTTTTGCACAATCGGAAGCAGATCAAATGGATTGCAATGCCCCTTGATCTGCTTACAGTACAGCTCCAGATGCCTCTGAGATGCAGATGCCGAGATGCTCCAACTGCAGTCAACCTGAACCTCCACCATCAAATGCTTTTAGCGCCTCTGGCCTGTGAGTTTGGCGCCACCCATCCTCTGCCTTTAGCGCACTCCTACCCGCGGCATAGCGGGGCATCTGGATTTTCTACCTTGCCGGTTACCTTATCTTGTAAAAATTTCCAAATTGAACCATCGCGACTGCGCAACCATCCGAGCAGCTCGAATCGCAACGATGGGCAGGAAGAACTTCAGAGTGAGATTTCCCGCCGAACCAACAAGATCACTTGACTGCAATTGACCAGTACTGACTCGTCACCCGTCGTCTGCAGGGTAAAAACCGTCGTGGAGGTGGCGGCGGACGCGGCGGAGGCGAGCGCACTCAGAGCTGGAGAGACTACCCTGCCCTGAAGAAGGAGAACCCGAAGCTTCAAGAGTTCTACGACGCGCTGCTGCAGCTGCCCGAGGAGGAGAAGACGCAGTTCTGGGATGCATTGAGGCGCGAGCTGCCCAACAGCTTTCGCTTCTGCGGCTCCAAGGGGTATGTTGCGCCTTGCGCGCCAAAGGCCGTCCTGTTCCTCCCCTTCAGCGCGCTCGTCGCTAACATTTCCTGTGACTTAGCCATGCGCTCGCCGTCGAGAGACTCCTGCGGACCCGATACATTCCCGAAATCGTCAAGATCGAGCATCAGGATGGCCGGCCCGTCGACCCTCCCAAGCCTGTCCCCTGGTACCCCGACGAGCTTGCCTGGTGGATGACCACGCCCAAGAACGTCGTGCGCAAGTTCCCGCCCTTTGCGGCTTTCCAAAAGTTCCTCGTCTCCGAGACCAGCGTCGGCAACATCAGCAGACAGGAAGTCGTCAGCATGATTCCTCCTCTGCTGATGGATCTGCGACCGGGCATGACGGTCCTGGACATGTGCGCCGCGCCTGGAAGCAAGTCTGCCCAGCTGCTGGAGATGCTCCACGTTGGCGAGGAGTCTCGCGTGAGGAAGGTGCTGCGACAGTATGCCAAGGAAGATGGCCTGGACCTCGGCGACGAGACCAAGGACGAAGCGGAGGCCGACCTCGAGGCGGACCCCTCTGATGCCGGTCGTGCGACGGGTCTCCTGATTGCCAACGATGCCGACTACAAGCGCGGCCATCTCCTGGTCCATCAGCTCAAGAGACTGTCTTCGCCCAATCTCCTCGTTATGAACCACGACGCTACCCAGTTCCCCTCCATCAAGCTGCCCTCGCCCGAACCGACCAAGCCTGTCTATCTCAAGTTTGACAGAATCCTGGCCGATGTGCCCTGCTCCGGTGACGGAACAGCCCGAAAGAACGTGAACCTGTGGAAGGACTGGCAGCCAGGTAGTGCCCTGGGACTGCACGTCACCCAGATTCGCATCCTGGTCCGGGCCCTGCAGCTCCTCAAGGTCGGCGGCCGCGTCGTGTACTCCACATGCAGCATGAACCCCGTCGAGAACGAGTCCATCATTGCAGCCGCGATCGAGAGATGTGGTGGCTTGGACAATGTCGAGATTGTCGACGCTAGCGATCAGCTCCCTGGCCTCGTACGACGCCCTGGCCTCAAGACGTGGAAGATCATGGACAAGAGTGGCAGGATCTGGAACTCCTGGGAAGAGGTTGAGAAGTTTACCAAGGAGAGCAACGACGGCGTTGTCCCTGGCCGACTTCAGTCGTCCATGTTCCCTGATCCCGAGGGTACGAAGCTGCCCCTCGAGCGGTGCATGAGGGTGTACCCCCATCTGCAAGATACCGGTGGCTTCTTCATCACCGTTCTGGAGAAGAAGTCGGAGTTTAAGGCGAAGCCCGAGAACGAGGCCAAGGAGGCCAAAACCGGGGAGGAGAATGAACCTGCCACAGACAACAAGAGGCCCCTCGACGCTAATGCCGATACGGAGCAGCCTGCCAAGAAGGCCAAGACGGAGGAGAAAAACTCAGCAGCCGCCACTCCTGCCCCTGCTGCCGAACCTGTTGCTCAGCGCGAGGAGCGCCCTAGCAAGCCAAAGAAGAACGGACCGGTGGAGGAGCCGTTCAAGTACCTCGACCCCTCTCACCCAACCATCCAGAACATCAAGGAGTTTTACAAGCTGTCGAGCCGCTTCCCCACGGACCGATACATGGTGAGGAACGAGATGGGCGAGCCGGCCAAGGCCATCTACTACACCACCGCCCTGACGCGCGACATCCTGACGGAGAACGAGGGTAGAGGCCTCAAGTTCATCCACGGCGGCGTGCGCATGTTCATGAAGCAGGACGCGCCCTCGGCCGAGGTCTGCCGCTGGCGCATCCAGTCGGAGGGCATGCCCATCCTGCAGGGCTACGTGGGCGAGACGCGCGTCGTGCACCTGCGCAAGAAGGAGACGCTGCACAAGCTGCTCATTGAGATGTTCCCCAAGATTAGCGACGGCGGATGGCAGAACTTTGACGAAATTGGCGAGCGGGTGCGCGATATCGGCATGGGCTGCTGCGTGCTGCGGGTCGAGCCCGAGGGCGACGACCCGGAGTGGCAGGAGAGGATGGCGTTGCCGCTGTGGAAGAGCATTCACTCGCTGAACCTGATGCTGCCCAAGGAGGACCGCGCGGCGATGCTGTTGAGAGTGTTCAATGATACTTCGCCGCTGATTAACATTAGCCTGCAGCGGAAGGAGAAGAAGGCTGCTGAGGAGGCGCAGCAGCAGGAGGAACAGGAGCAGGAGCAGGAACAGGAGTTGGAGGATATCGATGTGGAGGATCTTCCTACGCCTGAGGGCGATGATTAATTAGTGAACATGGGATGTTGGAAGAATTTTCGTTGCTTTCAAAGAAAACCCCCGACAGATGGGTGAAAGCATGTAAGATGGGCCATATGTGGAAGAGAATTGTAGTATCACCCGGTACGAGGTAGTCAATCTACAAGCTTATTTGTCGTTTATATTTACCTATTTGTCGATGTTTTACAGTGTCGTCTATGTGCTATACAAAATGCCATCATACATATTCGTACAAAACCTCCGTCTTCCATCGTGATTCATTCGCCTACTCATCCAAAAGCCCAACCGTCCAGTCAACAATCCTCTCCACGCCCTGCCCCTTGATCGCACTCACAGGAATCGCCGCACAGCTCTTGGTCCAGGCGCCCTCGACACCACTCGGATGCTGCTCCCTCCCTTCCGTAACATCCTCAAGATACCTCTCCAGCTCCTTGAAGTTCTCCCTCGTCTCCGGCAGATCGGCCTTGGTGGCGACTACGTACCACGGCTTGCCCGCAATGTGCAGCGTCGGGGTCCTGGATTGCGCCTCTTGCATGGGTAGCGGCGTGCCGTACGAGGCGCCCATGAGATTGATCGGCCCGCGCGACGCCTGCGAGACGAGGTCCCAGTCGACGCGGGCCTCGAACTCGCGCGAGCGCTCTTCCTCCTGGCGCATCTCGGCGTAGAGGCCGACTTCGCGCCAGAGGGCCTTCAGGGCGGCGACGGCGCTGCCGGCGCTGAGGTCGATGACGAAGGCGAGGACACCGGCGCGCTCGACGTGGCGGAGGAAGGCTATGCCGAGGCCGCGGTCGAGATGGGCTCCCTCGATGAGACCTGGGATGTCGGCAACGGTGAAGCGGGTTCGCGGATCGCCCAGGGTAGAATCATCGGTGCTGGTGGCATCTGGAGAGGACGACGGGTAGCGGTGGCGGCGGGCTTTGACGTTGGGGCGGCCAGAGTATTTGTCTAGGACTACGGTGCCGATGTTGGGCTGCAGCGTGGTAAAGGCCCAGTTGCCGACCCGCGCGCGGCTGTTTGTGAGAGCTCGCAAGAGAGTGCTCTTGCCGGCGTTGGGAAGTCCCACGAGGCCCACGTCGGCCAGGAGCTTGAGTTCGAGGGAGATTTTCATGGTGACGGCTTCCTCGCCCTTGGTGGCGAAGACGGGTCGCGGGTGGTTTCTCGACGTGAAGTGGGGGTTTCCGAGGCCATTGATGCCGCCTACGGCCAGCAGAATGGGCGTCGGTGTCGGTCTAGAGAGGTCGAGATAGATTGGCGGGGGAGGCTGCTGGAAGAAGCGAGTCCGCTTGGGCAGCTTGGGGAACTCTGCGGACTTCATCTCGCTCTTGGACATGCCGGGGTAGAGAAGCCACTTCTCGCGCTCGGGGTTATCAGCGTCTGGATCGTAGTCGTCCTCGGGGCTGTTCTTCTTTCGACGTCTTTCGTCTAAAGCATCCTCTTCGGCCTCTAGCTCATCTTCTAGCTCAGCGTCTTGCTCTGCTTCTCGCTCGGCTTCTCGCTCGCGCTGTTGCTGGGCCAAGAGCTCGCGTCTCCTCTGCTTCTTCAGCGCCTGGTACGCCCTCAGAGCAATCTCTTCCTCGGCAGCTGGGTCATGGCGCTCAATCTCTTGCACAATCGTGCCGACGGGGACGGTGATGACGACGTCTTCGCCTCGCATGCCGCCTTTCCCACTGCCCTGCCCGTGCCTTCCGCGTCCAGCACGGATGAAGCGCCTTCGGGCGAGTTTATGCAACGAAGTCTCGCCGTGTGCGGCCTGGATATAGACATTGCCTCCTATGCCTCCGTCGCCGCCATTGGGAGGGCCGTCGGGAAGGAAGGCTTCTCGCTGGAAGGAGACGCAGCCGTTGCCGCCGCGGCCGGCATAGATTGTCAGCTCGGCTTTATCAGCGAAGCTTGGCGCTGCATAGTCGTCTGGTGCGGGATTCAGTCGCGACTCGGGTAGGCTGTTCAATATCGAGGAGGACGATGCAGATGAAGACGAAGAAGAGTGACGGCTGAGAGCTGTTCGGAGGAGGGCAGGATGGGCGGATCGAGGGCGGAAGAGAGCTGGGTAGAGGAACGGGGCCAGCGGCAGGTGAGACGCTCCGGGGCACCGAGGCGGCATGTTGTTGAGTTTATGCGAGAAGTTGGAACTGCTTGTCCATGTCTGCTTCTGTTGAATCTAGGTAGGTTTGATATCGGACGCAAAATGCGAGGTGCCAGAAAATTCACGATGATGCGGCTGATAAGATAAGAAACAACACAGCAGGGGTTCTGGTGGCGACGACGCCTGTAGTTTAGCGGAGGACAACGCCGGGATGGACCCCGCCAGCGCCGACCGATGGCGGGTGTGGCGGGGTAAGAGGCCGATCAGCGGCTTCCACATTCACTGAAATGATATTGGGTTGAATCATGAAGTGGAAGCATCTGCGTGCTTCAAGATGACATGACAGGAGATGACACTTTATTATGCATGCATTATGCACAGGTACTCTGAATCAGTTGCTTGGTAATATTTGCAGATAATAATAATCGCAGCTGGTGACGAAAGTGGTGCAGTTAAGGCGTTCTGAGTGCATAGCGGGAAGCTGCTGCTGCCAGCTCGACCTGCTGAGTTGGCAATTGACGGACGAAAAAGCTGATGAAACCCTCAGCTCGATTTCCCGTCTCCCGCCCCCGCTCCCAAGCCAGACAACACAACTGAACCCTGTCGCTTTCAGATGACCCGGGCATGTATGTACAAATGGGACAGGCAAACAGGCAAGCAGAGAAAAGCACGCACAACCCGGAACTCGACGGCCTATGATTTGCTGCGGCTGGGGAGATCGCCAATGGTATGTATGTAGGTAGGTGCACCTGTACCTGTCGCTTGGAACGTTGGGGACATGGCCATGGGCAACGCACTCACGATGAGACAGAGCAGACAAGGCACGGATGCAAAGACGCAAGGCGATACTAGCAGCCGGCAGCACCTCACATCATCTCGCAGCCATGTCACCAGCTTCCAGCATCATCAACCCCCATCGTGACCCGTCGCCGGTCTGCTAGGGCTTCCTCTAGCTTCTCGCCAGCCTCGTCGAGCTCAGTCCACAAGGGTTCAGTCCGGCCAACGGCGGGCCTCGTCCATGCATATCCCGCCCCGCGTGATTTGACGGTTGCGTGGCTTCGAGCCCGCTCGCCCATGCAGAAGAGTGCGGTCAAAATCTCTTGCTGCTGCGAAGCACATACTAGTACTACTATTACAGCACTCGTGCTGTAACATGCTGGTCAGTATGTACTGCGTTCCTACTTTGCAGCAGCACCAGCAGCAGGATTGCTTCGGCTTGCCAACCAAAAGAAATTACCTTCCGCCGCAGGGTTGGGCTGCCTGACGGACTGCTCCCACTCGTTTGCCCGCAGCAAGCACCTACATGATACATAACGGCACGCTACAGCAAATCAGCATGCCTGCAGGCAACAGACAAGACGAAAGAGTGAAGTAGTGAATGGCGAGAGAAGGAAAAGAAAATCTGCTGGGATTACTAGCAGAGAAAAGCGGCTGGTACATACGGAGACGGACGGGGCTGCTGCAGGCAGGAATATCGCGTACTTGTGCCAGCCAGGTTCTGCCCTCGCTAGGCTCGACCCCGATTGGTGAGACGCACGTCGCCCGCCCTTCACTCTATCCTGCCGGCTCCATCCGCCTGCTGAGTTTTCGCTGCATGAGACTCTTCTCCTCACCACGGTCAACAAGCCAGCGCCAGCTCGACCCTTGTGTGCGTGCCGTGTCTCTGCTTTGTGTGACACCAGCGGGCTCCATTGCTGCACGGACAGCGAGACGCCGTCGGCCACATATCCAGACCTGCGAGATTATCGACCGCCACCTTTTCCACGTTGCAAGGACATACTTACGGTACATACGAAGAAGCAGCACGAGGGACAACTTGAAAGCACCGCTACCAGGCGACGAGCTGTCACTTGTTGGTCTCGGCCACGGCAGACATCACCCCTCTTTGGGATCGCCACTGCTGCGCTTTGTACTGTATAGCTTGTCCTGAGACGGGCATCGTTCTGTTTACAGCCAGAGAGCGATATTACTCGAACGGACAGCGTCAATTACTCTGCTCTACTTGCTCTTTTACGTCTTCACAGCCACTCTCCGTCTTCTCCCTGCTCTGCTACGGCACAAAGAGACGTCACCTGCTCGGCAGCCTCTCTCCCTCGCCCTCTCAGTTTGCTTGGGCATCTGCGATCTCCGTTGGGCCAGTTCGCTGCTCGTTAGGCTAGCCTGCATAGGCTCCTCGATCCCGCATTCGAGCCACGACAGCTGGCCCCGTCGCCCCCCTGCCGCCTCCTCATTCGACCCCAAAAAGCACACGCTCGTCGTTGCTGCAGCTGCCCTCTGGATTCTTTCCCCACGCTCTGGTCTCTGGTCCCGGACCTTGAGATCTTGTCCCTCCCAAAGGCCCTCCTTCTGGTTCCCTCCGGAAAGCTTCATCCTGGGTCCGACGCCGCCAGCCTGCTGCTTCGTGCTTGTGCTTGTGCTCGCGCGCGTGCTTGCAGGACACATCCCCCAACTCGCCCGTCTTCTGCTTTGGCACAACTGCTGCTGCTGTTGCCGTTCGTGCTGTTGGCATTGCCTCCATTCCCTTTACCGCTTGGCGTGAGCCTATCGCAGCCTCTGCTTGTCTTAACTTTTTCCTCAGCCGGTCGGTCAGTCTCTCTGTTTCTTACCCTCTCCCTCGCACCCTCTGCTGCTCTCTCTTTCCTTCTCTTTCCCTCTCCTCTCCTCTCCTCCTCTCCTGCTCCTCTCTTCTCTCCTGCTTAACCTTCCAATCCGTCACCCTACCACAACCACCCAGCTTTCCCACTTGCGTCCCTCATGAAGCCCGTCTATGGGCCTGCCAACGGGGGAGTGAGGCCTTGCTACTGCGGTTGACGAAACCACGTATCTGAGCCCGCCAACAAGCCCACCGTGCCCTTTCTCTTCCGCGTGCCTGAATGCCTTCTGCTTCGTGTAATACTAGCCCGTATTCTGTTCCCTGCCCGTCTCGCCTTGAACACTTGCTTCATCGCACCTCAACCTAAACAGCGCCTCCTCACCTGACCAAGAGACACACCCTTTGCTAAGATGCACACCAGAGATCTCAAGGTGCGCAAGACCGTCATCAGAATGGATCCGGACTGCGCCATATGCCACGCTCCGGCCTCGATGGCCTGTGACTGCGAGGCAAAGGGCCTCGAGGTGGCCGTTAAGCAGGCCGAGGAACGCATGATGCGGTCCATATACGGCGACATACGGTTGGTTCTACCATCTTCCTGCCCTCCGCTGTCTCTTGTATCTTACTGTTCCGCGATGCTCTGCCCTGACCGCCTTCAATGCCATGGCCTATAGCATGGACTGACTTGTCTCATCTATAGTTCGTGGGTAAGGGCCCATGCTCAAGATTATATACTCGAGTATTTCCGTCAACTTGCCGAGCGACGGAAGACGGCCCACTCGGCTCACCTCGACCACATCACTGCCCACGCCTTCTACCATTATAATGCGCCGCCACATCCCAACCAGATCGCCGAAGCCCAGGCGACCCTGAAGCGAGGCATCGACGAGGATTGGCAGGCCAGCGTACAACGTTATCCCGAAGTCCTCGAATACTTTTATAGCCTCATCGAGCTCACCCTCCCCGCGGACGACGAGGCCGCCGTGAAGAACCCTCCCTTGACTGCTCCACCTCGAAAGCCGAGTCGTCGGGCCGGCTCCATCAGTGCCAGCGCCGGTTCCGCTCCTCCTCCCGCCATAGCCCCTCCCTCGTCTTTCCACGACCGCGATGCCCTCATGGAGCGCCGGACCCCCGCGCCGGCCACCACACCACGAGACCGGAGGACATTCAGACCGCCGCCTCCGCAGCATCACCCGTCTTCGTCATACTATGCACCATTTGGATAAGCAGCATATAACAATACGAAAAGAAATAAGCAATATAAGCGGACCAGTATACCATTACGACGCAAACCCAACCCGCCAGGGGCACAAGCTGTCGACACGTCATTTTTCGCTCTTTCACATCTCATCCTGCACCAAAAAAAACATCACGACATGTACGATCACCCTCTGGTTTCATTTGTCTGGAATGGAAATGGCATGATTGCATGGTATTGGGGTAGCCTTGCTTACGAAAGTCACGAAACGCTGGGATTTATCTTTCTTACTCACGCATACTTATACATATACATCTTGGCTACATCTACGAGAATTTCGGATACCATTCAGCTTTGGCGTATAAAAGATGCATCAAGGAAGCGAACAACTTGTCTCCTATAGCATTGAAAAGCCATCATTAAGCCTTTATAGCGAGTATTTCTGTGCACTATGTGACATTGCTCGTGGTTGCCATACTACCTCATACCAGGTAGTCAAGGCAAGACGGGACATTAAGGCATCTGTCTGTCTACAACCAAAACATCAATCCCTCAGTTCCCCTCCTGCACCTCGTTCAACCATACAATCATGCGATAACGCACATCATCAACCTCGTCATCACGATCGAGTGCATACTAATATCTACCAAGTTAGTAGTACTTGCGGTGAAGACCTGCATGACCTCCTTACCTTGTGATTCATGCGCCGTCCTAACGACCCGCATGAGACGGCCCATCTAGATACATACATGGTTCTCTTTTTAGCTTCACAAACAGACTTTGGTGGTTCTCCCCTCTTTCCGACATTGTATGTATGTAGGTAGTGTGGCCGTGGACTTTGAATAAGCGGAATAATAATGCAGTGTACACATGTCGTATGTGATATGGCTTGCACACGGCATTATGTTTTGTCTTCTCTTGTGTCTCCTGAGGAGCGCATACGTACATGCAGATGATATGCAGCTTCGCCTGCAAGCCACGCTTGTTTGAAAGCAGACGGGCCATTGAGGACCAGTACATTCACCGAGAAAGCCCTCACGCAAAAAGGTGTTGGCAGGGGTTTCTCAAGGCTTTACTAGGTGGGAGTTGTTCTTCAAAATTGCAAAGCACATGGTGTTCCACTGTTGTGCAGAATGCTGCCTTGTTCCCCCATGCATGATGCCGGAAGCCATTCCCCGACAATTCTGTCCAAATCGTAAAGTGAAATGAGATAGGTGAAGTCGCAATGCGTGTATTTCGTGCCCGGAAAACTCCTCTTGCTCGATTGCTAGTAGACATGATATACCCCGGTACAAAGAAGAGAACTGACGAATAAATGAAAAAAGGGGGTATACAGGCACACAAAAGGCATAAGAGGAATGGCCCAGGTGACAGTAAAAGGCATACCCGAAGATGCGGAGGATTTGCTGGTGCGTAATGATATGGGTAACAGGTAAGAGGGAGGAGGAAAGAAACCCAATTTGTCAATACTTTTTTTCGCTTGTCCGCCCAGCAACTTCTCTTTTTCTTTTCACCCACCATGTCCCATCCATCCCATTTCCCCCTTATTTTTCGACTACTTCCCTCCCGCATAATAAATGATAACAAAACAAACAACCTTTCCTTCCTTTTTCTGTTCAAGAAGTACATTTCTCGATGCTGACCTGGGAGAAGCGCGCAAGCTTGTAAAAGAGAGACAAGATAATGATGAAGCAGTGGTGTGAGAGGAACGAGGGGCGGCGGCGCGGTCAGCCTAAACATGATAAACGCAGCTTTTCAAGAAGAAAAAGGAGGATTAGGAAAAGGGCATCAGCAGCTGTTGATGCTCTCTTTCCTTCTGTAGGGCTCATGGAGCGAAGGCTGAGGAGAGGTCTACTATGACGACTCCTCCTTCTTCTCCTCGAGAGAGGCCTCCTTGAGTTCGGCGGTGGCCTCCTCGACCTTGTCGCCGTTGGTGGAGTTCTCGCTCTTCTCGTTCTTCTCAAGCTCCTCGAGCTTCTTCTTGGCCTTCTCAATGTTCTGTGGCGAGTTAGTTCACTTCTTTGAGCGAAATAAAAGGTAAAATGAGCACGTACACGCTGGGTCTGGGCAGCCTGATCCTCCTTCCAGTGGGCAAGCTTGGCCTTGACCTTCTCGACCAACTCGGGAACGTCCTCCTCGCGCATGGGAGGGTCAAGAGACAGGAACGCGCAGTCCTCAACAACGGACGGGGGGCAGTTGAATCCCTTCTGGGCACCACCGGACTTGCCCTTCTTGCCCTTCTTGCCCTTGGACTGGGCAGGGAGGTACTCGTCCTCGCGGTCCTCCTTGCGGACGAGCTTGGTGCCCTTAAGACCAGACTCGTCAACGGTTCGCTGGGCCTGAGCGGTCAAGCCCGAGTTGGCAAGCAGGGGCGTCTTCTCAGCCTTGAACGAGGGATCGAGGAAGGCGAGCAGGCTGTTGGCACGGCGGATCTCGTCCAGGTAGGCGGGCTCACTGGCCTCGGCGAGGACACGCTCGGCATCGGCCTTCTTGCGCTCCTGGACGTAGCGCTCACGCTCCAGGCGCTGGCGCTCCCGCTGCTTCTCGCGGGCCTCGCGCTCGTAGGCCTGGTAAGCCTTCTTCTGGCCGTAGTAGTCATCCTTGAGCTTGCGGATGGCGGCAAACTTCTCCTGCTGCTCGGCCTGCAGCTTGGTGCGCTCGTCGCGGAGGCTGGACAGGTTCTTGTAGGCCTCGTCCTGCTCGGCCTTGATGACGTCGAGCTCGGCCTGGATCTTGTTGTACTGCTCGGACAGGGCCTTCTGCTCGGGGTCCTCCATGGAGTCCTTGATCTCCTTGATCTTGGCGCGGAGGTCGTCGATCTGCTTCTGGGCCTCGTCGAACTGGCCAAAGTTCTTGCGCAGCTTGCGCAGGTTGGAGATGTCGGCCAGGGCCTTCTTCTCGTCGACGAGCTTCATGGTGCCCGAGTTGACCTGCTTGTCGAGGGCCTCAATCTGGCGGTCGACATCCTCGACGCTCTTGAAGGGGACCTTTGCCTTGGCCGCCTTCTGCTCGTTGACACGGCTGCGGAGCTGCTCGTCCAGGCGCTTGATCTGGTCCAGCTTGGACGTGCGGGCATTCTTGCCACCGGCCTGCTTCTGGCGGATCTCGTTGGCCTGGGCAATGAGCTCCTGGCGGCGCTTCTGGGTGGCGCTGGGCTGGTCCTTGTTCTTGTTCGGGAGCGCAACGTCGATCTTGGCCTTGATGGCGTTCTGATGATGGTTGTTAGCACAGGTCTGTCAGCTTTTCAAGCGGTGTTCCGTTGCTTTATATGCCTCTCCTCTACCCTCTAGAAACTCTCCGGGCATGCTCAAGGTAGCCAGGTATTGCTGCTATTGTTGGGGGTGAAGGGAGCGAATCGATAAGGTGTACCCCAACAACCGGGGAAAGTGTCCGATGAACAGAGAGGCATTGGGACAGGATTACGCCAGGAAAACGGCAATCACAACACAGCAGGACATACAAACTTGTCCATGGCAGCCTTGTGCTCCTTCTCAGCCTTGGCGAGGGCTTCCTTAAAGGCGTTCTCGTCCGGGCGAGTCGGGCGAGTCGCAGGCGCAGAAGCAGCAGGGGCGGCATCGGCCGCGGCAGCGGGAGAGGCGGCAGCGGTGGTCATTGTGCCGACAAGAGGAAACAGAGCGAAGGGAAATTTGCTCAAAAAGAAGGGAAACAGGCCAAAGGAAAAGCCGTCACACAATCTCCCAGTCGGAGACTGAAAGCAGAAACGGGAGAGGGAGGAGGAGGAAGAATTGGCAAGAAGAGCGCCGTCTGTTAACGAGGAGAAGGAAAAGAAGAAATGCAAGAAGAAAAAAAAAGCCGAAGCCGCCAGACAAACTGCCAAATAATTTGGTGGTGAGCCTGGCAGAAAAAAAAAATTGCCCTGGGACGCACCACCTTTCACATTGGCAGCGCAGGGCCCACACACGGATTCAACAGAAAACTGAGGATTGATTTGAGTTTTGGCGATGGCAGATTGTATGAAAGCCAAAGAAAGCAATTGAGTCTATTTTCTACGAGGCTGGGCGGTTCCTGTTGAGGATTGTGATGCTGTGGCTTCCCACTGAAGGGCGGTGGTTGAGGACACTGTGGTGCCAAATCGTCCCTAGCGAGCAACTCTAACAGCTTAATTACGGCGGTTTGGTCCATCTCCAGGCCACTTTGGCAGTGCTAGTTAGCACCTCTTTGGTTCCTGGGGGATTGGCGGTGGATATTGGCGGCCAATGGGGGACATGGAGACGCAGCACCACCGCCGAATGCTGCCGGGGCCTCTTTTTCAACCACAAGACTTTTGCAGCGATGTTGAGATTGAGGCGCTGCAATATTCAAGCCCAACACTCGGTCCAGGCAAAGAATATGCTGCGCCAGAATCTAGGTATGTAGCCGAGTTCACCCATCCGTCATTACTCGGAAAGCTCTGCTAGGTACCTATTTCATTCAATCACATGTACAGAGTAGAGTATCCTCTTAAGAACACCACAGACTCTTATCAGCCAGCTCACGTGACCCATCCTTATCAACGCCCGCCCAGCCAGCCAGCCAGTCAGCCAAGAGATGGGCAACGCCCCCAGAGCCCAGAAAAAAAGAGGCCCGGCCAATGCAAGGCTGTCGCGCCAAACAATTTTTTGACAAGTCCAAACCTCCCCTGCGCAAAGCCGAAACCGACGACGAGAGAAGCCGCCTGCTATTAACCTACGCATCACGGCATCGCGGGCCTCATCCTTCTTTCTCTTCTCGGATCGAATCCTCTTTGATACCATAAAGCGATCAGCCTCGGACACGATGATTGACGATCTGCCCAACGATGCCAAGTCCAAGGAGGTGGTGCGGCTCTGGCGCGCGTGGAGGACTGTTCACGAGATGGTTGCGGACCGAGTGCGTTTCTCTCTCTCCCAGCATTTCTTCCGAGATTGCTGTTGAAATGATGCTTCTTTCTTTGCGGCGGGCTATATACTCATCATCCGGCCGTTAGGAGTACGAGCTTGCCGAAGACGAAGTCAACATCTCCCTCGACCGATTCCGCGACGAATACTGCCACCCCGACGGCACCGTAAAGTACGGCCTCTCCCCCGGTTCCCCCCAATAACGATCAACTCATTCCAGACTCCAAACATTTTACCCACAAACGACATGAGATACTAATGAGCTTACGCAAAAAAACAGCCGCGCAAAACTCCAATTCTCCGCCCGCCCAAGCGACTCCATGCTCCGCAAGAACACACCCCCCGCAACCCCCTCCAACCCGGACCCCGTCCCCGACTGCGGCCCCATCTGGGTCGAGTTCCTGACGGACAAGCAGTTTGGCGTCGGTCAGATCCGCCAGTTTGCAAAGTACACAATCTCCAACAACTACAAGACGGGCATCATGGTGACGCACGTGCCGCTGTCCCCCGCCGCCCGCAAGTCCCTCGCCAGCGTCGAGAACCTGGCCAAGATTGAGTGCTTCCTCGAGGACGACCTGCTCGTCAACATCACCCACCACGAGCTCGTGCCCCGGCACGTGCTGCTTTCGCGCGAGGAGAAGATTGCCCTGCTCAAGAGGTATCGGCTCAAGGAGACGCAGCTGCCGCGTATTCTGCAAAAGGATCCCGTTGCGAGGTATTTGGGGCTCAAGAGGGGGCAGGTTGTCAAGATTATCCGGGTCAGTGAGACGGCGGGTCGGTATGCCAGTTACCGACTTTGCGTTTAGAGTGTTTTGCTCTATCGAGAGATTACGGTTACGATTGGGATAGAGGGTGGTTCCGATGGTGGTTGGGGAGGATGGCAGGTTGAAGGCGTCAACATTTGGACTCAGCTATCGAGCATCCTGAAAGAGTCCCCGAAAGAAGGAAAAAGAAAAGAGAAAAAAACCCGAGACTTTGCTTGGATGAAGGCGGCAGCAGCGGTGGTGATGCTGTTTGTATCTATTGTTTGCATTTGCAGTGTCAAAGCTGGCGTTTACGGGGTCTAATCACTAGAATTACAAGAAACAAATCAATAAATACCTTACTATCAAATTCATAATACACATGGCGCTTTCCGAGAGTGAATCGTTGTGGTTGTTCACATTGCAACACCAGAGAAAATGAACAAAAATGGATCTCAATCGATATTGTATACGCTTCATCTTCGTGTCAATTCTCTCAGCACATCTATGTACCACATGTTCCTCGTCCCTTCGTAACCACTCGAGGCGGAGACCTCCAAAGCCTCTCTTATCATCCAACAAAACGGTGCTAATCACCGGGGTATATGCAATCAAAGTACCAATGCAGAAAGAGAAGAAGAAGAAAAATCAAAGGCAACATCCAGCTCCGTCTTGTCTCATCGCTTGCCAGGCGCTCGCTCGCCCTCCAAACTGGATATTCAAAAGCCACCAAAACGACGCCATTTCCATCCTGGTACTCTACCCGGTTAAGAAAAAAAAAAACAAAAAACAGGTGTACCATATGTATACGCATATACAACAGGAAAGAGAACCATCGTCGACGCCATGCTTGACGAATATCATCTAAGAAGAAGAATAGGCTGAATATATAACGGTATAGCGGGTGAAATATGAGACAGAAAAGGCGTTTCCTCCAATAGGAATGAGATATTCGTGACTCCAGTCGTAGATTAGGTCGTTAAGTAGAAACGGCAGGTGGGTGCGGCTGCCGTAGGATTCGTTATCGCTTTCACGGTCGTAAGAGGCCGCCAGGGTCCATGAGAACGAGGTTGGAGGATTCTCCTGCTGAAGTGTGATGTTCCTGGTGAGACTGCGGGATGGTTTGCAGCTCGGTGCCTGTCCTCGGCTTGGACCGACCCGACGACTTTGAGTTGAGAGGGGACAAGAGACCCCCCAGGTCCTGCAGCAGCGCCGTTGAGCCACGCCGAACGCCGCTTGCGCTGGCCTTTCTGGACGGCTGAGGAGGGTTCTGGGAGGTGCTTGCGTCCATGGAGGATGAAGTGTAGCTGCTCCCTCTGCGGTAACTTGCACTACTTGTGCCAGCTGAGTCCTCGAGAAGGCCACCCACATCGAACAGCGAGAGCTTCCTGGACTCGTGCGGAGACTCAGTCCTATAAATCAACAGGTCTCCGCTCTCCTGTGCGCTCTGTTGTCCGCTGTCATGGGCGCTGTCGTGGGCGCTGTCCTCTCGCTGTTGGCGATCATGTCCAACAGAGCGCATCGGTTGGATGGGCGCGTACAGGTCATCAGATGGCGTGTCGGGTTGCTCTCGTAGCTCGGGCTCAACGGCCAGTCCAAGATCCCTCACCAGGTCTTCATCGCTGCCCCACTGGCGCTGCATCGTTGGCCTTCGCACAGTAGGGCGTTCAAACGACTCGGCGGCGGTGGAGGTTCGCCTGGGCTTCTGTTTCTTGACGCCTCGGTCTCGGACGAAGGAGCCCAAGACAAGGGCATTTGCAGACGCAGTGGCGAAGATGAGTTCGACGGACGCGAGGAGCGATCGGTACGACTGGCGGCCATGGGCGTCGATGATGAGTGGCACCCGGTAGAGGGTCACGCCAACAACTGACAAGCTGAGAGAGAAGAGGAGAAGGAGCTGGAGTTTTCGGACAAGCGTCATGTGGCTCTGAATGATCAGAGGGATGGGGAATATAACGAGCAGCAGGTCGGTGAGGACGTTGCAGGTGGCCAAGGTGATGAGCTGGACGAAGCCTTGACGACATTGACCGCCAGGGTCAGGCAAGACCTGCCAGTAATGCTGAAAAGGGTGGCACTCGACGAGATCGCTAATGACGACGGCGATGAAGGTGAGGCCGAGGGCGCATCGGATGGCGATTAACGTGTATCGCTGCGATCGCTGCCACGTCAGGTCGGTGATACGCGCCAGGAATTCGAGAATGGTGCCTTTCAGAATCCATAGCCTGTTATTGACAACCAGTCAGTAAGCGATTCCAACACGATTCCTTCCCATGGGCCTGTCGCGGCCTGCCTGACCACTTGTCCACCCCCGCGCACGCGAAGCATAAAATGTTTGTAAAGATTACTTACGTCGCGGCATAGAGTATGCGAGCCAGCAGAACGAGACCACTGGCAACGGATTTCTTGTGCAGCTGCTCGGAAGTGAGGGCAACCCCGGTGAAGTCGGAGTTGTTGGTGCCATTTGTGAGGATGAAGTGGACGCAGCCCATGCGCAAGAATAGCGGAATCAGGGCGAGAGCGACGACCTTGTCTTCGTTGAAGAGCTTCTCGGTGCGGATGAAGCGGCCAACGATGCGCAGCAGGATCATGAGGGCGCAGAAGATGGTTGCCCACCAGCAGACGAGCAGCGAGGGCTTGTCCTCCGGAAAGGGCCGCAGTGACGGCGGCTCAGAGTAGATAGACATGGCAGGCTCTCTTATGCCGTCTGCTCACGGTGCGCTCCTGTCTGTGTTTCGTCTGCTCGCTTGCAGGGCCCGCGCCCGTCGACCTCCGCAGAGGGCTCGACGAGCGAGGAAGGGCGGGTTTCGGGTTCGGAGAGGGTTTCTCCTCGTAGACTTGTTAGAGATTTCGCGATGCGGCCGTTTCTGGTGTCGGCGTTGCTGTCGAGTCGCGAACGTCCGGGGCGAGCCGCCGCTGAAGAATCGCACAAGGCAGGGAGTCGCTGTCCAGTAATACTACCGGGGGCATGAGGCCGCTGTTGCGTCTGGCGCTGTAGGCGGGAGCGTCGAGGCGGATAGCGGGATTCGGAGGGGTTGCTGCATGAACGCTGCAAGTATAGTGGCCGCAGCGGCGGTTACATCGGGGGAGGATCCCAGGACAGCGCGGAAGAAGAAAAAAGGTGATGAAAAGGAGTATGGAGGGGAGAAAGAGGGGGGAGTCAAAGTGGGAGAGCGAAAGAGGAGGTGAGAGAAGGAAAAGGAAGTGAATGAGGAGAATCTCCTTGTCTGGGGGCGGAGGGTAGATCAGACACAGTGGAAGATGTGGGAAGCAGGAGGGAGACAAGCCGACAGAGATAATGCAATGCCAATGTGCATGGATGGCTGCACCAACGAGTAGGTGAGGTAGGTACGTATTCGCAGGCACAAAAGCGAGGGCCAGACTCGGAGTCAGATGGCAAGGCAAGGCAAGGCAAGGCTCACAGGAGCGCGCAGGATGTCAATCCATGATAAGCCTGGGAGCGGGAGATGGGACCTCAAGAGGGCCTGGAGAGGGCAGCGCAGGCCCCGGATAGCGGTGGCGCATCGTATCGTGGGCGAGACGCGAGACGAGGCGAAGGCGAAGACTGTACCTGTCCAACAGCCCCCGTACCGGTACAAGCTAGTACGAGCAGGCGCTGCTCCAAATTGCTGGACGACTCCTAGTGCATCCAGACCAGCAGAACCGCAAGCACTAGCCTGGACACCCTTGTTGGCGATGCGCCGCGATGGAGGGATGCACAGCAAGCACGAGGAGGGTGGCAGTGGCTAGGCCTGTTCCAGGTCGTACCGGTTCTGTGGCTTGCGCCAGGATATGGATGAGATAATTGGTGCCGCGCATCAGTCGACGTTCGCCAATTAGCCGCGACTTGGGCAGGTTCTAGCACAAGAGGCGCAGAAGAGGATGATTGTTCTGTCGCTGCTTCGGTATTATTATCTCGAGCCAGGCTCTTATTGTCGTCGCGGTGCCTGTCCGTCTCTCCCATGTCTCCATGTCCCCCTTCTCCTTTGTCATAGGCCGGCCATCTGCTAGACGCAGGAGGTGCCGCTCCGTAAGTACTATTGGCAAGAGTGAAATGATTCTAGATCAATGCTTCAGTCATGCCAAGATGGGTTCCAAGTAGTACACACAAAACCACTCAGAACGCGTCTGTTCCCCAGCAGTAACTCGTACCTCAAGGCCACACAGGATCCTTTCGCCTGGCCCTGGTGAACGCGGACCCGAGGCCTCGATCCCGGGCTCTTATCCTCAAGGAAGTTCTCTTCTTGCTGGGCTGGCTGCTAGCGAAGAGCCACTTTAGCTCATGAGTGGCCACAAGGACCGCGCATGTCTCGATCCAGTAAACTGGGCAGGGGTTTGTGGACCGCAAGTGGCGCTGCGCCATTCGGATTGGCCTGGTTATAGAGAGACTGGCAGTGAAGAGACACAGGAGACGCACGATTTGCTGCAGCCCCGTGTGGAATCCAACCCTCCTTGTTCCCAGCTGCTGCAAGCCTTCGGCGCCAGAGAAGGACCTGGAACCCAAGAGCGAGAAAGGAGGGGGAAGCCCTGTGGTGCAACTCCAATTGGCGTTAGTGCAAGCGACTTTCTGCCTAGGTGCAGTTGTCTATTGACGATGGATGGCTTGATATCGGCCACCGCTGACTATTGCGACGCTCACTCATTCGTCCCTTTCGTATCAAATGATAAGCTGGGCAGACTGGCTTATCTCATGCTCCCCAGACAGACACCAACCCTGCTGCAGATACTAGTAGTATCATGATTGAAAAAGGGGATGCGAAAGGATAAGAGACGCATGCATGGTCGTCGGAGTCACCAATCACACTGGCGGGACCAGCAGCCAACCTATCGGCCGGAGCTCGGTAAGTCAAAAGGGCAATTTTTCCCTCCTCAGAGATGGTTAGAAACTGGACAGTTGGACGTTATTGTGGGAGAAACGCCATCAAAGCCACAGAGGCAAGGAGAAGAACGGCGGCCAGTTGGAGACGACAGTTCGTACTGTATGAGAAACGGCGCGAAAAGGGCGAGATAATGAACAGCGGAGCTGCATATCGCTGCCGTTGCAGTACTACATACTGTAGGTATGGACAGGATGCGTCTAGCCTGAGCGCTTGCCTACCTTAGGATCAGCCGATATCTCAATGAGCGTGCGAGGATCAGTCAGTGCCCGTTTGGCGAATTGCTACCGAGCGCGGCTCATGTTCAGGATGATGTGCTGCTCTCAGAACCGTCCTCACGTACCTCGCATCCTTGGCTCCGGTCGCAAAGTTGCAACGAGCTGCTGTCTGTCCGCTTGACCCCCCAAGGTCTCAGATTCGTTTTCAGGTACCTCTTTGTACAGTACAACGGCCGTCACCCAACAAGTGGCCGTCATCAGGCTGAGTGCTCGCCTCACGAGTGGTATCCTGGTGGCTGATGTGTGCGAGCCCTCCGCATACCAACCAAGCGCTGTAACCCCTCTGAGACATTCGATCTAGAGCTAACCGGGCGAGGCTCAATGTATGGAGTACGCCGATCTTGACGTGCAGAAACCTAGTGCACTAGGTGCAGCCTGCGGAGTGGGCAAGTACCTGCGTCTTGGAGCTGATGTTGCGGTACTTGCGCTTCTGACCCCCGGCCACAGTTCAATTGGCGGCGCGTGGCCACGAGGCGATGGAACCGGGAGAGTGGCCTGAGCGGTGCCTCTTCCATCGTCAGCTTCAACGTCCTTGGGTGATGTCCACAGACGGCCTCGGGCCGGCATTTGCCCAGGCGCAGTCAGGCTGCACATTGAAGACGATATTGTGATCGGTACTGCAAAGCACCGAGTGGAAAGGAGTTGTACAGTGCGTCACATGTGCGGCGTATACGTTCCAATGAGCTCAGCTTTTCGGCCAGTTCGAGACGTTGGACAACTGGTACCTACCTTTGAATACCCTCGGCGACACTGCTCGCCCAAGCCCCAAGGCACGCAGGTTCAACAGGGCACAGGGGCGCAGACGGAGCACATGTGCTTCGACGAGTCTTGGAATACCCGTGAAGTCTCGTCGGAGCCCCACCGCCAGAGACATTTCGACTGCTGAGGATTGGCTGTCGCCCAGAGTGTGACCCGGCACGCCTTCTGGGGCTGAAATGGGTCCCTTCAGTTCGCCCAGCAAGCAAAAACTTGCAAAAGGCATCCAATTTTCATGGCCGTTCCACAGCGCTGGGAGCAGCCGAGGCCATGGAGCTCCTCCATCATGCACGGAGCAGCATGAGGCGTGGGTCGCTCAAAGTGGGCTCCTGGAAGCTCTCTTTCCTCCCCCGCTGGTCGGTCCACGAACCTAGGAGCCGGTGCAGGGAGCACAAATGGGAGGGGAATGGTCTGGTTGGCTGAGATGAGATCGTGATGGGGTTCATAGCCCGGCCTCCTCCACTTCAAGTGTCGATTTTGGTCGCGTCCAACTGCATGGAATTAGGGACCTGAATAAAGGCAGCCCTATGAAAAAAGGCAGAGACATGTCAGAATATGGACAGACAGACATTTGAGAGAATCAACTGCATTAGTAGTGTCATAAATCGAGACGAACCAACTTCCCTCGGGCAGTTTTTGGGGGGACGAGCACACCCCTTCCCACCCTGCAGCTGCTGCACTTGAGACTGTCCCTTGTCCCTTGTCCCTTGTCCCGTGTCCCGCGCTCGCGCTCTTGTTGCAGCACGAACGGAAGATTGAGTCCTGAGAACTGGATGAGTGGAGGGGAAGGCAATTGCGGTGAGCGCAAAAGCTAGCCGGCTGGATGCAGCGGGCGCCGGGTGCCTAGTTCACATGGTAATACCCTAATTGCCCACGGACTGGAGATCCGCGTCTGGGTAAGAATCTCAGTAATAGTACCCCTGATTGAAGAATTTGTGGTCGTATTGAGCTTACAAGTTGAAGTCATCTCAACCAGCGAAAGAAGAGTGTGTTCTGGTCGAGAGTGGAGGCGCAGAAAATTGTTGTTTCGGACCCGATACGTCATCCATCTGATTTGTCAAAGTAAGCCGTGAAGCGGGGACATGTCACTGTGCCAGAAAAGCTTGGCCATTGTCACCCAAATTGCCGGTATAAACTTGCTTCCAGCTTGGAAGCTGTACTTGGTGCCTCAGTAATACTAGGTAGTAGTAGGTGCCTCCTGCTTCCTGCCTCTTCCTCCTGCCCCTCCAGGCAGCAACATTTCCTGGCTGCACACTTGCGCTTGATGATCAGAGGAGCCTGGAAGGAGCCGATCAACAAGCACCTGCGCTTGCATCCGCACTATTTACCTTACCTTATCGTAGGCTTGAAAGCCTGTTAAAAACGCTTTGATCGGATCAGGCTGGTGGCGGTGGCAGAAGTCCCCACTGGAAGTCAGTAGCATCGGTATCTGACGGTACGTACACGGAACTTTCCATCTCGAACCTCAGCTGTCATTCAACCCGTTTCCTGTAGAGGTCGAAGTACGAGTACTTGTACGCATACGGATTGGAGTAAGGTATGTACATGCCACAGGCGCTGCGCTCCCGCAGCTGGCACGCGAGAATGTTGGCGCCTCCCGTGCCGTAGCAGCGCAATTGCAATCTCCATCACGTGGCTGTGGCGCTGTCGCCCGGGGAGTCAGGTCCGACGGCTGTTAATAGCACACGTCCGCAGGTTTCCAGCTGAAATGGTATTACATAGGTACGTCGGAAGCAATTCACAGTTCACGTACGAGTTCCGAACCTACGAGTGTCCCGTTGTACCTATGCCACAAAGATCACAAAGGAAAGAGATAGGGGGAGAACAGTTACCTTTGCACTCTCTCGGTTCGCCTATCGTGCCTATCAGAGCTCGATGCACGTTGCGACACAGCGCTGATTGGCTCACCTGTACTTCGTCACTTCGTAGGAGGAAGGACCCTCTCTGCACCTGTCTCATTTCTGACACGGGAGAAGCGGAGACCTGGCAAGGAGCAGGAGGAGCAGGAGCAGGAGCGGTCCGATAGGCGGATACTACTAGTACTACTACTACTACTAACTACCAGAGTTGTCGCTGCTGCTGTAGCTTTGGATCTGTAATATGGAGACTCTCCATACTAGGTACTTACTTGATTTTTGTCGTCAGCAACTGTGGCATTTTTTTGCTATTTTCCCTTTTCAGAGATTTCTTCCCTTTTCGATGTGTTGTCGGAACCGTGATTCCGGAGAGCGACCTTGAGGAACGCCGCGAGCGAATCATTGCCTTCCCCAGAGCCTCATTCGGAGAGCTTCCCGAGTAAGGTACCACCACGCCGACCCATCCAGCGCACAGAGTCCTTGAGCCTGCAAGCAAATGAACTTTTACGAGCTTGTGTCGAGCTCGATGATGACCTCGTTTTTTCCCATCCCAAGTATTACTTCGTACTGTTTGAACATGGAATGCAGTGGGAAGAAGTTGAGGTTGCGCGCACGTGACATGGCTTCTTGTGGCCGACGCACAGTTTCTGACTAAAGCTCTAGAGTTACCACTCAAATCCAGTGAAGCGGCAATTACCGTCGGCAATGCTGCAGGACTGAGGAGAGCGCTGATATCAGCAACTCCCTCCTTGGCGCTCACACGGCAATCTTACCTGTCCTGTACAGGTACACGTACACATACACATACAGTACAAAAGCGGCAGCGAATCCTTGGCGCCACCAACAGCAGAAATTTCTATCCGGCGGACCGACGCGCTTCTCGTGCGAGTTGACATTGTTGAAGTCCGTCCGGATGAAGGTACAGTACAGTACTTTGTGCGCCCTCTCGATCAATGGGTTTTCCTATTGACTGGTTGTCATTGACAGGTTGCCATTGTTGACCACCTACATACAGCTGGAAGGTTGTTGTCGTTGTTGCTCTGCTAGGTAATACTATTGTACTACCGCTGCCGCTGTTGGTCTGCGTTCAAAGCTCCTCGAGAGCTTCAACCAACGAATGCAAAAAAGCAATTGCCATGAGCTATTCATAGCCCTTGCGGGTACTACCTCAGCCCGAATTGCCGGCCTTGCATTCATTCATTCATCCAAATGATTCACAAAACGCCTCGAACACTACGGGAATAATGACCAACACAGCGTCCGGGTGCCTCTCTCCACATCTCACATTGCTAACAAACGCCACGCCGTTATCCATCAGGATCCTTTTCGGTCTCTTTCCCTTGAGGTGGTGATCTACACAATGGGAGATGGATTGCATGCCAACATTGCGTGATGAACGGCCCATCATTGTGTTGGGCGTTCTTTTGAGACGTCTTTTGAGCAGAAAGATGGGACAATATGGAACTCGCATGCACCGAAAGCGCCTCAACGTCATCGGCTTATTCTCAAAGCCCATGGATATTCGTCTTGGCAATCCAACCAAAAACTTTCCGCTCGGTGAATGATGGGGAATACTAGTGGTAGGATTTTCCTATGGATTCTCATCCATCAGACTGCGACTTGGTTCATTAGTCCATGCCGAGAGACATTTCGAGTATGGCCGCCATAATGTCCGTTCACGTTTAGTTCACATCGAGCCTCATGATCCACCGTCGTACCCTAGATGCCCAGATCAGATTGTGTCGTTGCTCAGTTTTGTGGCAGATTCACCCCGCATTCACAGTCCTCATTCCCAAGTGGTGGCTGGATTAACTCCCGGCAACAGTTGGACTATTATTACCAGTTCAAGAGACTTCACGGTCAGGCGATTATTGCAACGAGCTGGCAGATTGCAGACTGCGGTTCGACTCCGCATGCCTGGGACATTCTCACCATCTCGTGACAACAGCTCGTGCATGATAGCACTATGCGCCAGGTCGAGCTAGTATCTGCATACTGTTTCTTCAAGATCCTTCTGATCTCACTTTGCAGGGTGCTCCAACTCCATGCTACGCCACTACCTACGGCAGCCTCACCAGGTCGTTGGAGTTGATGCCATTCCTGGTGAACTTGTCCCATCGAAGTTCTTTCATCCATGGCTGATGGACGCAGGCCCCCCCCATTCATAGTACAGGTGAAAAATAGTGCACCCACAAGGTCCAGACATTCTAAGCAATGTGAGATTTATCACCCAAATTCCACAAATTCCTGATTTCGGCACACGTTGCTACTAATAAACGTCCAGCGGCTGGCTACTCCCACGTGTTTTCAATGGAAAGCTATTGAAAACTTCTGTATCATACCCTGACTGGGTTCCTCAAGTTGCAAGTTGAGAGTTGACATCTAGATCTCTTCCTCCCGATGAAGTGCCACCGAGTTTCAGTACACTTCTCCGGAATTGGAACATGACTGCTTCACAATCTTGCATGGCACGATGTAGCCGATGATCAAGGTGAATGTCACAGGCTGAGGCTGGCCTCTTGCTAAACCCCCTGCAAAGTTACACTTCCGGCTAGAAGCAGGCTAGACGTCTTCCATGAGACTGACTGACACATCCCACGCCCACCAAGAGCTGCTGCATGAATCGCTTGGGGACTCTCAATGTCACTGAGCTGATGTGATGAGTGTGATGTGACGGAGTGGCTCTCGGTGACATTTTCTCAATAGGTGATGGGAAACTCTATTTGCGCAGCTGCTCTGTGGTGGCTTGATTTACAATGTCCTGCCACGCTGAGTCTGTGGCTTGCTGGATGCCACGAGTGTGAGTATCAGGGGTCAAAGGGGCTGGCGTTGTTTGGGTGTTTGTCCAAGCACGGTTGCTTGTTACTGGCAGTGCCACTGCCAGCCTCTGTTGACCTTCTTGATCCTGCTGAGCTGAGAATTGGAAAATAGGTCTCCACAATCTTGAGAGCTGGATTGCATTGACGCGCTCGTGGCCAAGAATCCCGAGGATATCATGAGTACAGACTCGATGCTAATTACCTAGAACGCGATCCCGCATGATGGAATTTGCCGGCATTATCAAGGTGCCCTCTTTGACCTTGTAGAACCGCGGGCTGGAGGCAGATATCCACTGCAAGGAGAGCTGCATTGCAGATGCCTGCTCCCACAATGGAGAAAACGATCCTGGGCTCGTCATTATCGACTCACTTGCTGTGCTCTCCCGACGAGTTTCCGTTCAGTATCCCCAGCCTGCTTTCATGGATCTTACTACAACATAGACGCATAGAAGATCTCAACGACTAGGAGAGACTTACTGCAGAGAATTTGTTCTCAGCAATTCACTGGAGCTCTGGCCAGCTTCGTCAAGTCGTCACCCAGCTTTAGTGAATGGCCGTCAGCTTCTCGACGCGCTCACATATTGGAGCAGGCGGTGACGGTAGCGGCATCATGCATTCGGCGCCCACCATCCGGGAAGCAGCAGTAGTAGATCTGGGCATGACAGCCACGACAATCATTATTGTCATATGCACATAGGCGTTACGCTTGCCCTGAGGGCCTCATTTCACCATGGCAGACTTGGCGTTGAGCTGTTGAGGCACTGGACGCTGGCAAGCTACTATTGAAATCGTTGTTTGAATTTATACTGAGAATCTATAGGTCTACTCCATAGTCAAGGGAAATGCTACCTCAGAGTTATCCTCGAGGTCCAACTGGCAAGAGGAAATGGCATGATCTGAAGCAATGCTCTCAGGGGTCATCAAGAGAAGTGAGATGACCATGCACCACAAGACCATCAAGAGAAAAAGGGGGCACATCTGTGAGGAAGTGAGTCATTGTCCATGTCTGCTCCCGTCCTATAACGTGTTGCCATATTCACTCATGGTATGTCAGGAGAGTGAATCACAACGTGCTCGCAGAGCAATGTGAGTGAATGCTGATTTCCAACTCCAGATGCTTCCATGAGCACCTATCGTTATCGGCATTATGCATCCAGGGAAGGCGGTCAGCATACTGGTCTGGTTGAGATTCAACTCACAATTCACTTGGACTCAGACTGGCTCTCGTCCGGGCTCGTCTATATAATTCCTCGTTTCGTCCCTCGCTGCCACTCCTTTCTTCTCTTCCTTCCACAACCCTCCTCACATCGTCTTCCGCAAGAAGACAACCTCCCAAACTTTGAACGACCAAGCCTGTGACAACTCAGAGTAAGTGCTTCGACAATCTACTTCTTCTACTTGGACAAACTTTGACCGGGCAAGTATCTAGCCTACAACGACCAACTACTACCATCAACATGGCGCCCAAGCGCCAGCTCCCTATGCATCGGAAGGATGACCACCGGGAAATCGCTGAGACCCCAGCACCCGAGGCGTCATCTTCGTCGCCCACATCGCCCCCTGCCCAAAGGGCCAAGCTGGAGGAGCAGCGCCCGAACTCGCTGAAAAATTACCCCGGCAATATGCGTTGGGTCAATGAGGAGACCAATGAAAACATCGCAGGGATCGCGTCGATTGCGTACGTCGCAGTCTACATGCTGGAGCACCTGTCCGCCGGCAACGCCCGCCCAGTCGACGTTGGAGAGACAAAGTCGTTCCTCAAGCATGTCGGCGGAGCCGAAATGGTGAAGAAGTTCAGCGAGAAAGTCTACAACACGGTTGGCGGCTTTGAGACCAAGGCTGCGCCCGAGGAGTCTGTCTTCAAGGGCTTCGATGTCAACAAGGCTTGGAAGGCCAATCCGAACGACAATGACGACAACGGCGACGACGCGGCTGGAGAGTCCGCCCCCGTTGGAGGACGCGAGGCCAGCATCGAGCTGGGCACCACGCCGACGCCCATGGACATGACTACCACCACCGCTGCTGCCACCACCACTGCCGGACGTGAGCGCGAGGGCAGCGCAGAGCTGGGTGCCGCTGCCGAGGAGACCACGGCCGCTGCTACACCCGTGGTCATCGAATCTAATCTGGAGACGTCGGACGAACCAGCCGATTCCAGCCCGTTGGCCCGGAAGATGGCCAGGGCTGCTCCCGAGAAGACCATCACCAGCAAGTATTTCGGGGGCGGTGCTGGCGCCGGAGGAGCCAGCGGAAAGGCCTGAGTGCGAATGGGAAATGAGTGCGAATCTGAGACTTGAGTGCGATTGGGGAGGCGATATTGGGCCCGACGGAAATTACTAGATAGTCAATTCCTGCTTTGCAGAAGAGAAATTCATATTTTTGATTTCTGATACTTGTTCCCTCTCGTGTGAAGTCTGGCTACTAGATCTACTAGAAGGAATATCTTCTATCTCCATGAAATGATAACCAGGGACATTATCTGAAGGGACATCACTGGCCAGTCACGATTTGATTATCTGACATGTTCTACAGAGAGATGAGTCCTCCCCTCTCAGCCCAGTTCCGAGCTGATGTTGGAACTATCGTACAGCTATCTATCTCTTGACCCCTTCACCCTGTTAGATTGATGCCCCTTGCACCTTGTCACGATCCTCTTCTTATCGTCCCCATTGCTTGATCTCATTTTTTTTCTTCAACGTACCTGACGAGACATGACAGACGGACAAGAGACCTATATATTAAATTGGACGTCAAGTTATCGTCGTGAATTTGCCTATGCTGGGTGACCTGTCGTATTGTGAGAGACGAGATGCCCAGCCTCAAGGACTGTTACGTCATGTAGACACCGATCAGTATTAAATTGTTCTATAAGAGAGATAAAAAAAGTTCGGTCCAGAAGCTTTTCGAAATCAAATCTCACAACAACAACTTCTTATGCGTCCTTGTCTGTTCATCCTCCTGAGAGATCAAAGTTGGGTAGAAATGGGGGGCACAACGTGGACCCTTGCAACGCAGATTCTTGACAACAGCTTCTCCTAGTTGATTAATTGCGGAAGGTGCCTTTATTAATTCTTTATCTCTCTCAAAGAACATATACTATTATGCTATATTTTGGGTTGCGGGAAAAGATCATGTTATCTCTCTAATATTTACTCTGATCTAAGCCCAGAACTCATTGCTCTATGCAGAATGACTCACCATATCCTCAGACAAAAACAATTTCTTATCAACAACAAAATATATAAGAACAAATCTACTCCAGCCCCAACTCAGTCACCAGAGCCTTGATCCGACCCTTGTCCGCACTCGCCCAATCCACCCCCGTCAACCCATGCCCACTCTTACCCCCATCTCCCTCCGCAACCTCCTCATCCTCCTCCCCGACAAGCCCCCAAAGCTCATCAACAACCGCGCTCCTAACCCTCGGCCACGGATGCGACACGAGCGCCCCAAGCCTCCTCCTCGCCTCCTTCACCCCGGCATCACCACTCTCCGTCGAGCCAGCAATCCCGCCATACACGGCAATGCAAGCCGTGATCTTGCGCACGTTGCCCGTCTTGTATCCAGCCTTTTGCGTTTGCAAACAAAGACTCTTGTAATTGATGTCCGGACAACGCTGGAAAAGGCCCGTGTGGAATAGGAATGCAATCATCTCCAGTGTCGGCACGATGATTCGATCTTGGCCCTGGCATGTCTTGAGGTTGTGCAGCAGGGCTGAGCACACGCGCTGCAGGTTGTCTGCTGATTCTTCGCAGTGGTCCGTGAGGGCGGCTCTGCTGGCGATGACGAGATCTTCGTTGCCGGTGTCTGCGGAGGAGACGTAGCCTGCCATGAGGCCGGCCATCCATGCGTTTTCGTCGCCGTTCAGGATAGTCATTACATGGGGGTGGAGAGCGTTCTTGGGGATGAGGTTGAGAAGAAGGGCAAAGTAGGCCTTTGATGAGGAGCTGAGGTGCTTTGTAAAGTAAGTCTTTCGTGATGGGTTCGAGTCTTCGGGTTCATCAGTAGAGCTGGATGAGGAATAACGAGAAACGGATTAGCATTTGAACCTTGACTCGAGTACTTCTGAAGACAGGGGCGAGGCTACAAGGAGGGAGAGCTTACCTTTCCGTCATGAGTAGTGCAACAACATCCTTGGCAACCCGACGCACACGATCCAGCTTCTCCGCAGAAAGCCGCAAAACGTTGTAAATCAGCTTACGAACAGACATCTCCGTCCAGTTAGTCTGGATCGTGGAGTCACCGATATCTTCCCAAAGAACATGGATAGCCTTGAGCGTCTGGAATCGCACCAAGGACCCCTCGTCGCCCCTCGCCGTTGTAGTGTAGTCGTTCAAGCCCTCCGCAAGGAGATTCAGGAAGACAGTTGGCCTGTCCTTGAGAATGCGGCTGCTCAGAAGGCTGTGGAGGATGGTAACCCTTGTCTCGACTTCGCTGTCGACCCTCCATCGCTCGAGAAACGCAGAGCTCACAATTTCACTTCCGTTGTTCTCCAGTGAGGTGGATGCAAGGGGCTGGGCCATGGCCATGACGCGAAAGTAGCCGTTGCCAGTGGCTGCCGACCGGCTCCCGGGTTTGGCTGCGATCAGTCGTGCCCACTGCTCCAATATCTGGTCACGTTCATTCTGTGAGGAGAGTAAGAGCAGCATCAGACCGGCTGTGGAAGCAGACTCGGCGGTTTCCTGCTCGCTTCGGCTGAGCCAGTTGTGGATCACATCTCGCAGCCTCGAGGCCAATGTCTCAATCTCGGGAACCTGACGCGTGGAACTAAATCCAGAAGCAACATGTAGAAGATTTGTCTCTTCGTCCATAGACAACGTGTCGCTTCCTGTCTTCAGACTGTTGTAGGAGAGGCCGCTCGACGATGCAGCTTGAATCATGGGTAGAGAAGCCACAACCAAGCGACTCGCTCCCTCAACGATGAGCTCAGGTCGACGATACTCCGTCTTGTTGCAATCCTCGAGAATCCCAGACACGTAGCTCAGGATCTTCCGAGCAGCGGCCTGATCAAGCGTTCTTGGCTGAGCTTTCTGTGCAAGCTGGGGAAAGCCGTCCACCACCCCAGCGAAACACGCAAGCAAGCCATGACGCTCTTCGACCTGTCGCTTCTGCAGACCGCTCAAACGATCCATTATCTCGTCAATTGCATTTTCAAAGCGAGCAAACGGCGTCTCTGACGCCGTGTCGGACAATTGTACTACAAGAGAGCCAAAGGCGGCGCCAGCGGCTCGTCTCGAGGCCGTGTCCATGTCGCCGATTCCTCGCCAGCCCAAGATGCCATCAACGACGGCCTCTCCGTACTGGCCAGACAGCTTCGTGGCACCGAGAGCAACTTCCTGGACTGCGCGCGATCGGCGGGCTACGGCATGATAATCGACACACTGCACGACGCCAATGCCGTGATCTACGGTATCTGGGTGTCGGCCGATGAGTTCCTGTAGCGCAGCTGAAGCCCCGCGCCGAATGTTGCCTTCGGGATCGAGAGACGCCGTCGTCACCAGCTCTGTGCCGAGAACTTGCAAAATGGAGCTCGATGGAGGATGGGACTTTGCCGCGTAAACAGACTTGGTAGAGACGGCGAGGAGCTCGTCGGTTGTGTATCGGCGAGCCAATGCCCAGATGCCAAAGCACGCCGCATCACGGACATTGGATCCCACGCTGGCTCCCGAGATGCCGCGCTGCTCAAATGTCAATCCCAAAAGGAGAGAGTGAAAGATGTCGGAGAGCTGGCTAGCCGGAGGCGATCTTCGGTAGAGCAAGTGCGACAAGGTCATCATCAAGCCGTGCCATTCAAGAGGATTCACGGCAGACAAGTCGCGGACGCGCTTGTCTCCTGACTTGGTCGGCACCTTGTTCCAGAGGACGTTGCGGTTGAGGGATTCCAGGACAGCCTCGACGACCTGGGAAGCCATGTCCGGGTCCAGCTTCAAGGTGATGATGCTGAGCGACTTGCTGGCAGACAAGCGAACCGGGGTGTCGTTGTCCGAAAGGCTCTCGAGGAAGTATCCGATTGCATTCTCTACCAGGACCGTGGTCTTCATGTCTCGTCGGGAAGAGCGCAACAGCGAAACGACGAGCGAGCGAATCACCTTGAGCATCATCTTGCGTGCAGATGCCTGGGACATGATGGTCTTTGAGACGCCATCCTCGCTAGTAGATAGCTCAAGCACAGATTCGAATATCATAAACAGATACTTGTCCATGTCTGACGTCTCGGATGCAGATCGCAGTACGCCGGCCAAGAACGAGAGCACCCCGATGTAGAAATACGGGTTCTCAATCTCCGCTTCCTTTGCCGGCCGCAGCGACTTCAAGGACCACTGCACAAGGCTTTCCAGGATTCCAATCTGCTGCATGTCCCGCCTCATGGCGAGCCTCACCAGGAGAGCCTTGGCGGCATCCCGCTCCTTGCCCGCAGAAGCAATGTACTTGATGGCCAGAGGAATGACCCTCATCGTAAGGCCCGGCACATTCGCAGGCCAATTGAAACCGGCAATCGGCGGGACTCCCCCCTCATCCAGGTCAGCAGAGGAAATCGTCGACAGGTCAAACGGCGCGAATAACAGGTGCGAAAGCCAAAGCAGGGCAATGTAGCGCTGCTCCCACGACCACCCTTGACCAGCAGCTCGTTCCGTGAAGAGATCCTTCTTCTTCTCCTGGCTGGCGTGAGTCTCGGCTTCTTCGACGGCAGAGAGGATGAGCTCGAGGTACTTGGTTTCGACGTTGAGGAAGCGCACAATGACCTTTTCCCCACGAACCTTGCAGAACGAGTACAGGATACGGGAAATTGCGTAGTCGAGGGGAGCCAGAAGGTTCGTCTGTTCAGGAACCCGCTTGATTCGATGTCGCGTCTGCAAATACTCCAAGTATGACTCTGCCAGCAGGGGGATCCATTTGGGCAAATGGGGATCCAGCAGCTGAGGCAGCTCTTGGAACTGATCCAGCACCTACAAAGCAAAGCAAGCCTCGGTCAGCACCTTGTGCACCAAATGCTACCCTCCAGTATCTGGGAGACTCACAACGCAGGTAGCCTTCAAGGTCTCCCTAATGCGCACCCATCGCCGTATGCGCGTTCCCCCTCGTCCATCCGGCTTCCGCAGACAAGTGGCGAGGCTCTGATCCAGCTCGTCCAGCAGGACTTTGGAATGCTTGTGCAGATACACGTCAATCTCATTCTCCGAGGCGTCCATCTTGAGATTTGAGTGCGGGCGTATGGTTCAGTATGGCCAGAAACAAGACTGGGTGAGCATCCCCTTTACATCAACCCGAGAGAGGGGATATGGAAAAAGAGAGCGTTAGGCACCACTTTGTCAACCCAGGCAGGCGGCGACGATGAGTTTGATTGCCTCTAGGCAGCTGTATAAAACAGCGATCCGGCTTCTAGATGAACACTTCTCGTTGCGTGCTGGCCTTTGAGAAGCCGGTGGATGTTTGGTGGCTGCCTGAACGTCGAACCCGCTTCAGGACATACTATCGCATATCGTGTGCTTCCTCTGTGGTGGTTCATCATGCTGTGATAGGAGGACAGTGTATACTACAGTATATATGTTAGATACACTGTGAAATACAGGGTAGGCAGTCTGCATCTGAAAGATCCGCCGCTCCGAAGATCTGCATCACCTGCGATCGATCAGGAGTGCTTCAGCACCAGTCATGATCGTCCACCTCGGTGTACGGAGTAGGATCGGAGTCTGCGTTCCAAGGTCGTCACCGCCAGATCAAAGGACCATCGTCACAACAATACACTTTGTCGTGTTTAGACTGTCAAATACATAAGTTGGATATTAAATATGATTTACGTTAGATCGAGTCTATAGTCTATCGCCAAGTCGCTTATTTCCCGGTTTCTCTGCGCCTAAACTTCCTGTTTTTGTTTCGAGACTTTTTTTGAATTTTTCTTTTTTTTTTCTGTTTCCGTCGATGCCGCACTTCATCCAATGGTCGACATCCACATTATCTTTGCCCTCATCACCCCCCCCAGCAGATGCATTCATATATGTACCCGAGGTACTCTGATGCGAAGCTCGTAGCCGACGATGGAGGAGCTAGAGTCAATTCGGCTCACACAATTTGCTGCTCTCGGTCGCATTAAGCTTGGCAAAGTGGTAAAATTGCTTAGCTATCGCCGGCGAATCATGACCTCGCCACCCTCCATGCTGAAACGCGGTAGGGTGACAAGGGATGTTTGCCATGTGGCCCATATTATAAGGCACCGTCTCAAGCAAAGGTGAAAGGGAAAACGAGAGAATGTTTCACAACATTATGAATTAATCATTAATGGTGCCCAAAAACGGTTGCGTGCTCGTCGCGCAGAAACAGCCACTGAAGAAAACTCCATATCCACAGCAAACGCCTGGCTCGACTGTGACTGGGGCAAGAAGTGCCTATCCTGAAGTATTTGTCGTCACCAGACGGCCCTATTCAACGCAAGCTAAAGGAGTAGCAAATGAGGAGTGAAAAAGGAAAGAAGAAGGAGCCAAATTGCCAAGTCGGGGGGGAATCATGGAGTGATGAAGAACTATGAAACAGCAATCGCCGCCACTAGGGCGTCAAGAGCACTGCTGTGGGACGGCCCCGTAGCGGCGACGTAGGGGCCGGTCCAGGCAGGGCCGAGCTTGTTCTGGCTATTGCGGTCGTTGTTCCAGATGGACTGGGCGTTGCGGAGGATGAATTTTCTGAACGTGTCGCTTGGGGCCAGCTCGTTGAGATAACGCAGGTTGCGGATGAAGGCACCCTTGAACTGCTGGCCGTCCAAGCCGCAGTTGCCGGGCTTGAGCTCGCACTTGTCAGCCTCGACGAGGATACCGTTAGAGTCGGACAGGGCGTTGATGGCAGCGTTGGCAATGGCAGAAGCAGTCGTCAGGAGAGACTTGTCTCCCGTGGCCTTGTAGAGCTCGCTGAGACCGCCGAGGATAACGCCCTGGTTGTAGGACCAGGTGGTCAGGCCGTTGTTCTTGCAGTTGGAGTCGAGGCCGTCGTTGATGAGGTTGTTGGAGTTGATCATGCCGCTGTTCTTGAAGAACTGCCACTGCGCAGTGGCAATGTTGAGGTACGTGGCATTGGAGGGCACACGGTTGGCAAGGGAGGCGGCGACAGAAAGGTACAGCTCGTTGGCGATGGCGTTGACGTAGGTGCGGTCCTTGCTCCAGTAGATGCCGCCGCAAGGGGTTCCCAGGCCGGTCTGCATGTCATTGAAGATTTCGATAGCCGAGTTGAGGTAGTCCTGGTCACCGGTGGCGTCGTGGGCATGGAGCAAGGCGAGAGCCCACCATCCTTCATCATCATAAAATTCATCGATGAAGTTGGCAAACCCTCGTTTCGAGAGGCTGGTGGGCAGGGTGGCCGCAAACGAGGCTGAGCATCCTCTTCCATTGATGCAGTGGAGAGTCTGGGGAAGGCCCGCAGAGTTGACGAACTTGGCAACGGAAACGCTCACCACCTGGGCCTGAGCGTAGGTGTTGCGAAGGAAGCCGCCAACATTGAGCTGGTTGGCCTCATCCAGGCGCAGCAGAGCAAAGTCAGACAATGTGGTGAAGGCATTGGCGCTGTTCCACCAGGCACCGTTCCAGAGACCAGTCTCGACATCGTACCAGGCGTTGTTCAGCTCCCGAATGGCCGTGACGGAGTTGGCGACATAGTTTGTAGCTGAGAGAGAAGTAGAAGGAGCGGCATAGGTGGGGTGAAGGAGCGACGAAAGGATGGCCGAGTAGGCTAAAGTATGCCTCCAGATCCAGCTAGGGAGGGCCATGATGTAAAGAATGTTGTTACCGTGAGAAGAGAAAGGGGACTGTTCCAGCTGAGAAGCCGGTAGTTGCGTCTTATAAGAGAAATGAGCGGAAGGGTTAGCAAATGGGGGGGAAGAAGAAGGGGAGGGAGAAGAAGAGAAAGAGGATACCGGAACATCAGGAAGAGCTGCATCGAAGCCGGGGCCGTGGGCTGTTAATAAAGCAAATGCTAACAGGCTGGAGACGAACAAGGCAATGGATAGAAACACGAGTACCGAGCAAAGCTTGTGAATCAGGGATGCGAGGGAGCTCCGTGGCGGGTCCGGACGAAGCTTTGCACTGGCAGATGAAGAAGGGCCAGGGGGCAGGGGTCCGGATTTGGATCCACGATGGTGATAGCTTGGCGGCTCGGCATGCCTGCCGCGATTCTTTTCGGCCTGGCAATCCGCCGCGTAGCTAGAGCTGCATGAAACTGGTTAGCAGCAGCAATGGGTTCAGGCTTCACCATGTGCCCCTTCATCAACCATTGCGATATCGTACAAGCATGCTTGTTGGCCGCCTGTACCGTCGCCAGCGGTTGCCATTTGCTGGGACGGCGTCAGGGGCACACAGGATTCAGGGCCCGGCGAGCCAGGCACTGTGGCGTCCAGGCCGATGGTGGCTTCACAGCGGCCGAGCCATGCCGCAGCATCGGCAGTGGCGTTTCGGAGGGGCATCTTCGATGATGATGTGACCGTGACCGCAACCGCAGCTTGTTATGCGTGCAGCGCTTTGTCCGCTGCCCGTTTGCGGTCTATCTTCTGGTGTTGCTGCTCTCGTATGAGACAACGCGGGGCCTGGTGCCAAGAGCCTCTTAGACGACGGGCAATAAGCGCTACCAGGTTCAATGAGAATGAGCCTTTCACAGAGTTGAGGCCTCAAGTGGCACGATTGGACTGGATTGTTTTTTGCCTTTCTTTCGGTGTGTCTCTGTCTCCCTCTCTTCCGTGTGTAAGATGTAAGACAAGGCGCTGTTTAGCTCCGGCCGGCGCATAGATTAGATCAGGGCGATATGCTGTGGGCTGGTGGCCCATTATTTAAGCTGGATCTAGTCGGTAGCACTCGATGCAAAGTGCGTGGTGTGTAGGAGGAAGTCCGTTGAGGGGGTTGCGTGGCAGCTGATCGACGCCGATCTGCTGTGGGAGAGCATCACGAGGATCGGCATCTCGCACGGTATAAGGTCGAATCGGTGAGGAGAGTCGTATCAGAAGCTCACGCGATGAGGCTTGAATGGAGGAAGGGAAGTTGAAGACGGAAAAGACAGAATAAGGTAAGGTATCAAGCAATGGAAATGCATTATGTAAGGTTGCGGGAGCGAGCCTCGTTGAGGAAGCTACACAGGCGTGGTCTTGCCGTGTATGACCGTGTAAGAGAGAGAAAAAGGCGGTCTCTCTTGAGGCAGTCACGTCACGGCCACCGTGCTTGCTTCTTCACAAGTGATGTGCTCTGTAGGTAAGGTATGAGTAATTGACGCTGCACTCCATGATGTCACAAACACCACAATGATTTAATTGAGTTCTTTTCCCTCTATCCCTCCTCCTCCTCGGTTACAACCTTTGATCACTTCTTGTCCGGGCAACATCAGCTCGTATACAAGCTTCATCATTATTCCACACTTTGTCACATCTCGATATTGATCTGCGTGACCATGACGCTGCCCTCCAGCTCAATCTGCTTTCCTCTTCAATTCACCCACGCGACCTCGCCGATATCGTTGGTGGTGCTGGCATTGGCATCTCGCATCTCACCAGCAGTGATACAATGATACACCCTCGCGGAGCCACGAGACTTGCAGTTTGCCTCCATCTCCGCATACTACCTACCCCTCATTCACGGGCCTCGCGTGCCTTTTCCCTTCTCCCTTCCTATGCCCGGGTCTGGATGTCTGACTACCGTCTGCGGGACACGCAATCCAGAGCGATGGGCGGAGCAAGCTGATGTGTCTCAAACTTGGGGTTGAGGTATGTACAAACGTTGAATGAGGAAAGACAATGAATGCAGTCATTTCCTTTCACATTTGTCTTGTATTTTGTCTCTCTATCTTCTTTGACACCAGGGTAACAGCAGACACAGCTTCGAACTCGTCAACAGCCCTTTCATACCAAGGCATTGCGATACTAATTGGGCACTCATCGTAACCACATGCGGCGGCACATGGCATCCGCCACAACACCCATATTCTAGAAAAGCTGCCGAAACCAGGTTGCTGTCGATCACACGACGCTTCCACACTTGTCAAAGAGAACAAGACAAAACTACAAGCAATGACTGCTGACAACCATGAACAGCGCATGTTGGCCGCTGAATGAAACGTAGGATATAGAAGCGTGCGCACCTATGTGCCTGTTTCCTTCTGCGCAACACAACCCCTCTGTGAACCGAGCACGACATGAAGAGACGCATGGCCAGTTGAACACGAGAAACAAAGCAGCACGACACGAGCTCCTGCCCCCTTTTCCGTTATACGCCCGGATCCGACAGGCGCCCTTAAGATGTGAGACCAAATGACTGCTTTCAGCTGTGGTGATACCAGGCAGCCATCTTCTCTTTGTCGAAAATTGTCGAAAACATAGAGCCAACAATCGAAGCATGCTGCGAACAGCCGTCACCACCTCCAAGCCTCACTCAACTCGCAATGCCGCGGCACGACTCTGCTGACAATCCCACAGTTGCCGCCCTCGACTCCAGTGCGCAACTTCACACCGAGCACGCACGCACAGCAATTTACCCCAGCACTGCCGCCCATCTCCATCTGTCAGCACCGAATCGCCAAACTGGTGGATCAACCACCTGAAAAAATTGCCCTGGATCTCGAAAAAAAAGCCCAGCGCTTAAAAATGGAAAATTCCCCGGAGGACCAAATACTAAAACCCCAGACAGGACTAAATTTAGCCCCCTTGTTTCCTCTTCCGTTCTCGTACCTGCAACAGACAAGAAACAAGGGGCTCTTCTAGATTCCAGGCTGGCGCCCCCCCATTATCTTCAGGGCATTGACGCCTGTGTCCTTTCATTTCCAGGAACTGGGCAGCAACAAGGGAACAGCCGTCTCCTACCCCTGCACCTGCCAATCAACGACACGGTTGTCGATTTTTTTTTTGCTCGCCTAACGTCCTTATTGATCCCTTTCGGGCATGCTTGTCGCTTTCGCCTGGACGAGAGAATTTTGTTTGAATAAACGTGAAGGGCAATGGTTCATTCGCGCACCTCGTTAATGAGCTATGCCACGGACGCACGGATGCACTACCACCAATTCGCCCGTCCGTCCAGCCAAGCAGAGAGCTGAATAACAGTATTGGCCAAAGGCTGTGAACATGTAATACTATGCCTGGCCCCAATCTCCCCTTTGAAGCTCGGAGAACGAATCGTTGCCTCTATTGTGCAAATTGGTGAGAAGACGAGCCAAGCACTGCAGACGCCGTGTCTTCGGACTCGATGCCCTGTTGGGGGTGGGAGACGCATACAATACTTGGATGAATACCGACTAAAGCATCACAACACAAAGCTGCAATCTGCCGAGTAATGACGAAATCTTACAGGAGTGGCGCATGCTATCTCTGCCTCTTTGTCGTTCGAGCACAGGAAGGATTGGCGAGATGTAGTACATTACTTGCGGTCAATCGATATACAGATCAAATCCCATACCTAGACATGACTAAAAAGTATGCGGCCGAGATAGCACAAATTGTCTTCAGCGATAACGCTCAGGACACTTTCCACATCTCTGAGTTGCAGAGTAAATGATAGACAGGAGTGAAATAGACGAGAAGAAGATCATAACCACAATGTGCCCACGGCGCCCAGAAACAACCTCCCATAGTACTCCCAATATTCCCCTTTTGCGGAGCGATATCAAATACATGTTCCACAAAGCGAGGAGACTTCGTAGAGAGTCGGTGTCGCAAGCCCCTCAACGCCCGCTATATTATTCCATATTCTGTTGGCGCCCAAGATTTCAGATTCATCGCATAAGACCTGTGGTTGCTGTAGTGGTTGGGTGTTCTCGACCATTCAGTACTCCCGCGATCGACGCAGGCTTCGTGAGTGCCCAAAAACTGACCTCTCGCCGCTGCTCGTCGATCCGGCGACACTTGCTGGCCGCCCGCTCATGGTGCGTGTGGGAAACTTGGATAGAATGGCAGTCGACTTGTTCTTTTCGTTACTGAGAATACTGGCGCGGTCCGAGCTGATGACCGACGCAATCTCTTGCAGCGAGTTCGAGTCGAGGAACGCTTGGGGAAAGACACCCCATTTGCCCTTTGCATTGGTGCCTGCCCAGCACCAGTACTCAGGATAGGACCCTGAGCCTCCTGTTAGCTGCCTTGATCCAGACTGCGTTATTCGGAGACGGTACTGCGACTTACAAGTAATGTTGCTGATAACCTCGTCCTTGTCAAACTTTAGCCAGTCCTCGTTCTTTTCCTTTGGTGCAAACTTCCACTTGGCCTTGGCCCGAATGCGGCTCGTAGCGTTTCTCTTGATATGGCCAAAAGGAGGGCGATCCAACTTGATGATGTCAGTTGGAATCGATGCGTGAACGCCGTCATGCCAACCGAAAGCCCATTCTCCGTTATATCGAGCGGGCCACGTAATGCCGGTGATCTTCGCGCCTTGGATAAACTCCAAGGCTGGAGTTCTGTCAGGTAACAGTCTCTGGCCGAAAAGTCTTCGGGCTGACTCCTTTGCATGGGCGGTAGGAAGATGGGCAATCTCTGCAGCTCTTTCGCGCACCGGATGAGGTTCCGGGGGGTTCATGAAGAACAGATCGTAGTCGTTGATTAGGTGAGGCGGTATCTCAGTTTGGTCCACCACGGAGATGCCAGGGACGTCTGGGAGTGGCCGAGGATGCCGGGCTAAGTGGCTGAACAACGCAGCTGTCGACGTGAAGACAGTGGCGTCGCTCTGGTCCAAGGTCTGGCTGGTGTGGATACAGAAAACGCAGGCATACATGATATCGTCAACCCGCTTGGCGTGCAAGTGACTCTTTTGCAAGAAGCGCAATCGATAGCCGACACCGTGTTTGGTGTAGTTTCCCTCGTCTAGATACGCAAGTTAGACATTTGATATCGGAACTTGCCCTTTTGATGCAATTCTGCTCGTCCGGATGATAGCGCGGCTTGTAATGGACATACCTTGCTTATTGATATCATATTCGAGGTGCTTAAAATCGAGCTCATACAAACAATGTGTGCATTTAGCAACAACGGCCGTCATCGAGAAACCCTATAACAATTGAGTTAGCAAGCAATCCAGCTACAAGAGGGAGGGAGTACAACCACGGGTTTCTTCTGCCTCTTTACGCCTACTCCCCCGTTGATCACGTCTGTGGCACCCGCACAGAATTGCTTTTGCAAGTAAAAGGAGCTCAAGTTGTCGATGGAGAGGTCTTGTGGTGGCAGATTCGCCAGGACAGCTCCTGGGACGGAGGGGTCTACCGGAATCAAACCGCTGTCTATACCGGCGGCCAGGCCTGTGTTGTGGCGAACAAGCTCAAGCCCTGGTTGAGGAGGCTGCTGCTGCTGCTGCTGCTGCTGCTGCTGCTGCTGCTGCTGCTGCTGTGGCAGTGGTTGCTGTTGTTGCTGTGCGGTAGCTGAGAAGCCTCTATCGGTAACGGATCCCTTGCTGCTGATTGGGAGAGGGTCCGGATCAATCAAGCTCTCGGCGTCTGCCGACATTCTTCGATCTGACGGTTTCTGCACAGCGTCGTTCACTGAATTGCTCCTGCAAATTGTCTTTGCATCATCCATGCTCTCCTCCGAGGAGGCGGGCTGCGATGGCTGGCGCAGACGCTTCGCTCTGTACGGCATTGGCGAATACATGGCGGGCGCGGGACGTTGTCGTGAGGAGCTCCTCGATCTCATATCCTTGGTCCGCCTCATTTCTTCCGGTATGGTCGGGGTGCTGCTGCTGTAGGTGGTGGCACTATGGTTGCTAGGTGCTCGGGGTCGCAAAGACTGCGTAGGGCTCATGCTGAAATTTGAAAACTGGCTGCTGAGGGTGCTCTGAGATGAATGCTTCTCGTCTGATTCGGGCGGGTATTCCTGTAGTAGTCCAGAGCTGCGAGGGGTGTCTGGATAGTTGGGACGTGGTATTGAAAAGTTCCTCGAAGTGGTGAATGGGCTGATCGGTGAGGTTCCTTCGACCGGTGTCAGAAGTGGTGGCTCTACAGGCGGTCTCCGGCGTGTGAGAGGTGCATCGCGCGGCCGTTCATCGTCGGAAGCAACAGTCTTGACCCTTATGTCCCAGGGATTCGTTGATGGTGGCCTAGGTGGGAGCTGTTCCACTGCCGCCGGCGGCCGAGGAGGTGGTAGAGGCAGCCCCCTGTCTGGAGGTGGCATTGGGGGTGGCTGAGATAACAGGTTGAGGCCGTTATGCTCACTGTTGAATGCCTTGTCAAGCATGACGCTCAATTGCTCGTTGGCATTCTCAACTGGCGCTGTATCTATGGCAGACCTGTTGTCTGTCCTGGAACTTGACACGGAGTCTCTGCCAGCGGAGCTTGCACCGGCGATCGAAGGTGGTGCCGTGGGCATTGGTGGCATCAGCGTGGGCGGCGTGGGATGCGGCGAAGACGGGGGCGATAGTTGCGACATGAAGTGCTCTTGGCTGAAATGAGTCGGCGGCTCAAGCTTCATCTTCAGTAGGATATCGTAGATTTTGGGCGCGGCTGTCCGTGACATCATTTGAAGCTCAGTGAACTTGTCGGCATCGAAGTCGTCGGCTTCGATATAGTCGTCAAACTCCCACAACAGCTCTGTAAGCTGAACTCTGAATTGGGCAATGGCCTCTGTATGTTTCGTACAATCTCAGCTTCCATCGGCCTGCAAGCGGATGGGGTCCATCAAAGTGACTGGGGAAGCTTACCATTGTCTTTTACCGCTTCGACGAAATTTGGCCCAAAGTCGTCAAAGTGTTTCTTGCATAACGGCTCTATCTTCTTGAGGGCTCGCTCGCCTTCTTTGAGCAGAGCCTGGGAGGCCTTGAGCATGGGCTGTGTGTCGCCCGCATTCTGAACAGCCGTCCTCCCCTTGTCAACGATGTCCTTGAACGGGGTCAGGATGAGGTCGACAATGTCCTCCATGGTTGCTATCCAGGGCACGAGTTCTCAGACGAGCAGTGTCGATACGCCGGCGGGGCGAGTGACGGGGGGGTTTTGTATGATGACGACAACCTCGACACAGCAGACTCGCTAGGAGTCGGGTCCGTACAACACGTGCGGTGCCAAGCGTAAACCGACTCGAGAAAGTAGGTGGCGGAGATTAAAAGAGGATAACAACTGCTATAGCAAGCCGATAGTCCACGTCGGCTTGGTTGCTAGGCGTGGCGGTCATAAATCAGGGTCCCGGACCGAGAGCCTTGCCGCATGAGACTAATCAGTGAGCGTTGAAAGTGAAGCGTATCAGAATGGTACAGCCCAGGCTTGCTCTTCGAGATGTGCAGGTGCTTTGTGGAATAGCGAATGAACGGATGAGGAGAATGCGATCCAACGTAGGACGAGGGAAAGGAAAAGGGAAAGCGGTGATTGGAAAGGGACAATGGGTAGAAGAGAAAGAAAAAGAAGAAATCCCTGGAGCCTGAAGGAGTGCCAGGAGGAGAGGCGAATGTACATTATGAAAGAGCTGAAAAGCAGCAGCACTTGGGGAGCAGTCCTAGTCTCAAGGCTGAATGATGGATGCCAAGGGTTCCGGAGCCAGATCTTGGCCTTGGCTGCAGCCACCCAGGCGTCGATATAGCATCCTTGGTGCTTGGTCCATGCCCATGGACTACTAGATTTGTGACACTTCAAGGCTGCAAGTACTGGTTCATCCACAGCACTTGGGCCCGTTGCTGTATTCGCTCAATGGACAGGTACCCGCCTGGAGCCAAATGGTGCATGCAACCGGCTCGATTATGGGACGGTGACCTCTTGTCCAACCACATCTCGCCACTGTACAGTTGGTAGGTGACATGCTCGTATGCCGAGCAGGCGACGTCCAAGTCCTTTGCTGAGAGTTGCTCCGTCTGGGCAGCTGCGCAGAAGCGCAAAGGGAATCCATCGACCGAGGGCCAGCCAGGGGATGCTGCCCGGCCTATGAGTGCCTGGACAAAGTGCCCTGGGGGCTTAGAAGCACGAGGGCAGCGTCGATTGGACAAGGCTTCGCAATTATCGCGGGTGGGCTGATTCGGAAGAGGGCTGTCTAGTGTCACGATCCTGCCTGGACCCTTGTTCGCTCGGAGTCGTTCACAGAGCCCGGGACCCTGGACGCCCTGTCCACGTTGCGCAAAGGCCGGCTTGCATTGGTGGGAGCTGTCAAAGAGGCGCTTGTTCGGGATTAGTGGGCTGGCGCCGGTAGCTTGACAACGCGCATCATGGGGAGCCGGGGCTGCGGCAGCCTCACGTTTTCGAGCCATCGACTATTGCTAGCTCGCTCATCTGCAGACCAGGGGTAGCCATTGCGGATACCCTTTCCCCTCTTTGGAGCTTCTTTGCTGGAGCGGCCACCCGTATCGTACGAAGCATTGATATGTAGACTGGTCATGGAGCTGCCTTTTCTTCGTCAGTTCGAGCCGGACCAGTAAGTCATAGTACCTGGTAGTGATAGGCATGGCACCACATGTGGAGATGGATGCTGTATCCATATGCACTCGTCGTTCGTGCGTGGATGAGATAGAGCTGCCGGAAGTATGTACACTGTCAGTGGGTTCGTGCATACAGTACAGTCTGCGTTTGCGACTCGTCTCGTCCCGTCCTGAGTTGCCTGTTCCAACATGGCATTACCACTCACCGGTAACTGGCTGGCCCAAGCCGCAAGACCATTCTCGGTGACTGCTCGTATTCTAGCGTCTAATGTGAAGCCTCCAGTGGCGTCGGCGGTTCTTTATCTTCGTTTTGGCTTTGATGCCATCGGGAAGATCTGGCACAACGGCGCGGTGTCGCAAACGGCAAAGGCTTCAATAGCTCTCGACGGGGGTGTGCGGCTGCCCCAATCAGCCGCAGGGGCGCCGCTGAGCGTCGGATATCCTCTGTCGAGGCTCGTTCCCTGCTGTATTTTTTTTCACGTTCAAGTCGTCCAGCGATGTCCTTTTCACCGCCACCCCTTTGTTCTGAGACTGGCTCCTGGATTGTGGCGAGGCTAACGATGGGAATCCGTGAGTGAAGTGAAGATTGGGGAAGAGAAACAAGCGTAGGTTGACAAAGCATTGTTGGGAAAAAGAGGCGAAAGGCAAGAGGTACCCGCCCGACGTGACAGAAGGAAGGAAGTTGATTCTGTTGCCGAGGGCAAGTGCTATCAGCTATCAGTATGAGCCCTACACGACACTGCTTCATCACCAATCGAGGCCCTGGAGCTTGGCCATCGGCAGATTGGAGGCCAATTGACTCGCCATAGCTCAATTCGACCATTGGAGACGCCAAAATTCATGAACTAAATCTGAAAAATTCATGTGAATGCTTCATTCGAAGTCGCAGCACAGGCAACACACACACACACACACACACACACACACACACACACACACACACACACACACACACACACACACACACACACACACAACGATGAGCACGACCGTCCCATGAACCCGCCACACAACGGTAACGTTTCGACCACAGATAGTTACCTAGTGATAACTCATATTACCATGCTCGCGCTCCCCTCTGGCCGGCCTGCTTCTCTGCTCCATGTTCTGCCGTTTGCCCCTGACCGCCGAGAGCGACTGGAGGCACGTTTCGTCACATTCCAGTCATTACTTACACATTAGCTCGAACAGGCGTTGCTCATGCGCGATGCTCACAGTAAGAACTGGGGAAATATTACACCGAGATCATATGTGCAATGTTTGCGCACTCCATGTGGTCTTTTGCATGAGGGAATGCACCGAGAGTCCCAATGCCTCATCACACTGGAAAACTCAAATCATACCTACAAGACGACGAGGCGAACCTCCTAATCCTACGTGTGCAGTCACAGTCACAGGATACCTAGTAGATAGTTGTACTAGATCCTCCAAGTCTGTACCTTGCATGCTCCCACATGTAGTCCAGCCCCCCCCCCATGTCTTACCAACCCGTGTGTCGTTCGCAGGAAGTGGTCTCGATCATACCTCTTGGGGAGCATGCTGGACACCACCACCCAGTCGGCTACGCTTCCTTCATGCGGGTTAGCCACCATTATCAGCCAGGGTTCTCGGCCGCGTCCAGGGTCTCATCGGAAAGGCTGGCCGGGGTCCGGAGAGGTCGGGCCGGACTCTGTTCGCACATGCACCTCTCATGGCCCTGGACGTCGTGTGATGTTTAGCAGCGATCCAGTGCTCGTTTCCCGTTCAGCAGCCTTACCACTTCTGTCCTCGGAGTGAGACTTCCTAACGGCAAGAAGTGGCGGCTTTCCAATGAGCTAAAATGGGGAAAATTGAATGCGTGTACTCCATGAACATGATATGGAGCTTAAGGCACACACGTGTCGAAGAACCTTAAGGTGGGTAGCTTGCTCGCTACACTGAGGCTATCGTAACTTCATACAGGTGACGACTACGACACTTGCTTAAGTATCCAAAGCCATCATTTCCCCTGATATGTCAAAGATATCTCCATGTCCGACCCATCTCTCAGCCTTGAGCAGTGGTTCGAAGCGAGAGCCACCGATTTAGATACACTTACACCGGCGGTAGAGTCAATGCGGTCACCTGAAGTATATGTATGATTCCACTGAGTCGCGAAGCATACTTCAAAGTACAATTGAACACTTACATTTCGGCATAGCCCATATCTGTAAGGCAGATGTAACTCCCGTCCTTTATCAATCGCCCAACTGAAGCCAGTATCATCCAGCACATTCAACTGTCACCAATTTCAGTACACGGAGAAAGTGGCTTGCTAGGTACACTTCCCCATCTCTCTACATAGTAGATATCTCCAATCGTCACGGTTGCCCGTGCGCACCATGTATCTGTACACGTTGTCTGAATCCAACCATGAGGTCTCCGCTCTTTATGAGATCGTCACACGAGATTTCCAACATATGGATTGTGGATAAACTCCCAAGGAATTAAGGCCCTCTGCAGAATCACACATCCCCCAGGATCAGATTTTCCTGACATCATCGAGCACGAAATCCAGCTCTACATTTCTTGGGTGATGATATCTATATCCCGTATGCCAATACTTACCAACCACGTGTATTGATTGATGCAGCTCGGATGCCTTATCCAACCTATTGTTATGTGAATATGTACGGACGCCATCTCATCACATCAAACCTCCATTGCATCACATATGCATCCAAAACGCACCCAAAAAGTCGGTGACAACTATTCTCTTGCCTCATATACCGCCTCAAATCAAAAGAAATCCCACCTTCCTTCTCATCAAGAGCAAGATGAAAATCACCAAGTCTGCCGGCACCAGAGATCGCTATACAAAAGATCACTTCCTAGTCTGTGCTCCAATGTGGCGGAAACGACGAGAGATATAAATATTTGCCTCCCCCCATTATCCCCAAGTCCTACAAATCCTCTAGCTGCTTCAAATTCTTCTGCTAATCAGTCGTAGTCTAATCCGTATTGTCCACACTCTCTGCCGATCCGATCTGTCTGTGAATGCATGTTGATGCTGGTTCAAAGTTGTTTGCTCGCGCACCTTTTCTTCCCCGCCTCCGCCTCGTGACCAATCGCCTTGTTGGGCAGAGAGATGGCGCATGGCTTGCCGCACGGGCTTCCTATTGTTCAAGAGGACCTAAACGCGCCGTTCCCCCCTCCTTCTTGTCTGATGACTGTCCTTGGTGGAGGGGGCGTCACTTTGGGCCGAGGGAGGGTGTGCATTCACTTACACCGCATTCATCGTCCAAAGTCCAGCGGCCAACGCCAACGAGAACACGATCAGATCCCGTCATTCCACAGGTGAGGCCATGCCGATGAAAGCATGGCATGGCATGGTATGGCATGGCACAGCAACTACACTGATACGAGTCGGGCACGAACTACGAAATAGACTCATCGCTTGCATAGGGAGACTCTGCGCCGTTCGAGAACGATCTATTCAGCTGCTATCCAGACTCAGTTTCCGATCCCTAATCCGTAAGTCCTTGACGAACCATCAGATAAACAACCACACCCGTAATCAAACAACTGACCCCCGGCTCCCGCCTCCCGGCTTCCGTCTTCCGTATCGGTCGCGAGCTCTGAAGCACGTGTTGCTGCTTCGACATCGCCGGCCCCACCTTCAGCAGCCTCCACATTGTCCCTTGCTCCCACGCTCGAGAGGGTTCTCGGTATCGTAACGGGGCATATCCCCATGTTCAGAGCCAATAGTGAACATTAGTCCGTTCGGCAGCGCAGTGTATGAGTGATCCGTAGCTCCTCTGCTGTACGACGGCTGCAGAACGTAAAGCAGCCCCCCCACACCGGTTAGATTAACGCAGATGCCCCTTATGCAGGTTCATCAGCCTCAAGACCGACCACTAGTCTGCTCTGCGATCAATTTCCGTCCGACCAAGATTGTGTCCTGCATGCCCCGTTGGCGCTGCCAGAACCTGTGAACCGTGTCAGCCACAACTGAGAGTCGCCTCGACTGGGTATAGCGAATCTGTCCAAGAGCCAAGCCGCCGATGTGATACGAAGCTGCTTACCTTTCTTCGGGTGTTCCATGCCCATGAAGTGAGGCCAGCCGAGCCTCCTCCTCCAGGGTCTCTCTCGTGATCTGCTCCGTCTTCTCAGCCCCTGGAACAGCGACGGTAGCCTTTTCGCTCGAAACGTGACCGACTGTCTCCTCCAGAAGCTTCTTCTTCAATTGGAAGCGCTCCTTGCGCTCTCGCTGGAGACCGGGGCTCTCCACCTTGCCCATGACAGTCCTCACGGCGAGTTGAGCTGCAAAATAGAGATGTTCAGCCAGGAGGATGCTGAGGAGAGCTCCACCTGCAGTGATGTAGGATCCGGAACCAGCTTGCCTGTCTCCGCTGCAGAGGTAAACGATGGCAGCGCTGGTGATGCTACCTAGCCACGACAGGAAGCCCAGAGCAGTCAGCCATGGTCCGATGGAGTCAGCTCGCCACGGGATGGGTCTGCGACAGCCGATAATAATCTTCAAGGCGTCAGATCGAAGTTCGATCCAGTTGTTGATGAGGAAGAAGCAGGCTGTCAGAGGCCACGAAACAGAGAAGAGAGACAGATAGCCTGATTCTCGTTAGTGGCGTTTCACTGGGAGTACAGAACAGTCAACTCACCAAATTGCATTATCATCTCACGGTAATCAGCAGTGACATCATAGTCTTCCAAGCCAGCTTGATTGCGCACACGTTTCAGGAAGTCAGCTTCGTCAGGTTGATCGTTGGTCTTGACCGCGTCTTTCTCTGAGAGTTCCTTGGCCTTGACAGTGGCCTTGTGCTTGACGTAGGGCACGACGACTTCGGTGAGGAAATTGATGATCTGAGCGGTGACCGTGGTGAAGTACATCTGGTTAGCAATCCGCTGAGGGTTCGATTCGAACTGGCTGGTCGTCATTGGTTTCTCGCTCATCGTGAGTGTCTGTGCCGTCTTGCCCCAGAAATTGAGCAACGGGTGCAGGACATGGCCGAAGGGGATGTAGACAAAAGCCGTGAAGATCAAGGCCATATAAGATGTCATGAAGTTGAGTACGAACTGCTTCTGGACCAGAGCAGCGTGGTGCGCTTGGGGAGAATTCTCATTAGTTGCAGCCCAAAGTGACAGCTTGGCTTGTCTTTGAAAGTAAGGTAGCTTACCATCCAGAGTGTCATAGTTTTCCATGTCCGTCAGCCTTTTGGCAGCTGTCATGAGAATGGTGGAAAAGGTCGGCGTCAGAACAACAAGCAAGATGGTGGGAAGGAAACCCTATCACGCAACAGTCAATGTTTGTCCCCAAGGAATGAAATGGGTACTTCAAAGTCCTCAATAAACTCACCAAATACTGCTTTCCTGGACCACCATACACTTCGTTGATGTAAATCTCGAGAGAATTGACCGTAGCGACCAGCCCACCAAGTACAACAATACAGACGAGCGCAAAGGGGATCTGGAGGAGCTGGGTCTGTAGCCGCTTGGCAGGTGGATAAACCTTTACTGGCTCTCCCGTGACTGAATCTTCCATCTCAAACTCCCACTTAAACTCTGGGCGGTGGTGCTGTATCTTTGAAACGCCACGAACACCCCAGGTGACGGCCAAGTCGGCTTCCTTACGCTTCCAATACTCGAAGAAGACGACGGACCAGAGACAGCTGCAGATGGCGTAAAACGTGGAGAATTGGCCCATCAGCATCCATGCGGCAAAGCCCACAGCCGCGGGGAATATCTGGAAGCGGAGGTAGTCCATGAGAAATGCAAAGTAAAAGGCAACGCCCTCACCAAACCGGTCTCGAATTTCGTCTAGATCGGATTGCTCCAGGACATACTTCTTGCTCCACTTGTGCAGCCATTCCTTGTTGAAGGCGTTGTCGTGAAGCGGGAAGATGGCCTCGACATACTTCCACTGCCCTTGGCCTGGAGTGATGCCTGCGCCGCCTTCATTTCGAGAGTTGGAGATGAGAAGATAGACGAGCCGGAGTCTCTCGGCTTCAGTCACGGGTTCGTCCTGAATTGCCTTTGCAATGTCGTTGCCTGGACCGGAGATGCGAACGCCCTGCAGCCAGTCCTGGAGGCGAGAGCTGTAGGCCTGCTGGGCCAAAAGGTCGTTGGAGGCAAGCCTGGTGAAGACGAGGAGAGAGTCCTTTTCGCCGTTGCGAACGGCCGTAGTGAGGCCGATGTTTGTGAGGGCTTCAATGAGCTGGACAAAGGCAGCCTCTGCTTTGGCTTTCTCTAGAGGTGTGTAAGCGATGGAGTACAGAACAATTCGGAAGGGGTGAAGCTGACTAGGTACCTACCTTTGGGTGGTATCCGGTAGTGAATCACATAATCAACCCTGGCGAGCTGTTAGCGAGATGGTCAGGGATCGTAGGGAGATCGTAGAGAGATCGTAGGTGAGGACGGCAGATCTCAAGCAGATGCTTACCCAAAGTTGCCCTCACCACCCTGCTCGTCTCCTTTGCCGTACAGCCCCCGCAGGCTCGACATGGTGATGACGTCGGACACGCGGCAGACACGTGCGGTGAGAAGTCAAGGAAGGCTTCGGTATCTTTGCTTTGCAGCAATTGATCGTGCTAAAGAAAAGATGATGCGCGTAAGGTAGTATTTGAGGTGGGCTATAGGAAGTTGGTTGAGTATGAGGACTGAAGAGAGAAGGCGAAAGAGGATGTAATGAGGCAAGATACAGCAGATGCGTGTTCAATCGATAAGGTAAGGTAGGTAAGGAAGCAAGATTGCTCAGGAGCTGGTGTGGGGAACAAAGGGCGAAGACGTCACTGGCCGTGCAGCTGCCCTGATGAGGCTTAGCTTTGGAGAGAACAATGGATGATTTAGAGGACAGCTCAATGTTATGAAGACGAGATGGAAGAAAACGCAATTGAGGGAGAGGGAAGAAGAAGTAGAAATTGAAGAGAAGAGGAAGAACGAGAACAACAAAGAGAAGAGAGGCAAAGACCCTCTCAGCTGAAAATAACCATCGTCATGTGAAGCCATTCTGGCAAGCCATTGACGATCCGCCAGATTTCCGATCAACAGCCTCCAGGAAAAAGCCGGGCTAAGCCTCTCCCGGGAAGGGCTGGCTGTCCGCCAATCAGCACGCAGCATCGACACCATGAGCTCATATGCGTCATCCTCCAGCCTTTCGATCCTGTTCAATTCCTTGATCTTGATAGTCTTCCACTACACCAGCTGAAATACAATCTACACATCAAAATGCCGGCCAATCAGTAGCGATTCTTTTCCAACTGAAGCCATCACCACTCCTGCTCCAGCATGGGCCTGCTCACGTTCCTCGGCCTCCGCCGGGAGAACCAATGGGAGCGCCTCACCCTCCTCGACAAGCTCCTCCTCTCGCCATTGACCTTCATCACCATCAAGCTCTACCACATCCTGCTCTTCCTCCGTGGGCGCCCATTCGTTCCCCCTCGTAACAGACCAGCCATCCGCGTCGTCTGCATCTCCGACACTCACGACCAATTCGTTGATATCCCTCCAGGTGACATTCTCATCCACGCTGGCGACTTGACCAACTCCGGAACCGCTGCAGACATCCAGAAGCAGATCGACTGGCTCAAGAGCCAGCCCCATCAGGTCAAGATTGTCGTTGCTGGAAATCACGACAGCTGGTTCGATACGCGAAGCCGTCTTGACTCGGACGTCAAAGCCGGTGCTACGGTCAACCTGGATGGGCTCCATTATCTCGAGAGCGGCCTGACTGTGCAGGAAGTAAAGGGGCGGAAACTGACTCTGTTTGGCGTGCCCGACGTCCCGGAATGTGGCCCAGACAGCTTTGCGTGAGTTGAAGAGAGAGAGCTCGGTTTTGCGCACATCAAGTACTGACTTGTTGGACATAGGTTCCAGTATAAGCCCACCAATCCCCCGTGGTTCAGCAGAATCCCACCGCAGACTGATATTCTCGTAACTCATTGTCCTCCGGTACGGAACTCCTCATCCTCATTGTCATTTTGGACCTGAGAATCTTAACGTGGTCTTGTGTGTCAGAAACATCACATGGATCTCGGTGTCGGCGACCCTCATCTGCTCCAGGAAGTGTGGCGCGTCAAGCCTCGTCTCCACGTCTTTGGCCACGTTCACTGGGGCTACGGCAAGGAATCCGTCTTCTTTGACGAGATGCAGCTCGCCTACGAGCGGCTGCTCTCTCGCCCGCCGCGAGGTCCCTTTTGGGATTTCGTCCCGAATGCTGCATGGTGGGATCATCTGTACGTGCTGTGGCATGGTGTCCATGCTGTGCTGTGGAAGTGGATTATGGGCGGCCCGGGAAGCAACCAGGGCGGCTGCTTGATGGTGAATGCTGCGCAAATGTATGGGAGCACTGGTAAGGTCAAGAGTAGGGCTATCGTTGTAGATATATAGCACTTGCCACATATACCCTCAAAGATACAATGTCCATTTTTTCCTCATGCCTTTGCAGGGTCAAACGCTCCCGAGTGTCGAACTGTGTCAATTTACCAATTATACCAAACTAAACGCTGCATTCTATACTACCTAGGTAAGAGAACCATCCGATTAATGCCTGTTGGTACAATGCGCACTTTATGCCAATGGGTATCCTGGTATACAAAGGAAATTTTTAGTCTGTTTCCGCATGTCATTGCTGCCGCGATATATGTGTATATATCTCTTAGAGCAAGCCCATGACGACAACCAATATACCTGACCCCATAATGGCAAAGTACCTTCCCACTTCACCGTACACCATCGAGGCTGCTGCAACAAGCACAAACGTGTTGACAGGCGAGTCTGGTGATGTCGACGATGGATGGAAGTGGTTGTTGGTCCCGTTGTGTGCAGGTGGCGGTGGTGGTGGTGGTGGAAGAGGATCGTGATGAGACTGGTCGTAGTCTTCATGCGGAGGCGGTGCTGCATCGTGGTGGAAGTAATCATCATCGTTGTGCTCAGGAGGTGGTGGTGAAGGAGGAGAAGGGGGATCAGAAGGATCAGAAGGAACCCAAGGCTTCGACTCAACAGGGGGCAGCCACGTCGGTATCACGATAGCTTCTTTCGTTGGGGTTCCCTCAGGGCAGTCAACCACCGTCTCCGTCACCGAAACCACAACCTCTGTGATGTCGGGCTTGACCTGTTTCTCTGTTTGAGATTCCTTCCAGTCTCCCCACTGCTCGCTCCAGGCATATCCGTCTCCTCCATCATGCTCCCAGTCACCCCCCTTCCACTTCGAATCATCCTCCTCCGAGACCGGAAAGACAGCCACCTCCTCCACCTCCGTAGCCGTCCCCTCATCCTCACTCTCCCAATTATCCCCTTCGTTCCTCCACGGCCCATTCGACCCGGGCGCCATCGCCGGCGGCTGCTCCGGCTTCTCCTCCGCCACAAAGGCATACACGGTCAGCGCATGCCTCGGCGTCTCATCCGTCACAAACTTCTCCCGCGGCCCATCGTTATCACGAGGCCCGATCAAGCCGCCGCACTGCTCGAGCTTGTTGCCCGGACACTCGCGGTTGCAGAGACCCTCTCTCTTAGCGGCCCTCGTGCCGGCGTCGAGGTCGTCTGCGCAGAAGCAGTGGGAGTCGAAGACGGCGGCGTAGGTCCTGGGGCGGCAGAGCTCGATGCAGGTCTCGAGCGTCATGTCTAGGCTGTCGGCGACTTCGGTGAAGCAGGGGAAGTCGGTGCTGGAGTAGAAGCAGCCGAGGTACGAGTAGTCGTTGATCTTGACGGGGTTGACGGGGGCTCTCGTGGCGACGGGCTCGATGGCTGCGGTTGTGTGGGCGGGAACATGGTCTCTCCAGCCATCGTTGCTGTCAACGTCTTGAGGATCGTGAGGGTGATATCCGGTGGCGTATGCGGTGACGGTCTCTGTCCAGCGCGTCGTCATGGTTGTTGTTGTTACCTGTTCGTTCCGCCAGGAGTCCGGGTCACTTGGATGATCTGGACGGTCCCATTGATCCGGATGGTCTGGCTGATTCCATTCATCTGGCTGATCAGGTTGATCAGGTTGATCAGAATGATGAGGGCGATCTGGGTTCTTCGGGTGGCCTGGATGCGGTCTGTGGCCACCAATACGAAGCTGATAGGCATCGATATACCGGACATCCCAGTAAGCATTCGCAAAGGCCTCTGGATGACTTGCCACATATTCAGGACATGTCGACGCAAACGCATTGCACTGATCCGTGATGCCCCAAACAGCATTACCGTAATCGCCGCAAAAGTTCTGTGCAAGTGTCAGTACATGGCTTCTTCTTCTTCTTCTTCTTCTTCTTCCTCCCCTGCTCTTTGGTAGTCTTCCTCTCATCATATAGAAGAGGAAGAGAGAGAGATATATATAGACTCACAATATTCAGCACCAGCCTCATCCTCTTGAAATACTCATCAACATCACAGCTCTCCCCCCCAAACACCGCAATCGGCAGCCCCCATGTCTCGGGATCCGGCTTCTTCTCCTCAATATCCCGCGGAATCTCCCCCCGCGCGAAATGCCAGATGCGGATATGCACGGAATCCCACTCCATGGCATACACACCTCCGTGAGCGGCATTGAAGCCGTCACCGTACGAAGAAGTGTCCTCCGCCGAGGGATGAAAGCCGCAGCCAATGTTGTTCTCGCCGACGGCGCATTCCGTGTTGATCAGTTGGCCGCTATAGAGGCCGTCGATGGTTGGGCTCTGGGTGCAGCCGTCGGCGGTGTGGGCGGAGAGGATGTTTGTGTGGGCGGTGTTGACGCCCTCGATGATGTCTATTTCGCCGTCGTAGGGCCAGTTGTCGCCATATGTCCAGACTGCGGGCATGTCAAGAGTCAGCTTTGTGTATCTCTTCAAAAGGGCGCTCGCTATACTGGCTCAGGTTAGGTGGTGGTGGTTGGAGTTTGTCGACTTACACGCTGGCCATAAGCCGCAATGCGAGGGCGGCATGTGCAGAAAGTCGGCAATGAACAGGCCGTGATCATACGTCGCCTTGCTCTCGATGCGGATACTCGGCCGGCCTCGGTCAGAGAGCGAATACTCGTTGGTGCTGTCTACGCCTAGTCTGACGACGCCTGATCTCTCGTCGATGCTGTATAGGCCCATGGCTTCGGCATCGCGTCTGCTTTGGTAACTACACACAGGACATGTCCATCAGTCATATGCAACAATAACACATATGGTCTCAGTCAGAAGCACTTACGAAACAAATCCATGAGATGGGTCTACTCCATTGAACCAGTTGAAGCCAGAGAGGAGAGCCTCTCCGGCATACGATGTAGTTAGGTGATACGCCATCTTCACTCCGCTGTTTGCCACAGCTTTCGTAGAAGACGGCTTCTGAGAAGAAGGATAAGATAGGAAAGAAAGGTTGAGTACCAAAAAGAAGACATAAATCACAATATATACCACGCGAATATTCGTAGCAAGATCAAACGCGTCTGGAATGCCATCTCGAGTCTCGATGACTGTCTCCTCCAACTCCGCGTCTAAAGTGAGACAAACCACCACTCTAACGAAACCTCGATCCGGACAGCCATCAACACGCCTTACGACCAGCACTTAAAGACTCATCCATTATTTCCCCGGGAGACCAACGAGTTTCGAAAAGTCTGCGCATTGTCTCGAGCGCAATTAGAAAGGACAAGTCTTAGTCGCCTCGTTGCCAGGCCATCACGACGATGCTTTCGGAATCGCTCACGAGAGCCATTCCAGAGAGTGAGACTTTTGCCAACATTTCTTCGTCAGCTCTTCATTGTTCATGTCAGGCACGAGGCCAACGCTTTCAATGCGTGCCTGGCGAAGGCTTGAACTGAAACAATGCATTTATTCTAGTAGTAGTCTATTCAGCTTCGGTATGTCGCCCAAAAATAACGCCTTGATATGCACCCATCGACTAGTATATCCCAATAATACTATATCCATCTGCATTCGCTTCCCGCTTGCTGAAAATCCTGAGTGTACATTGTTTCCTTAATTATACATCCCGATGATCGCTCGGGCACCAAGCTGTCTTTGTTCTTATCCACCTCTTTATGCTTGTCCTATGATCATCCATCCAACCATCCATTACCAGAACCCATTTACACCATGATCCTTCTCAGACCCTCTGTGCCGCCGAGGACTCGTTTCCCCGTGACGGCACAGCGGCCCTGTCCACTCTCCCACTTGCCTTGTCGATCTTCCATGAATTCCTCCTGCTTGGGGTGCATGCCCTCGATCCATCGGTGGATGCACGTGTAGCAGTAGACGATGCCCGTCTGGCACAGTGTCGGCGTCACGATCTCGCCCTCGCAAATGGGACACAGCGACGAGTCCTCTGGAAACCGAACAACGAAAATGGGCAGCATCGACGGGGTGGCAATCGGCGCCTCCTTTTCTGTAACGGCCTCGTCCTGTTCGTCTTCTTCTCCAGCCTTGTCATCTGTCATCGTCGTCGTCTTCTTCTTCTTTTTGGGCAAGGGAGCCTTTCCAGACACGATCGGGGGAGGCAACTCGATGCTCTCGGCCGCCTTTCGCGACAGCTGCTTTGCAAAGTCCGACTGGTACCACCACTCGAGGAACTTGAGCGCAAAGATACTCAGGGGCAGCAGCATCGACAGGCTGGACATGGCCCTGGACGCCAGCTCCTTGGGCGTCGACAGCAGAGATCGCGGGCCGGGCTTGGCAGCGTTGCTCGCGGCCTCGGACAGCTTCTCAATGGCCTGGTAATCCGCCCCGGTCATCCTCCGTATCCTCGTGCCAATGAGCCACATGAGCGGGTTGTGGTATTTGGTTCGGTCGAACAGGTAGGCCAGGTTAAAGGCCAGCATGGCGAAGCAGTAGGCCGCGTTGACGTGCGGATAGACGTTGCGCAGGAACCATCGGTAGTAGTGCATGAAGCGATCGCGCAGGCTCGGGTTGTCGGGCATTCGCGTGTAGGCGGCGCCCAGCAGCGCCCGCGGCGCGTTGATGTCGTACGACTCGTCGAGCTTGCGCTTGAGGTACGGCACGCCGACGAGGACGGCCAGGTTCTGCCACACGTCCCTGGTGGTGAGCTTGAGCGTCTCGCGGACCAGGTGCGGCGCGGCGAGGCTGGCGCGCGGGATCTCGCCGTGCAGCGCCTTTTCGCGCTTGAGGCCGTAGAAGTTCTCGGTGAAGGAGCCGCCGCGGGTGCGCAGGTAGTGGCGCTCGACGGCCAGCATCAGCAGCGCGTACAGCTCGTCGAAGGAGTTGAGGATGCGCAGCAGGTAGCGCGGGTGCCGGTGCGTGGCCACGGTCAGCAGGTACCGCAGCGTCGGCGGCAGCAGGCTGTTGAGCTGCTGCTCCGACAGCACCTCGAACAGCGACGGCTTCTGGCCGTCAAAGGTGCCCCTGAGCGCCGTGATGAACTCCATGGCGGGCGGCCGGCTAAGCTGAAGCTGCTGAAGCTGCTGCTCCTGCTGCTGGTTTGTGTTGCTGATAGGAGCCGGCTCCCGATGGTTGCCGCCGCCGATGACGACTATGTATCGTCAACTGTATCCGATACCGTAGGAGGTGAGAGTCGTATAGAGCAAAGGACGAAGGGGTTTCGGCCGTCAGGGGTGAAGTAGTATCAACGGGGAGGAGTTGGTGGTGATGATGATGTTGTTGGTGAGGTGAAGATGCTTAGCTGAACAGGTCACACAGCAGGGATGGAGGCTGTAATCTCAATCCGGCTGAACGCTAGAGCCATGTGAAGAAGTGAGCCTCGGCAAAAGTGCCGCCATCAGCCCCGGATTCCCCAGGTTCAATCCACCGACACGACAAGGCGCAACTTCAATGCAGTAACTGAAGCTGTATATATAGTCAAAATTGGAAGAGTACAGAAGCGTCGAGATGAACTAAAGATCGTTGAGCTTGCAGGCAAATGGGCAATTTACCTGCCGCTCTCCAGGGTACCTTATCATACCATCTGATTGTAGGAGTATGAGCTTAAGAACATGGCATGCGCATGCCTCCTGTTGTGACACAAGACGCTCGTCTTTCTCTCGATCGTAGATACTGCCGAGATCTAATTCCTCCCAGTGTAGCAGGATAATCCATTAACTCACGTTGTGCAATGTAGTTCGCAGTCTTTCCGTAAAATTCGATCCATGTATGGACGGGCTGATGCCGCTCACAAGTACTCGCAAACACGCTAACAAGCCGAGGTTCATTCGTCAGTCCGCTTCAGCCCCCATGCCTCAGCACCCAAATCGACACTCTTCATCTCACACATACACTTTCATCCTCCTCACCAGGCATCAATCCACATCGCCATCTCATCCAGGCAGTGCGCTATCAAATCCACACGATATAACACATCATAGTGCTTTCATAGATATCCCGTCCCATCTATACCGGCACATTGCAGCACCTCAAGATCGAGCCAGCAGGCACCGCAGCTCAACCACATCAGACAACACACCCTCACACATATCCGCCTTATACACACCATCCGCGCCCGCCCTCAAGATGAGCAAGGACAAAGAAGTGCCCCATGAGGACACCGATCTCGGACAAGTCCAAGCCTGGTTCGACCTCTTCTCCCAACGAGACCAAAAGGTAGGTATCCCACCTCAAAAACATCAACACCGTCACCATCACCATCCCTTCCTCCATCTCACAAACACCCCCTATAAAAACCCCATTTAAACAATAAAGCTGACTATCAAACCCAAGGGCTGGATGCACCACCTCCTACCGCACATCAAAATCCTCTCCGCCTCATCCCTCCCCACCCCCACCATCACCTTCTCCTTCACCGTCGACCCCTCTCACGCAAACGGCTTCGCCAACCTCCACGGAGGCGCCGCCGCCTCCCTGCTCGACTTCTGCACCACCCTGCTCCTCACCCTCGTCTGCAAGCCCGGCTTCTGGCAGACCATGGGCGTCAGCCGCACCCTCAACGTCACGTACATGCGGCCCGCGCCCGTCGGCATGGAGGTCCTCATCGAGTGCGAGATGCTCCAGGTTGGCAAGAGGCTGTGTGCCCTCAGGGGGACGATGAGGAGGAAGAGTGACGGGGAACTACTTTGCGTTTGCGAGCATAACAAGGCGAATGTTGACCCGGATCCCAAGCTCTAAAGTGACGTGAATAGTCTTGTGCATTTTTGGTCAAGAAATATAGAGGTTTGCTATAAGAGCTCACTACAATTTATGATATGATAGAATAAAGATGGGGAAAATCAACCGTCCACCAAGCAATGAGTATATACCAGGAAGAGTTAAATGCCTTTCAGTTTCCTGACGACGGCCCCGGCTCCTCCATGTGCGTAATTTCGATAATCTCCAGTTCCGCATCCATCAGCAGCTCCGGAAGCTCGTTCGCTACCGGTTCGGACTCGGTCTCGTCCTCCTCATCCTCCTCTTCATTTTCCATGGTATACTCCATGTCGCCCTCAGGGTCGTCCGAGTCCTCCATTTGCAGCAACGCGCTCCATAAAAGAAAGTTCCTTGGGAGAACTGCATGCTTGCCGTGTGCCGTCTCCGAGTCGCTGGCCTTCCAAAAGGCAGACGGGCCACAGGGTCCATGGGGATCGTAGTCTCTACAAAAGATCAGATGCGTCAGCTTTTCGCGTCTGAATGAGATCTGAAAAGGTGCAGTTGCCTCACCTGTCAAACCAATTTCCTATCACGCCACGAGCAGATCGCGGCCCACCAATCTGCACCCCCTCACTTTTCCACCTCTCTTGCCCCTGGAAAATAGACACCGACGTCCATCTCACCTCGCCCTCCCTAGTCAAGCCAACGGTTCCTTTCGAAGTAAAGTCTTTAGCTTCAGTATACTGGGGGGAAGAAGAAGAGGGCGGCGACTGGGATACTTACCTCGCAAATCTGAAGATGCATTGTCATCCCACGAATCGTCAAGTGGGCGAGAGATGCCTTCATAGTGTACAATTGGCAGCTCTGAAGAATATTCCGAATCCGGCCCGGGTTGTTCAATCTTGGTAACGTGGATCCTCATGATGATGAGACGGGTGGCTTCCCCAACGTCGAGAGTATGAAGAGGGGATTCATCGCGTTCGGGATTGGTGAAGTTGTAGCTGAAGAAGTCATTGTAATCAAGAAAACAAACAATCTGTGACAAAATTAGCCCCTATAGATGCATGTGGTGTATTCCGGACCATGGCAACGTACTCGATACCAAGTCCCTGTCACGCCATATGGATCCATGGCATCTAGCGATGACTTGTCGAGATTGGGAGTAGACATGAAGCTGCCTTTCCACGAACCAGAAAAGGGATTGTCCCAGATATCGCTAAACAGCCGAGTGAGCTTCTTGACGTAAATGTTGTTACCAAGAACGATCTGGATGGCCTCGACTTTCTCCCAGTCTACATTGTCGCTCCCATCGTCCATAAAGGGACCCCATCGAGACTCATCGGTGTATTCCCGAATATCATAGACCTTGGAGCAGGCATAAGGGTAAGTTCTTGCAGACCGCAGTCTTCCGGTCTTGAGGATTGGCCTGCCGTATAAGCAGTGCAGCTTTGCGCTCTGCTGGCGCTGTGCCTCGTTTAAGACCGTAGGGGGTAATTGGTGATGCTGGGTTCTGTAGACTCTCTCAAACAGAGACGACTTTTGGAGAAAGGCGACCTGGTTGCCCTCGTCTTCAAAGAGGGTCTTCAGAAAATCCGCGTTGCGAGACGCATGCTGAGTGTCGGAGGTCTCTACGGCATGGCCAGTGGGAGAGGCGTGCTTGAGCAACCTGTTGACCACCTCGTATACAAAACTCAGCTCATCCTCCTGCGTTGTTCAAGAAAAGTGTTAGAAGATGCCTCTCCGCGAACAGGCACTATCAGAACTTGCCTTGTCCTCGACGTCTTCACGGAGGCAGATGTTCTCCAATCTGACGACGTCATGCAGCTCAGTCTCCCAATCGAGCCGTTCATCATTAGGAGGCGAATCCTGGCTCCCATCATCAGCTCAAGCTTTGCGTATTTCTGAAGAAACTCCTTGAATCGCTTACAAAAGTATGCAGATAAATGTCCTCGCACAGCTTCTGGTTCCCCGTCACGAAGCCGTGAAGCGCCCGACAGACGCGGGGTAGCGATCCGAGATCCCTTGGCGACAGCCACTGCAGGATATTGTGAAGAATCTCGTTTGGCAGTGTCGTCAGATGAGCCATGGTTACCGTGAGCCTTGCCTACCTGGTGAAGAGGCAGCTTTGGCAGTGTCGAGGCAGAGGGTAGAAGCGTCAGGTTCTCTCAATCAGAGACGGCTTCGGTGATGATGCCATATCAGCTTCCGAGGTGCGTGACCCGTAGTCGTTATCTCCGGAGACGACACACTGTATGGCTAGCACTATGCGGAGTGCTATCGGCGTTGGAAAGCAGGCCAATTCCAGTCCGTGTTGGTGCGTGGTAAGCCTGTTGCGGAATCAGACTCCGTGCGGACTGATGAGCTATGTGCACAGTACGGGCAATGCCTTCCGTTCGTATCACCTGGACTCCGCGCCTGCCGTTAGAACTCTGGGCCGAACTTGCCTCATGATCCTGTATGTCAAGAGCGGCAGGCTTCATGCGCAGCTCATTCCCCAGTTTACGGCTGGGGAGAATAAACTTTGCCCTCGACTAGAAAAAAAGGAAGAAGAAAAACAAAAAAGACATTACGATAACATCCTGAGGTTACGGTGGAATCGAGCAGTGAGGACACAGCAGCTGGCCTGGCCGTCAGACACTCCCGATTATCCTCGATCAAGACGACCAACGCTCAAATCGGCCAAACAGAGCCATATTGACGAAATAAAATGGTACATGATTTGAGAGAGTACCTAGTACAAACAATCTCTTCAAATGAACTTGACTGAAGCGCTGTTCTTTACAGGAGGCTTTTACAAAGGGATCCGTGTCGCGGACTGGTGCTCGTCTACCCTCGGCTTCTAGGCGAAAGGGACATGATGGGTATGGCATGGCTAAAATGTTTGTCGATTGTACTTATCCAATTTGATCTCCTCACCTTTCTGATTTCCTCAGCCATCAACGGTAGGATTGGTATCCGATCGGCTCGCACGTCCTTGGCCAAAACATGCTAATTGGCTTACAGCAAGGCAATGCCTCGGCGACGACAACTTGAAGAGATGTCCTGGCTGGGCAGCTATCTGGCGAGCAACATTTGGCTAAAGGTACGTAATTACCCTCGCGCGCCATGGGGGTTTCTGGCAATGAATAGTTCTTCTCGTCATGGGTCCCACAAGCCTCTAACTTGCTATGCCACGACCATAAAGACCAAAAGCAATTTTCAGGGCATTGTAACATGGTAGAGTTCCATGGTGCAAGTGCCTATGCCATGACCAGAAACCTCCATGGCGCGCGATGGTAGCGAGAATGATGCTCCGCTTTTGGTCAGAGCTACCTCGACTAGAAGCAGCTCAACCAAAGCGACCCAAATACCAAGAAGCCATCCTGATGCTGGCGGGACTGGATGTGCACAGAAGGGGCGCAGTTGTTGGAGGCCAAACCTCGAGCTACCCGATAGCCCTGCTTCTGTCTGCTTTCGAGGTTTTAGAGCACAAAGTTTAGCCGCCGTGGCATTGCCAGGGTCGCCGTTCTCTCTCGCGGGATTCCGTGGCTGCTCTCGAGGTTCACAGGAGCCAGGTCAAGGCTCAATTCCGTGCCGTGGCGTGCCATGTTTCAATATGGCTGCCCAAGCTGAACCACCTACATCTGCAAAGAGCATTGGAGGCTTCATTGTTTCGAGAGTGAGATAACTCCTCAGCGGTCGTTGGGCGGATCTGGATGAAGGACAGGTGACTTCAAAAAGAACAGGATGCCGAGCATTGGGCAACTGAAGAGTTGCGCCCCTTGAGCAAGCCATCGAGGCTGATTGACGAGTTCGGAAGTCAATCTAGACTCGCCGAACCCCTGCCGCTTCGTAGGCACGTTGCCCCGTTGCCCCATCGCCCACATGTCAGGCAACGACGATCCCAATGGCTCACTGACAGAACGTCCCACGGCATGTCTAATTAGGCTCTCAAGTCAGGTCCTCGATGTGCGAAGCTTATTCGAACAATGCCACCCTTTCACCTGGCAAACTTTGAAGGGGGTCACATTGGATTGTCCCGCGGCGGTGGGCCTGAAGAGAGGGGAAAAGATCACCGTCGGGGCCTAAAGCACCCGGTAAGGATTCGGATCGAATTGTGCAGCCTTTTTGTGTGGCCTATCACCCGACGTGACCTCAAACAGGGTCTCCGCACGAAAAGCTGATCCAACTGATGCCACAGTCCGAGAAGCTCTAGTCTGTCAGAAGGGGAGAGACTGAAGATAGCTTGAAGGGCGCTTGCTCAGTTTCGTGCTACGCCTTTGTCACTATCTCATCAGTCGGCTGCATCGTAGGAATGCCGAGACTCGATATTGAGGGCGTGATTAGGCAAAATAGCAGCGCTGAGGCATCCTCGGGTATCAGCAGCAACTCACAACAGGCCAATGGAAGAGAATCACGGCGTGGTTATGTAACCGTGCCCCGTTGGTTTGAGACCGAACGCTTCTTTGCTCATGTTAGAAAGCTGCATCAAGGTCTTCTTTCAGCGGGGGCGGAGGCCACCAAGTCAAGTTGTCTCCGTACCTTTCTCGGACAATGTGAGACACTGCGTTGGGCATCGGCTAGAGCACCCAGTATGTATTTCCCTCTCGACTGCATATGCAACTCAGGGTTGGGCACTTTTTGCTGACCGTGAGATTAGTATTCCAGTAGATGCAAATGTACACCGGATCTCTGTGGCCAGGATCTGACGAGCTGAATATTGGGATTGTGTGGAAGATCGGAGGTTGACCGCGTCTGACCCTGGTAGGAAGCAACTCCTCGTTCTGCCTCTTGCCTTATTCCCCCCCATTCATGGACCGGAGCCACTTCGGCCCGGCACGGCGAGATCCGATCTCTGTGGGCGAGTGGACTCTCGAAGAAAGCATGACATTTTCCAGATGTGATGGCTTCGCTTTACTGAATCGCCCGGGTCATGAATTCAAGGAAGTGCTGAGCGCTAGTAATGCATTTGCTCACTCCCAGAGCCCCCTTGCAGGATAAAATGGCTTACAATTGCTGACTGAGTATGCAGACAAACAAAAACATCCCAGAAGCAGCGACATATCCATCCCGTTCAGCTGGCGTGGGCTCAGCCAGAGAGATCCCTGCCCTACCAACATGGCAGCGTCACAGCAAGTATTTCTCCTCCAACAATCAACCTGCTGCCAGTGCGTTCTCTGGCCTATGAAAAGACTCGCAGTCACCGGGTTGGCGCGTGGCTTCGTCCTCCTCGACCGCTAACCCCCGCACTTGCTAAACGCCCCCAACGGCCTTGTCCCGGGTCGCTAGACAGAGCTAACGTCTGTCCACGCGGCATCCTTCCTTGTCTCGACCTCCCTGATCAAGACGATGATCCATGCGAAACGGAGGCTTGGTACTCGGGAAACTGTTGATCTCGGCGTCTTCCGCAGCTTGGACCGGTACCGACGGCCTGTCTAGACACCATAGGCTCTTCTTGCGCACCAGCGTGGTGGTCTGCAAGCGCAATCGCCGATTAGTCGGCCGGTGGGATGCTGCTCCGCACTTGGTCGACGCTGTGATTGTACATGGCACAAGCGGCAGATTTGGTAATACGGGGGCATCGCGAGATCTACCGAGCATCGAGGTGCTACAGGTACGAGTACCCTCGAGAGACGGGTATCCCTCCCCATGGCTTTCTGGCATTTGTCGTTTGGGGGTTTGTGCGTCCTACTTCCCGCCCGATAAGCTCATGTTGAGTCGGGCCCGCTAGGACACATGCTACTGGTACACCGGCCTGCAGCCACTCAACTTCTTCTGCATCTTGCTGCTCCCCGTCTTGCCGTCCCTCGAATCTGAGGCGTTGCAAAGGGAAGTCTAAACTCCACAGCGGGCGGGTCAAGCCGCGCCAGCCGATGGATGAGCGTGACATGGCGAGGCTGAGGGCAATGTGCCAAGTACTGCTGGGTGAGGAGCAGCAGGGCCTTCAGATGATGGTGTGCAAGCGTGTACGGAGTCTCGCAAAGGGCGCGATTGGTGCGATGGATCTTTGGCATGACAGTCCGACATCGAGTCTCTCGCCTCCGGACGTGCTCGCATTGGAAACTTGACTTGTCTTCAACAGGCCCTACGGCGAGCACGGCCTATAAACCACGGCATGGCTGGAGCGGGCGTTTCTGGGGTTGGCATAACGGCTTGTACCTACAAGTACTACGTGGTGAGTACTATGCTGTGCAACCTGACGGGTTCTGCAAGGATCGTGGATGGTATGGCCGTGCTGGGGTATCCCTCCCTCCCAAGGAGAAGCATGGGCCACGGCCATGGCGACCTGCACCGACCATGCCGTGCGTGCTTCGCACATACGAGTACTGCAGTATGTCCTCCTACAGACATTCATAGTCTCCATTCAGACAAGCACGGCCAGCATGGCAGCGCACGATGGGCGCATTCTGCTGGCGAGGTGCCGCCACTGCAATGCGAGCCAGGCTGCAAAGCTTGCATCGCATAGCGCTTGGCAGGTAGTATACGAGAGCAACAGACACGGGTGACGGCAAGATACAAGTGCCCATGGCAGGTTGCTGGCTTGCTGGCCACGATGGACGGCAGTCGCGCGATCCTGCGGAGGATGTGCCCTTGGCAGAATCGGTCCATGTCGAGTGCCAAACAAGGGGCATCAGCCGTTCGTTTACGCGCATCGGCGTTCTTTGCTTGCGTCCCACGCCAGTCCGATACCCGCTTTGCAATGCTGCGTTTCGTCGAAGGCGACTCTGGGGCGGCGATAATTCAACCCAGCCTCCACAAGGCGGTTGCGCGGTTAATGCTCTGGCTCTCTGTGGGCAAAATGCCGACGGAGTTGGACAAGGTCGTGGGGTGGTCGGGTGAGTGCTCGGGTCGCCGAGCTGAGAGGCCCATGTTGAAGGGAACAGACCGTTGATCTCTCTTTCGTGTCTGCAATCTTTGTTCTTTGAAGTTCCGTTTCCCTCCACAAGGACATCCAAGGTCCAGTGGCCGCCTCGGACCAAGGACGAGGACATGGAGAACAGAACAGCTTGCATCCAATCCCGTCCGATGCAATCCAGCCCTTTTTTTCCCTCTCGCACACCCAATCAGGGGTCCAGGCCGCATCGCTTGCAAAGGCCCGCCCGGCTCGCGCTCACTGGCCCAGGGCCCCAAATAGCGCTCCGTTGTGGGTGCATCGAGCAATTACAGTGCAGCTGCAGCGCTGGAGTGCATGTGCTAGGCCTGGCCCAGCGCTGCTAGTGCCGCTAAATCCTGGACCCCATGGTTCCGTGTGCCTGCGCTCTTGGGGCTTGGGGGGCACTTGTTCCATGGGGGTCCCTCCAACTGGCAGTTCCGTCAGGTCCATCGTCTCAATCTTTTGCACCCAATCTCCATCTGATCGCCCGCAGTGTTGCCTGCTCCATCTTGTTCCGTCCCATCACCGTCTGCCCTGGGAAAAAAAAAGGGACAGAGGAAGAACATCCGAGCTTGGGCAACAGACTGGCCGCTGCTGCGCTCACCAGCATCACGCGGCTGACTGTACGGGCCTCGCAAAGGCAACGCCCGGCGCTGTTCTGCTCTGCTCGCGTACGGCCGTCGGTGCCTCGGGCGAGTCCCAGCTTTTTTTCAGCTCCGAAGCCATCGTCGACTCGACCTCACGCAGCGTTTCTCCCTCAGCCTGCGCCCGGCCGGCGACGCCAGAGTCCATCGTTTGAGCCTGTATCAGCCTCGCTGCAGCTCGCCTTTCCTGCGCGCTCATCTCTCGCCACACTGCTTGGCTGCTCTCCCCTCAGCTCTTCTCTTCTCTTCCATTCCTGGGCGTCACCGTGCTGAGCTGAGCTGAGCTGAGCTGAGGCCTGCTGCCAGTCACACGACGGTGCGCTATCGGTCGACCATCGTCTTTGCTCAGTTGTCGCCGAGCCTCTTCCTCCCTCGCATGATCGGGCCCGGATCTTAGCCGCTGGCCGGGTCGTTCCATTGGGCTGGTTTGGCAGCCATGTTGCATTGAGCGCATCTTTCTCATCGCTGTTCACAAGGGCCGGGATAGGGACATCGCCTCACCAAGTCCAACGCTGGCTATTCTCGACCTATTCTCTTCTTTACTGTTGATTTCTTTGCGTTCTGCACCTATTTTCCCTGCCGGTCTTATCACGGAGGTCTCGCAGGGCTAGAGACGGAGAACGAGACAGGTCACAACCCCGGGGAGCCACTTCGTGAAGGAGAGTCGTCGAGACACTGCTGATTGGAGTTGAGCCTGCTGGTCAACACTATCTCTGTTGGTCTTTGGTTTCTCTTCGACCGACTCGGTCCCCTTGCTTTGACACTGCCTATCTCTTGCTGTTGAGCCCCCCCTCGGCTTCTCTGTCTAGGAGAGAAACAATTTCACGTCGAGCAATGACTACTACAGCTGGGTCTACAACGGCAAAGCCAACTTTACCCATATCTCCGGCCAGTTCCGCCGCCATGGGCTCCGCCCGCGATGGAAGCGGCGCATCGCCCGAAGACCCTGAACAGGCACGAACCTTCAAGGCGGAGAACGGGGCTACCCCTCGTGACGAGGCCCAGAAGAGGCCTGGCGATGACCAGAACGAAGTCTCGTCGAACTCCGAAGAACCAACACGCAAGCGGAGGCGGAGCCGGAAGGGCCTGGAAAAGAGGTTTGAATGCAACGCCGAGGGTTGCGGGAAGAGCTACTCAAGAGCTGAGCATTTGTGAGTTGACCCAGTACAGTCTGCGTTTTCCATGTTGCTCCTGCTCTCCGCGGTGGCTGGGTTCAAGACCGATTCTAGTTGCAGCACCAGATACGTTCGCTGTTAGGGGACATGCCGCTTCCGAATTCACCAACCGGCGTCAGATACTTGCGACTAACCGCAACTCAGATACCGACATCAACTTAATCATAATTCTAAACAGATTTTTCGCTGCGAGTATCCCGATTGCCCCCGAACCTTTGTTCGAGGAGACTTGTTGAAGCGGCACATGGACCGGCACACGGCCAAGGGTTCGCAGCTCAACAGGAGGGACTCCATGGTCAGCCATGCGGCGTCTGTTGCTTCCCCCAAACTCGCCCCTGCTGATTCCAGTCGGTCAGTGCCAGTGTCGATGCCTGGGCCAGGCCCCGGACCCGGAACTGGAACTGGAGCTGGAACTGGAACTGGAACTGGAGCTGGAGCTGGAGTTGGAGCTGGAGCCGGAGCTGGAGCCGGAGCTGGACCCGGGCCTGCACCCGCACCTGCACCTGCATATCACGACCCCAGGCCGCCCCCTCCAATTCATCACCATCACCCCTCTCCCCAGGAGCCTCCTGGTGACCCCTACCCGCTGATGAACAACGTCGGCCCTCCTTTGTTCCCCGGTAGCTCATCGTCCGTCGGGCACGATGCATTTGGTCGCGATCCTATTGCACTTGCGGCAACAGTGCCTCGCAGGCTGGGTACCGGCCAGCCTTCTCATGGCCCCAGTCGGCCATCGATCCAGACGAATGTCGGTCCATACGGCGTCATTTCACCAGCCTCTAGCCACCATGGCTATCATAGCCAGTCCAGCAGCACCCCGCAAACCGCCGGCTTTGTTTCCCAGCATAATGTTTTACCGTTTAGCTTGCCACCGGCACAATTCTCTCACCTGCAAACGGCTCCGCCGCCGCCGCCGAGAGATGGGACAGCATCTCATGCAACGACGACTGCGGCGTCACATTATTCCGACACCCATCACTCTCATCAACATGATATGCTGATGCTCGATCACATGGAAATGTCAAACAGTGGACCAGTATTTGCTGACGATGGCGTCAACAAGTCTCCGTATGTAGGGATGCCAGAGGATTTCATGGCCTACTTGTTCAACTCCCTGCCAGCGAATGATTCTCCCCATTCACATGCGCTACCACCTCCTCTCTTAAAGTACGTCTGATTTTGGTTCATCCTTCTTGAGCCCATGTATACTAAGCATACTAACACTTTTTTCTTCCCCAGCTACGGCAGTTCGCACAATGGCAGTCACGGTGACCAGTATTTGGGCGAGCAATCACCTGTGGGACTATTCCCCCCTGACCCCCAAGATGTTATGGCTGTTAATAACATCTTGGAGCAGCATGCCCCGGAGGCCAGTCTCACAGAGGAGCGTAGCCAGGAGATTTTCGACCTCATCAGCGAACGGTTCCAAGAGGACAATGAGGATATTTCAGCGAGACAGCGACGAAACAGCATCCTTAGCGGCGACCGCTCGTCCGGCGAGCACATGCTAAGCAGGAGGATGATGCAGGCTTACGTAGGCTCGTACTGGTACCACTTTAACGATCAGATGCCCATCCTGCACAAGCCCACCTTTGCCACGGAGAAGACGCCCAATCTGCTACTCATAGCCATCATGGCTATTGGTGCGGCTTGCCTGGACAGAACCCACGGGACCAAGGTGACAATGGCCGGAGCAGAGGTGTCTAATTTTCTCGCAGAGCACCTGCGATGGGAAGTGTTCATGGATCGAAGTTTCAAGCCTCCTGCTAAACTCTGGGTTTTCCAAACGCTGATCCTGCTTGAGCTATACGAGAAGATGTATTCGACGAGGGAGCTGCACGAGCGAGCTCACATTCACCACGCCACTACGGTTACTTTGATGAGGAGAGGGCGATCGCTTATCGGCAAGTCTACGCTAGATTCGCCGCCCCAGCACAGCACCGACGGATCGCGAAAGTCGTCGGCCTCTGGGATCGCTCACACAGCAGATGAATGGTGGAACCACTGGATCACAAACGAGGCGACGCGAAGAGCCGCCTTTGCCGCCTTCATTATCGACTCGACCCATGCTACCATGTTTGGGCATTCGGCAGTCATGGTGGCTCACGAAATGAGGTTGACGCTGCCTTGTGACGAATCGCTGTGGAGAGCTGCTAGTAGCGCCGAAGTAGGCCGAGTGGAAGCCAACCTCATGTCCCGCGGGATCAAGCCCGTAACGTTCCTTGAGGGGTTGAAGCGCACACTCAGTCACCAAGATGTACGGACGACACCGTTTGGTCGAGCGGTCCTCATGGCTGGCCTCCTCAGCATCACATACCATATGCACCAGCGCGATCTCCAGGTCAATGTGCTCGGAGGAGGTGTCATTCAAGCCCTTGGAGGACGCGACAAGTGGCGGGCGACTCTCACGAGGGCCTACGATTCGTGGAAGTCCCATTTTGATAAGGCGCTGGAGCTGAACGACTCCGATCCTTACAGGCTGGACATGCGACAGGAAGACTACAACGTCGTATTCGAGAGCCGCACGGTGCTGCACCACTTGGCACACATGGCCATGCACGCTGACATTGTCGACTGCCAAATGTTCGCCCGTGCTAAGAGGCTGCTTGGTCGCTCTGTCGGACATCAAGAGTTTCTCAGCGCCCAGCGAAGAATCAAGGAGTTTTGGGCTCCATCTGCCAGGGCTCGCGACGCCACGTATTACGCGCTCAAGTTCTTGTTGTCTGTACTTGTCCCTGACCGGGCGGGGCCCCCGTACTCGACGGGTCCTGACCGCGACAAGCCATACGAAACCCGCGACGATGTGCTATTGAACCGTCCCTGGGTCCTCTACTTTGCGGCACTGGTCGTCTGGTGCTACGGATATGCCATTGAGGGGCCTTGTCTGACCGGATCAACGCCGGTTGGCCACCATGAGCAGTGGCAGCAGATGAGAGCCTACCTCTCCAAGTACGGCGGAGTGACGGATCCGAACGAGCTGAGGAACATGAGGGGCATCAACGGAAATACCGCCATGCTCATGGTGCTCAAGGATACCTTTGACAATTCTCGCTGGGAGCTGCTACACGAGGGAGCGAACCTGTTGCATAACTGCATAGTGCTCAACTCTGGTGGGCATGTCTTGTGAAGACACCGACAACTGAAGCTAATTGGGGTTTCTAACAACGTGGCCTATTGCTGTCCAGCTTATTGATCTTGAAATCTTGGTTAATCATTTGTTCATCTACTCTGGATCACGATGCCAATGGATACATCAGCTTGGGGCGGGAACGGCGGGCAGACAGCTGAGAAGAATTATACATGCGGGCGGCTGGCGGATTTGTCTCTGACATATGGGACGGCGCATCACTTTGCTTGGTTTCATATACCCCTTTTTCTTGTGATGGCATTGGCGGGCTGTGTATGGTCCTCTACCTGCGTAAATGATTGATCTATTTGGGGTAGTTGGTGGGAAACTGTGGAAGGGGAAAAAAAGAAAATTGGATATGAGCGGAAAGAAATCGAACGATATATATGCATTGCCTTTCACTCTGCCTGTGAAATAAGAAAGAGTTTGGTACATGCTATGCCCTCAACCAAGAACGCCAAACTGTAACGAGATATCCAGCAACAAAGTATGTGGACTATGCACAACATGGCCGTCGATATGCTTCCACAATTCTCCTCCTACTGCCACGCCTACTCCTGAGCACCCCCCTTCTGCGCATTTGCCTTTCTGACAACCACCCTGACGTTGACCTGCTTTGCCTTCTTCAACCTGACTACCCTGGCCTTTTTCTCTTGCACATGCTCGACCTTGGCTTCCGTGTCATCCTTTGGCATCTCCGCTTCAGCTTGTTTCCCGCGCTGCTTCTTCGGAGGGGGGCTTTCGTCGTTTGCTTTCTTGACGAAGATGATTTTGCGCTTTGACGATGTCTTGAGGGGCTGTTCTTTGTCCTCACTCTGCTCGCCCTTGTTCTTCCCCACCGGGTGTTTGTCGTCTTTTGCTTCCTCTCGGTTCTCCAGAGGATCATCATCCCGCTTCGAACCCGCACCCGCATCCTTCTTCTCATCATCATCCAGCTCATCCCAGTCAAAGACCCCATCATACTCGTACCCCTTCCTCTCCATCAGCCTCCGATACATGGCCCTCAGCTTCCCATAGTTGGGCTTGTCCATGTACCCGAGCGACCGGACGTACTTGAGGTGCCGGGCGAAAGCGGAGGGCAGATCCTGGCAGAGGACATCGACGGGGATGCTGAGCTTGAGGCGGGTGATGCGTTCGCGCATGGCGCTCGTGGGCTCGTCGGGGTGGGCGTAGCCCTGCCAGGGGAGGGAGCCGCGGGCGAAGTAGATGAGCATGTAGGCGAGGGATTCGAGGTCGTCCTTTGGAGATTGTGACTGTTGTTTTATACATACAAATACATTAGTTTCCTCCTGAAATTTTCCCTTGAAAGGGGAGAAAGGGGGTTGGGGGGTTGGTTTCATGGGGAAGACTTACACGGTCGAGGTGAGCTGATATGGCAGCCCAGTAATAACTCCCGCAGAATGAATAACTCGGCGCCAACACCGTCTTACCATCATTCAGATAATCGCCGACCAGACCAAAGTCCAGGATATACACCGTCTTGCCCTTTTCCGCACCGAAGCCCATGGCGAAGTTATCCGGCTTGACGTCTCTATGGAGCAAGTTCCTCGAGTGGAAGGCTTCCAGCCGGGTGATTAGCTGGTCGGCCAGCATGAGGGTGGTCTTGAGGGAGAACTTGTTGCCGCAGCGGAAGAAGAGGTTCTGGAGGGTGGCGCCGAGGAGCTCGCAGACCATGTACTCAAAGGCGGAGGAGGAGGAAGCAGAAGGGGGGGCTGAGGAGGAGGAGAAGGAGGAGGGATTGCGGCCGTTGGCGTGGAAGTCTGCGATGCCGGGGTCGTTGCGGAGGAGGGTGTAGAAGAGGGATTCGCGCTCAAGGTCGTCGACTTGGGAGGGGTTGTGGGGGATGGGGAGGGACTGGAGCTTGATGGCGACGATTTGGTTGGTGAGGATGTCGGTTGCTGGCGATTCGGATATGTTAGGGGGGGGTTATTTCGTGGATGTAAGGGGAAGAGAAAGAGGAGAGAATACCGATGTAGACGCTGCCGAAGCCGCCTTGGCCGATGATGCCATCAAGGCGCCATCTGTTGTCAATGATGGTTTCCTGGAGATGATGCTCTGTCAATGCGTTGTTCCTGGGGGTATGGTTGAGGGTGAAGGGATGTTGTTACTTTTTGCTGAGCCACGGGGGCTGTTTCTGGAGGCACATCGGGATGCATGTTCATATCTCACCGAGTGAGGTTATTCACGGAGCAAAAGCGTAAGAAGAGGCAGGATGCAATCCAGGAAACGTAAAGCTGAAGACATGTACATTCTGATGGTCTTGTGGGAAGATATATACACTCTATGAAACTGTACTATGATGCTGTTTCTGCATGACGGATTCTATAAAACTGCACCATGATGCTATTTCTGGAAGATAGAGGCTGCCTTCTTTGTTCTGTATGTGTTCTGGAAGAAAACGAGACAATGATGGGACTCGGAGCATAAAGAAACCAAGTATCAGGAGGTGTGGCTACAACAAAGGATGAATGAAAGCATCAATGAGTGAACATCGTTGAGACAGCTCCTAATTGAAACAGACTGTTGTTCATCAAAGTGCCGCAAGAGGCGCTGACGAAGAAAGCGCATGACAAACGCCCTCTTATTGTCATGACAGCAGCTAAGATACGAAGCCGAGCGAGTGTGTTGACCATGACCGAGGTTAGTTGTAAGTCTCGAGAGCTGAGGCGAGAGACTTGAACCAAAAGTCTCAGCATGGCCTGGAACTAGGCCCGAATTGGCTCTCGGAGATGAAAGCGCCAGTGACATCACCGATAAGACAGCTTATCGCAAATTCAGGGCTCACCTTTTTTTTTTTTTTTTTTTTTTTTTTTTTTCTTGGCCTATTATGGTTATGGTAATCGCGACACACAGTACTCCGTAGCCTGCATGAAACAGTCATTGCTTGCATGTTGAAACGAAACATTTTGTTCTTTGTCATATATCATTTGACGACGAACAACGAAAAGGTCTCTTAGCCTGCGCGTTTCTCGCTTGTCCCTGCACCAGGTTCTTTTTTACAGTTTCTTTTTCTTTTCTTCCTTCTCTTGTCGGATGAGACGAAAATGATGCACAGCTTGCGCCGCGCTTACCGGGCTAGCGTTTTAGCACCAGGAACAAGAGACAGGACGGAAGAAACCTTCAGAGGAAACCCCAGCTAGCACAAAGCTAACATGACAATCGAGAACAAAGAAAGAAAATAGATAAACCAAGAGTAAGAAAAAAAAGAAGAAGAAAAAAAAAGTCTGAAGCAGCCCGTATCGTCCAACCGTCCCCGCCGAGAATGTAGCTTCGCATACTGTCCACCGCCCAGCAGTACTTTTAGCAAGCAGCAGCAACGATGTCGCCTCTATCGCGCCGGTCCCGGAGTAAGCCAATCAGAAGGTGTTTAAGGCGATTAAACGGGCTGGTCCCTGGACTTGCGAGAGGAGCAGTCAGCAGGCAAAAAAAAAGGCACCTCACACCCTCTTTACGCCAGTTCGGTGCACGCGACGCATTAATCGGACCCCACCAGCAGAGGCGCCTGCTGCCTCCCCCACTTTGCAAGTACCTTGCGCACCACAATCTGCTGACGGAGGTACATGGCTCTCTGCCCGGTCCGTCCTGTCAAGGCCCGGTAGCGCGTCATTCCGCCACAGTGCAAAAACGCCCGGCTGGCGAGGTGCCTGCAGGCGCTAGAAAGCAATCAAGAAGGTCGCTGCAGCAGCATGGACCGTACAGTGCGGAGAGCCGGCGCAGAGTCAGGTGCTGCAAAGCCTCTCTACCTTCTCACGCTGGTTTCTCCCTCCAGGCCAGACCAAGACCCTCGCTTCTCTCCTCCGAACCTCGCAGCCCACACAAGAAGCAATCCGGCTAAGCACGTTTTGTCCGAGAAATGTGACGATCGACTCTTCTCCTCACTTGTCGTCTTTCTCCTCTCGCAGCTCCATAACTCGACAATTTCTCGCCTCCAGCTTCTCTCCTGCTCGCAGCAGCTTCGCAAAGCCACAGCTTGCTTCGCCCATTCTCGCTCCGCTTTCTCTTCCTCTTCCTTTCGTCTCCTCTCGTCTCCTCTACTCTACTCTCCCCCCAAACCACCAAGCAACCACCCGCCTACCATGGCTCCGACCAAGAACTCCCGCAAAGACCACGACGACCACAAGGGCGACGCTCCGGCCGAAAAGAAGAATGGCCACGGCTCTGCAAAGATGCGCCGCGGGGCCAGCCAGCAGACGCACGCCGCCAGCCGCGAACTGCCTCCCGCTCCCACATCTGCGCCCGCCCAGGCGCCGACCGAGCCTCTGCTCCCCAGCGTACGTCAAATAGCTTTCCTCGTCTTTCTCGCCGTGATTTTCCATTGCACTGTCCCTACAACGCGAAAGTCGCCTCGCGCAACACGCTACCCAACCAACAGCGTTACTGACGGAAAGTCTCACAGCTTCCCTGGTCCTCCTTTGAGCGACGATCCCTCCACGCCTACGTCCGCGAACACGAATTGACGACGCCCGCCTCCTACTCCAGCTCCTTCCACAACTGGGTGCTTTCGCGACCGGGTAGCCTGGGCCTACACTCTCCCACAATGGTCCGCAAGCAGCAGATCAAGCGACAGTCCAAGGACCAGCTCGCCCTGGCGGTGCGCAAGCACTTCAATGGGCTCGGCATCCAGGAGAACGACGTCATTGTCGACTTTATCTACAAAGTACGAAACCACCAGGGCGCGAAATCCAAAGCGCCGGCGAAACAAGCCCTCATGGCGACCGATTGACTCGATGTTTGATACTCGGACGGCTCTAGCGAGCGGCTACATGGTTTTGCTGGCATGGATTGGTGTTTTTGGCGTTACAAGGTTCTTGAGCACGACGCACCAGACGTGTGCCTTTGGGTAGATACCCGTGGGAGTCATTTGACACTCTAATCTTTGTGTCTTTCTTTCTTTTTTCCTCCTTCTTTTTATCCTGTTTCGATTTTCCTACAATATGCTGTCCGGTTTCCTTGCGATGCATAGGGCGGTGTGGTCTGTCACGCCACTTGTTACAGCGGTATCAGGGCAAATAAGCCAGTCGGCTTGGGCCTGTTTCTTCCTTTATAGCGCGGTGGATCAGATAGGGTTGGGCCTGATGATTTACAGCGCCGCTCATATAGAATAGGACGAATTGGAGTATCTTTAGTTTTCCTCAGAGTTTTTTTTGCATAGCTTGGCGAGTACAGCGTGATACGTGTTCAGGCTCTGGCTTGGTTCTTCTTTCATGTCAAAGTTGGGGGATGCGTAGCTGGTGAAACATTTCATGCAAGACAGAGGACGCGAAACATGCATGGAGCTGAAGAAGCTTTTGAATCCTCCTGGGCACGGACTTGGCTTGGACGATCCCATGCTGTGTCGCCGCGTTCGATACACATTCAAAGTGCATCGTAAGGCAGCAACTGTCCTGCATGTATTCGATACATACTTTGGACGCGCAGCTGCACGTAATGAGGCTCCAATTCGGACTACTCGAGGATTCTCTGACAGTTCACGTCTCCGCAGGTTGGCCTGTCATGAGACTTGAAGATTATTGACTGGGTGCGCGCGCTTTGGAGTTTGCTGCAGGCGGACCCGATATGACCTGAGCTGATATGCTTTGATATGTGCCTCATGTAGGTACCTTACATTGAGGCAGCACATCGTCTACATACAGGTGAGTCAGGTACCAATGCGTAGATGATGTGCTGATATTACGCAGCATGATGCAGGATGATGGATGATATGGGGGTGCTCTGTCAGACTGCGAGAAGCCATTCGCGAGCTTCTCGGTAATGTCATCCAGACCCTGCCATTCTTTGTGGGTCCAATTGACCAGCTTATCAATTCATGGCGTGAGCGAGCCTGAGGAGACAAGTCTTATTCCTCGTAGTAGTAAATGCATGCTAATGTCGAGATAGTGACTGGCATTTAGTCGAGATATAGCTCCCTCAGTATCATGTCCAACAAGTGAACTGCCATGCTTCATAGAGAGCCGACAGCCTCACAGGAGAAACGGCAGTGAGCGGGATCGGCCGGGTTATGACGGCATAATCGAGGTGCTTAAGCGTTCGAAGTACGATAGCGAACAAGCTCGGCTCAAAATCGGCAAATGCTCGGCATGGGGGCCTCCGTCCAATCACATCGCCTCAATTCTTCGCCTCGGCGCAAGTTCGTCTAAATTCTACGGCCTTCATTCGTCGCAAACATCGACGTTCGTGGAAGCTTTTTTTTGGTGGAGAGAGAGCTTCTCTTAGCAGCCTTGCTTAATAACTTTTTCAAGACTAAACCACAGAGGGGACAACTTTCGAGGCCATTCGATACTCTCACTTCCTCTACCTACCTAGCTATTCCTTTACTCTGTACAGTATTGACTTGATTGTTTACTTTGCATCCGATTTCGGTGTCACCTTGTTTGCGATTTCCTGCTGGTTATATTCACGTGAAGCATTGGCGATAAGACGAACGCTTGGGAGGGGAAGAAAGAGTCGCACGAACAACAAGGACGACGCAACGAGTTCGATCTGGGATATCAAACAATGTCCAACCTCCTCTTCAAAGCCGCGGCTCCGGCGCGCGCACTTGCAAAGAGCCAGCACCTCTCGGGCTCGCCAAAGATCCAGCAATGCCTGCGGAAAGGCGCTCGGCTTCACACGGCTACCTTTGGATCCCGGACTGAGCGGCCAAATGCCCGGAAAGAGCACAGTCCTCGAACATCTCAGCGAGTAGGTCCCGCCTCCCTAATCACAAGACGGATAGTTGAATGTATATGCGATCCAGGTGTACTGACATCTACCTCGACAAGAGTTTCCATGCGACGAGTCCCCTGGCGCAAAAGGACCCGTACAAGGCGCTCGGCGTGAGCAAGACGGCGACGGCCGCCGAGATCAAAAAGGCATACTACGGCCTGGCGAAGAAGTTCCACCCGGACACCAACAAGGACCCGACGGCAAAGGACAAGTTCGGCGAGATCCAGAACGCCTACGAGATCCTCTCCGACCCCAAGAAGAGGGAGCAGTACGACCAGTTCGGTGACGCCAGCTTCGACCCCAACGCCGCCGGAGGCAATCCCTTTGCTGGCGCAGCTGGCGGCAATCCTTTCGCGGGCTTTGGTGCGCAGGGCGGGTTCGGAGGCGGGTTCGGTGGGGGATTCAACTTTGAGGACTTGTTTTCGGCCTTTGGCGGAGGCCGTCGATCGCATCCTTTCCAGCAGGAGATCCTGGTGGGCGACAACATCGAGGCCCATGTCAGCATCAGCTTCATGGAGGCAGCCAAGGGCACGAGCCAGACCATCACCATTATGCCCGTGGAGTCGTGCAACACATGCTCGGGCAGCGGCCTGAAGCCTGGCGCGCAGCGGTCGCCGTGCCAGAGCTGTGACGGAACGGGCACGCGGGTGCACTATGCGCAAGGCGGCTTCCAGATGGCGTCGACGTGCGGATCTTGTGGAGGAACAGGCTCGACGATTCCAAAGAGCTCCGAGTGCCGGACGTGCTCTGGCCAGGGCGTTGTGCGCAACAAGAAGACCATTACCGTCGACATCCCGGCCGGTATCGAGGACGGCATGCGACTCCGGATAGACGGCGCCGGCGACGCCCCCATCACCGGCCGGTCGACCAGTCCCAATGCGCGGGCCCAGCGCGGAGACCTCTACGTCTTCGTGCGGGTGGCGTCAGACCCCAAGTTCAGCCGCGAGGGCTCCAACATTCTCTACACGGCCAACATCCCCCTCACAACGGCCATCCTCGGCGGCCAGGTGACGATTCCGACGCTGGACGGGACGGTCAACCTCAAGGTGCCCACCGGCACCAACACCGGCGACAAGGTGACGCTGCCCGGCATGGGCATGCGCCGCCTCAACTCGCGGCGGCCGGGCACCGGCGACCTCAAGGTCGAGTTCCGCGTTAAGATGCCCAAGTCGCTGAGCGCCAGCCAGCGCACCATTCTCGAGATGCTCGCCGACGAGATGGACGACAAGACGGCGCGCCGCGTCATGAACGTGAAAAGGTCAGAGGGAGATTCCAAACCGTGAGCTGTTAAGCGACGATTGATGTTGTTTGCTAACGCTTTCTTGTTTCACTTTGTGCAGCTCCGATCCTAATGACCCTAACACTCACAAGGACGAGGGCTTCCTCAAGTCCATGTGGCATACTCTGACGAACCATCCCGCGCACGAAAAGGACGCCTCTGGTGGTTCTGGATCGACGGGCGAGTCTACGAATGACGACAAGGGGAAGAAGGAGAATTAAGGCTGCCGGCTGAATGAGCTCCTCTACGACTCCTAGAACGACGAAGACGATGCTTTATTCATCCTGTTCATTCATACCTTTGCCATGATAACTCGACTATTACAAACTATCGATTCGAAAATGAGAACCTAACGCGACCATGCTTAATCTCGAAAGAAAAGGGGGGGATATTTTGCATAGAGCTGGGCCTAACAAAAGCGAGAAAAATCATAACAGAAAAAGGCGGGAAAACAAAATCAATCTCAGTGTATATTATTGATGGCGGCGTTCTGCTAAGAATGGGTTTTACGACGTGGGCAGGCGGTAACTGGCGGGACATATGCTGCGTGTGTAGATGCATTTTCGTGTACATTACAATGGCTTTGGACTGGAGGGGTAAACAAAAAGGGGGGAGGGGAGGGGAGGGGAGAAAAAGGGACGATGAGACGACTTGTTTCGCGGAGGCCAATTTCAATCTCCTCACTCTGGTATTATCATACGGCGCTTCTGTTTGTTCATGTGCTTCATTTCATGTGCTAGCTATTAAGGGGGTATGACCTTGGTATATCATAGATGTGATGATGACGATGACACCACAAATAGATCAACCATTACGGAAAACTGCACAATGTTTGTGTGGTATATGATTCATTCTTCGTGCATCTTGCCATGATAGGCTCAGCATGATCCTTGTTATCGTCGAGGCAGCGCCAGCCTACTTGAGGCGTTTTGTGTGCCGATGAAATATCCTTGGCTATGTCAGACCCTCAACGATGCAACAAAGTCAAGCAACTCACAGGATCAAAAAGTAGCCTCCAAATCGAAAACCATTCATGCCTCGTAAAAAAAATCCCCCAGCCCCTCCTAAGAGAGAAGGAAAGCAAGAAGAAAGAGGAGAGAGGAGGAGGAGAAGCTGTATTCAACTTGTCAAAAGTCGAAAAGGGTTCTTCTTCTCTCCCAATCAATCTCTCCCCCATGCTCAGCCAACAGGCCCCTCTCAGCCGATGGGCTTAAGCTTCTTCTTCTTCCTCTTCTCGGGATCACCGCCACCAGATTTACCCTTCTGGAACTGCCGCCAGCTGTTGATGCGCACATCCCGCGTCGCCTCCCAGTCCTGCTCGTGCTGCCTCTTGCGCTTGCGCTCCTCCAGCTCCTCGTCCTGTCGCCTCTGCTCGCGCCCTTCCTCCTGCAACTGGGCCTTCATCTGGCGCCGGCGGCGGTGCTCGTTGTCAATCAGCACCTCGCGCGTCTTGGCGCGCCACTTCTTGGCGAAGTCTTCCGTCTTGAGCTCGGGGCTGTCGACGGTCCACTTGTTCTCGCGGATGAGCAGCATGCGCGCGTCGGCAATGGCCTCGTCCAGGCGCTCGCGGTGCTTCTCGTCCATGAGCTCCGTCTGGGCCTTCTTCAGCCGGTCAAAGGCGTCGGGCGCGCGCGGGTTCTTGGTCTTGTCCGGATGGATGAGGAGGGACTTTTTGCGGTACGTCATTTTGATGTCGGACTCGGGGACGCCGGGCTGGAGGTCGAGGACGGCGTAGCTGT